TTATATCTCGCTGAAAATATTAATAAATCTACAATTCAAATATACCTATGGTGTCGTTGTGCCATGCAGAGCACACCATTATGTAAATGAACCACCATTATGTATCAGTCACTCGCATGTATGGCCGGCCCGTTCTGTCTGTACGGTTTACGTCACAATGTGATAAAAATTAATTTCGGACGGCTGAGTACTGCATGCATTCCCTGCTAACATTATTAACAAGAATATTTACATTATTGTCATTTTCAAAAAATTTGACAGGCATGGATTATTATTTTTAAAAAAGAGTTAAGACATGATTGTAAAAGCAGTGTCATTTTGTAAGATCCACTCACAAAACGAAAAACACAAATTATTTTTTCAGAACCTGGCTCCTATTTTCCTGCTGATTTCCAATTTTCGTCAACCAAAATTACAAGAAAAACACCTCTTTGTAAACCTGCGTGAGACCCAAGGCCATGCAGTAGTCCCATTCATTGTTACATTTGCCCCGACCCGCTGTTACCTGAATGAAAGGCGCAAGCAAGTTCGAAATCCTTTGTGCCGTTTTCTAGTTATTTGGGCTTGGGAAAAAAACCACCAAGGTCGAGTAGTTTAATGGGTGAAAAAGATAATAAAACCCACCGTTGTAACAGACCTATAATGACTTTGATGCAAGTACATATACAAGTGCAAAAGGGGTGCAAGCGAAGGAAATTTTGAAAGTAAAAAATGCAAGAAATGGTGTAAACTTTCTATAAAATGAAGAACAGAACAGCACTTTGGAAGCCCTTGAATAAATTCACATGAAACATGAAATAATAAAAACACGCTACAATTTGTAATGAACAGTCCAATTATGGTATAATTTTTGTAATTGAAATCTACGAAAATAGAGGGTTGTAAATCACCTATATATAAAAGTCAATATACCAATCGTCTTGACTGCCAATTTGTGTCTTGATATGCCAGAGGGCGGGTTAAGCATAATGACCACCTTCAGAAAAGAATGTGTCTGATGTTTACAACTTTTTCACTCGATGTGTTCTCACCGTCTTCGCAGCGTGAATGTATCTCAGTCCACGTGGGCCAGGCCGGAGTCCAGATGGGCAATGCCTGCTGGGAGCTGTACTGCCTGGAACACGGCATCCAGCCTGATGGTCAGATGCCCAGTGACAATACGGTTGGTTCGAGTGACGACTCCTTCAACACCTTCTTCAGCGAGACCGGCGCTGGCAAGCACGTCCCTCGCTGTGTCTTTGTCGATCTTGAACCAACCGTTGTCGGTAAGATGCATGAGATACCTTCCAAAATGTTTTAGATTTTTGTATAACAGAAAGTACGAGAACTCTGTTGTTCGTTTTTAATACTCATCATAACATTTTCTTTTACTTCCTTAGATGAGATTCGTACCGGCACCTACCGTCAGCTCTTCCACCCTGAGCAGCTGATCACAGGCAAGGAGGATGCTGCCAACAACTATGCCAGGGGCCACTACACCGTCGGCAAAGAGCACATCGACACGGTCATGGACCGCCTTCGAAAGTTGGCTGACCAGTGCACAGGTCTCCAGGGTTTCCTCATCTTCCACAGCTTTGGTGGAGGCACTGGCTCTGGTTTTACCGCTCTTCTCATGGAACGTCTCTCTGTCGACTACGGCAAAAAGTCTAAGCTAGAGTTTGCCATATACCCAGCACCCCAGATCTCCACCGCTGTTGTGGAGCCCTACAATTCCATCCTGACCACCCATACCACCCTAGAGCACAGCGATTGCGCTTTCATGGTCGACAACGAGGCTATCTACGACATTTGTCGTCGCAACCTCGACATCGAGCGTCCGACCTACACCAACCTCAACCGTCTGATCGGTCAGATTGTGTCCTCCATCACTGCATCTCTTCGCTTTGATGGCGCCCTCAATGTCGACTTGACCGAGTTCCAGACCAACTTGGTGCCCTACCCACGTATCCACTTCCCCTTGGCCACCTACGCCCCTGTCATCTCTGCTGAGAAGGCCTACCATGAGCAGCTGACCGTTGCAGAGATCACCAACGCCTGCTTCGAGCCGGCCAACCAGATGGTTAAGTGCGATCCCCGTCACGGCAAGTACATGGCATGCTGTCTGCTCTTTCGTGGTGATGTCGTCCCGAAAGATGTCAACGCTGCCATCGCAAACATCAAGACCAAGCGTTCCATCCAGTTTGTGGACTGGTGTCCAACTGGCTTCAAGGTGGGCATCAACTACCAGCCACCCACCGTCGTGCCTGGCGGTGATCTAGCCAAGGTGCAGCGTGCCGTCTGCATGCTGAGCAACACCACGGCCGTGGCTGAGGCATGGTCCCGTCTCAATCACAAATTCGACCTGATGTACGCCAAGCGTGCCTTCGTCCACTGGTACGTGGGTGATGGCATGGAAGAAGGTGAATTTACCGAGGCTCGTGAGGATCTGGCTGCTCTGGAGAAGGATTACGAGGAGGTTGGGATGGATTCAGCGGACGGAGAGGATGAAGAAGCACCCGAGGAATATTAAATCCGGTCAAATAATGACGACTGGCATCAAGAAAGAAAATAGTATTCGAGTTAGATGTTCATATATACCAACCCAAAAATAAGCAGTGAACTGTCAGACTTTCTATCATGGATTTCACAAGAACTGCTTCAGTGAGAAATACTACCACAACCATCTGAATCAGTTAGAATGGAATAAAATAATAGCAAGTCATGAGGTGTTTTATCACAATCTTATTCTCATCTACAAACTCAAGAAAGCATTGGACTCTAGATATTGATGAAGAAAAAAATCCCACCAACTTAACAATTATTCTCAGTTTGGAAGAGACACGTTTCGTCAACGCTCAGACTATTCCATATTTTTGGATTCTGGTTCATGCCTTCTTCAGTAAAAAAAAATATCATCACTACATGTACAGCGCAATTTTTGCATTCACATACTCCTGTAGAATCCCAGCGTCTTCTGATTGATGTTGCTCGTATCATATCAGAAAGCTTCTAACAAGCTCCACGCAGATATAATGGCTGAATATGCATCAAAAAGCAAAACCGTTATGGAAATAATCGTTTCATGTTGGCACGTTCTGACAAAGCAGAAAATATTTTTGCCTGCATTTAAAAACTCAATCTCACTCCGCAAAAGTTTAAGTGGAAAAACCGCACATGCACCACCATTTGTATTACTGTGCAATTCTGCTTTTGAGCCAGAGCACGGATCCGTGGCCAGAGGAACAAAAAAATATCATCGCAAGAGCTAGACCCTTTAACTGTCTTTGAATGAATTTCTATCTGTGTTGTTGTGTCTGTTTAAATAAAGATAAAGATATATAATATACAGTACCCACCTACTACCACGGTGTGAAATTTGACCCAGATTGGCTTTTAAGTTTCAGATTGTCTCCAAGACATTATCCTCGTCTCCCTTATTAAGCCCATCTACACGTTCCAAAAGACAGACGAAATTGCTCCATAAATCGATGAGCACAAGCTGTCGACTTGTTTTATTGCCTCCACGGTTCAAAGCGCTAAACGCTGAATCTGAACCAACCTTCTATCCATCAAATTCATCAGGCATAACTGATTTTCTAATTAACGGTAGGGACTGAATCTCTTTAGATTACTAGATATCTAGCAACAAAAGAAGAACAAAATTTCAAAACTCATATCCTTACTGACCCAGCTGGAAGGCTAGATAAATTTTGTCGATGAAATTCTTCAATCACAAGGCCACAAAACCACTAATAATGGCGGCTGCCTCTAACCAAACAATAAAGGGGGGAAACATGCCGAAGAGAAAGTAAGAATCTATTAAATTAGTTATTATTTATATAAGAACTTGCCATTCTGTAAAAGGGAGTTGAATTAATAGCCAAAAGCCAACACATGTAATGGAAATTTACATGTCAGGGAAATTTACCTCAATGTTTTCACACCACCCCGATGTGAATTCAAAATGCCGTCCAACAAAAAAAAAATTATAACCATTTCCCCTGAAAGTATATGAACCTCAATAGTTCGGCTGTCTGCATACTCAGCGTGAATACCGCATTACAAAGCATTCCGCTCCAGTTCACAACAGACATTTTTTCCTGTTAAAAGGTGCGACTTCAACAAAGCTCCCAGCTCTCTGACAATATGGCTTTATGCAAATTAGCGCAGGAGCGCCGCATAATGACTCAGAAACGATGACGTCATCGTCCCCAGAGGCTGTTCGCTGGTTTGTGCATGCATTACTCATCGTTGAAATATTATGGAGAATATAATTTGGCATTGTATGCCTCCTACATTATAAATTATGCTGCCTGGTACCCGGCGATGATTTGATGTATTCAATCGACAACTATTTTTGTAGTACCAGTGAATCAAATTTTGTAAAAATGAAACTGAAAATAAAATGCATATTCAGTGTAATGATTAACTCATTCATTCCGAACGGCGGCACAAATTCGGGTCTAGTACCGATTCTCCTTATGGTAAATTACAAATTTTAATAAAAATCCTAAAATCGGTTTTAAATATAAATAAAGTGAACAAAAAATTAAAGTAACTGAAATTGACTAATTTCACGTAATTAACTTATTTTACGTAAGTCGGAAGCCGTCTAAGTCCCAGAAACCTTTCCAGTTTCTTTGGGGGGGGGGCAATCCTGTCAATGGTGTATTGTAATTTCCTTTCAAATGGGAAAACTATGCCATCACTGAAAGATGAGAAGAAACTCTCTTCAAGAAAGAGAACTTTAAGATCGTTTGTCTGCAAATGAAGATAATTTGGGTTGAAAGGCTTGGCCGCTGATCGCCTTAACTCAAACTCGATTTGATTTCAAAATTGCCTCAAGGCTCCTGAGGAAAGGCTACTTAGGAGATGGATGCTGTTGCTAAATGAAAGACGACATCCCGTAGGACGGGCAACCGCTAAGCCAATCACAGCCCAGAGCGTACTACGCATGCCCACTCACATCGCCCAGCATATTTTTGCCTCCATAATTTGCATGCAACGGGACCGCATTATCATTTGCACGCAGCGCTCCATTGAAGCTAGGACGTGTGAGTTAGCTACACGACAACGTCTCCTCAGTCGAACCAAAATCATTTTCATATTTTGGAAACTTGCTCAGCGTCCGCTCAAACGTTCATCATCATGGTAAGTTAATCTTTCGTCTCATTAATATTCCATGTCCTATATTGAATGTTGTCATGTTTTTTCGATGATGCAAATTGCACATTTGTACGAGGTAAAAGTACAAATTTATCAAGGAAACGAAAAGGCTGTTTTATTTTTATGATGCGTATTAAGTACGGTTCTTATTGGAGATGCGTGTACAGGGAATGCGCATAGAGTGAGTCATCTTGTGATGTGTTTGTCTTAGAGTGCGTGGCGCATCTTGTGTCGCAAGGAAAACCACGCCTTATTTCCGTGTGTTGGGTTGAGCATGCCATCTTGGCAATATATTTGCCATCTTGAAAAGGTCATGGTCATAGTCACACAGATGACCTTGTAACCCTAAGGCTAAAGGTCATGGTCATTCGTGTCTTGTATCCTGTTTCTCGTTTCATTATCATGATTAAAGTGAACAAATACGGAAATGATGGACGATTGTTGACGAATTTACATGTTGGAAAATGCTATTTTTAAACTGATTTATTTATTCACTGAATAAAGATACTGTCTTTTACAGAATATACTTATATTCTGTTCTTATAAATACATATTGTGATGTTAATACATTGTGATGTTTGTATTAATGTTTCATTTAAAATATTCACACGACGTATTGATACATACATTTTAAGTATGCCGTATTTATATGTACACATATAAATTTGACCGAAAATATCCAGATGTTTACGATAGAACTGTAAATGTCTTATAAATTTTTTATAACACTTTGATATTTTACCCTTTTTTTGCTGTGTGCTTTAAGGAAGAATTTTCGTTTATTTCTTATCCTCACCCTTCATACAAATTAACAAAAATAATGAATTCGTTTGCATGGGCTTGTTTATCCTGTGTTATTATATTTGTGCCACTGTGATTATAAAATATTTCCCCTTGAGAATTAAGCCAAACATAATATAATGGTACTTGAAAACTGAAGTGGTCATCATGCTGAATAAACCTTTTCGCGTGTTCAAATTCCCGTGGGAAACCTGCTAACCAATAAGAAATACTTGGCATTGTTGTCGGTGGTGTGAAAATATGGCGCGAACGTTCCAATGCCAGCAAATATCACCCCCAAAATATGAAAAATAACAAGAGTCGGGGCTCAAGGTCGTTTATGGCCGGGTTCTTTGTTCGATACGTGCAGCTGCTGTTGTCATCATTGCTGCAACAGCGTTTTGTGTGTATTTTTGTGGTTTTTTTTTTTTTAAACTGACCGATGAAGCATATGAAATTGGTTTGCTTGAAGACAAGGGCATTCTTATAAATGGAACCATCAGCGCACGACAACCTCGACAATAACTTGTGGAGGTTTGTTTGTGGCAAAACTCCTTTTTAAACTACAGGAAATACGAATTATCGTCTGCAGTTCCCTATCCATAGTGTTACCATGTAGGAGCAATAAAAAGGCGGGAAGTTGGCAAATCGAAGTCTTTGTTCACCGATGAGTTTGGCTTGATTGGTGTTGCGCGCATGCGCTATTTTGAAATTTTCAGATGGCCGACAAAGCAACAGTAGTTTGTTTGAAGGATTGAAAGAAACTTGTTCACCAACATGATCAAAGACTTTGAATATAATCATTCAATTAAAAAAAGCACAATATGAACTCAAACAAAAAGAAATACAACGTTGACTAAGCTTAGTCTAAGATATTATTATTGATTGGTCAACAGTCAAGGAAATGATCACGTGGCATGTATAAGTTAGCCAATGTTTACAATGACCTTATGGTGGCGCTGTCACCGAAGAGCGCCCTCATAGTCTAATATAATAATACAATGAGAACAGATGAAGTCGACGATTTTGATCGTATAAATAAAATATGATCCAATCATATTAGTAATGTTTGAATTTTTTTGGGAGGGGTGTTTAAATAAAGGTTTCGAGCTGAAGTCCTCAATTCTTAGATATTGCCTGCAGAAATATCCTCTTGTTTAAAGATCAGACGGCAGTATATCCTTAACCTGCGTCAAACTTTCTTCAATCGTTGGAGTAATTTTTTACATTTTTTATTTTCCAGCGTGAATGTATCTCTATCCATGTCGGCCAGGCCGGAGTCCAAATGGGCAATGCCTGTTGGGAGCTGTACTGCCTGGAGCACGGCATCCAGCCTGATGGTCAGATGCCTAGTGACAAGACCATCGGAGGTGGTGACGACTCCTTCAACACCTTCTTCAGTGAGACCGGCGCTGGCAAGCACGTCCCTCGATGCATCTTTATCGATTTGGAACCTACCGTAGTCGGTAAGTTATCACGTTACATACTTCTACGGCATGAATGACAGATTAACTTTATGATAACTGGCCCTTATTTCATGGATATTCTTCTTTTTTATATTCTGCAGATGAGATTCGTACCGGCACCTACCGTCAGTTGTTCCACCCTGAGCAGCTGATCACAGGCAAGGAGGATGCTGCCAACAACTACGCCAGGGGACACTACACCGTGGGCAAAGAGCACATCGACCAAGCGCTGGACCGAGTCCGTAAGTTGGCTGACCAGTGCACAGGTCTCCAGGGTTTCCTCATCTTCCACAGCTTTGGTGGAGGCACCGGCTCCGGCTTCACATCCCTGTTGATGGAGCGTCTCTCTGTCGACTACGGTAAGAAGTCCAAGCTGGAGTTTGCGGTCTACCCGGCTCCCCAGATCTCAACAGCCGTCGTTGAGCCCTACAACTCCATCCTGACCACCCATACCACCCTGGAGCACTCTGACTGTGCCTTCATGGTCGACAACGAGGCTATCTACGACATCTGTAAGCGTAACCTCGACATCGAGCACCCGACCTACACTAATCTTAACCGTCTGATCGGTCAGATTGTGTCCTCCATCACTGCATCTCTGCGCTTTGATGGCGCCCTCAATGTCGACCTGACCGAGTTCCAGACCAACTTGGTGCCCTACCCACGTATCCACTTCCCCTTGGCCACCTACGCCCCTGTCATCTCTGCTGAGAAGGCCTACCACGAGCAGCTAACCGTTGCAGAGATCACCAATGCCTGCTTCGAGCCGGCCAACCAGATGGTGAAGTGCGATCCCCGTCACGGCAAATACATGGCCTGCTGTCTACTCTTTCGTGGTGATGTCGTCCCGAAGGATGTCAACGCCGCCATCGCAAACATCAAGACCAAGCGCACCATCCAGTTCGTCGACTGGTGTCCAACTGGCTTCAAGGTGGGCATCAACTACCAGCCACCCACCGTCGTGCCTGGCGGTGATCTGGCCAAGGTGCAGCGTGCCGTCTGCATGCTGAGCAACACCACGGCCATCGCCGAGGCCTGGGCTCGTCTGGATCACAAGTTTGATCTGATGTACGCCAAGCGTGCCTTCGTCCACTGGTACGTGGGGGAAGGTATGGAGGAGGGTGAGTTCTCTGAGGCTCGTGAGGATCTGGCTGCCCTGGAGAAGGACTACGAGGAGGTCGGTCTTGATTCAGTGGACGAAACTGAAGAAGATGCTGGGGATGAGTATTAATTTCATCCTAAGGTCAAAACGAAATAACCATATTCTTATTCTTCATGTATCTTTCAACTACCAAAGAATGCTTAAACTTAGGCACACAATAACGTAAACCAAAATTCAGAGTTACAAGACAAAAGGATAATACTTTTTATTTCGATCAATCTTTTTCAAAAGAGAATTTAGAAATACCCCACTTTGAGGCATCTCTTCATAATCCAGGACAACTGCAGAACTGTCTCTCTCTCAATAGAGGTCGCTGTTTCTTGATTCATTTATAAGAGGCTGATATTCTTTGGTGAACAATAAAATACTGGTTCCTGCGAAATTAAACTTCTGTGAGGAGTATTTTATTTATTTGTTATTTATGGTCTGCGAGTCGAGAATCATTGTGATGACTACGTGCTTTTATATTTTAAAGAAGTCATGACCAAATTGTTGGTAATGGGACTATATGGGATCCAATGGATAATTATATACACGCACAAATAAAACAATAACATTGCATCTTGAACAAAAACCTTAAATTATACCCCCCCCCCCTTCCCTTATCTGACAGGAGGCCACTTTTGCATCCCATCCAGACAGGAATTAAAAGAAAATGACCATTCAACTACATTTATTGAAAAAAAAACACCTTTACCAAAGTAAAGAGGAAAGCAGAAATTAGCTGGTTTGGCTGAGAAATCCCCTTTAATCCGGTGGCTGATGCAGGTTGGTGGCTGATGGTATGTGACTCAAGTCAACAGAGGGCGCATTACATACTGGATAGATTATTCTACTGTACGTTATTACCAATGGTGTGCTGGGGATGGGGGCGCTACAATGCGTACTTCAGTTTTGTCGGTCGTTTGGAGCGCACAAAAAAAAACCCGAGCGAGGGCGTGCTCAATTTTTACAATCGTCAAGTCCGTCACGCACTTTGCTGCAATGAATGTTTTAGTGACTTTTGACTTTCGCAATCCTAAGGCCAATCGATAGAATTTAACTTCTTGCACCAACTTAATAGTCTTAACAAGAAAAAATTCATCAGTAAATTTAATTATCTGATTGAAACAAATTGCCCGTGGACTCGGATCGTGCGAGAAGTATTTTATAGACTGTATTTTCTGTTTCTATGAAGCAGGTATCCAAGACGACGCATATTCATGTTATACTTAAAATATCTTTCATCGATATACTGAGGGTTTTTAAAGTGCACTTCGAACTGTTAGTTTTCTTCGCCTAAACGATTGTCACCGCATGACTGTCGTACGTCTTTTAGTGTAACTGAGTTCAAACATCGAAGATGCGGTAGAGGTGATCATCGCGTACGATGAACTATGAAAAGTCAGGTGTCAGCGTACGTCAGAGAAACAAGTCCGTCAGGTGGAAATAACCAGCCACTTACATTTACGCGATTAGTTACAAAACCAAAAGGTTCATTATCGAAATTAGTCTCGCACTTCGTTTTGTTTACGGCACCTGCGCTAATGCAGTTGTCATGGCAACCAGTCAGCGAGATGGGGGGATGAAGCAGGAAAATCCAATCTATGTTATGAAGGGGATGCTTTGGAGAAGCATCTTCATTTCGTTCGCTTTCAACTCCGACGTAACAACGGGGACAGAAGAGGCTTACGCATAAAAATTGAACATTGTTGCTAACAATCGCTCTTTGTGAAACAACAATCACTTTCTAAGCAACCAAACATGGTAAGTTTCTATTTCTTGCACCTATTCACGAAACTGGGTAAGTTTAAGAAAGTTAATGATACGACATGTTTGGCACACATATACCCAAAGCTGCTCTCTACCAAATAATTTCCTTTGAGTTTATCTGTCTCTGGTCCTCGCTTGCAAAAGCTGATCCTCACCACCCCTCCTTATTTTCATCTTTTTCGTCTTTCTTCTGGCCACTTCAGCGTGAAGTCATCTCAGTCCACATTGGCCAGGCCGGAGTCCAGATGGGCAATGCCTGCTGGGAGCTGTACTGCCTGGAGCACGGCATCCAGCCTGATGGTCAGATGCCCAGTGACAAGACCATTGGGAGCTGTGAGGATTCCTTCAACACCTTCTTCAGCGAGACATGCGCTGGCAAGCGTGTCCCTCGCGCCATCTTCATCGATCTGGAACCAACCGTAATCGGTGAGTAAAAAAATTGTTCAACAACCAAACTTCTGTACTTTGATTGAGACAGTAACTGGCTAAAGTGATCGACTGATAACAGTACGACAGTACGCGGCAGCAAACAGCTCCTTAGATGATCTGTACTCACCGGTAGAAAAAGAGAAGACTGACTGACTGACTGACTGACTGACTAAATTACCTTCACTCAAACTTTCAGGATCAGATCGCGATCGACAAGGCAAGCTCATCTTTATGCCATGAAAGGAATTTCAAGTATACAAAAGACTACTTTTTTCTCACTACAGATGAAGTACGAGGTGGCACCTATCGTCAACTATTCCATCCTGAACAGTTGATCACCAGCAAAGAGGATGCTGCCAACAACTACGCCAGGGGCCACTACACTGTCGGCAAAGAGATGATTGAGGTTGTCACCAATAAAATCAGGAAGTTGGCTGACCAGTGCACGGGTCTCCAGGGTTTCCTCATCTTCCACAGCTTCGGTGGAGGCACCGGCTCCGGCTTCACTGCTCTTCTTATGGAGAATTTGGCCATTGATTATGGCAAGAAGTCCAAGCTGGAGTTTGCGATCTATCCGGCTCCTCAGATCTCCACTGCAGTTGTAGAGCCCTACAACTCCATCCTGACCACCCATACCACACTTGAGTACTCCGACTGCGCCTTCATGGTCGACAACGAGGCTATCTACGACATCTGTAAGCGTAACCTCGACATCGAGCACCCGACCTACACCAACCTCAACCGTCTAATTGCTCAGGTTGTGTCCTCCATCACTGCATCTCTTCGCTTTGATGGCGCACTCAACGTCGACTTGACCGAGTTCCAGACCAACTTGGTGCCCTATCCGAGGATTCACTTTCCTCTGGTTACCTGTTCGCCTGTCTTATCAGCCGAGCGAGCCTATCATGAGCAGCTGACCGTTGCTGACATCACTAACGCCTGCTTCGAGCCGGCCAACCACATGGTGAAGTGCGATCCCCGTCATGGCAAGTACATGGCCTGCTGTCTGCTCTACCGAGGTGATGTCGTCCCTAAAGATGTCAGCTGTGCCATTCAAAGTGTGAAGACCAGGCGCGCCATCCAGTTCGTCGACTGGTGTCCAACTGGCTTCAAGGTGGGCATCAACTATCAGCCACCCACCGTCGTGCCTGGCGGTGATCTCGCAAAAGTCGTGCGCTCTGTCTGCATGCTGAGCAACACCACGGTTATTGCCGAGGCCTGGGCTCGGCTGAATCACAAGTTTGATCTGATGTACGCCAAGCGTGCCTTCGTCCACTGGTACGTGGGAGAGGGCATGGAGGAGGGTGAGTTCTCTGAGGCTCGTGAGGATCTGGCTGCTCTTGAACATGATTACGAGGAAGTTGGCCTTGATTCTAGTGATGGATTGGTGGAGGATGATGACGTCGAAGAGACTTTAGCGTTCTAAATGGAGAACTGTCAGTGCAAATGTCACACTAATAAATGTCACTTTCTACTGTTTTGGTTGAACCTTGGGGAAAAAAACTTTCAACAACAAAAAATCAGAAAATGTAGAAATAATAAGTTTGTAATAATGCACTCTGTTGAATTGATCATGTTTTTCATTCTTCTTTTGGTAATAACCTCTAACAACGCACTTCTAAGAACAGCTTAAGCCTTTGTAAACATCAACGCAGCATATTAACTTTTTACAACGTACCTTTTAGAGACACTGGTTTATATAGATCATAGATATGCAATTAAATTCCTCACTTGACTTGGAATTGGGATAAGATTACTGACACCCTTCCCTCCATCCCCCCCCCCCCCCTCCGCATCCCTCACCTCAACACACCTGTAAATGATGACATTTATCAGAGATCTATAATTGAGTGTTTGCTTCAAAGACTCACAGAATCACACGTAATATTTAATTCCCTGCTTTAATCATTCTGGCATGTACCGGCGCCTGGGTTTAACCGGCTACAATTAATTTCTTCCTCGATGTCGCAATGTGAGTAGAACTCATGATCATTCATCGCTGTCGGGGCTACGAATCAGGACTAGACTTGTCCAGTCCTATGTTCATAAATATTGTACACTGGAAAACATACTAAAGACTATAATTAACAGATCATCATAAATGCTCTACATCAAGAACGTTGAATTTCTGAACTCTGATATTGTGGCATCTGCTTTATTTTTCCTTTTTGGGGGCTTGGAGGCCCACGATAGGGAAAGATCCAGCCTAAATATTGCACCAAAAATAGTTCTCTACAAAACGTACGTTGTTGTTTTCATGTTGCACAAATTGTAAATTTATCACAATTCTCAAATGCACATTTCACTGTTGAACTATGGACTGCAGAAATGTGGAATATAGTATTATCGCACTATACCAGGAAGTATATTCAGCTATAATTTTTAGATGGATAATGATTATAGATGTTATAGAGCATTATATCTGGACGGGTGTCATGCAAAAATTGACTATAATAAAATTATTTGCACGAAAAAATGGGCAAAACGAAAGTGTTGATTGCGATCAAAATTTTCAATGCACTTTTCTTGACAAAATGGCAGTCATGTCCGAGACGTTGCTGTATTCTCTCACGTACGAAAGTCTCGGCAAAAAAATTATTGAAAATTTGTCATTTCCTGCTTTTACCAAATGGAGAATTTCTTAAAACCAATAAACCATTGCAATGTCGGCGGCTGCTTCCTGTTTCTATTCTGTGTAAAATGTACGTGGTTACTTACACAAGCAACCTTTTGGTTTCCTTTTAAAAAGTAACTACGGCTGTTCCATGCACCAATAAGTATGTGAACTATACAACATAGTACTGCAAGCCTTATTGTTTTACTGTTGTGCTGTAATAAAAGCATTCGTTCTAAGACAAGCCTTTATTATTGAGATTAAAGTCAGACATGAATCAGTCGTCGGGCATGCAGTTCTAGTCCACGCCCAGACAGAACAAAATACAGGATACTTTTATTCTGGTTGGTCACACTCTTGTTGAGTAAGTCAGAGTTAACTTCTAAGCCATTCCTCATCTCTGGCTAAAGAAGACTACAAGGAGAGCATCCAGTTTCTTATCACATCTTGACAACTTGCAACAGAAGACAGAACCAAATCCATCAAAATGGTAAGGTTACAACGGATTTTATTTCTTTTCCCCCTGAACACAGAAGCAATATCTCTTCTGCAATGAACATAAATATCATCTAAGCTTGGATAATTTATGCCATTTCAGCCATGGAGCGATTTCAAGAAATTGCCGTTTGTAATGTTCTCACTGCATATGATTATCATGGTATTAGTGGCTGATTAGGTGAATGGACCTCACTTTTGTAATGCATCAATTCACGAAGTAGAATCAGTATAATGAGAAACCATCCACACGGAAATATTGCTGATGCGCCGGTACTAAATTAGACATCTTGCTGTTGGATTGCCTGCCATTAATCTGACGAGGTTTTACCGATGATATGCATAATAAAAGGAAGAATAGGCGATAGTGTCTTTTGGTTTGCGAAGTACATTTTGTTTTACTAGTAAAAACAAATAGCGTTTTGCCAATTACAAAAATTGCCGGTGTAAAGTGTCGGCTAAAAGCATTCAAATGCGTCATAATCCGTCCAGAATGTACACTATGATACTCGCATAATGATCCAAGTGTCATACAGAGGGATTCGTTATTTAAATTTAGCCTTGCTACACCCCTTAAATAAACCACGCCCGCAGGGTAACAACCGTTTGAAATGGTGCAGCAGCTGTATGCAACATTCACGGCTTTAAATTATAGCAATCATAAAGCCTACAGACAGCTAAACCTGCGTCTAGGTTTTGTCATTAAAGATTTGAAAGTCGTTTTGAATTTTTAATAATCTTAAAAAAGCACTTCATAGGCTGTGGGTTCATATCTCACACCAGACATGTGTTTGGCTCACTTCAATTCCTCGCAAACGGTTATTCAATCAGCCTTAATTGCCGTCATAAAACTATTTAGTAATTTTGTCTGAATTTCCATTCGGAGTAAAGTTTTTGTACCGAAACTAGTCTTTATTTTGGCATTACCGATAAAAGTACCGCGCTGCATGCGTGTGGGGACCGGTTCGGATTTTGCATGTTTAATGTTGTCTGGTCCCGGGCAGGAGGGTTCGCAACCCTACTAGCTTAGTCCGGCGTGGCTGGCCTGCCTGGTCCCCCACTTGTGGTCTTGTGGGGGGGGGGGGGGGGGGCGTAAAATATAAGTATTTATTTTGGCAGCTGCGGGTATACGGATATATAACTGCTATTAACAGCTTTACACACAAAAAATCCATTTAAAATCCCCGAACGTAAAACTAAAACTCATAATTTCCTGATGTCTATGCACAAAGATGTTTAAAACAATTTAAATGCCCGATGCTTTTTTCGACAAACAAAGACCCGATATTATAACCACTATTTCCTGCAGGAGATATGCCATCTGTTCGAGTGATTTCCGACGTGGGTCCTCAACCCCGAAACCTCCACGTGCCGTTTCCTCTTGATACACTCGGGTCAAAGGAACAGGAACTCGAAAGCACAGTATTGAAATTTATGCACGGCTGGTGAAACCAAAACTTGATTGTGTCAACAAGAGCACGCCCTCTTGCGATAGGGGGCGTCCTCATTAAAGTTAATGGTTGAAATAGAGGAATGAGGATAGGAGACTGTAAAAGCTTAAGTTGAATCTAAATTGAAAACTAACAACAAGGAATAGTAATGGATTCAATTAAAGATTTATAAACAAATTAAAAACAACTTCGCGACAAAATGGTAGACAGGTTGGCTGGCTGGTGATGACAGAGTTGGTCGGCTAGTTAATTACCGGCTCCCTCCCCCATGCCACGACGGTTTGGCCAATTGCTGGTATTTTGGCTGAAAAGTTGTCCCAATTAAAATAGAGATAGAGTTTGAAGCTTGGTTGTTAGGTTTATTGGTTGATTGTTAAATTGAAACTGTTGGTTGCTTGATTGGTTGCAGGAGTTGTGGTGGCGAATGAATTGAAGAAAAAGTTGTTAAGTTGGTCGATAGCTAGGTTGGGTTAACTTAAAAGATAATTTGGATAGGATGAGGTAAATTGAGAGAAATCATCTTCATTTTTAAAATCTAGCGTGAAGTCATCTCAGTCCACATTGGCCAGGCCGGAGTCCAGATGGGCAACTCTTGCTGGGAGCTGTACTGCCTGGAGCACGGCATCCAGCCTGATGGTCAGATGCCCAGTGATAGTACGGTTGGAGGGGAATCGGACCCGTTCAACACCTTCTTCAGCGAGACACAGGCTGGGAAGCACGTTCCACGTGCCGTCTTCATTGATCTTGAGCCAAGTGTTCTTGGTATGTATAAGATGATTGAGGGCGCCTCTTTATTTTTTATCCCTGAGAGAAATGAGCGTACTTTATACTTGAAAACCCATTCCTTCTTTTCTCAGAAAACATGTGTAAAACATCTTGCAACCGCTTTTATGTCACAGCCCTTCTCACAACCCTTGTCTATAGTTTACCTGTGATAATATAAGAAGTCATTTTGAAGTCACTGTCCAAGTACCAAGGTTGCATACAAGCTGAGGCGTTCGAGTTAACATCTTCATCAAAATGGCGGCGGTTGCTCTCACGTGACACAAAACGCTTCCTTAGAAGAATAGTGCGCTCTCAAGTAATCATTGATCAAATGTATTATTTTAAACTACGAATTTCAGATGAAATCAAGACGGGGCCGTATCGTCAGCTCTTCCACCCTGAGCAGATGATCCACGGCAAGGAGGATGCTGCCAACAACTACGCCAGGGGCCACTATACCGTAGGCAAGGAACACATCGATGACGTTCTTGACCGGATCGGTAAACTGGTAAGTAATCGGTTTACCGTGGGTTGTTTGAGACCGTAAACTAGTTAGTAAAGTAAAAAAAAAATTTTAAAAACCACCATAATATTTTAATTACAAGACTGAGAGACATGTACTTAAAACACACAACAGACGCTTTGACAACATAAAAAGGTGCACTGTCAGTCGGTAAACTTGTTAGTGATCGTTTACCGTGGGTTGATTGCCACGGTAAACTGGTCAATGGATTAGTTTTGTTGACTAAACTGAGACACTCATGTACTTATAAACGTTACAGCAGATGAGGTAATGACTTCACAAGAAAATACAAAGAATTTTGTGATATGGTGTTGCTTCTGTTTTAATGATACAGGCCGAGAGATGCTCTGGTCTCCAGGGTTTTCTCGTCTTCCACAGCTTCGGTGGAGGCACCGGCTCCGGCTTCACTGCTCTTCTCATGGAGCGTCTCTCTGTCGACCACGGCAAGAAGTCCAAGCTGGAGTTTGCGGTCTACCCGGCTCCCCAGATATCCACAGCCGTCGTCGAGCCCTACAATTCTATCCTGACCACGCACACCACCCTGGAGCACTCCGACTGCGCCTTCATGGTCGACAACGAGGCCATCTACGAGATCTGTAAGCGCAACCTAGGCGTCGATCATCCGTCGTATGGCAACCTCAACCGTCTGATCAGTCAAATCGTTTCGTCCATCACTGCGTCTCTCCGCTTTGACGGCGCACTGAATGTCGACTTGACCGAGTTCCAGACTAACTTGGTGCCCTATCCAAGAATCCACTTTCCTCTGGTGACCTACGCTCCCATCATCTCTGCTGAAAAGGCGTATCATGAGCAGATGTCTGTATCTGACATCACCAACGCCTGCTTCGAGCCAGCCAACCAGATGGTGAAGTGCGATCCTCGTCACGGCAAGTACATGGCCTGCTGTCTGCTCTACCGTGGTGATGTCGTTCCTAAAGATGTTAACAGCGCTATTGCGAACATCAAGACCAAGCGCACCATCCAGTTCGTGGACTGGTGTCCAACTGGCTTCAAGGTGGGCATCAACTACCAGCCACCTACCGTCGTGCCCGACGGTGATCTGGCCAAGATGAGTCGTGCCGTCTGCATGCTGAGCAACACCACGGCCATCGCCGAGGCCTGGGCTCGTCTGGATCACAAGTTTGATCTGATGTACGCCAAGCGTGCCTTCGTCCACTGGTACGTGGGAGAGGGTATGGAGGAGGGCGAGTTTACCGAGGCTCGTGAGGATCTGGCTGCTCTTGAGAAGGATTACGAGGAGGTTGGCACAGAATCAGAAGAGGGAGGAGAAGATTATGACGAGGAGGAATACTAAGAAGTAGCATCATCCATCCAACCATTTACAGGCAATTTGAAACAACTGCAATTTTTTTAAGCTAATCTTTATAGGGTCCATGACTTTTCTTAGGAACACATTTTGTGCAAGTTTCTATTTTTCTGAAATGTATGAAAACTAGTTGATATCTCTTTTTGGTAAATTTTATTAAAAAGTGCACTTCTTTTAACATTTAACATTGTCCAGTTGTTTTTCCGGACAACTGAGGGCGCTGTTGCTGAGATGTCGTTTCAGGAAGACACTGTTCAGATTAAGGGTTTTTTGTTTAAATTGTGAACCAAAAAATTTGATCATTGAAAACATTTGTGAGGAAAGTTTCCTCATTGGCCTACTGTCATGTATTGACACAACATCGAATCACCAAAGAAAAGAAAATCCACGACAGCAAAATATCCAACACTCTGGCAACTGTCGCTGCTGAAATAGCTGTAACCTAGGTTTCTGCCTGAGATGACTTCACACTTTTGCTCATGAATATGGAAGTTTGCATTAGCATAAAAACCAAATAGGCAACAAAAATACCCTTGAATATGGCAAAACAATAATTGAAAATAAGGTTAAATGGGACACAAATGTTCATTTACAAGGATTACATTTACAAATAAATCATATTGCATGGCCCTTTAACAAATTTTCTCAAGAAAATGACCGCGTACATAGGGAACTGTCTCTTAGCCAGAGTTTGTATTAAGACATCTGACGTTTTCTCAATATTAAAAGCTAGCTGTGCTTGGGAGAAATGACATAATAGGCAAATTCATCGCACATGCATTTATCAAAGTGGATTAATATATTGTTACCAGATGATTTTACAAAATGCCTTCGCGGTACAAGCTTTGAATATAAAATTAATTAATAGCAAACTATTAAGTGCGCATTCCATGTTTTGTTTTATCGACATTATTTTCGTAATAATTATTTTGCAGTAAAATTTGAGGCTAGAACAGCATATTTTCTGTGTCGACAATTCGTTTTCATTTTGTGTTCGATACTTGTTTAAATTTGGAAGCAAGACCCCCCCCCTAATTTTTGGGGTATCTTCAGCCAAAAAAATGATGTCTCATTGATTGACGACCTATGTGTTGACTCCCTAGATTAGGAAATCTCACGATTAAGTTCTTTAATCCAAAGCTTAATCCCTTGTAGACGTTAATCCCTCCCCTGATCCCTTCATCCCTCATCCATCTCCTCCTTAGCCGCATCCGTGTCGTGTCTCGTCACTCACTCCTCCCCACATCCCCGAGGCCCCGACCTGCTGAAGGAGCAACGATTCCTTGACCCGTTTTGTACTCCAGATGACATCTCTTTCATCTGAGATACATTTCATGGCTTGGGCTGGGAATGCACCTCTATTAACGACCGAAGGACCATGCAATTCATCACTCAGCTGTACTTTTAACAAGACAAATTTCAGCAATCTTCCGACCTTTTATTGGTCAAATTCCCGACGGAATAGACTTCTGGTTACGATTTAATCACCGTGCGGAATGATTGAAGACGAGTTTACAGGGCTGAATTCCCAACACAGTTTCCCCGTCCTTTCTCTGACTAATTCTAATTGACTCCTCAACTAATTCATATCAAAGTTCTATGCTATATGATATTTGTATCAAATATCATGTGAAATACTACAACAGTGGTGTTTCAAAATTACAAACATCAGGAATATGTGAAATAATGGCCAGTATTATACATAACTATATACGTCACCGAAGTTGTAAGGAAACAAAAAGGGGGGGGGGGGGGGGGGCGGAGGGGGTCAACCAAGGGGCAAGTCCTGAATTTGTCTGCTGTGAAGTAGATGTATTAATGCTTACTATAAATGAATATAAATGACCCTGCATTCCTCACTATGGACGTTCGTTGGTCACTGAAAGGAATGAAAACAATTCATTAAGTCACCCGTGTTAATGACAAATTAGCAGCCAGCGTCGAAAGCTTTCAACAACTGAGTTTTCCTGTATGAAATGTATCTTTCGCAAAAAGCCACAACAATGTAGCATTGAGACCTTCAATTATCAACATAAGTGGGAATGGCCTTCGACATATCTATAACTTTCGAGAGAAAACAAAGAGTTGACGGAAATGTGTTGACATTTGAGGCATAGTTTCTTCGCGGCCAGTATTGTGATGACTAAATGCAGTTTAGGCAAAACTCTTCGAATCTAGTTAAAGGCACGAGGTGACTGGAAAAACCCATTTCATTTGGGCATTACAAGTTAAGGACCCCGTTCCTCTCACAGCATGAAAACGCATTCTTATGTTTTGAACTCACCTAAATTTAATGTGGTGTTTCTGATTCATGACTCTGAAGGATTTTTTTAAAAGGATGTAAAGTCCGAGAATGATAAGGTCGACATCTGACGCATATGCAATTGCTTACTTCCAGAAAATAGCAACGGTGAAAAAGAATAGGGGTCCTTAAGGTAACCAATGCCGGTATTTTATTTGAACACTACAGACTCAGAAATGACAAAGGCGGATCATAATCCTAATCGCCGCAAGGTGAGTCAGGAATGCAGCTTTTTCATAACCCTTAATTCTTAAGGCGAAACACGGAGCGGGAATAATGTGGGATATCGGAAACAAAAACGTACAGTTATATACAGGCTACATCACACGGCGTTTTACGTGTACATGTACTGTGAATATGTACACTAGGCCTATCATTGGGTAAATAATACGCGTAGGCCGATACTGATTTACAATGTTTGATTTTTCATATTCAGAAACACATTTAACTAGTAACAATGATGTGCAGCAGGCATATTCAATACTGTAAACCATCTGTGACAAGTCATAAGAAACAAAGGGAAACACTCACTCATTCAGTTAACGGTTAGGCAGAAACTGCACGGCGACGTGTCGAGTGGTAAATTCCCGCCAATGTGACGAAATCATGATGTCATCGTCAACAAGTTGTCCTATCGGTACTTAAGAGTGATGCCGTGTCCAAAATGAGTGTCCAGAGCTATGGCTTACTAAAGTCTATCGTCAGCATCTTCCGACGGAGTTGTAAATTCAGGAAGACATTAACAATGAGTTACTTTAGAAAAGATATTCGCCCGCAGCTGAAAGTAATGGATACGTTCATCATGCGGCGCGCCATCTTAAGGTAGCCCATTGGTGCCACAACTTATTTGAAATTAATTAAGCAGGTGTTTTACACCTGCCACGTTGTTGTTCAAAGTGTTTGCGCCAAAGCGATATGTTACCGGCATAGGATCAGTCTGTTGAAGCTTGATCATAATATCGCATCATGACTCTTAATTTGCCTTTGAAAAATTCAGAAGATTTAAGACAGAGGATTTCAGTTTTGACAATTTGTAATATTAGAATAACAAATTGGTCATTTGGAATCTTGACAGAATCCAAGATTTGTGACTCGATTAGGGTAATTTGCCGCGGATATGACTTTCGATTATATTTTGGCGGTTGGCTTTTAACTTGGTCATTATGCCTCAATGAAGATCATCTGGTGATTGATGAAGCTCCTATGTGGGTGGCATCCTTCTTTACAATGTAATCTAGGCCAACGTAGTTATAATGGGGCAGAGACGGCGATTTGTAACGTCCTGAAGAGGCCCCTGTACTAGAAATGCCCCTCAAGTTACCCGACGACTGTCTAATGTTCATCTAAATACCTATTAAACACATCTCTAACAGCCGTAGCCAACTAACACTCATCAGTTTAGTCTGAGTGCCACTCCATCATGCATTGCCCTGACCTAATAAACGTCTAGGTACATCACTACTCAGTGATCTCATGATGATGTTGCATGCATAATGCATCATCCTCCCATAATGCTCCGTGAAGCCAATGATGACTTGCAGAAGTTGTGACGTCAGAGTCTAGCCTCTTTGTATCTATATAAAACCCAGACGATGTTGAGATGACATCTCAGTTCCTCGCCCTCTCCAATCATTGGTGTAGTTGAGACGAGGTTGGTGTGCGCCTTAGTGAGCAACTGGACGCAGCAGGAGACGGCAGTTTTACTTATTTCACTGACTACTTCGAGTGCCTTTGTTTCAAGACGCAACCATGGTGAGTTTTAATTAACAAGTGAAAATCAACATGAGATTTAAATTTGTTTTAGTTCAACTTCAAGTAATATGTTTCGGCTTTGGCGAATTGACATTTATCTTAACCTTTGCTAGACGAGGTGCTGTCTGTTTATAACTTAACATTCTTCTTCACATGCTGGAGACTTGCACTCTTTTGCACACTCTTCTTTAACAAGATTCTTATTTCGTCACATCTTTATATTGAAGTCAACAGGCAAAAGACAATTAGCATTTACAATATAATGCAACGTTTACCTTTCCACAACAACCTTAAAAATACATTTTAATAATACCTAATTCCAGTACAAAACTGCACGCTGCGCATCCGCTGTTTTATATCCATCCTTTTTCCTTATTGACAGTTGGAGGATCATCTCCACGAAATGCGATATTTTTCTGACGAGGATGTCTTATCTGTTGCCGATTTTGTTGCACCATTGATAATCAGAAGAGGATACACGATACCTTATCCTTGATGGGTTGTCTTTGTTTAGGCAACAGTATATGTTTTTTTCTGAATGGGTTTCAAGTTCGAAAGAACAATTGGCAAAGGGCCGTTAATTGACACGTGTCCAAACAAAAACAGCAGGTTTTGTATCTAATATCTAATTACATAATCAAAATGTATCTTGTTTGCAAATTATTGTCGAAAACAGAACTGAAACCACCCTCAAGTCCCCACACACCAGAACATTGAAAGAAAGTTATGTCGACAAGCCTATAAAGTAACGTTGCTTTTTTTAGAAGTGTGCAAATATTTGCAGAATGCCTATCTCAATATTTATCTAAAATAATGTACAGCAGAAATGATTTATATTGTTTGAATTTTGTTATAATAAGCAAATATCTTACTTATAGGAAATTGGATGTCCTGTATCAGGTATATTCATGTTGTCAGTCTGACGAAAAAGCTGAGGACGAGGAAAAATGTGAAGGATTTTTAAACTAAACACAATTTATTTTTAAGTACATGTACATGTACATGTTCATGTATGTGTAACACACAGGTACTAGTCTGTCCTCCCTCTACATTCTCAACGAAATTATTTTGAACACAAAGCACCGATTTATTTATAGTTGATAAACACCTCAGAAATGTCGCAGACTGATTTGATTAATACTTTAAACTATGTCCAACAGCGTGTCCCTCAACACTGAATCATGTCGGGACAACTCCGACACTGCCCCCGAGGTATGTGGGATCCCAACCGTACCCGCTGCGTAAGTGTGAATTTATGGCCCCGCGCGGCACACGAATTTTCGCCAAATTTGGTGAGGGGGTGCGCAGCAGCAGGGGGGGGGGGGGGGGTAGAGGGGACGACTGTATCCAATCTCTTACAGACCAAGTCCGTTTTCAGTTGTCTGAAATCTTTCAGATGCTTTCATCAAACATTTCATGTATCCATTTGTCCTTGTATTTCAAAGTGTTTCCTGATTTTTTTTTTAAGGATGAGTAAGCCCTATTGTTAGCCTTATTTGGAAATATGTTGCCTAAAGCGCGAAAGTAAATAATACCAAGTTGGTTTCATTTTATCGGGGGGAAAATACTTTCATTTATTTCACGATGGCCGTTTCTATCAGGATGACTCAATGAGCTAATCTGTCACACATGCATTAATTAGGCCGGTGATTATCTGAAACAAATTATAAAGTTGTTACTACATTGGACATTATGCCCATCACAGGCACCAAACTGTGCTTGCGATGCACACCATGTAAGGTTTTCGCATTACTATCTCTGCACTGGATTGACAAGAGAATATGATAAATGTCCAATTGATTTATAAACCGTTTGCATGCAGTAAGTGTAGCGGCTGTGCTTTACAGACTTCTATTTTTTTTGGGGGGGGGGGGCTTGTAAGTGAGGGAACTGCAGGACATTTACAGTCAGACTTTCTCCTGAAATATAGGTGCATTAAAAGAGGAGTGGCGTATCTGGGGGGAGGGCAGTGTAGGAGGCTTGCGCTGTCGTATACAACCCAGGGGAACCATGTCACAAAAATCCTTTCCGAACAATTTTAGGGGTGGGGAACCGGCGCGCCAACCAGGGGACGGGGCTCGAAGAACATGAATCCGATGGATATTGGACAACTGCTAGTTACACCAGAGTCATACGATGGTTGTACCATATGTTCCTACAATAATACCAAATACATTCAGTCAAGATACATATGTAACCGATTTGTTTTCTCGTCTGTAACCGAGTCCTCGCGGACTGTAGGCCTACCGATTTGCGGCGGGACGACGCGTCCCCGGCGCTGAGATGTCAAGTAAATCTGCAAAACTTGGTCTGTTATAATAATTACTCGGAGATGTTTTTTCATCGTGGATTTATCATCTGATCGACCTTTCCAAGACATCTGCCTCTGATAACTGAAGGGGCATCGCCTGTTTCCGGAGACAATGTCTTGAAACAAAATGGGCTTTTATTCATGTACATAACCCAGCCCCTCCCTCTCCTTCAAATCCAAAACCTGGTCACGTCACCGCCAATAACCTATACTGTAATTTCGGGTCCACATAAAGATACCAAATTATGCCTAATTAAAGCTATAGCTTCAAACCAGACTTGTTTTGTAATGTATTCTGATATTAAATAGTGAAAACAATATGTGTTGAAATTGCTACTCTCCGAATAATGCTTTGAAACTCAACAGATCGCATCTTTAAAGTCAAGTTTTTAAACGACAGGCGAATCGACTTAGCGTCGGTAATTCTAACTTGGACCAGACCATCCCCCGTAAATCCTTGCACGTGTAAGCATTGAGAAAGACACGATAAAACGACACATTGCAAAAAGACCTACATATCTGGCATTGCTCCTGGCTCACACAGAGATGCGACTCATCGTTCTTGCATCTCAAGATCACGAGGAGATACATTCTGAGCGTCTTATTCATTCCCAAGACGTAACTGGGAAAACATCTGCCCAAGGTTTCTGTAATGAAGATAAATATCCACGTCAGTGTGGCAGCAGCTGGCTATGAGTGCGGCACATCGAGCAAAAAGAACAATATTTCATCTGGAGACTGAAGATGATTAACCTACATTCGTCTTGGTGTAATGGGCGTGGCATAATTAGGTCAAAAACAGGGGAGCGGTGCATTTAGGGACATAAGGAATAACGCAGTTGTTTTTTTTCAGTGAATTTCTGCGGTTTTCAAAACTCTGATTTAAAAAAAAAAATGTAAGTCTTCTTCATTCAATTAAAGTTGACGGGAAAAATCAAGCCCTGACCCAAAACTGTTTTCCTCACCCAGAGAAATTTTGCTCAAAATAGAAAACTTTTTCAATACACTGTATTAGCAAAAGTCATAGAATGTTCCATTCTACTCTATATTCTTTCGTCAGCGTGAATGTATCTCAGTCCATGTGGGCCAGGCCGGAGTCCAGATGGGCAATGCCTGCTGGGAGCTGTACTGCCTGGAGCACGGTATCCAGCCTGATGGTCATATCCCAGCAGATAAGGTCATCGGTCCACACGATGAAGCATTCAGTACCTTCTTCTTAGAGACAGGGGCTGGCAAGCACATCCCAAGAGCGGTGTTCGTAGATCTGGAGCCTACCGTCATTGGTGAGTGAGGGGAGGAACAGGTGGATGGAATGCACTGTGAGTGACCAATCAAGAGAACAGGTGCCAAACGCGCTGCGAACGCGCGCGCGTTGGGCACAAAGTACGCGCTACAAATGTCCATCTGAATATGCACAAACTCATGGGTGTCATGGCGTCTCGCGCAACTCGGCAATCTTGTGCGTTCAATATATCCTTGATGTCACCGTTGAGGAACTTTTTGCATGGAATACTGCCGCTGATATGACCATTGATCTCCATTATAAATAATGGAGATCAATGGATATGACACAACGGTTAACCCCCAAAAGGGAGCAATTAACTACGATATACTCATATCGGGATAATATGTCACAATAAATGGATTACGGGGGTGATAACAGTGAAAGCCTATCATTTGTGACAACAATTTCATCAACTCCTCAAAAGCTTTTAGAAATTTATGACACAGCGTTTCGGAAATTGTACAATATCAATGTTCTCACATTAACAATTCATTTCTTTTTGACATGACAGTGTGTTTTACTTTCAATACCTTGCCATCATGTGGTAAGGAAGAACTCAAATGCACCAAATGATTTTTAATTACTTTGGAAGATTACAATGTGTTATTGTTATTCATTTATTATAAAGATGAGGTTCGTACCGGCACCTACCGCCAGCTCTTCCATCCTGAGCAGCTGATCACAGGCAAGGAGGATGCTGCCAACAACTACGCCAGGGGCCACTACACCGTCGGCAAAGAGCTTATTGACACTGTGTTGGATCGCATTAGAAAAACGGTGAGTTTACCATCAAATCTGCCATGGTCTGTCTGTTTGTCCTGTCTGATTGTCTATCTGTTCGTTTATACCCACGGGAGCCGATCTATGAGCTGTCGTGACACGTGTACATAGGTTATGTCACTTCCATAACGCCGTCAACCATCTCACAATAAATTTACGTAGCGCCCTCTATCAATATCATTTGGAGTTAAATTATTCCAAGGATGGTCTGATTAGAACAAAACCAATCCTGCCTTCGTAAGTGATCTGGAAGCCTTTGCTATATAACGACACTTGGCACCTTTAATGTCTAAAGATTCCCCCAGGTAACACTTGACGGATCCTGTGCCGGCAGAATGACCAAAAGTTGCAGGGAAAACTTTTACTTAAAAAAATTAAAAAAATCTTGATCTGCATGTAAGTTTTCACTGTTGTTGATTAGTTATTATTTTATCAACAGTCTGACCAGTGCACAGGTCTCCAGGGTTTCCTCATCTTCCACAGCTTCGGTGGAGGCACCGGCTCTGGCTTCACTGCTCTACTCATGGAGCGTCTCTCCGTCGACTACGGCAAGAAGTCCAAGCTGGAGTTCGCCATCTATCCGGCTCCCCAAGTGTCTACTGCCGTTGTGGAACCATACAACTCTGTCCTGACCACCCACACCACCCTGGAGCACTCTGATTGCGCTTTCATGGTCGACAACGAGGCTATCTATGACATCTGTCGTCGCAACCTCGACATCGAGCGTCCGACCTACACCAACCTCAACCGTCTGATTGGTCAGATTGTGTCCTCCATCACTGCTTCACTGCGCTTTGATGGCGCCCTCAATGTCGACTTGACCGAATTCCAGACAAACTTGGTGCCCTACCCACGTATCCACTTTCCCTTGGCCACCTACGCCCCTGTCATCTCTGCTGAGAAGGCTTACCATGAGCAGCTGACCGTTGCAGAGATCACCAACGCCTGCTTCGAGCCGGCCAACCAGATGGTGAAGTGCGATCCGCGTCATGGCAAGTACATGGCCTGCTGTCTGCTCTACCGTGGTGATGTCGTCCCTAAGGATGTCAACGCTGCCATAGCAACCATCAAGACCAAGCGCACCATCCAGTTCGTGGACTGGTGTCCAACTGGCTTCAAGGTAGGCATCAACTACCAGCCACCCACCGTCGTGCCTGGCGGTGATCTGGCCAAGGTGCAGCGTGCCGTCTGCATGCTGAGCAACACTACGGCCATCGCCGAGGCCTGGGCTCGTCTGGATCACAAGTTTGATCTGATGTACGCCAAGCGTGCCTTCGTCCACTGGTACGTGGGAGAGGGTATGGAGGAGGGTGAGTTCTCTGAGGCTCGTGAGGATCTGGCTGCCTTGGAGAAGGATTACGAGGAGGTCGGTGTCGACTCCGTGGACCAGGGGGAGCTAGAAGAGGTTGAAGAATATTGAACTTTCCACCTTTTCTCGAGATCTCATTCTCACAAAAATGCCTTACCAATGAAAGAGATGCTCTTTTCTTGTTAAATGTATAATGCGCCTTTTTGAACGTTTCTTGCTCACGTGCTTTATGCTTCTACTATTTATTACATCGCTGTTTCATGCATGAATCTTTTAAAAGTTGTCTGTATCTTTATTAACAGAATTTTGTAGCAGCTGGGTTTACAATATTACACAATGTACAAGCGTCTAATAAAAGGAGGCCACCTAAAAACGTCATGAAAACCAGAAAGTCTAGTACGTGAAAAAGTCTTACGGCTTTTCCATTATTATATTCAAATCATGACAATAAATGTCATGTCTTCTTGAAAAACAACAAGATGGATGCCTGTGATCTCAGTCTGGTACCAGAAAAAGTCTCATGGTTTTTCTTTATATTCAAATCGTGACAACAAGTGTCATTATCTTTTGGGAACACGACAAGGTGGATGCCTTTATTTGATGTACACTCGCGTGAAATTGTCTTTGTGAAAAATGTTTTAACATTTTGAATTAAATCAGTACTTAAAGAAAATTAATCAATGAAAGTGTATGGTATTAGTTCCTTATAATTTGCACATCATCTGTAGAGGGCGCCCTGACTTCTCGTCAGACCTTGAAAGAGACAGCAAACTGCAACATGAACATGATTAACGACACAAACAAGATGAATTCACGTCCACGCTACAGAGTTCAACAATACAAAGGTCCGAACTGCCTGTAACCTTTGGTTGTTTTTGAAGAACAATTGTAACCTTATATGGGCTTATAGTTCATATACAATGAGGATCGTTCGAGAAAAGGGCGGTTACAATGCACCAGCCTCCCTAAGATCAAGCATCTATATTAAGAAACCAAAACCGATTCTTCTCTGGCTAAATAAACAGTTCTCGATATTACTTAATCCATCACGTGCTGATGACAATTTGCGAAATGCGGAACCAAAACCAAAGATAACACAACTATCATTTTTAGAAAAATAATCTTTCCAGGATCGTTAGAGATACAATGTATAAGCTTGACCTTTGACCGCTTACACAAAAGGAACTGCTATTGAACAAATTCCCCCAAAAGGCAACGTTACATACATGACCTTTATACAAAGCGTCCGTTACTCCGTTGATATGATTCCGACTCTGAATCACTGATTTAATCTACAAAGAATCATTTTCAGATACTCAAGGTCCAAGACTTTATCGATCCACACCCATGCCCACGCAAACGCCCCACCTACCGAATTGAGCCCGAACGAAAAATGTAATTAAATTCAAAATCTACACATTCAATTATGATAATTAATATGGCCAAATAAAATACATCGTTCTGTCTGCATGACATGGTTTAAAAAAAAAAAAATAAAAACACGAAATTCACAAACTACGGCATCACGACATAGATGGAGTAGGTCTACGCTTTAAAGATGATACCCCGTGCTCTTACAAAAATGATTTTCTTTTTTCTCTCCTAACGACTTTTCAATTTGTATGTTTTGTTTTAAAGAAAAAAAAACTAGTTTATTTCGATTTTGGGCGTCTGCTGCAACCTCTGAAAAGGGGCTTGCATTTTCGCGTAAACTAACCCGCCCGCGAATTTCTTTTCCATAGGTGAGTTGCTCCAAAGTCATGAATAATTCAATAGTTTCGATCGGGTAGTATGTTTATTCATGAAACAGAGTAATGTTAAGAGCAACCCGCCCTGCGAGAACCCTAATTATTGTCTGGCAACCAATAATCTGATTTTTGTGAAGAAATAATTCAATAAGTATAAACGTTTGTGGATTTTTTTGTTCGATGTCTCATCAGAAAGTGAATAACTTTTATATTTCTAGACAAAATAGCAATTAAAAAACATCCATTTTTCAAAGTGAAACTCAAAAATAGCTCAGGAACGCATCTTTAAGCACAATTGATTAACTCCAATTTTCAAAAATATTTTCACGTTAACATTTTTCTTTGCCAGTGGGAGTCGGACAAGGGCCTAGATTTTGGACAGGGGAAATGACCAATGTTGTCGTTAAGCAGGAACACATAGGCTGGTCCATATCGGACACATCATTCCAATTTCTCAATCCAAACATTTATAAAAACATGTGAAACCAGTTGTGGAATGACGTTCTAATTTACTCATTACAAGAACCAACAAAAATGACGAATTGATTTCAAAACGGCGATCTTTGCCCATAAATATCCATCCTATTTAGCAAATAAAACTTACTGATGTGGATTATGATATTCATAATGCTGTGTATAATGCTTGATCATAGTAAAGATCCGTGCTCGCCCACACGTAATGTGTGTTCAGCACGTGACCTGCCTTATGAATCACTGAGTGACACAGACGCGTACTGCTGTGAATTCTTAGTATTGGATCGATGGTAAGCGTAATACTACAACATCCCCGTGTCAGCGCTGCCTAAATTACGATAACCAGCTGGTAAAGTTACATTCATCCTTGTGCACTCCGGAATCTGGACAAATCTCTGTGATTCAAGTTGCAGTCTATGACTTTGAGGTGAGTTTTCCACTTTTTTTCGAAATATGAATTGTGGGGATTCATTTTAGGAAACTTTGTTACCCAACTGGTAGGCCTTTAACATTTGGCAACATTATAATATTATGCCCCAAAGCTAAGGGGGATCCTCAAATTTCCGTTATTCCCTTGGTTGTTTTGAAATGATCGTACAGCATCGCCCAGTTTAGGTCTGACACCAATATTTTCGAAACATACACAAGCTGAGTGGTCATGCCAGCAGTTGTCAAAATTATTATTAAAACGTCAGATTTGAAGTGGAGTTTCCCCGTTGCCAAGGTTACGTCGGACCTTTGCATTTCAACAGTTGTTGCTAATTTTGTTATTATTGTGTTCACCGTTTCTCTTGTTTTTTTCGTTGGGCTTCCTTCTACTATTCTGAAACGTCAAGAGTAACAACTTTATTTAGGAATGAGGATGACGATAATAATATAAAAATTGATGATGTCAACACAATTCTATTATGTTTAACGTTTTCGTAGTATAGTTTGTTCCCCCTAACAGTAACAGTCACCCTCAACACCCCCCCTCCCCCCCACCAGCAAACAAAGAATACAGGAGGAACGGGGTGATTTGTAGGGGATCCCCCCAAATCGGATGAATAACTCGCGCGAAATAGTCTTGAGAGATCTACTGCTAAGGTTAATTGTTTAATTGCATACCCGGGCCATGCGCGCGCAGGCTCAGGCTGACACAGACTCGACGGTGGGCTAAGAAATGCCTAAAAAGGACAACTGCATGACAATGACATTTAACAAAGTTGGACATGCAACGTTGACGGACCTTGAAAGTAAAATCAGGCAAGCTAGATGCGTATTGTGTTTATTCAGTTAACCATATGTTCTACTTAGGGCCTAGGCCCCTATAAACTAAACAACCTCACGTGGATATGATTTTTACCAAACATTGAAAAAAGAATTGAAAAAGAATTCAGAAAGTAGAGTTCACAGGATTACGTTGCCCAATCAAGGTTTAAGTTTGTAGTTCCCAAAAGTGAATCATCAACCAATCAATTATAAAAGCTCAATTCTCCCAAACCAACCAACAGGTGGACCATTCTGAAACTTGCCAGCATAACATGACACCAGGGAAACTCTGCACGAGCGAGAAATATCATCAAGATCGGGAAGACTATTTTCGATTAGCAAAGGTGAGTACAAAATAATATTGTCATTCGACATTAGAAGAGTAAAAATGGAATCCTGATTTATAAGTATAATGTACAGTAGTATGGTGCCCGTTTAATGTCTCATGAAGATTCATGGACACACAGACGAAAACGATGACCACTCAAGTATTCTCGTTGTAGCACTTTATTTTAGCAATATGTATTGCCTGAGGACACAAGAACTTTTTGCTGGACACTCTGGGTGGTTGTGAACCGTAGATCACGCGGTACACAAATCCATACTTAAATCTGGAGATATACAACCACGAAATAAAAGGTTACCCACTCGATGATTTAAGATTACAGTCAAATTTCATTTTACGTGCGGACACAGAAAGATCGTCCGCTTCGATTCCTGGCGGGGGGTATTCATGCCCCCCAAATGACCCTGTTTCGCCTACTAACTAGACAAATATTGCTCACACTTCAGACTGAACCCCCCCCCCCCCCCCACACACACACACACAAAATTGCTCTCTCGGAGGGGGTGGGGCACTGAATCGGCGTAGCACTCCGCATCTTTGCTCCCAATTCACGTCATAATTTTAGCCGTTCTAGACTGAGTGAAGAAGGTCAAATTTCTGTTGTTTTTTTTTTTTTTTTTTTTACAAACATGGAGTCTTGTTTACTAAGCACCTTAATCTTTCTATGCCTATATAGTCAACACGGCACATCCTTTTCAAACTCCGGGGTCTTTGGCTTCGTGGGGGGGGGGGGGGGCTCACGACCAGACCCGCGCTAAACGGAACATCCGTGTTGATACGGATCCTGAATGGCGCGTTATCACGCGTCGGTCACACACTGTCGCCGCCATCTACACGCCGGCCATAAATCCAAAGCACGTCTTGTGACGAAACATTAACGGGATATCCAAGCCAAAAAAACCAACCAACCAAACAAACAAACAAACAAACAAACAAACAAACAAATAGTAAACTTCACCGCCACGAGTTTATTTCAGGAAGGCATTACCTGTTTGCCTGTGTGAAATTATAGCCAACGGAATGATGTCACTTGTAATACGTAGTAAGCTGTACCTTCCTCTGTCGTCTGGTTGTCTATCCGTGACAAAAGTGACCCATAAATTTCCTTTAAGCTTTTCGTCTTATCGTGCGGTGAGCATATCCGGGTTTAGCGCCTGCGTCGTCGAAACTAGCGCTATGGTCGAACTATGATCGCTCAGTTCAGGACGTAGTCACTCAAAGTTCATGGCAATCAGAATTGCAAATTTAATGAACGAAAGCAAAATGAGCAAGGGGAACATTTAGACAGTTCATATTAAGTGTCATTACTTGTTAGTTGTACAAATCAAGACTACACATGAGTTGTGTATTGCTTTAATCATGAAACATTGTTGATGGAGGCATGGAGGAATAAACAAATTAAGAAATTATGCTAGTAAGTGAGGACTGAAAAAAATAAACGCAGACAAAAATACACAGTTTAATGTATATTTATTTTGTAAATTCTGTCGAATTTGGACAAAGTTCAACCATGGAGGAATAATGGTTCAACAGAAACGTTAACGGATCAAAGTTCAAACTGGTACTGCATTTCGCGCAACTCGAGGCCGCAAGGGTGTGCGCTAAAAAAAATCACTGGTTACCACACGACATATGAATACGTATTGTGGAGATGCCGTCATTGCATTTGGCAACACGGAAAAGATGACGGTTCCCCAAAAAGTTCGTATTTACGAAATTATTACCTGTAATTTCGTCAAATAACGGCATCATTGGACTGAATATTATTTGTCTTCTTTGCAAAGGTGGATATCTTGTCTCTCACGGATGCCAGGACGTCGGGGAGAATGGCGCAGTTTGCTGTTAGTAGGGCGCACCGTAAACTGGTCGAGTCTCATCGACCGCGAATCGAGGACAAGTTCCGGGTAGCGATTCAGCTGAGTAGCTATGCCGAGCCTGAGCAAGCGGGGAGAACGGTCCGTGGAGACGGCGGGCTGGACCAACCGGACTCGGTCATTCACGTGGACAGGCTGTCACCTACGGACAATGTGTCTGACCAAGTGTGGGTAGAAATTGAAGGGGATTCTACTGGAACCGTTCAAGCAAAGGTAACACGGATTCAAAAAGTAGTTTGTGAGATTGAATGTCATTTTGAAGAGTGCCCAATTTGACAAAATTTCCCTTGTTGAGTTCCACTGTAAATTTTGTGTGACATTTCTTTGGAATTTTTTTTTTCGAAAGAAAGGTAAAAATAGCCGGCCTAATTGTTTAGAAATAGCGATTTTTCCCAGGGACTGCACCAGTTTCGCAAGTGATGTTGGCAACTTCCTTTTACTTTTATTACAAATAATGAATGAATTATTTTACATAGCCTATGGGGGAACAATTGAATCCCCGAACAATTGATGATAGCCGCACTACACACTGTCTCCAATTTCCAAACATGTTCTTTTTGTAGAGTTGAATGACAGTTGTTCAAGATTCAGGAATAGCTTTTCATGAAAGATAAATTAAGTTATTGTTAAGCACCACTTTTTCATCGTTAGTCCCTCTTGTTAAATTATTTAAATTAGGCAGTGGATATTTTGCCGGAGACGGCAAACCTTTAGTAAACATTAGTTTGCCGGATATGCACTAAACATGCGCAGTTACTGTTTTTTTGTACTTAAACATTTTCCGGTGACAAATTTTAGTCTGGCTCCATGCCAATATTATCGTTGTAACCTCGTATTCACAAGATGGGATTCAGACCATTTTATAATTTCGGACTTTATTTCCCTTTTAAAAAAAAATCCTCCAGAGCCACAAATCTGAAAAAGAAAATGTATTGTAATAGTACTCTGCAATAAAATGTTTGAGACATGTTAAAATAAGGCAGTGGATATTTTGCCGGAGACGGCAAACCTTTAGTAAACGTTAGTTTGCCGGATATGCACTGAGCATGCGCAGTTACTGTTTTTTTGTACTTGAACATTTTCCGGTGACAAATTTTAGTCTGGCTCCATGCCAATATTATCGTTGTACCTCGTATTCACAAGATGGGATTCAGACCATTTTATAATTTCGGACTTTATTTCCCTTTTAAAAAGAATCCTCCAGAGCCACAAATCTGAAAAAGAAAATGTAATTCTCTGCAATAAAATGTTTGAGACATGTTAAAATAATAAAAGAAGAATATTCTTATTTATTTGGGGATGGGAAAAAAAACACTTTAAAATGTGGCGGGGATCGGGATCGAACCCGAGTCATCCCGCTCACTAGAGCTTTTGCTTAACCACTACACCAAACGTGCTACGCAACTTTTGGTGGGAATTTAATACATATTATAATTCAGGCCTATCTTAAAGAGTACAGCGCCCTCTGTTGATATGGATTGCCGCTGGCAAACCTTTAGTAAACGTTAGTTTGCCGTCATTACCTCCGGCAAAATATCCACTATCTTTAAATTACATTGCCAATGCAATGTAATTTTTTAATGCAATCTTTGAAAATGCGCAGGTCGTTGTATCCCAGTTAACCTTTGGAAAGAATGTTGCAACCTGACGCCACTTCAGTGGTTGTGTACAAAGTCTATGGAGAGTCAAGAAAATTTTCTAAGTATTTCCTAACTAAATTGGAAATGTTTCTCAATCTCAGATTCATGTCTTATCGTCATTTTTGCAATGACTGACCTTCATTGAGATGAAATTTGAAGAAAAAAAGCAGCGTCAGGTTGTAACATTCTTTCCTAACCTTTTTTCAATTTTTGTTTTGCCATTTTCCAGGGTATTTTGATGCCTTTTTGGTTTTTATGCTAATGAAATATATTCATGAGCTAAAGTGTGATATCATTTCAGGCAGAAACCTCAATGTTACAACTATATTAGCACCAAAAGTTGCCAGACTTTTTGATATTTTGCTGTCGGAAATGTTCTGTTTAGTTATCCTCTGTAGCTTTAAAGTATTTGACAGTAAGCCTTTGAGCAAACTTTTGTCACAAATGTTTTTAGTGAGCAAATTTTAAATTTGGGGTCACAATTTAATAAAACCAAAACCCTCTAAACTGATCTGAACGAAGTCTTCCTGATATGACATCACAGCAACAGTGCCCTCAGTTGTCTGGAAAAGCATGGCAAATTTAAATGTTTAAAGAAGTGAATGCACTTTTCAATCAAATTAACCAAAAAAGGTTGTCAAATTGTTTTCATACATTTAAGAGGAGTAGAAAGTTGCCTGAAATAAGTTCCCAAGAAAAATTCATTTCATGAACCCTACTATAAAGGCAACCTTCAAAGTATGTTGTTAGTATTTTGGTGAATTCAGTAGAATATGAACTGCTAATAATAATAATAATAATAGTGAATATTTATAAAGCGCACGTATCCACCAGGACTGGTGCTCAAGGCGCTACATCATTATTACCCCTGCTCATTGGGCACATGAAACATTCCAAATACCATCTCAGCTCCCTGGGGAGTATACAGCTCGATGCAGCCTGTTAGGCGCAAGGAAGCTAATTCAATCACAATAACCATCTCTGCCCTCACAGGTACCCATTTACTCCTGGGTGGAGAGAAGCAATGAGTGACAAAGTGCCTTGCCCAAGGGCACACGCACCATGACCCCGCCAGGACTCGAACCCACAACCTGCAGCTTTACCCGCAGACCACGAATCAGTGCCCTTAACCACGAGGCCACAGTACTCCAAAAAATGATTATGATACATGAAATTAATTCCTTTATACCTAAACAGATGGTCTGGAACCTGGACCACCATTTGGCAATTCACAAAGAAAAACTAGAAGTTACCAGACCTGTTCAAAGTTCAGACAACACACCTTTCATTATCCGAAAATACACACATGCATAGTTAATAGTTTGGTGACGTTGTTATTTTATGACAATAGAAAACAACTTGCTAATTAAATATTTGCAAAATTTCAAGGTGACGAGAAAGATATTGCTTTGAGGATAACCATGGTAATATGCCAAAACAGAAATCAACAGATCGATATTGGAATGTCTGATAGCAAGGAAATCTGCACATACACAATGATGGTTCCTGGCTTTGTGCGGGGTTGACAATACAGCGTGACGTCACTGAAAAACGAGAAGCGAATTGTTATGAAAGCAAACCCATTGTCAAGCTCTACCGGTGACCTTGATGCTGGCATTGTACCGGGAAGTTTACTGCAGTTTACATTGTTGAAACCAATAGTAACGCATGAAGTGGGCTAGAGGATATCTATAAGTACCGTTTGGTTTAGGGATGGTGTATCATTGGGAGTATGATTTTATTAGGGTGTTTATGTGGAGAGTGCCAAGTCCAGTATTTGGAAAATTTTGGTGTTCAAAAGATGAAGTTTTCTGAGGCAGAGTGCAACACTTTGAACATGGTGAATAGTCTGGATCTAAGTGATGGGAGTCTGCCATTTACAGATCGGGTAGGTACAGTGTGCCTAACAATTATGGCGTTTGAATCATTTCAAGCAACTTGAATCATTACATATATATTTGTCAATGGTTCATTGGCAATTTATTACTGTCAATTACTGTCAGGAGGCAAATTACAGGCAACAAATTTCAGGAAATCTCAATAAGAAGAACATGACAGGCAAATTACATCTACTTGTTATGTTCTGTGGACTCACCATAAATTGTTGACTGTACTTATTGACATATGGACTGTAATTTTGTTTACTAAAAGTGAGCTCTGTAATTGATTTTGAATATAAAGTAGATAATGCTTTGTTATTGAGGCTGATATTTCAAATGTTTACATAAAGACTTCGATCGATTAAATTGGAAGTTTAAGGAAGGTTCTTAACAAAATATGCCGAAGACTAACAGTTCTAATATGTGTATTAAATCCAGGCATCGTCAAAATGAAACAAGTTAGCGAACCATAGGTCTACTTATCCCAACATGGCACTGAGCTTTCAGTATCATTAAAGAAACAAAAAACAACTTTGTGGTCACATGATGATGAGCAAACTTTCAACACATTGTACGTGAATGTGGCAACTTCTTTTCACAATTTTAGTTCAGACCATAGATGACCCAATGCACACAGTAACCGCTAGGCTGCCATTTCATGGCTCAACATATTATTCAAATAATGACGAATCTTTATTAATTACACGTCCTAACATGTATGGACTTGTGCACGAACAGTATGGCGCTTGTTTAGGCCCTACCACTTTCCAAGGCTGCAGTCTAGGACACACACCTGATTTGCATACTGGTTTGCATGTGGCTCAAAGTTTACATTTACTAAAGTTATTGTAACTAAAGTACATGTAAGCACCATCTTGATGGCGTAATGCATTCAAATGTTCCTCCCAGTCCCAGTGGTCTCCCCCAACTCTCTCATTGTAACCGTTGAGGGGGTACTTGTGCCTGGAGTCCACAGCTGAAAATTGTGTGTTAACGGTAAACACAGTAACTAATACAAATGTAATAGAATTTAATACTGCTTCCCGTTCTATGTACAAATAGGCTAGAATTTCTGTGCAAATGATGTACTCATTGAATAGTGATAATTTTTTAATTAAACCTCCTGTTTGAACAGTCATAGACGGTAAAAAAAAAATCAGTCCTCTTCCCCTGCCATGCCTTTTACACTGGCTAGTCACCAACAGTCAGATCATATTTCAAGCAAGCACTCTGACTAGTCAAATTCGGTCAACAGACAAAAGCAGGCAGGAAGTACCGGTAGGCACAGCTGACTTATCGATATCGATCACCTACAGTCAAAGCATACATGTAGCTGTTTTAAGTTGCAGTCCCAGCCAGTCAATCCTGCTTTACATGTATGTCAGCTGGAAGCTCTTTAACTGTTTAAAAACAGTCACTTTATTGATTTTGACTGAAAGGACAACTTTGCACCGAATGTATGTTTGCATAGGGGAGTTGTTTGCTGAAAGAGCCATGTAATAATGGGTCATTCTTTTAACTTCAGGGTCCAAAACTTGATATTTTTCCTGTCCCTGTTACCTTGGTACTTTGTAATTTGCCATTCAAGTATCATTAATTAAGAATCATCAACAATGTGTTATTTGTTGTTTAGGTACCGGTACTAGTACATGTGTAGTTTGCTATTCACAAAAACTCTGGGAGGACGACTGCGTTAAGGGGTGCATCAGAATAAAAACAATCATTGATATCAGATAATCAGATATAAGTTAAACCTCAACAGGAAAAAAATGGGAAGCCCAATATAGAGTGAGCCATGTGCATGTTGGCAGCATCTTTTTTCCCCAAATGTTGGCAGCCCTGTCATATTTCTCAACCTTTTCTCAAAGTTTCCATGATGATCTGTTTACAACACACGGTGTGTAGGAGACTTAAATAACTCACTCTCTCATTCAATCTTATCATTTTAGTTTCCACTTGCTTATAACTGTCTAAATCATTTCATGGAATTTTTTTGTAATGATCTGAACAAGCAGACTTAGTTTTTATGATTACAAAAATACTTTGTCATGGATTTTTCTGGCCCAAGTTCTCATACATGTTTCACATAGCAGTTGGCAGTACATTTTGTACCCAGTAAAAGCAATTGTCAACTTTGTAATGTTTACAAATTTTCCTGGATCTATGACGGGTTCAGGTCCCATGACTGTGTGTGTTCACCTACTGACCCCGGTTGTGCTATTGTTCCGATTCAGTGACGTAGCCCCTCCGGGTACAGGTGTATTGCATAGTTCCTTGTTCATCAGTACTTGTACAAATACAATTGACAGGAAAGGTGCCAGGCTAAGCAGAATGACGTAGGCGGTAATAAGGACCTACTAGTCACTGTCAAACCAGGCTGGCAATCTATATTTAGCGCCACAGCACTTTCAGTTTCCTGAAGATGATGCATGCCAACATGTATATAAAGCCAACCAACTCTTTACCATTAACTTCAGATGTTGGTTGGGAGTTGGTGAAGTTAATTTGTTTGGCTTTCGCATTTATTTTGCCGTTCAAAGTCCATTTCTGTGATGGCCCCTTCTAAATGGGTAATGCAAATCTATCATCAGTTAATCAGATTTCAAATCCTGATATGACAGTCCCGATAAAAATTCTTCCGTGTCGAGATTATTTCCACATCTTGGGGATGCACATGCACACGTAATCAATTGGATGAGTTACATGTACATGTACTCACATTTCAGAGAAAAGTTTCATAAAAAGTCAATTCTAAATTTAGGCTTGCAGAGTTTTGACTTGAGACAAGATAACCGACAGATGAAAGTGGATGTACAAATAGCACCTGAAGAATAAAATTTTGCTGAACTAGCCCCAATGTCTAAACACTCACTGAACAGAAAAATTTAACCAGGAACTGTTGTACAAAATACTAGTACAGTCGTACATGAACATGTTTATTGTACAGGCACACTGCATTGTAATGTACATACATGTACAGTATGCTGTATGCGTCATGTACATGTACATGTATCCTACATCAGGAGGTGCGTACATGTACATATCTGTGTGCATTCAGTGTGTGTGTTTATGTTTGTGCAAGTACCATTCATCCCTTCATGGCGCTGTACATGGACCTTGTACAGGGAGTTCCCCATGGCGTTATTGCATCAACGCTCGTCTATGCACAATAACACCATGTCTATATATAACCTTTACCACCTCAGCAACATGTCTGGGCATCTGTTTGAATCATGTCCAGGGACTTATCGTTTCAATACTTTTCTTTGTTTGAGAAAGCTCCCCAACATGTCTGACAGGAAATGTTTTGACCAGAATTTGAAATTATCATTTGGGATTTCCAGACTTGCATCTCTATAAATGAGTAGAGATGTTGTAAAGTGGAGAGCAGACTGTCGTGTTAATCTGAACGGAAGAGCTTATTACAACCACAAGACTTGTCTAGCAAAAGCTGCAGGTGTTTTTGTACACGGCTATAATGGACATTGAGGTAGTCCAAATCATGTAGCATAATGTACTGTAATGTACTGTTTATTTTTGCAGAGGATGTCTATGTTTTGCAGGACTTGCAAAGCAGTTGTAAAAAAAGTACATGTGCATTATATGCGAGATCAAGAAAGATGTCAGATTGGAGAGTTCAACTGTGCTATGCACTTTTGAACAAACAAAGTGTTTCTTTGAAAGTAAAATATTGTGCTAAGGATCTAGGTATTGGAGTTCATCCTCTTTCTTTCCAGATATTCATAACCATCAACTTTACACTTAAGCTATTGTAAACCGTTGAGGTGGATCTGACTGGTTGATGCCAAGAGTACTAATTCTTTGATTTCTTACTTCTTATCTTCCACAGGAATACATCCTTTCCTTGTGCCATGGGTCCGATGAACCCCGCTTTGAGGAGAAGCTGCCTTACGGCTTTGGAGACCTCCTCCAAGCCAAACTGGAGGACATCGCTGTGGAGACTCGCACTAAGATTGAACTTGATAGAGACACCGTCATTCTACGAGGGGATGAGATGAATGTTGCTATGGCTCAGTCCCTGATTGATCAGCTCTGCACGGACTTAAAGCAACACAAAGAGTCAAGTCTATTCTCTGAAGAACGCCAAACCTTCGTACGGTCACCACAGCATAACTCAACAAATGAAGGCTTTGACTCAGTAGATTCATCTTGTTCGCAGTTTACTCTGCAAGATGATTGGACTATCGCTGCAGACTCATTCAGTAGTTCCCATGCTATTTCAAATTCCTCGGTTATGGGAAGACCGGTTGAGGAGCAACGTTCACCTAGACTCATCCCCCGTAGCGTTGTTGCTTCACAGTCTGTGGAGACAACTCATCCCAAGGACAGTAAAACAATAAGTCTCACAAACAGCATGCAAAAGTTGGGCTTCCGTAAGGAACAAGTAGACCTAGTCCTGCAACAACTGGGTCCAGATGCAGACCACAACGACGTCTTGGGGGCGCTAGTCAACCAGCGGCCCACCAAGACAGATCTGGAGGAAGCAGAGGATTCTGGGAAGGAGGAGATTGGAGGATCCCGAGATATGAGCGATGGGTTACCCTCCGTTGATGCACCAGAGGATGAATCTAACAATCTAAGACCTATAATCATTGACGGTAGCAATGTAGCTATGAGGTGAGCAACAACTACTGTCTTCAAGTGACCTCAAGGCTTTCAATGCTTGACTTGTAAACATTGAAATCCAAACATGTACAAAACATGAAAGATGTGTTTGTTTGTCTTTGAGTGACCTTTGAAAAATTCTGTTGTATCTACAAAATTGTAAACTTGACATACGTAACTTCAACTGCTTTGCTTAAAAGCTACATGTGCTTTAATATGCGTCGTCTGAGCCCAGTATGTGACCAGTAATAAAAAAGAAATGAAAACACCACTTTGGTATCTGTACATGTACCGATACCATGAGCCCTGGAAGAAATCCTGCTATTGACAAAACCTTTTAAAAAACACCCCAAATAATTCCCCCCTCCATTTTTATCTGACAGTTTTGGTAACAAGGATGTTTTTGCATGCAAGGGCATCGAGATAGTCGTCAACTGGTTCTGCGAAAGGGGACACATGAAAATCTATGTCTTTGTACCGGCTTGGAGGAAAGAGGCGTCCAAACCAGAAACACCCATAACCGGTGAGTGAGACACTCTTACTATCATAGGTGATTGTTTGTTTTACCTGGAATAAGTTTATTAGAAAGCTACAAAAAAAGGGCTGAAAATCAATTGATGTAGATGGAAAAGTCAGATTGTATATCATAAAGTCTATTTTTATTGATATTGTTGGTTCAGCACAGCAAGAACAAATTTTCTGAAACAAATGCATTAAACAAATGCACATGTCATCTTGGACTATGGGGAAAGTTTCTTCATTAAAACATGAGGCAAAATGTATTTATAAATGGTGAGCCCTGGACAATTATTTGTCTAAGATGAAGAGATGTATCAAATTGGCATAATTGTTTCCGTATCTATTTTTACATTTCTGACTAAACCAAGTCTGTGATACCATGTACAATGTATGTCGATGAATTCTCATTTTCAAATGTACAGTCTGTAAAACATCTGTCCAAAGGAGAAAACAAATTCCCCTTGGAAAAATTGTCTTGGCTCCGAGTCAAGACTTGGCCAACCAGTGTGTTTCTTAGACAACTGGTGACATCACCAGCTATTTTTAAGATGCTTTGGCTTTGGAAGCATTTGTTGACAAAAATGCAGAGACGGGAAATATAGAAAGAGGAACTGAAGTACATGTATTGGGTTTGTGTTTACGAATCTGATCACCATGGCCACTCCAGGGGTTAGCCTGGCAGGTACAGACATTACGTCAGCCTCTGTGCCTATATCTAATTACTATTCGGGAATTTTTTTTTGGGGGGGGGTGATATTTTTCTTTAAAATATGTAACTAACTGCAAAAGTACCTTTTTGCTTAGGCAATCATCAGGACTATAATTAAAGAGAACAGTTTTCATATCATTTTTTAAGGATTTTTTTTTTTTCATTTCAAAAGATTCAAGTTGGTGTATTTTAGCTTTCATGTAAGGTTTTTGCCAGATTTAGAGAAAAGAATCTTTGGAGTGGGATGTTCTGATGAACAATAACTGTGGTTGTAGATCTAAAGATTGTTTGCCTTTAGTAAACCTGCCCAGTTTATTAGTCAGTTCCTTGCCTACTTAGTACCATGCCCCCCAGGGTCTCTGAAAAACCAATTTCCAACCCTCGGTCAAGGGGATTGGCATGATAACAAACCCGGAAAACCCTGTTCTCCCTAGTTTATTGTGTACTGTTCATGAATAGTATAAACAGGATCTCTCAAGCGCTTCAGTGTTCTTTTCAAGTTGTTTCGGTGTTTGCATTTATTGTCCAGAGGAGTTGGACGCCATATCTGTTCCCTTATTTGGTGATTTGATTTTCAGATATCTGAGACAAAAAATTACTCAGTCCAGAATTGTGTTATATTTCTTCCAAATATGGCAATAATTTCTGCAACAACCACTCATTCTTGGAAAATGAAAATGAATCATTCATAAGAAAGAAAGTAATAATCACTAACTTTTGAATTGTAATTGTAAAGTAACTATATTTATATTTAACATTAAGAACTAAAGTACATGTAAGAACTAAAATGTGAAACAAATTGCATTGAAAAACTTTCAGATACCAATCTTATTACTAAAGAAGATATCTTTGTTAAAAAATATTGAAAGTCATGAGGATTTTTTTAGGAGATTTGGATCATTTTTTTTCTGGAGCTTCAGTTGACAATGGCTTTTTCTGCCTTGAAGATTCATCTTGTGAAGTTAAACCTTTTTTGTTTGCATGTTGATCCTTTATTGTCTGCATAGATCAAGGTATCTTGAACGACTTAGAGAAACGCAACTTTTTAGTCTGGACCCCATCACGACGCATCAACGGTCGCCGCATCGTCTGTTATGATGATCGTTACATCGTCAAGACAGCGGTCCAGGAAGATGGAATCATCGTCTCCAATGATAACTTCCGAGACATCCAGAACGAGAAACCAGAATACCGGAAAGTCATCGAGGAACGACTGCTCATGTATTCGTTTGTCAATGACCAGTAAGTCAAATAAAATGGAAATGCTTTCTTAGACTAATAATTCGTATTTCAATTTTTTATTACATATTCAGATACATGTTTGAAAAGACAGGCTCAAAATTGTACACACATGTATATGCTGCTAGGAGGAATGACAACAACTAATTGTTCACATTGGGCCTACTACAGTTTGTTTACTGGGCAAATTTTAGTGTTGATTTTGTGGCAAAGCTGTAATTCTGGAATTTATTCGGGGAGTCACAAGGATGTGGGTGTTGGAGGGTAAATCCAAAGTCCTGTTAATATTTTCATATGTTCTGAGTAACCAAAACAGCGCCATTAGGTTAACTGTAATCTTTGATTTGCAAGTAATGGTTCTCGGTAATTGCCGGTGGCAATGGGCAATAAACAAGAACTTGTATTTTTGCGTTATGTCAAGGGCAATGCCCCTGCATTGTAGGTTACTGCATTGCGTAAGTTCAAGTTTTGCCCATGGGTGTGTTCTGGGTAAACCCCTAGGGGAAGTTTTGTTTTGTTTCTACATATCCTCAAAATTAGCGTCTACTTCCTGGTTTAGGGTTACCCAAGAGCAAATGGGGAATGTTTGAAAGGAAAAGACATGGATGATTAGGTTTTTTTTTATAGGGGCAGGTGCTTGCCTTACAAAAATGTTTACAAAGAAGATAAGAATGAAGAAGTCATCAAATTGAGTGTCAAATGTAAATCAGTGCCTTGCTGCTGGAAGCGGCGTAGGTTAAAACTACATTTGTTTTCCTTCCGTGCATGTATCCAAAGCACATTTTGTGTGAGAATATTTTTCTGAATCACTTCCTTGTCGATGGATTTTCTTTTTAACGCTTGGAAACTCCATTGAATTGAGTAGAGTCCCTGACCTTTAAAACAGGTTTTTTGTTGTTGTTCATCTAGGTGTAGGGTAGAATGGTTGTCATGGGGAAAAAAATCCAGTACTTCTGTTGAGAAAATAAAACATGCAGAATGAGTTTTTCGCTTCAGTGAAGTTCGCTTGAATTTCAAGGCCTGTATATTTCTGTATTAGAAATGAGGTGCACGTACATGTACTGTACACCACAAAAATATAAGTGCTGTTTTGTGACATATCCGTGCCCAATCGCCCACACATCTTAAACTTTTCCCAATTGATTGTTTGAGCTGAATAAATAGTGCCTTTGTAGTGCCTCTTAAACTTTTTAAAATGTTTTATGCTCATTCTCTCCATACCATAACACTTGAATTCTTCTTCACATATTTGAATTATAGAGAATAATTTTAATAACACTTGGGTCTAAATGTTGCTAAATTACAAAGGATATTGATAGCCACACCACTCAAAGAGACAAATATGTTGCCGCACCACGAAGTGACACTTTGAGTTTCAGCAAATATCCTGATATATATTACCTGTTGGTGCGACTAACGTTTGTTAGAGGTCAGAGGTTGACACAGTTTATCCTTCTCATTTTAGATTCATGCCCCCTGATGACCCTCTTGGTAGACACGGCCCCAGTCTGGACAACTTCCTCCGTATGAAACCAACAATGCCTGACCACCTACCCCAAGCCTGCCCGTATGGCAAGAAATGCACCTATGGCAACAAGTGTAAATATTACCACGCCGACCGGCCCAACCGACCAATGAAATCAATCAGTGAGACGCTGAAGGAACGAGACAAGACTCGCAAAGAGAAGGCCAAGTTGAACTCTGATCGGAGTCATAGTCCTAGGTTTACATCGGTTTCCTCGGCACCAATACCTGGTTATGTCCCTCCTGAGGAGATTGCACCATCCCCCGAATGGCATACTACCCCTCTGCCTGGACCTAGCACCCAACAGTCAAGCCCAAAGAGGGGCAGTCGTATCGCCTCGGAATCAAGTGCCTTGCAAACCAGCCCCAAGTCGTCTGGTTCCCCACGTCATTTCCAAACTGTAGAATCCCCATCCCATTCACCATACCCGACAACCAGAGATGAGACATTCGGGATACCAGACTTACAGCCATATCAGCATGGTGCTGGAGTCCCTCATTTGCATAGTCAGGTGCCTTCACAAACCCTGAATACGCCTCCGTTTGGACGAGCCAATCACACTTCTCCGTTGCCAAGTTTCTGTCAACACACTGACAGACAAAACCAACGGGACATGTACACAGTGCCTCTGCAAGGATACCCATCTGTGAATCCATCAGACAGGGGATATGCACAGATGGAGGAATCACTCAACAGAAACAGAATGTCAATGCCTCCAGTCATGTATGGGTCTGGTGAACCAATGGGTGTTACTCCCTCTGGAATGGGTTTTGAGAGGAGGTCTTCCCACAATGATTTGATGACAGATTTCCAGCGAATGGGGATTCACGATACAAGGTAAGATTAATAATCCTTAAATAACATGGTTTCTTAGAGTTTGTCAAAATGAAATTCTGCATATAAGTGAATTTCAGAAGCCTCTTAGGTCAACATCGCCTTGCTTTCAGAAAGATTTTTACCATCTTGAAAGATGAAGTTTTTTCATGAACTTTTTGTCGGTAAATGACTATCAACCTCAAAAGATATCAAACTGAATCAAAAAGTAATCTTGCATATTAGACAACTAAATTAATTTGTACAAATTTTGTTGTAGCGGAGTGGCTTTACCAAGGGAACCACAACCAAACTATGGTTACAGGCAGTCACCACGGCAATATCACAACGGAGAAGCGTTACCAGGGCCCCCTCAGCCTCTCCCTAGTCACCATCTTGGAGAGATCAGTCAGGTATGTTGAGAGTCCTATATAATCTTTCTGTTATTTTAGGCCCCCAAAAAAATGATTTTGAAGAGCTTTGCCAATTTCCTTTTCTTGGAGAGTTATTATGTAAAATGATAACGAGCTTGGTTGGTTTCTTTGTGCAGGGAGCCAGTCAACCCATGACCTATCACAGCACTGAAGCCTTCATTCCTCAACATGGGATGCCACCCAGCCTCAGCTCGGACCAGATGTTGTACCACCCTTCCCGCCACACCCCTCCTCCAAGATATCACCCACAGAGTGAGCCTCCACAACCCCGGCCGTACTACCCCAGCCCAGGACCCATGCCGGTGACTAGTACGTGGCACAGCAGTGGCCGACCAACTCCAGATAATGTATCTCCTCGGCGGAACTCGGAGCCGGCCAAATCCTTGGAGGAACAGCGGAAGTACATCCTGAGCAATCTGGCTAGTCGGTTTGGTCATGATAAGGTCAATGCTGTCATGCAGAGACACCCACATGAAACTAACCCAGGGAAACTTATCATGTACATGAACACCAATATGTAAAGATTGTACTTACTGGCCAATTCACAGGCCATTTTACTGGCCAATATTTATTGGCAGTTTAGCCAATATCTAACAGTGTAACTCAAAGTTACAGGCCATACAACCTATAACCACAGGCCATCGTTAAAGGCCATTATTTATTTGCAGTTAATTTAAATCAGTATATTTATCCCAAGTTACTGGCCACACGACTCAGAACTGGTAATTATGGGCCATTCAGACCAGTCTTGTCGACACAATGTGCTGGCCATTATTTGGGGCCGTAACTTTGAACACTGGTAATTGTTTTACGTAACATTACTGGCTAAATTAGTTATCAAATTTGCAGGCCAGATTATGTCGGAGCACTTTTTGTCATTCCTTGCCAGTGATACTGGTCATATTTCCTAGCAATATTTTATGTAGACAATTCTGGTCGTGTACCTATTCATAGTTACAGGCCATAATTTTACTAAATTTATCTGTGGCCCTGTAATAAGTGGCCACATTACTAGTTTATGGTGAATCAAAACCAAAAATCATTTGTATGAATCTTTAAGACAAATGTGACTTGCTTCCTAGAAAAAAAGTAACATTTTTGTCTGCTTTGATTTAAAGAAGACAACTTAAACTGCCCTGACAACCATATCCGATGGTGCTGGTTATTTGGAATGCTGCCACATAACTTAAATACTTTGCTTTATCTGAGCGTATCACTTTGCTTTATCTGAGCTTATCACTATTCATCAATATAGTTTTGACTGGAGTGATAAAACGTTATCTTATAATTACAAAATTGACATTTGAATGTCCAGTTTGTATTACTTTGGGTTGTACACAGCTTTGCAGTGAGCATTACCTTCATCAAAACAAAAAGAAAAAAAATGTGAGGACTGGACTTTGTCATTTGTTGCTTCCGCTTGGACTGCTTGTGTTCCTTGGTACGTGCATATTACCATGGAAGGAACAATGCATCATGCCATTGTTGTTACAATGTGTGAAAACAATTACATCAATAACATCCATAGCATCTACACATGTTTTTTTTTTAGACCATACACCTAGAGACCCTATACTCTGAAACAGGAAGTAAGATAAGTTGTAGTCACGGCATAACATCCACTTTCAGTTTGTTCGAGGTCATCCCAACCATTACAAGGGAAAAGAAGTCAGATGCTAAATTAGGTTGCGGGGTGGTTTTTTGTTTTTTTCTTTTATACATTTGACTAAGTTTCCGCTACGGAATGGGATTTCTGGGACTGGATTGTTTTTAGCCGGCAAGGTGTGAGCGTTATCCGTAATCTAAACCATATGGTCAATGCGTTAGGATGAACAGTGAGTACACATGAACCGGTACAGGAAAACTAGTCATGTACATCCGACATGCTATGGCTGACTGTATATTTCCTTGTTCATTTGTACATCATGTGTGCTATGGCCAACCCCAGTACAATGCATATCTTTTTGTTTGAGTTCTTTTCTCGTATTTCCCTATTATGTTAGTTGTCAGGGTTTTTTTTATCACTTTCACAAGTCTTGTTTTTAAAATGAAAAAGTGAAATTGAAAGTTATGTTACATTCAGTACAAGGAAATAGCAAATGTAATCTTTGTGGAAGATTTTAGGTGGACCCCCATGACTGTTGGAGTTTTCTAGGTCAAAGTTCTCGGAAAAGCAAAATAACTTTCAAAATAAGTCCACTGGATAAATTGGGTTTTTTTTAAGGCTCATGTTTAAAATTTAACTCAGAAAAGTAGCTTAGTAAAAGAATTAATTGAAAAATGTATTGTTTGTGAAGAGATACAGAGGTACAAAAAATGGAAAGCATTGCTGTTGATTTGTGTCGAGTACCTCGGTAGAAGTTGCACCTATCAAATGACAAGTACATTCACATTTGAGGAATTTTTGCACTGTGAAGAAGACAGAATGACACATGTCTGTGTCATCAGATTGAATCCCTTTAGTGCCAAGTAATCAGGATGTATCGTAGCATTCTTCTATTTCAGGATGTCTCGTTCACTTGTAGTTTTTTCAGTATGTAGGATATATCTTTTTCCTCTTATTACCATTTTGAATACTCATCCTAACATATTTGGGAAATTTGTACAACTTGGTACCCAGTGAATTTCCATGGAATGACCAGCAAGTTCATTGTGGTTAAAACATGAACCAAATTTGTTTGACTGACTTAGAATAAGGAATGGAAATTAATCCGATGTTGTTGTTGTATATGTGTAATTTGCCCGATTGATTTAAAACAGAACTGTTCCTAGTGTTCAACAAAGGGTCTCAACTTTTCTGTTGAAAAAAAAAACACAGGAAAACATTTCATTCGACCCAATTCTATTCCTTATATGAACCCAACACTTTGTTGGATCAGAAATGCTCTGAAATCATTTGTCATATTTGACAGCGTTGTGTGTAAATATGAAAGTGGTTTGTAGGCTCAGACGAGAGGAAGTAGGGGGATATGTCTGGCGCCCTCTATCAACTCAAAATGGTTAAGAGCTTGGCCATCGCAGAATTTTGATGCGTTACTCTTTCCTAGAGATATGAGGAGCCACAGTCATCTTTTTTTAAAGAGCTGTGTCTTCCGCCGTTGCCTTTTTATTTAAGGCAAAGAGTTGTTTAAACGTAATCAGGAATGTACAGTATATTACTGCATCGATGTAAATTAAAACAGAGCATGTTTAAGGAAATAAAAACTGCTACTAACGTACGGACATATGTCTACTATTTTTCAAAGGCCCATATTTTTGTTAGCTGTGCTAACAAAAGGGTTCTAATTCGATTAGTTTAGTACCAAAAAAGTTCAAGCTATTTTTGAAATGCTAGTTTGTACATTGATGCTAGAATTAAGTTTATACATTGTGCATGTTAGGTGTATAATTTAGGTAAATCCTGTAAACCAATGTGCTGTTTATTTCCAATTGTCTATGTACATATGTATATTATCATTGTTTAATTTTGCCAGTTTCTGAAGACCAATTTGTATAATTAAAGATGGATTGTTTAATTTGCATGATTTAGTCATATTGTAAGAAAATATGAGATCAATGTGATTTGTTTAGCATGACGTACTGCCAGAGTTTATTGTTTTCATCACCAAAAATAACCAAGAAAATAAAAACAAAAAATGAGAACTCATGATTTCTGGTCTTGTCTCTTTTTAACACGACATCAGTGAATGTAACATTGCCTTTTTCCATGCATATTCTTAGAATAATTTCTGGATTTCAGAGAGTCGAGCTGATGTACTCTGTACCACCCTAGTTGCTGCAGAGTGAAAACTTTTCCGAGTTTGTCAATGTTTGTGTGATATTTATTTGCTATTACTAACATGCTCCAATTATCTTGTGTGACTCACAAATCCCAGGCCCCTTGCAAATCTCGTGTCAGTTTCAGACAGTTACAACTATGTGGAAACAAGCTGACGATGGGCTCCATGAACAAAGTACCCCCTCAACGACAAGAAAGGGAGAGTTGGGAACCCATCGATAGAGACATTCAAATGCATTGCTGACAACACCTTATGCTCACGCGCAAACACTATGGACTTGTGCACATTCAGAATAAAATAAGTCGTGCGTACTTCGTGCTATGGGCTCCGTGCGCCAACAAAAGAGGGCGCCCTTTTACCTAGCAACGACTTCCCATGTGCGAGACATTTAGCTGGTTGACGCGCACCGTTCCTTGTGTGTGACGCACGTACACCAAGGGATTTGTATGTTCACACAGTATAGTACGACTGTGGGTCGCGGCAAAATTGCAGTCCGGCAAGATGGCGTCGGTCGGTCACCCCCAACTGTACTTCCTTTGCCGGTGAGGGGGTACTTGTGAATGAAGCGAATATGCACGTGAACCAGTACCTCCTCAAAAGTAATGAAAAAAGGCCCTCTCTTGTTGGCAAATGGAACCCATTGCTCTGGATGCCCATTTAAACATGGCTTTAACATAAGGCCATTTGTGTGTTTTTGTAAAGTTCCCAATACATTTAAGTTGTAGGCAGGACAGTTGGATCCTGTTTGATGATTATGTTTCACATTTCGATGACAGTCTTCCCGATTGTCTGTGAAGGGAGTTTATTGTAGGCCTCGCATGCTTCATCCAAGCTGACACAACGGGAAATGTTTGGTCTGAAAAAAACAAAAACAAGGAAGAAAGTTGACACAATCAAGCACGGCGGATCAGAACAGACAAACTGTCCTTCACAGATACATTGCCATAAGCAATGAAGCTCAGTGCTTTTGAAGAGGTTATGATAAAAAACTTCATAAGCTCTGAACAGACAAACTCAGGTGGGACTCGAACCCATAACCTCCTGAGTACTAGTGAAGATGTTTTAACCACTTTACCCCAAGCTTGCCAGGGCTAACTTGGTGTTAAGAATTTGATAAAGCAGTAGGTACTACAGTAACTGACAAAAAAATATATACAATGTAGTAATAAATCCTGGATATTTTTAATGGGACAAGTTCATGTTATTTTACCAGGGGAAACTCACCTCAGAACTCCATCTGCTAATTTGTCGATAGCGCTTTGGAGAATGTCTGAAATTTGTTCATGTTAAGGAAAGTCCAACGACTACACACATGAAAAACAGAAAAAGTATTAAACAGGCTAAAAAAGGCTAATAAACGGAAATTTGAAATATTAAATTTGGTTGCCAAGGATACGAAGATAGCGTCCCAACTGACCACATGACAGGTTCCAGACAGCATGATTGAGGTAGGACACACTGGCGCATCTCATGTGAAGCAGTCGAGAATCCGGGGGATCAATCTACAAGATTAGAAATGAAAACGTCAAAAATAAGGTAAAATATCAAGAAGATGAGAAACAAGTGGGATTGAATGCTTTGCCGAAAGATGTGAGATTCACACTTATAGTCATAAAGCTTCAGTCACAAGAACAAGAATGAGTCTACCTAACCATGGTCTATCTTATTAACCTGAGGATCTGGCTGTGCTGTGACCCATCTACCCCTACCCCTAGGGATGAGATGACCCCATGTTTGGTTGGCAGGATGGGGAGTCTACTATTACCTGTAGATCTGCCTGTGTTGTGACCCATCTACCCCTACCCCTAGGGATGAGATGACCCTATGTTTGGTTGGCAGGGTGGGGAGTCTACTATTACCTGTAGATCTGCCTGTGTTGTGACCCATCTACCCCCTACCCCTAGGGCTGAGATGACCTCGTGTTTGGTTGGCAGGGTGCGTAGCTTCTTCTGTTTCCTTGGGCTCAGTGCTGGGTCCTCTTCTTCTTTGGGAAACATGCTCACTGAAAGGGAAAACTTGTGACTGTAATTGTGAAAATGACAGGAGCAATTTGTGTTTGCTCCATTTGTCATTCAATTGTCTCAATGTTGTTATCCAAGTTGTCGATGTCATATTTGTCACACTATATTGCTCGTGATGTCAACTTCACAGTCATATAACACTGCCCTTGTATGATTGTCCTTGGCAGCTACAACATGTTGTCCTTGTAGCCAATGTAATCGATGTTATATTGTCAATGTCTTTGTTGTCATCACTCCTATGCTGGCATCATCAGTGTCACCAATGTCACTGTCATTCTGCCATTGTCACTACGCCGGGCTCCATGCGTGAACAAGAAAGGGTGCTTTTGACCACTTTTGAGAGCTCCAATGGGGGATACACCGCGTGCGCATACTTGTGCTCGTTTGGCACGAAGTACGTACGACCAATTCTATACTGAATGTACACAAAGCCATAGCGTCTTTGCATTAGCATCAGGCTCTAGGCGTCATCGGTAATGCATTCAAATGTCTCTCCCATGTGGACTCTATCATAGATTTACCTCCATCATCTAAGATGCAGTCTACACCTAGCCCACCCGTCTCCTCAATACACTGCTGGATGAGAGCGTATTTCTTGCTTTGATCTGTCTCTATCACTTGGGCTGGAGAAAAAAACAAAACCCAAAACAGTCAATTATAACAATATTGTAAAAAAAACTAACATAGGGAGGCTTTTGCTTATAATAAACGGAATGTTTGACAGCACCCCCCCCCCCCCCCCCTGAGCATTGACAAGACATTGACAAAATTAGGATCAATATAGCTAGGGCTGGACAGCTAAGTTGGTAGAGCACCAGAACGGCAATCCAGAGGGCACAGGTTCAAATCCCCCACAGTCAATTTCTTTGATCAATTGTAAACGAATCCATTTTTTTTGGCCACTTCAGCTTAGCTTAGGTAACTGTTGCTCATCTTACCAAGTTCAGGCTTGAAGCTTTCTAAGAAGATCCTTTCTTCTTGTGAGGAGGCGGTGGCAAGAACCTTAGCTCCCCAGTGTTGGGCTAGCTGCATAGCGATGGTTCCACTCGACTGAAACACAAGCAATAATGAGCATGAAATGGTGTAGGTACAACTGTGTCAGATTCATGAATACAAGTTTTAGGGGGAAAAAATCAGAAAAGTAATTTTCAATCATAGGAGATGGGCAGTTTTGTAGTCGTGTCCATTTCAAGTCCATCACAAGTCCTCCAGTCCCAAGTCAAATCACAAGCCATTCACATTTGTGAACATTTGTTCTGTGAAAAACCAAGCATTCCTTTGCAATTGTTCATCCCGTGTTACTTGCATTACCGGACATGTGATAGACTCAAACACAACACCCAACTTTGATATTGCGTGGTGTAGTAGCACATTGCTAAATGTGCAATGATGGAAACGCCCGAAGCAGAAACAGAGAATTATGGGCCAGAGTCGGGTTCAACTTACCGTAGCTCCATTGATGACCAGCACAGTGTCTCCAGCGCACACTCTAGCCAGGTAGTGTAGAGCTGTAAACGCCCTGACGGAGTCTCCTATGCCTGCTGCTGCATCATGGAAACTTACTCGCATGGGCTTGATCACTACAGAGAAGGTCAACGTGATAGAAAATGACAGCACTACTCATTTACTAGAGTTTCAAATTGAATATCAATTTGAAAACTAATTCCATTCAAGTTTATTGCTGGGAATTGTTCTTCTGAAAAGTGAACATCAGAGACTCATAAAAAAACCAAGAACATTTTCAGATCTTCTGATCTTGTGAGAGTAGGTTTGCATCTGTGATGACCTCATGACTATGAAATTCTCAAAATCTCATCTTTCTTTTTTAAATTAAAATTGAAAAGAGCTGAACAAATTGCATCTATTCTCTACTAGTCTGAGTTACTGATGCAAGTTCAAATTCAATTAATGTTTGTTTCTAGAGGTTTGGCAAAATTGACTTAGTGAATCATCCAAAAATAATCCATATTTCCTAAATTTCCGGTATACCTATGTCATACTCATTAGCTACACAATACTCAGCACAGCCAGAGCAAGTTGCATCTACAGGGAGAAGGGAAGCAACTTCATCTCCAACTTTACATCTCGTTACACCTCCGCCAACTGAAAGAAAAACCAAGAAGTCGCAAGCTTTAGTGAAATACGATTCAAAGAACATACAATGTATGGCTGTAATTTTTGCTTACTGAAAATGAATAGCGCATGTTTTGAATGGGTCTACCCTTTCAGCACTATTTGAATATTGAAAACTTAAGAAGAAAAAGTCTTTTGCAAACTGCTCACCAACTCGACTAATGAATATGCAAATCTCTGATTTACTTGGACCTCAAAAGTTTGAGGATGCTTCTACTTTAGTAGAATCTTTCTCTGTAAAAGCTTCTGACCTTTGTAATTCAAGAAGTTTTATTTTTGTAAGTTCTTTACTGGAGTTTATAAGCACGAACAAACATCTCACTTTTTGTGATGACCCCGGCCACCTCTCGGCCAATCGGCAGACATTCCTTGCCTAGCTGAAGCTCTTCGAGGATATCGACTCTGACTAAAGACAGACCACAAGACTTGACTTGGATTAATACTTGGCCTTCAGCTGGCTCAGGAACAGGAACCTTGGGATAGTAAGGATGAGGAAATATGGAAAACAAAAGATTAATATAATTTTTTATCAGATAATTGCAAGGTATGAAAAGATTGAGGCGTGCCGTCATGGCCGTACATGATTTTCCAAAGGTAAAGTCTAACTCTCAGTTATAAAATGTAAATGAAAAAACTAAGAATTAAAATTTTAGGTCCCCATTCTTCCAAAAACTTTATAAGGGCCTCATAAATTCTGTCAGGGTTTAAAATTTGGCACTAAAACATTGCGATTGATTTCCCATCAGTTTTAACAAATTTAACAGAATTATAAATTTAGAAGTCCACTTTCATGACTTTACAATTACATACTATGTTATTGTCATATAATAGCAAAAAGCATTGGGGAAATGTTCCCGCCCACCTTTTAAAACTCCGCCCCTAACTTTTTTCCATAGCTCGCCTATTTAGTATTGATTGTCAAATGTCTTAAATTTGGTGTCATGTCTACAAAGTAGAATAAGGAAAATGAAACTTACATTGGTATTTAATATAGCATTTTGCCTCTTTCCTTCAGGCCCACGATCGAGAAAAACAGACTTCATATTTTAGGTTATTTTTCCTTTTTGTTCTATAACTTAATACTTCTACAACTCCGAGTCGCACATTAGTCCGACTCCGCCCACGTAATGCCTGTAAACAACATCTTCAAGTGCATGTGTTTAATATCGCGCCGTTTGGTCTTACCGTCGACCCACATAGTGCATGTGTTTTGATCGAGATAAAACGGAACCAGATCAATAATCTTCTCCATGTTCTTTCGGTGATTGTATTTCCCTTAAATGCACTATGATTAGTCAGTTAGTTTTTGAATAAAATAAAATATATGTATAAATGTCCAAAAATTAAGACATTTATTCCAATGATATGTATAACGCTTATTTTTTTAGAAATATATAAGTTAAAAATCTATGTAAAATTATTTTGTATACTTTGTATTCAAGGAAATCTGTTTAATCAGTAACTGTCATCGACCAATCGAATTTAATGTCTTTCCGCTCATACGGACGCCATTAGTGGGCGAGTCCTACATGTACCGTCGTGTTCGTGAACGATGGGGAAATAACGATCGATTTCCACATGAGTTTTCACCAGTTTAGGAGATAAAGACTGCCTTAATTATAATCTTTAGTACTGTTAGAGAGTTGAGTAATAAAGTGGTAAGTACAGTATGAAATTTCCATGTGCAATTCGACGAAATTCCTTCATTTTGTGTCAACGTATCCTTTTTCAGTGAGTGGTACTGGTACTAGCCCCATAAATGTGGCCTATTTACTGGACTGCCTCCGTAAACATAGGCCACACATCCACATGTACAAAAATCGTGTCGACGGAGCCAAATTTTGATTTTCACATTTAGGCTTAGTTTGTAGGGTTTTTTTGCTTTAGAAACATACTCACCCTCTTTACAGGCTAATCAGAAAGTGCTGCCTTTTTCAGATGTCTAATTTTTGTGAAATTTCATGTTGAAATTTTGATACGCAAACGTGTAAAAATGAATCTGGAAATTTCACGAAAAATATACATCTGAAAAAGGCAGCACTTTCTGATTAGCCTATAAAGAGGGTGAGTATGCTTCTAAAGCAAAAAAACCCTACAAACTAAGCCTAAATCATAATGTGTAAATCAAAATTTGGCTCCGTCGACACGATTTTTGTACATGTGGATGTGTGGCCTATGTTTATGGAGGCAGTCCAGTAAATAGGCCACATTTATGGGGCTATACTGGTACTAGCATGAGGGCGCCCTTTACATCTACCATAAAATTATAATGCATGGGCAGGGTGGGGATAATAATAAATTAAATAACGCGGCTGTAAATTTAATTTAGACCAATTAGAGCCTATTTTCGGAAATTAAATGGACATTGTGTAGTTACGGGCCCTTCTCATCATGCTCATTGGACTTGCTTTGAACGGCAATAGAATAAACATGATAAATTAAGTATGAACTTGTGTTCTTATTCCTCCATGCTTAGACGAATGAAATTTTAGATTTGCGTCTGATCATTTTCCAGATGACAGGAGGCTTTTTTTCATTTTCATTAGTCATTATTTTAGTGAAAAACTAATCTCTTGACCGTCTTCTAAATCGTGGCGGGACAGCGGTGGATGCCTGCTGCACTGCGCCACGATTCTAGAACATGACCGAGTCTGACACGACAATGGACGGTATGGACCACTATCGGATACCATTCAATTGTTTAAAAATCTGATGCTGGTCGCTCCACCCATCCAGTTCATCGTAAACGAAATTTAACATGCAACAAAATGTTCTATAAAATGCGATCCATTCAACAGTTTCCAGCAAATCAGTAAAAAAAAAAAACTAAAATAGGTCTACTGAGAGAAAATATCGATTGGAAATGTCGAGCACAATCTGGATGCTTGAGCAAGTTGATTGTCCTCTCTCCTGAGTTCATATCCCTATGAATTGATTTCATTCCCATCACCCTGATGCAAGTCCATCTTATTAATATTATGAATACCTGTATTTCGTAATTAATCTGATGCCCTAAGGTTTCAACCCTTGCTGTAATTTTTTATTAAATAATTGCATTATTTTGAGGACAATCATGATGTCGTGTGACAGTATTGAAGCTTGAATGTTTTCCTGCGTGTATTTATTAGTGCTGGACTATTTTTGGCCCAAGAAAAAGTGGTTCCCAAAATGAAAATGTTTTCACTTCACAAGTCGTGAAGTGAAAAAGTCACTTTAAAAACACGTACCCTTGTGTCAAAGACTACTGTCAAACATCCTTCTTAAAGTTTCCAATGATTGATTATAGATGTCAGATGTTAGCAGTTGAATATTCCCAGAACGGAATTGGGCCCCTAATCTACCCTTCCCCTCGCTAACGAACCCCTTCCTGTCTCCATACTGTAAAACAAAGGTTACTATTGGCTGGGCATGAGTAAATAGACTAGATTGTATTTTATCCATCCAATCAGATTACTCGTTAGATGTGCCAGACGTTTGTGTAATTTTAGAATGTGGACTTTTATTGCGCATTTCATATTTGCCAGTGCAATGCATTTCATACTATTCGATTCAGGCTAACCGATACATATTGCACATTGACATGGTGTAGTTCGTAACACCTTTATCGTAACAATGTGTATTCTAGGTACTTAATTATTCATAACATGAATATTCAATTCGAGTTGCAGATTCCACTTCACATATACTGGTTCCTAACTTTTCATCTTAAATTTTGGCTGAAGCACACTGTCAAAATCACTCTACAGGAATATTTCACCTACATGTATGTAATGTTTAAAAATTCAACCACTGTTCATTTTCTTGCTGAACCTCGACATTGATGTATTTTTCTCCATTTCTATTTTGTAGGAACCTGGAGGTTGTACAAGATGATGCAAGCACAGGGTGAGTAGCCACTCATTTTTATTTTGGTTAATTATTTACTTTATTTGAGGCTCCACACTGATCTTGAGTAAATTAGGAAGTAAATTTTATTTTGGAACTTCTTAATTAAGAGTGTTAGGTCACTGTAAACCAAGAAAACCTCTGTTATTGAAGGCTCTTTATTTTCCTGCTTGTATTCATGACATGAAATTTGGGGAACAGGCCTATGAAAAATTATGGGAATTAGATAAGATCTAAATTCCGGTACCATACATGTACATGCCATACGTTTCATAGTAACAGGCCCAAAGGCTTACAATCAAACAAATGTTGTTTGTTCCGGATTCTTACTACACCATTGAAGTTAACATTCTTATTATCACCATTTTGATGTGAGTATTTGTTGAAATGCAAGATATGACAATATTGATTATTTCTTCAGTTGTTGTACAGAACAACAATGCCTTGACCTTCAGTAGGGCCCAGACATGAAATTGATTTCGTGAGTGCAGCGTCTTCCTCTGATAAGAGATTGGTTCCCTCTTTATGCATCCGAGTAGAACTATGATTGACTGCCCAAACACTTAGATTGAGTTCTATACTAATGTCGGAAGCCGTCCTGGAATTAATGTATTTAGGCCAAGGACTAATGTTGCATCCACAAAACGGTGACATTTTTTGTCTTTAATCCAAATGCCTTATTCAAAGGGAAAAAATGACCTTGGCCTTTTGCCGAAGGAAATTCTAGCGCAGAGGATGTTAGCTGATTGGTTTTAATGCTGTCAGGATCATGTGCTTTACTGTTTATGAGTAAAGTATGTAGTGTTTATAATCTTGCTTTGACTACAGTATCAAGTTTATTTTGGAAACTTGATCTGAAGTTGTGCTTCAGTCATGTGGAGAAATGTCAAATATCCTATACATGGGTTTAAAAAATATAATAAACAGGCATGCAACTTTTCCTCGGATCCGCTGATTTCCTCGTTTTTTATTTCTCATGAATGCTATTACAAATTGAAAAATACTGTACAAGGTCTGGTGTGGATTGGAGTTTCCTCGTTTTTTTCTAAATTCCCAGTTGCATGCCTGAATAAACCTCATATTCTAAAGTCTGTAAGATTTTTTTGATTAAGTTTTGTCATACATGAACATGGTTAATCGTGAACCTCAACACAGCAATGAACTGGGCGGGGAATTTAACATTATATACATTGTACATACCCATGCACATGTGTGTTTGACACACAGTTTTCCTGATGTTCTGGTTAGTAGTTTTCAGGATAACTCGATGTAAAGTTTTTACATTATATTTATGATTGACATGTCAACCTGACAAACTGTTTTCTTCATGTGTCGTTGAAAGATTGGAGGATAACAGCGGAAGATCGGGCCAAACATGACGCCCAGTTCTATCAACTCAAGCCAGTCAGTGGCTTTATCACAGGAGAGCAGGCTAGAGGGTTCTTCCTTCAGTCTGGTCTCGCCAAGAACGTCTTGGGTCACATATGGTGAGTTGAGAGCTTCTCATACAAATACAGTAACACATTGTCTACCTGGATAGGGGGTTCATGACTGCCATGGCTAGAAAAATAGAGAACATGACTAGGTACTCGTATTGCTAACATGTGACCTTGCCTGGCAATCAAACATTTCCCATTGACCGATTAGATGACAACTTTTAGTCATGTGACTTGGTCATAAAAACTGTGAGAAATGTACAAAACCACAGGTTGGGGAGGGGTCGGTCCTTATGTTCATGTGTGATGCTATGTGGTATACATAGGTTTACACTGTGTCTCAAAATATTTTTGTTTTGAGATTCAGCTTAATGTTGAAACAAGTCCTGAGCTTTTTTTGGATGACCTTTTCTTCAGGAACCTTGCGGACATGAACGGCGATGGCAAGATGGACCAGCAGGAATTCTCCATCGCTATGTACCTCATCAAGAAGAAACTACAAGGGGCGGAGCTTCCTAACACCCTCCCACTGTCACTCAAGCAACAACCTAGTCCTAGTATGGGTGGAGGGTTTGGCAACTCCTTCTCTATGGGTAAGATGTCTGTGTCAAGGTGTGTGTAAGGGTGTTTGTCAGGTGTATAAGAGGGTGTGTCAGAGGGTTGTAGTGGGGTGTGTCATGGGGTAAAATGTTTTGTCAAGGGATGTGTTAGGGGATGCGTCATGGTGTGTGTCAGACAATTTGTTGGGGGATGTGTCATGGTGTGAGTTAAGATCTGTACCAGGGGCTGTGTCAGGGAGCGGGTCAGGGGAAGTATATGCGAATCTATTCTCGCTTTTACCCTTACTCTCATCGGGTGTTCACGTCACCTGTCTCCTACTTCTGCACCCATGCGGCTTCCAGCATCAAAACGTTAACCTGATTGCTAATGCCTAACACTAACACTCACCCAGTCAAGGAAGACAGTCATCATGTACAACAACTGCACTCAACTGCAGTGCAGATCTTTTCCTGACTTATCTTTCATCAAGTTTCAGTGAGATTATACTAAAACAAAAACATGCAAAATGGCAATTAATGATACTCCTCTAGCTCTAAATAAATCTATTTTTGTAACACAATGTTCTGAAAATAATTGGGAAACTATTTGATTTTGGAAAATGTAATCATTCAGTGGTTATGCAAATTGCTAAACACATTTGGATTAAATATTCAAAGTAGAATAGTTCTTAACGTGTGTAATATTTTAATAATTCATTCAAGCGCTAATTTAGAAACTAACGCTTTTTTAATTCTTCCAACTTTCCACATTGTGACTAATCCCCTCCAACAGGTATGAGTACTGGCGTAGCACCCATACAGTCATCAGTCAGTATGGGCACCATGGGAGGCATGGGTACCATGCAACCTATGACGGGTTCCGTAGCGCCAGGGCAAGGGGGGTTTAACACCCTACCCAGCAGGAGTAGCCCCATGTCGCTATCAGGAATGACCATGGGTATGTCTGCTAGGGACACGTCCGTGTTTCCATCCAAGTTACAAATTACTCTGTTCTCCTGAGTGATACAATACATTGTACATGTAGCTTCTTATGACTCATTTAACCTGCTGAATCCTAACACTAATGCCAATCTTCCTTTAACACATTGACACAAAACAACGTTTCCCGTTGACCTTTACAGTATTTTTAAACATTTGAAATACTTCATGGGTCCAACATGTTTAAAAAGAAAAACAGTAAGGAAGTTCTTTTTGTTCCTTTTGCCATTTTTTCCCCTTCAAATGGAAATTCCCTAATTTAGGTTGTCTTCCAGATACTGGACTAGAGTACCGAAGTGTGATGTCATCTGTCTTTGTTCTGGTTCTTGCGCTGATGTCAACACACACTTAAACTCTGCGTTTGAATCAGAATACGCAGGAAAACTTCGGTACTCTATTGCCCTTGTATTGTACTTATTTTTGACCCTCATATTAATTTTCAAATTATATGTCGCCTAAATAGTTTTTTTTTTATCAAAACAATTCATTAGGTACATCTGGCCAGATGCTTGGACAGTCTGGTGCCGGTGGTTTCCAAGGAGTCGCGCGGTCTGCTACCCTGCCTCACACAGCTACCCAGCCAGTACATTCATCTCCAGAAAGGTTAGATAATGCAAAATGATCAGATCAGTGACCTTCTCTACCAAAAAGGAGTCTGGTTACCTTTGAATTCATCAAAACAGCTTTATATTTCATGCTTTCTTAATTTGTGTTGATTTACATACTCTGTATATTTTAGGGAAGGATACAAAACAAAGACATTGAGTCAGTGCAACAAGGTCATAACTCCATTCTGCAACAAAGTCGTATCTCACGCAAATACGCTCCGTGCAGCAAGGTCGTATCTCGACGTCTATTGACTTGAGTGTACATCATCATCAGCGTTTAGAGTCCATTTGTCCCACTTTGTGGGGTTGGACATCTCATTTCCTTAATGGCTGCTCTCCAAGCTTTCCTGTCTGTGGGGTCCATGTGAGCGATACCAGATGTTTTGGCATCTTCTTCTACAGTTTCCCTCCAGGTTTTTCTAGGTCTCCCACGAGGCCTTCTTCCGGTGACTCGAAAATTTAAAGCTCTCTGGAGCCAGTGTGTTGCCTCTCTCCTAGCTACATCCGGGTTATTCTAAGTGAGATACGACCTTTTGACATTCTGAAACTCGCGTTTCACATACGGCGCATTAAGGAGATACGACCTTGTTTCATGGACATGACAAAATGAAGTACGAGAATCTCCAGCAAATTTTGTATTATTATCTCTTGCTACAGGTCAGCCTCCATGACCTCAGGTCCTGAGTGGTCCATTCCTCACGGCTCCAAACTACGCTACAAACAGACTTTCAATACTAACGATAAAACACGCAGCGGGTTTCTGACTGGACCCCAGGCAAGACAGATACTCATGCAGACGGGTCTACCGCAGGGTATCCTGGCTCAGATATGGTAAGATGGAGGGGAAAACGTCTGACTGATCAGGGGATCAGGGGTTCAAATCTAGCTGCTGGCCATATGTTGTGTCCTTGGGCAAGCCACTTCTCCTAGCTTGCTTCTCTCCACCCACGAGTATAATGGGGAGTAACCTGCATTGGGATGAATTTGCCTCCATGTATGTAATGCTGTGGTGTGTCATAGGAGTTAAGATAATGGAGATATTAGTTATTATTTTGATTTGTGATTTTATATTTGATTTGTCTTTCTCCCTAGGGGTCTATCTGACATCGACAACGATGGTAGACTGACTCAAGATGAGTTCTGCGTGGCCATGTATCTTGCCGATATGTCCAAGTCGGGTCAGACTCTCCCAGCTACCCTCCCAATGCACTTAGTACCTCCATCCTTCCGTAGAGGCAGATCAGGGAGCAACACGGCCTCCAGCATGGGACAGAGCATGGGGTCTGCCATGGCCCCCAGTGTGGGCCCCATGGCTCCTAGTATTGCACCCATGCAGCAAGCCATGGGGTCAATGCCTGCATCTATGATGGGTATGGGTACCATGCCACCATCGGGTGGGATGATGGTGATGCCCATGGCAACGCCGATGTCACCTGGGTTGCCACAGCAACAGAGTCTGGATGAACTGGCGCCACCTGAAGAACTACTAGGACCAGGTAATAATCCCCCAAAATCCTGAAACCAAAGAGTTCAGGATTTTGACAGATTTTGTGTTTTAGTTTTCTGACATTCTCGGGCTGATGTTGTTAAGTTTGAGTTCAAAGAATGTGCTATTGGTTTGCTGCACACTGTTGGATTTTGGGCGGAAGGTTGTTATCAAAACTAAGCCCAGAGAGTTTGGGGTAGGTGGAGATTCTTCAAAATGGGTGTAGGAAAATAAATTGTCTTTAACTTCCAAGTTTTAAATGTTGTTGAACTGGTTTGAGCAAAACTCATTGTACTTTTTTTTTTTTTTTTGATAGTGTCTTTTGAGGACAAGAAGAAAAAGAATTTTGAGAAGGGACAGATGGAGTTGGAGAGGAGACGAGCGATGCTGAGAGAAGAGCAACAACGAGAGAAGGTAAGAAGGCTGCCAAGAAAACAGGAACGATCATTTATGTTAATAGTTCTCAAAACCAACGGTGGAATCTACACATGAACACACTTCCATTGATATATGTGACTTTGTTTTTGTTTTCATAGGATCGTCAACTTCAAATTGAGAAGCAGGAACAAGAAAAGAAGGAAAGGATAAGGTGAGTTTGAAAATTGGAAAATTAGTCTGGTGCCATGATGAAGTGGTCAATACCATTAGGTCTAAAGGGAGCTAGGCCAAGATAAAAGTTTGGTGACATGATATAGTGGTCTAAACCATTGCGATCTTAATCAGGTCTTTGGGGAGCTAGATCAACACAATAGTCTGGTGCCATTGGTATAGTGGTCTTAATCCATTGGGAGCTGTATCAGGTCTTCAGGGAACTAGACCAAGATGGCCGCTGTAAACTCACGCATGTTTCTAATGCAATGAATATCTGTTCTTGTAAGGATGGAACAGGAGAGGCGGCGGCAGATGGAGCTCGACAAGATGATGGCACGGCAACGGGAGTTGGAGGCAGAGCAAGAGGCCCAACGACTCAAGATGATTGAGCAGAGAGAGGTGAGATGTTCAGATATAATACTCATCTGTCCGAGACTCTTCAAGAAGAGATTATTATGATAAAAGAGAGACTTAATAATGTCACACTTTGTAAAATTTCCCCGTTTTCCCAGACTGCTAGACGTGAGTTAGAGAGGCAACGTCAGCTTGAGATCCAGCGACAGCGACGTCAAGAGCTTGAAGCTCAGAGGATACGACATCAAGAAGACGTCTGTCATCTCAAGTCAAAGAGCAAGACGTTGGGCTGTGAACTGGAGACACTGGTGAGCTATAGACTCAATCTGGGCACAGAGGTGCAATATACCCAAGGTGGCCCCCACGGAATGGCGGTGGCATTTTGCTGGCTATTGCTCACATAACCTACTCCACCAAGATTTGAAATGATTTCAATGTGTACTTAAATGCCAAAGTAGGAATTTCACCCCAAAATTTGAACGTTTTCTCTATAATGGGAAATTGTATTCACCGTCATCTGACATGTATATTGTCCAGAAATCTTTTGTGTTGACGAGAATTTCTTCATGGATTCTACGCTCTTTTGTTTCTGTGTTTCAGGAGGATAAGAAGAACAGTTTGAACAAACAGCTGAGTGATTCTAAGAACATCGTGACTGAGCATCATACCACCATCATCCTAATGGGACAGACACGGGATGTCAAGGTGGCCGAGATTGACAAACTGCAAAAAGCCATCCAAGTAAGCATCCTCTTTCTTCAAGAAATCCTCTTCCAGAGTACAGCAAAAGAATGTGTGGTACATGTGTGTGAGTGGGGTGCACCTCTGTAATGGCGGTCACCTAATTTGTTGACATGTGAAGCAGTCTTGCTAACTTGAGATTTTCCTAACCAAGTTTCTTTGGGTCTCTTACAGGAACAAAGACAAGTCAAGCAGAATTTGGACAGGCAGAAAGATGTCATCACAGATAAGGCCAAGAAACTTGGCATTGATAGTCATGCCAGTAAGTATAAATAAATGTCAATTTTGAAGTTAAAATCATGGACTGAATTTCCTTGGGCACTGGACTTTCAGTGCCACCAGAGTACTTTCTAGAAAAAAAACCTAACAGGCTTGCTGTGGTGGGAATGATCTGCAACGGCTTGCTTACTAGTGAAGATGTGTTATTCACCCAACCAGTGAGTTTGCCGGGTCGGCTGGCTAGTTTGTGTGATGCTCTTAATAAGATGCTATTAAGTCTTGCATCTGTCTTGTTTCCCTAGCTGAGAATTACCGTACGGTCATGCACAGCTTCAACACCAAGAAGACCACAGTAGAACGGCTACGAGAACAACTCAAGCAACACGAAAATGCCATGGAATCCACATTGCTGGAAGTCGATGCCAGAAATATCAAAATAACCGTAAGTATAAGCTTTATCGTCATGAGATTCAGGGTATTATGATGCTTATAATTAATGAAGCTATATTGGCTTATACGATGCACTGAGGAAGGACACACAGATCTCTGGGTAATTCTGCAGGTTGTGGGTTCGAGTCCAGCCTGGGGCTATGGTGCGTGTGCCTGTGGACAAGGCACTTTGTCACTCATTCCTTCTCCCCACCCAGGAGTAAATGGGTACCTGTGAGGGCAGAGACGGTTACTGTGGTTTATTCTAGCTGCTTTGCACCAAACTGGCAGCATCAAGTCGTATACTCCCCACGGAGCTGAGGCGATCTTTAGAATGTTTCATGAGTCCATTGAGCAGGGTAATAATGATGTAGCGCCTTGAGCACCAATACTGGTGATAATTAAGTTACTCTTTACTTCTTCATTTTGTAGGAGCTCAAGGAACAAATTCCCAAAGAGCAAGCGGAGTTGGATCGTTTGACGACGCTACAGCAGCAGAAACAGCAGCACCAGCATCAAGCTACAGCTGATAGTAAGAGAATGCAGCAACTAGCAGCGGAGAATGAGAAAAAGATGAAACTCGCTGCTGAGCAGCAACGAATCAGGTAAAACCATCAAGAATGAAATGTAGAGTTTCAAAACGTCTTAGTCCTCTAAGATACTTCAGATAAAAACACAAATCATAATTTTGGTGTTAAATTTATAACGTTGTGGACATGCACTGGGTTAGAATTGAACAGTTTTGGGTAGCTGATTTTTATTTGAACTCAGAAACCCTCTCTTCAAAGTGGACTGTTTCAGGTTTGTCATAAGCCCCGCCCATCTTTGGTTTGTGTACATTGTTTACGGTGATGTGACCGAGTTTGAACGAGCCACCGGAGTCACCTGACCAAAAGAATGATCTGATTGGTCAATGTGCATCGTACGATTGACAGGAAGAGAGGGTCATTTCTAGAACTCCTAGACTTCAATATTGGGTTTTTTTTTTTTATTTTTTAGGGAAGAGAATCAGCGGAAACTGAAGGAGGAAGAAGAGCGACGTAAGAAGGAGCAGGTGAGACTAGCTCAGCAGAAAGCAGAGCAAGAAGCTGAGAGGAAGAGACTTGAAGAAGACAAGAAGAAGACACAGGCTGCTCCGGCTGTCGATCTCTTTGCTAGTTTTGGTAAGTTTGTTGTTTGTCGTTTGCTCTGTGGATTGAAAGACCTCTTATGCCAGGTAGATTCTGTCCGATTGAGCAGGTTTTTGTTATTGCCTGATGCAGTGAATTGTATTTTTCGTGGTTCTCTTGCAGGAAGCAGTGCAGATGATCCATTTGCCAAAGTCTCTGGTAAGTTACGTTTTTGGCGTTCTTTTCGTAGATATCATGATGGCATTCTGTAGTTATTTCTATAAAAGTGTGTACACCTAACCTTGACTAAACTTTCATCTGATGATTCACGCTCCGACTCAATAAAGGTCCCTTTTCTGCTTCCTGAACATCCATGGACTAATTCGGCAAACAAAAGTAGAAGCCATTAGTGAGGTGGAACCACGTTCATACGCGTGCCGCAATTGTTTTAAAGATATGATGAGCACGCATTTTGTTTACCTTATTGGTCTTAGGAGCCCAGAGTGTGTGTGTATTACCTGAGCACGAGCCTGGTTCAACCTCAGAAATGGTTTCTTATTTTGTTTGCCCAATAAGTGTATGGACTCTGTGCGCCAACAAAAAGGGCGCTTTTTACCACTTTTGAGAGCCTGTGCCAAAGCTATTAGCCACTGCATCTTTGCGTGAGCGTCAGGCGTCGTCCGCACGCAAATACCTTCGATATTGAACTTGCGATGGTCTCCCAGACTAATCCCCGCCACCAATAACTTTGGATTATTCGAAATACGCAGTTGAAGGGATACTTGTGCACGGAGCCCATACAAGGCAGGAGTTCATTTTCAGGAGTAAGGATAAAGTAGAGAATGCTTAACAGGGTTTAGATCACCAATTCACAGATATTGTGTCTTCCTTTTTCTCCAGCTGTTGAAAACACATCGGCAGCCAAGTCATTGGACCCTGCGGATCCCTTCGCTGCATTTTCAGGTACGCTTCTAAGCAAAATATTTTCAAAGTTTTGTAAATTAATTTATGTTATCTTTTGAGTTTTGAATAATGATTTTCAAATGATTCCAATGCAGGTTCCCCCGCTACTGTCAAGGTCTCAACAGATAAGGAAGATCCTTTTGGAGCCTTTGCAGGTATTTTTTATTTTGTTGGACTTTTTTTTTTAATTACCAAGATAAAGGTTCTGCATGCATGTGTACTTTATGGTACATTTTATTTCCTCTTATACAGCCTCAATCTGATTTCAAAAGCAACAAAACAGAAAACTGATTTTTTTTCAAAATTCCATTTCAGATTTTTCCAATGCAACGTTTGACTTTGGGTCAAGTAAGGAAACCCAGAAATCAATCTCCCAGCCCAGTGCAGCACCAAAGCCAGAGCCAGCTCCCAAACCATCGCAGCCATCAACCAACGTCACTCTCTCAACGTCTGCAGTCAGCGCATCCATCGCACAAACCACCAAAGCCACGAAACCGCCGGTAATTGCACCCAAGCCCAGTATTAATCATGATAGCGGGGTACCGACTAAGTCACCGGTGATGAAGATGTCTGGCCTGTTGTTTATGCGTTACAAAGCGCTGTATCCTTTCCAGGCAGAGACGCCCGAAGAATTGACCATCAATCCTGGAGATATTATCATGGTGAGGATTAAAAATTAGAACAAAGTATTTCACCGTAAATCTCACGTGTCATTTCAGTCGTTCGGCTTAAGTGATAAAATTATTCTTGACATTGAATGGAAGTTAAGGCCAGCTTATATCTTACGGGAATGTTTATTGAAATGATTGATGCCTCAAAACATTCTCGGGAAAATTCAAAATGTTAAATGTGTTTGATCTTTGTGAATTAAAACAAAATATTTGTGACATCCTAAAATATGCATTTGTATTCACCTTTGAGGGCCAAGCAAATTTGACATTACAAAACTTGCTGTTGTCAAAACTTGCTGTTGTCAAAACTTGCTGCATTTGCTGTTCTTGAGAAGTACAGCTTCTGCAAAGTGTACTGAAGGAATTTACATTAACTTTTACACAAAGTGCGAACTAATCTTTTGATTTTCTAGGTAAATTAAGTAGTCTACAAGGTTTTTAAGATCAGTGTTGCAATGCATCATTTGCTAACCCTTGATATTTTTCTTTTGGTGTCGACAGGTGGGTAATAGTGAGAATGCAGAGCCTGGTTGGCTCGGCGGGGAACTCAACGGCAAGACGGGATGGTTCCCTGAGAACTACGCAGAGAGAATAGATGACGAAGAGGTCAAACCAAGCAATGACTTAGGATGGGCTAGCTTTGGGGATTCAAGTAGCAACAAACAGTAAGTCTTTGCTCACCTGAAACGGATATTTCCACTGGGTTTTATTCCAAATGTGTACTTTGTCCTTTGTAAGGGTTCCTTCAGCTTATTGCCTCCAGATTGCCTGTAAAAATTGCTTCATGTCCCTTGGGCCTTGTAAAGCACACGTGTATTGCAAAGCATGGTGTCGTTATGTCTCAAAGAGTATTTTGTAAGAAGAACCAGTTTGTTCCGGTATTGGAAGGAAGGTTTGATATATGTTTGTCAACAGGACGGAGGTGGTCAAATCAGAAACTACATCTTCCACAGAGTCAGCTTCAGCTTCCTCTGCATTCAGTCATCCAGTCAAGTCATCCCCCTTCGCCCATGTGACTCCCTCAACAGCCATTCAGCCGGCCCCGTCACCCACGCCTACACCAGGACAGGTATCCAAACCTATACCTTTTGGCTTTGCTTTAAAATTGTCTTTCCTTTCTGGGAATTACGTTTATTCATTTTTAAAACCAGCACTGCTACTTACTATTGCAAGCACCAATCAAGGTTAGTTTCAAGACATCTACAACAGGCCACTCATCTCTTGATGGGAACATTGGTTTGATTTTGTTTTTCCAGGGCAAGATATTACAAGACGGCGTGAAGGCCGAAGCCCTGTATGACTGGGATGCTAAGAAAGATAACCACTTATCCTTCAAGAAAGGCGATGTCTTGATGCTGAAGGAGCAGCAAGATATGTGGTGGCTAGGCGAACTGAATGGCAAACAAGGATGGTTCCCTAAGACGCAGGTCAAGCAACTACCTGAGGAGTAAGTTGTCTAGAAGAAGTGTCTCTTCTGATACAGTCAGTGTTTTGTGGGGAAGAAAATGAGGACGTTGTGGTGCATATGTAGCGCTTCACAGTGATCACCCCTGTTCAGAAGTCCGTGAGACTAGCTCATGCAGCACCTCGAGATAAGCACAATCTGATTTATACCCATTTTATACTCCTGGGTAGAGAGAGGCAATTGTAGTAAAGTGTCTTGCTTAAAAACACTAACACCATGTTCTTGTCAGAGTTTGAACCCATGTATGTGCACTTCAAACAGATGGTGTCGTAATAACTCAAACCTGTATTATTTTAATTTTCTAACCTCAAGTTGCAGTAAAATCTCTATAAAATTGTATGTAATTTTGCATAGTTAAGGCTAACCCCAACCTTCCATATTCCTTTGGTAATTCAGAAGTGGAACCCTAATTCCAAGATCTAACTTTCTTTGACAGCAAACCAGCTGCAGCTGCAGCAGCAGCATCAACGGAAGCATCCTTCCCTGTAGCAACAGGCTCTGTGGCAGCCATTGCATCGTCGCTGTTTGGAAATACTACATTCACAACGACGGCCACTGTGAAGCCAGCCGTCTCCCCAACGCCCATGGCTTTCCAACCCCAGCAGGGCGAGGGTAAGTATGGGCTCATGTGTGTTGTAGTCGAGTCCATCACAAGTCCAGTCACAAGAAAATTACAAGTCAATTCTCCAGCCCGGTTCCCAGTAACAGGGGATGAACAGTAACAAAGAAAAAAATTTGTCAAGGTACATTTTAAAGAGCCTGTGACTTGTGTTTGCGCTGAATGACTTTTGATTGACATGTGAGGACTTGTAATGGACTTGACAACAATACTTGTTCATGAGATGGAATTTGCATTGGGGTGATGTAAATTCTATATTGGGTTTTGCCCTTCACCAACTTATTTTTATAAACTCTGTATACTCAGTGTTGTCCCGAGTGATGAGAGAAAAATAGTTCTTTTTTCTCCCAATCACTCGGGACAACGAGGGGTATACAGTGTTTATAAAAATATGTCGGTGAACAGCAAAATAGAATGTTGAATAATTAATACTTGTATTGATTGTTTGAACTGACTTGCATTCAGGCTTCGTGTACATATTTAAATATTCATACACCAGAGTGTATTGTGTCCATTAACAATTCTTGCTTGGTTTTGATTCCTTCGTACTACAGAATACGTTGCATTGTATCAGCACACTTCCAGTGAGCCCGGGGATTTGCAATTCTCAGCCGGCGAAACCATCCTGGTCACTAAGAAGGATGGTGATTGGTTGACTGGAACAATAGGGGACAGACAAGGCATCTTTCCAGCCAATATCGTCCAGCCAAAGGGCAGTGCCACGGCCCAACCAACAGAACCTGCTGTCAACTCATTTGAACCTTCATCCGTCAAACAATCCACTTCCTCTGCCATCCAGTCCATGGATGAAGTGGTGACCAAATTCCCTTACACCTCAGACCAACCTGGCGATCTGAATTTTGAAGCCGGCCAGACCATCGTTGTTACTAAAAAGGATGGTGATTGGTGGACGGGCAGGCTAGGAGACAGGGAAGGCATCTTTCCAGCCAATTACGTCAATCCTAAGGAAGGCGGAGGAGGAGACAAGCCTGTTACCATAACGACGCCTCCAGTAGTTGCCGTGACGCCGGATGACACAGCAGAGAAGACGGCATCACTCACTCGCAAACCAGGTAAGTGTAACATCTTCAGAATGTCAAACATAAAAAACAAGATACTTTAAAATCATTAACCCAAACCAACCCTTAGTTAAGCTGAAGTGATCTAAGGAATATTTGAAGTTTTGATGAGACTGATGTAGTACCTTAAGCATCAATATCGGCAGATGCACACCTCCCATAAGTCGTCTTATTTGATTTGTCTACTTAACAGAGATAGCTCGCGTCATTGCTCCATATACAGCCACCTCCGCCGAGCAGTTGAGTCTGTCGCTTGGTCAGTTGATTGGTGTCAGGAAAAAGAATCCAAGTGGTTGGTGGGAAGGTGAACTTCAGGTAAAAAAATTGAGGATTAAGTGTTGCTCAGCCCTCATATTATGCTACAATTAGTCGAGGAAGACACAAGTTCTTTGTTCACCTGATTAATTCAAACCTTCAAAGTATTTCTTTTCACTTTTTGCTTCCTCATTCTGCTCCAGGCACGTGGTAAGAAGAAACAGATTGGATGGTTCCCTGCCAACTATGTGCAGTTAATGGGTAGTGGTGGAAGCACACCAACCGACTCGGCCCCCGCATCCATCCAGGCATCGATGGCTGTCCCCACACAGGTTTGTCAAAAAATTAATAACACATCTGACTGTTTATTTATGATTCTTAGAATTGGATCGTGTTTTTGCCCATTGCTGATGTAGTAATTCTGTCAGATTTTACCCAGGCAATCAACCCTTGCAACCTTGGTGAGTGGTCAACCATTACCACATGTAGTACATTGTATTACATTGTACTACATTGTATTACTTTGTATTACATTGTGTTTATTCACTGAAGAATCAACAATAACCATAGAGCTCTGGCATTTTCAGGCGCTACAGTGAGTAATGGGCAGGGCGGTTTCGACTAAACAGTTAAGTAATCTCCTCTGAAAAGAAGGAGATCGTGGGTTCGAGTCCTGCCCGAGCACGCTCGTGAAGTTTTTTAGCAACCTCTCAGAAAGGGCAAGATCCAGTATTGAAATTTAAATCTTTCTTATCACATTAACCTGATAGTTGACTTGACTGTATTTGTGTTCCTTGTAGGGGACAGACAGAGCCACAACACCGACAACGCCCACACCTGATGGAAGTAAGTTTTGATGTCTTTCAAGAAATCATTTGAGATTTCAAGAAATCATGTGAGATTTCGAGAAATCAGATGTACAGTTGACTTGGCAAGTCTCATGTGGACCTCAGTAACGCTGCTTCTTGTTCATCAGATTTTATCATTTAGATGTTTAGCTTGACAGTAGTAGCTCAAACATCAAGAGATTTTGCATTAAAATTAAGAACTGTACCATCAAAGATAAACAGAGAAAAATCTCTGAATTCATGTCTCCAAAATACTGCTGGGAGTTCTGATTGGCTTCATTGTCGCAGTTTCTAATTCTTAACTAACGTTATCTTTATTGTTGCAGTCTCAAATTCCTAATTTGCATCTTGTCAAATTGTCGTCCATTTTGTTTTCTCTAACCAGCCTGTCAGGTGATCACGTTGTACCCCTATGTCAAGCAGAATGACGATGAGCTCTCATTCCAGAAGGGAATCGTGGTCAACGTCATCAGTAAAGAAGACAAGGATTGGTGGAAAGGAGAACTGAACGGGGCAACAGGAGTCTTCCCTTCCAATTATGTACAGGAACTCAGTGAATCTGGACCGGCCAGCAAAGTCAACTGTAAGTAATCTTTGTTCTTGTCAGCGAAATGACTCCATTCATTTCTGTGTTAGTCACTCCTTCCTATCCATTTTGACCATCTGTCTATTATTGCCACCTGTCAATTATGGCACCTGCTCGTCATGGCCACCTGTCCATTGAGGCCACCTGTCAGTTATTGCCACCTGTCAGTTATGGCCACCTGTCAATTATGGCCACCTGTCAATTATTGCCACCTGTCAGTTATGGCCACCTGTCAATTATTGCCACCTGTCAGTTATGGCCACCTGTCAATTATTGCCACCTGTCAGTTATGGCCACCTGTCAATTATTGCCACCTGTCAGTTATGGCCACCTGTCAATTATTGCCACCTGTCAGTTATGGCCACCTGTCAATTATTGCCACCTGTCAATTATTGCCACCTGTCAATTATTGCCACCTGTCAGTTATGGCCACCTGTCAATTATTGCCACCTGTCAATTATTGCCACCTGTCAATTATTGCCACCTGTCAGTTATGGCCACCTGTCAATTATTGCCACTTGTCCATTGAGACCACCTGTCTTTTATGGAAGTTTGCACGGTTTTATTCTTTTTCGTTTTGACGGCCACCTGTCAGTGTTGGCCACCTGCCCATTTTGACCACCTGTTCATTGAGACCACCAGACCCATTGCTACCACCTGTCTTTTTTGGACACCTGTTTATCCTGCCCTTTGTCTGTCACTCCATCACATGATCACCTACAAAGTTTTATTGTGCTCTCCAAAAAAGTTGTTCATGTTTGCATTTTCACCTCACATCGCTTTCTCTGTATATTACAAATTATTTTGATTTTTCAAATGTGGCAACTACAACGCTTTTCTGGGAGAAAAAACCCCAATGCTGGCCGTTCTGACTATCTGCCAACTCTTATTTTGTTCACTCTGTAGAAATTCAAGTCGCTGCATAGGCTTGCGTGAAAGACCCACTCCACCAAATCAAGCCCGATTACCACGGAAACCTGGTTGTCATGACTATGCAAGCTGGAGATAAAACCAAACCCCCAAAATTAAATGAAACCAACTCAGCAAAAAAGATGGCATCACTTTTTTTAAGCAACTCTGTATTCTATGTGTGTGTCTTAACGCATGCCTCCCCTTTTAAAAAATTGTTATATTTCTGGAGACGATGGAATTGTCCAGTTAGGTAGTGGGTCTTTCAACGGCAAGCTTCTGCATGCAGGTGTGTACTAGAAATTAACATATTTCAAAGGATAATCTGGTCTAAATTCTCAACTAGTCTTTTCGTAGTTTTTAAACTAAAAAAAAAAGCTGCCATTTTCTTTCCCAAATTGCCGGATATTTCTTGCATGCTGTGCTTTGAATGACCCACTACAAACCTTTGCTCAAGTACAGAAAATCTTGATGAAGTGGAAGACGTTATTTATGTATTAATTTTTAGGGATCTATATATATATATAAATGTATTTATTATGATGACAATTTTTTACTTTTTTGCTGAGTTTTAAAGTAGATTGGAGAGAACTTTTTTATATCCCGTCTCTGTTGATTTGATTTTCTCATAATTAGCCCAGTTGTGCTTTTCACAGACATCTTTATTGTCAAGTGCTGTTACTTGACAATATGATGCAATGATGCTTCACTGGGGATTTTTTTTTTTATTGTTAAACAGACAGTTTAGTTTCGTTTACATCACGTCATGGTGTCACATGTAAATCATTATGCTAACCCTGACAAAAGTACTGTACATAATAATCAATTCTCTGCCAGGAAAAATAACTGCCGTCGTTTCTATTTTGATCATTTGTATTTTGAACAAACGAGAAAATGATCTTCACAAAGAGGATCATGAACGGAGCCGATTTTTAAAAAGTATTTATTTATCTCAGTGCTTTTGTTTTTTGGTGCTACATGTACAATTAATTTTATCGGTACACATTGTTTAAGATGAAATCTTCATGTAGATTATTTAGAATAAGTAGAATTGTAAACCGGAAAATGTAGATGTATATCAGAACAAATTTGTTAGCGGTACTGACGGGAATTGTAAAAAAAATATGCTAGCCAGTAGTTTTCAGGAATATGACATATAAACTTCCACAGTTCATTATTAACTGTACTTTCTTGCATTAATCAAGTAAACATACATGTGTATGTTAATACTTTTTTCACTGATGTTTCCTCTGAAACTTTTTCTACAGACAACAGGGTATTTGGTATTATTTCTGTATCTCTGTTGAATTATTTCATACAACTCTTACACACTTCGGTTGCTTGCCTTTTGGCAAATGTGTCTGTATCTTCTAGTTTAGAATGATTTCCACACAACAATGAAAGTCACAAAAAAAGTGTGAGAAATATTTGATATGTTCTGAGTATAACAAAACAAGCAAGGTAATAAACATGTATACAAACCCTATTACAGCTTGAATTTTATACAATATATCAGGTCTTTGTGATCTTGACTGCCATAAAACTGCTGAATCTGTTGAGGGCCGAATGCCAGGAAGTCCCAGACGTAGCTTTCACTGCCGGTGTACTGTCAGCCAATTAACTTTTGATTGATAATCTTCCCATCCCCAAAGTGCCACAGATTACTTATAAATCCAAGTAATGACAAAAAATGCTGGGGAGTATTTCACCACAAAGCAGCCATTTGTCCAGAAGATTCAATCCTCTTCTTACTGTGTCATGGACTTGTTATCCAGCTATTTGTCTGTATTGCGTTGAGCCTGATGTTACAGCGCTGGGAGAAAGTATAGGAGTGTTCAAAGCGGGGATAATTTATGGGAGGATTTTGCCAGATTTTGAAAGATATTGATGGCTTTGTCACTTTCACTCACAATCTGTAAATAAGATTAACGCCAAGGCTGAAATGCTTGTGCTGATATTCTCAAAGCTGTCGCAGGCAAAGACTTTCAATTCCCTTGATGTTTGATGCAACACAAAACGCAACAATTTCAAATTTTTATAAACATACATGTATCTTTACAAGTAACAATAGACTCCGTGCACAAACAGTACATTGAGCTTTGTGAGGGATGGACACAAGGCATATGCATACAATCGTGTTTTACTATACTCTCGAGGACAATGCTTTGTGTTTCCCTTTGTCCCTGTAATATAACACTGTCTTATAGACTAAGCACACAAACGTACTACAGAGGACCGTTTTCTAACAAAAGACTCAACTCCTGAGGACTGAAAGGATTTGTTCTCCCTTTGTTTGTCGGTCCTGGGGGGGGGGGGGTTATGTAGAACACGTACGTACTGGTTTGTGAGTGTATGATGCGAAAGACGAACGACTCGTTTTATTCTGAATGTGTAGAAACCCGTAACGTCTTCTTGTGAGCCTCGGGCGTTGTCAGCAGTGCGTTCCAATGTCCCCCCAGTGGTCTCCCCCAACTCTCCCTTCCTTACCGTTGAGGGGGTACTTGTGCACGGAGGCCATATGCTGAAGATTTCATTATTGATGAAGAGTTGTATTTAGTTTAGTGGATATTGATGTTTCTGTAAAGTGTAACAACTCCCAAATTCTGGGTGTATTTAAAGTACTTACATGTACAACATTAATGTTTTGCCAACTGTGATTATATGCTACCTTTTTTTTTATTATGATCAGGTGCATGTAATTGTTATTTTAGAATGTGTATTAAACTGTCAAGCAGCTATTTAATATTAACATTAAAGTATTAATAAATCCTTTGGGTTGAACCTACAAAATGTGCATGGGTGTAAGCTTTTTTCTATTAGTAGTACATTTTGATAAATTCAACTTTTCAAAACTCAGACTATTTCTCAGTTTTCTTTTACGTGATGCTGCTCAGGCACTGCTTAGCTTATGCAAAGATGAATTCCAAGGTTTTCACCTTAAGAAAGTGAAACTATTATATGTTGAATGTTGTTGACTTGTTATTATAATAAAGGAAAAATGCAAAAACCAAGTCCCCACCCCTAAAAACAAATAAATTAAATAGAACCAAAAATAACCCAGTATGTTGGAGTAACAAATAGAAACCTCTAAAATTTGAAAATTCTAGTCTAAGATCTGGGCAAATCATTATCTTTCAGGCATCCTTTGTACCCCATGACAGGGGAAGAAATGTCGAGAAAAGAAAACAGAATTTATGAAGCAGGAGAGAGTCCTGCAAATGCCAAAACTTTTTTTTTCATTTGCAGATAATATTGTCTATGTCATATACTTCTTTCCTCTTTGTTAAATTTCTTACACAATGATAGACCCCACTAAATCCTTGATAAAAAGCAAGAAATAATATTTTTGTCGTCCTTGGGTTTTTCTTTCAGGGACGAAGGATCTTCATTTGTTGGAGTCGACGGCACCGATGGAGAGACATCGACAAGAAAGCATCCATGAACTGATCAATACTGAGCAGACTTATGTCGATGATCTTGTCTTAGCAATAGAGGTGGGTCATGCAAGACATCTCTGGTTTTCTTATTTTACTGTCTTCGCTGATCATTTTGGGTCTAGCTTAACCGCACAAGCCTAGTTCCTCTTTTGTTTTTACAAGATGTGAAGGCAATTTCCTCGACATCCCACTTGAAAATTTGTATTATGTTATTACATAACAACCTAAATTGCTAATAACTCTTTCATCCCAGATTCTAATAACTCTTTCATGTGGAAGGTGAAAAACAATCTTCTGCTGAAACAGTATTCACTTACAAAATTGGAAAGAACAATTCATTATTTTGGATGGACGCATCTGTTAGTGCGAGGGACCTAATCAGCGAAACTAATTTAAACCGCTGTGGAGTCTCGGAAAAGAGAGACTTCAATCTTGAGGCAGTAGTCAAAATTGGATGAATTTGTCCTTTGCATGTGGTTATTAAATTTTGGAGAAAAATGTGTCTTTGTTTTTTAGTTATCAAACATATATTATGTCTCCATGTTTTGTTGATGCACATCCAAAGCACCCAACCTTATGGATGGGGTTTATGGGGTACTTGCATTGTTCTTCATTTATCCCACTTCTTTAGAATTTCCCTTGGGGGGGGGGGGGTACCGTTTTACAAAGGCTGACTTGCATCCCTTTGTATCTACCTTATGGGGTACTCACACAATTGTGTTAGTCATAAGGTAGCTCTCTTAAAAACAGGAACGTTTGTCAACAATTTGCACTCAAGCTTCATATACATTGTATTTTTCTTCTTTTTGTTTCTGAGGCAAAAGACCAAAGTGGTGTTAAAAAATTGAAAGTGATAGAATGAACTTACAAAGGATTTCAGGAATGTCGATCTTTCAAATGTAACAATTAGCTAATTTCTGGAAATGGTCTTATCTCAGACACACTATGTATTGATTCAGGATTCACTGTTGCAACAGTTCAATTTCCATTCTTTTAAAATCTCAAACTCTCTGTGGTTTTACTGACCAGGTTTTTCAGAAGCCGTTAAGTGAGTCGGGAAAGCTAGACGTTCAAGAGATATCCAGGATCTTTGTCAATTGGAGAGAAATCATTCAGTGCAATAATAAGCTACTAAAGTAAGTACTAAAAATAAAAATGCATGCTCCCCCCCCCCCAAAAAAGAGGACGTTGCAGCTTACCCTTGCTTGTTGAAAGATGTATCCCATCGTAGATCACGTCATAAAGACTCCAGTTTCTGTGAATGATGCCCACGCTCTCTTGGGTACTTGTACAGAAAGTCCACAATGAGAAATTCAGTATGAATCTTCAATGCCATGAAATCATTTTTGTGGCTTTTGTGATTTATTTACTCGGATAGCAGTGTTCAAATCTCAAACCATTAGTAACATTTCTAGAATTAACAACAATACAGTAGGGTTGTACTGAATATGCCAAATATTAGAATATTCGTTAATCTACAGAATATTCAAATAGCTTTTACCGTTTTTTAATAATTAAAAACAAAATAACTACACACATATACACACATGACTGTGATATTATTTTATCGTAAAGCTATGGCACTGTATTGTCAGGTGCCACTATTTTTCAACGGTAACTTTTTTTGTTGACGGCGGTTCATTGTTCCAATCCCTTTAACAGATTAATGCCCCTGACAGTTATACAATTCACTCCAACGGCACATATCAATCACCACATGCAAATTTTCACTGGTGTGATCGGCGTGCAATTTTTCCAGTTTCAAGTTAAATCAAATACTATATTAGTCAACAATGGACAGCCCTACAAAACAATGTTTTATTTTGTGTTTTTTTTCTTTGGTGATTTAATTTATTTTAATAGCAGTGTTCAAATCTTAAACCATTAATAATACTTCTACATCTAACAGCAGTCACTGGAATGTCACGTACATTTAAGATACTTTTAATAATAACAGTGCTAAATATGGAATGGATTGGTACAATACAGTCATAAATTGATTCATCACAATTAGTGAATGAGTGCAATAAATGTCAAATGTCACAGTACTTTAATTGAACAGTTTTAGTCTCATACATGTTTATAAATTTGAACGTAAGTATTGAGAAAGTATACAAGTTTTCTAGGTACAAGTATGTGTCAATACATATAGGTGGAACTTCCAATTTAGGCATACTTTACCATTAATTTAAGCTTTTCATCTACTTGATATTAGAAGTGCTTTGACTTGTGATTAGTAAGTTTTATCACATTTAACTGAAGTGCTATTATTTAGGAAATTAACTAATTCTATCAAGTGAGTCCAGTATATGAAGACAGTCATAGTTTATGATGAACTCCGTGGTAGCGGTCTTTGTGCTGACTCTCTGCGGAGCATTCTGATCACCATGGGCAGTGCTGATCTGATTCTGGGCGGCGATGCGACGTACCTGCTGGCGCACAGTGTCAAAAATGGTTATAGTTTAATGATGTAGTATTTTGACTTGCATCCGAGGCTGATATAAAGTGAGAGTCTTGAGAATGTTTGTCAGAGTTACAGGCGAAAGCAAGAAGCAACCAACTCATGCAGGGCGTGGCGAAGCTCCCTGTTCCTCAGATAGTAAATGACCACATTCAGCCAACTGTTGGTGAAGAAGATGGTGTTAGTAAGGATACTGAAGCTGTTGTAGTTAGAGATGCGATCAAAGAAGATGACAGGCAGAAGGATTTGAGGCGTCCAGCAGACGCACACAGCTCCAGTGATAATCAGTAGGGTTGTTGCAGACTTGGTGCCGATTGGTTGCGGAGCGTTAGGTCCCTGCAGATCCCCAGCGATGTGATTTTGAGCAGCAATCAGCCGTTTGTGTCGACGCACCACTCGGAGAATTACAAGGTAGAGGACTAAGATATTCAGCAGGGAGAGACCGAATATGGTGGCAACGACATCGATGCAGAAGTCGCATGGGGTGATAACACAATCACGGTCTTGAACAACTGTGGCTGGGGCATAGATGCCAAAGAAGATGACATTTACTGTCACAGTCAGGGTCCACATGACGGCAACGGTGACCTTTGCCCTCAACGGGGTCATCAGGCTGGGATAACGCAGAGCATAGACAATAGCAACGAAGCGATCTATGGTTAGAAGGAGAAGTGATAGAATACTCAAGGTTGTGAGGGTTGGAATAACGGTGCCGAAAACCCGACAGAGGAAGTTACCCAGTGCCCAGGTTCTTGCTACAAAAGCAGCCAGCTGAGGCACTGCCCAGAACAAACCGATGTAGATATCAGACACGGTCAGTGACATCATGAAGACTTTCCTGGCTTCTGAGAGGCCATTGGCTCGACGGAGAACAGCTAAACTCAACGGATTGAGGACGACGATGAGTACGATAGTCAGAGCCATCACTATTTGGGTGAAAATGGCAAACGGCTGCCGATCTTGCTCAAACGGTCCAATTGAGTTACCATCTGTTGAATTCATCACTCCAGATTGTTGATCTTCAATTCCCGTATGGTGTTACTAACAGTCCTGAATCCTCCAATTTCAATATGATTTTGCACACCCACTAGGGAGTTAGGGTTAAGAACAGAAATGCTCAGGGAAATCTGAGGAGAAAGTGGTACTGTCGCTCAGCAGCTCTGGTCTGTTTGTGACCACATATTCATAACCTACTTCCTTTTCTTGAAGCACATCAATTTGTAAGCTATGGATCCTGTTGCTATGCCAACGGTGATGCAAAACACTTCAATCATTCAATCATGATAACATAACCCCCCCCCCCCCAACCACTGCCTGCAGCAAATCTATTAATCCTCTACTTTCTTATTTTGACCCTGAATCCTGCATTTGTTTTTCAGCTACGAGAGCTCAATTGTATAAGCCTCCCTGTATGTTATTAGCGGCAGAGAAGTACTTTAAATGCAAAAAAATAATCAGAAAAAGTAAATTGAACCACAACTAAGTAACAAAGTGGACAGATATAATGAGAAAAAAGATAACTGCATAAATGCATAATTTTATGTACAAAAGCCAGAAAGTAGAAAATCCAATGGATGCTGCATGTAGTAGGGTTGTAAGAAGGGTTAGTATAGTTTTTATTTGATTTCATTTTTTCTTTTTTTTTTCTTGTAAATCAGGTCTTTGAGGGTTCGTAAGAAGATGTCTGGTGAAGGACAGCTAATCCACATGATTGGAGACATTTTGTGTGAACAGGTAAATTTAAGAGATGCTAATTGCTAATAAACAATCAATTTTAATCATTATTACGAACAATTACTGCATGCTTTGTAAAGAGACTTTATTCATCTTCTGAATCTACCAATTACATTGAACTTTCATTCAACTACTCACCCAGTTGTCTGATTTCTCAAGAATATTTTTTTCTTTCTGTGCAAAATCGTTTGCACAGAATCATGCATCCTGTCAAAATTATATGGACGTGGTTAAAAGGTCAAAAGGTCAACCTGCTTTATATTCTGTCAGAACCTTGGAAAGTATCTGCACTCTGAAAGCAAATCTTGTTTTTTTAACTCAACAGGCGAAAGATGTCATTCTTTACAGCCGTCAATGAATGCTCTGTAATTTCTTGTTTTTTCCCCGCTGTTGTTATATTTAGCTTCCTCGTATGACAGCCTATATCCGGTTCTGTAGTTGTCAGCTCAATGCATCCAGTTTGCTTCAACAGAGGATAGACAGTGACCCAGAATTTAAAGAATACGTTAAGGTAAAATATTGCCTTCACTGGATTGTAGTTACCTTAATACTCACAGCCCAAGTCTACCCCACTATGGGGTCACACACTACAAAGTGTCTTGCCCAAGGACACAAAAACTGTGATCCCCGGTAAGATTCGAACCCCAAATTCAGAACATCATGTCACATGACAATTAAATCGTGCTATGTAAAGGAACCTGATCGCCAAATTTCTCGTCAACCATTTTGTTTTTTGGTGAGCAGCGAACAGGGGCTGGGAGGGGAAATATGACACTGACTGCTGAATTAAGATGTTATTGCACCTGTTAATAAATAAACTTGCCTTTCTTCTGATCAGAAACTAGCTCAGGATCCTCGAGTCAAAGGCATGCCAGTCAGTAGTTATCTCATCAAGCCCATGCAGCGAATAACTCGCTATCCTCTGCTCATTAAAAAGGTCAGTCTTACTTTCTCATTTATTTTTTTTGTATTTTTTATTTTCAGAGTCCTTGGTCCAGCACACATTGTGTTTGTCTCTGTACTATTTTTTTTTGTGGCTCTAGAAAAGTTCTCAAAAAAATGCTGTATAAGTAACTCCATAGTCCTTAGAAAGGGAATTTAATTCCAGTTCTAGTTTTCTACCCATACAAAAAATAATTGACCGATGTTAAATGCATGTTGATATGCATTGGCTACAGTCATGTATTGGAAATGAAATTCTAGAGTGTTTGTAATGAAAAATTTGCCCTCTGACAAGATGTTTCAAACTTTTTGCAAAGTTATATGCAAACTTGCACTCAAAGCTTCATTTTCAGACACTTGTACCTAAATTTAGACAATTGCTATTGTTATTTGATAATGAGACAATTATAAGTTTGATGAATTTGGGATACAGATACTGAAATACACCGCAGAGACACACCCTGATCACGCCACTATACGAGCTGCTCTGGAGAAAGCTGAAGAGTTGTGTCAACAGGTCAACGAAGGAGTCAGAGAAAAGGAGAACTCGGATAGACTCGAGTGGCTACAGGTGCATGTAGATTGCCCTGGATTAGCAGAGGTGGGTGGAGGGGTGGGGTATGGGCGGGGATGAGCAGGGTTAGGGATGGGTATCATGGGGTGTGGTCAGGGTTACCGAAGGGGGGAGAGTTAGACTTGAATGGCTACAGGTGCATGAAGATTGCCCTGGATTAGCAGAGGTGGGTGGAGGGGTGGGGTATGGGCGGGGCTAAATATGGGCATTAAAGGGTGTGGTGACAGTAACCATAGGAACACGAGTGTGACACAAAAAAGTGAGTGGGGCTAGGGCATCTTGGAGGGTGTAGCATTGAAGGGTGTGGTCAACTGCTTTACAAGAAGATGGGATGATGATTTCACTTGATGCTTTTGTCTCTTGATGTAAAGGAGCTGATTTTCAATTCGCTGACCAACTGCCTTGGGCCGAGGAAATATGTGCACTCTGGAAAACTACAAAAGGTAAGAATTGCATGCTTGATCCTTGTGGCAAATTTGTTGGGTTATTAATTGGGGCGGTGGCCGATAATGATGCTATATTTTGTTATATTTTGATTTCAGTAAAAGGGTACACATTTCAGATACACTTTGAGTTTTTCATCTCAAAGATATACCCGTTTGCTATACTGATTTGACTTGGAGCAAACTAAGAGGTTATTTGTTTGTTGTTTCTTCTTTTGACAGACTAAGAGTAACAAGGAGTTGTTTGCATTTCTCTTCAATGATTTCCTGCTGTTCACGCAGCCTGTCAAGCCAGGCTTGCTGCCATTTGTTGCTTCAAACAGTAAACGCACGGTGGAATATCGCATGTATAGACAAGTAAGTATTGCTGCAAATGGAATCTTAGTTGTTGGCTGCTGATTTTTAAAAAATGGATCAAGTAACAAAATAAACCTCCTTTTTTTCTTTTTTTTCAAATTTTTTTTTTTCATTTTGAAATTCTCAGCCTCTGTTTCTGAATGAAGTGGATGTCAAGTCGGCAAGTGACGCTGGAACCAATGATTTTGTCTTCAACATCAACCACATTGACAAAGTGTACTCGCTGCGTGGGGAGAGCACCAACGATAAGAATCGCTGGATGGACAAGATCCAAGCAGCGTCTAAGAATTACATCGAGACAGAGAAGAAGAAGAGAGAGAAACTACAGAGAGGTCAGTCACCTTGGATGTTAAAGGGTCTGTCTTGTAATAGTCTTACTTGTAGGATTGTGTGATCAGGAAAGCGCCCTCATGTGTTCTTTAAATGAGCTGCTAGAATTGTCACGATCAGTGTATATATTTTCTTTTATACTGAGATTGGGCCTTGGCATTATGGTTCTTTGCAGTCCGTTCCATGAGAAGTAAAGGAGTTGGAAGACTGTTGGTCGTCATTATCGAAGGTCATGACCTCAAACCGTCCAATAATATTACAGGTAATCATCAACTTAAGTATTTTCGTTCAAAGGGAAGAAATATTGTTTGTCAATAAAAACTTTTGTCTTGACTTTGAGTAATCAATTTAACTACTGTGGTAATAGTCAAGATTATGGTAAAAAAATTGTGTCATTCTTAAAGTAATTCTGCCCGTACACAAGTTTGAATTTTTTTGGGAGAATCTCAGATTTTTTTGTTATTATGTTTTCAGTTGTTGGTGTATTTTGACCAGCTTTCATAATTTAAGTACCTCTATTTCCTGGCTTCATTGTGTGACTATGTTCTTTAAAAATAAAAGATTTCCAAAAAAGGAGTATTTTTTTAAATCCATTCCAGCTTTAATAATTGAAGTGTCTGTATTTCAACTCTCAATCCACCGTGATGCTTTGTGTACTTGTTTTTGTTGTGTTTTCAGGACGAGCTGATCCCTATTGTGAGGTGCGTATGGGATCTCAAGAACACCGTACCCGAGTGGTTCCAGATACCCTCAGACCAGTCTGGGATGCTTCCATGCAGTTTACTGTCAAAGACTTGCAGCAGGACGTCTTGTGTATCACGGTGTACGATAGGGACCTCTTCTCACCAAACGGTAAATTAGTTGCGTAGTAATTATAAGAAGAAGCAGGGATTTCTAGCATGGAAAATATTGGTTGTGGAGTCGCTCGGTCGATTTTGTGGAGATGCTAAGCACAAAGTTTGTGTGCTTAGCGCAGTCAAGTTACCAGTCAAATATTGCCATGTGATTCATATTGATTATGACTGGTTCTCAGTTATTTATGCTAAGCAGGTGTTTCTACTTGGCAGGTTAATGGTTTCTGTCTTTGGGTTCCAATCAATTTTTGAGGCTTGTATGAACTTTGATATTTTTGTTTATTTTACTTTTTCGTTCAGACTTTCTCGGCAGGACTGAAGTGCGAGTTGCCGATGTCATTAAGGAAAGGAAAGGCCGAGAGCCCCTCAACAAACAGCTACTTCTCCATGAAGTCTCCACTGGTGAAGTCCTCGTTAAGTTGGACTTACATCTTTACGATCAGTCAACTTGTTGATGTCATTTATCCGCCCACCTCCTACTTGAAAAAAAGTTTACTGTTGAGGTTGCGGCTAATCTGACTCGCATCCCTCAAATCTCCCCAAGCCAATCAGATTATCAGAACCAAATGACTGATTCACAATGTACAAATGCATTTTTATTTCGCCAATAGAAGTCTCTCAAAAATAAAAAAATGTAGTGAAAACATTAACCATGTAGAAATTACCGTGAACATGCTGTTCTTGCCAATGTTGAAGGCTTTGGTTTGAAATTATTCCAGGAAATATCTGATCAGACATTGACTTTAATATATCATCATTAGGACTCCAAAGAAGTCTTATACTCTGATGAGCTGGAAAACATTTTTCTGATTGTTTTTACAAACTTGACACATGACCATTCCTGACCAATGAGATCAGAGTACCTAAAATACAATATTCCATTTGGGTTGAGCATAGCTTTGTTAACTAATTACGCACATGTACGTATAAACAGATGGTTATTTATTTATGAATATTTAATCCCAAATTATTTTGTCTCTTTTTTCGTGGGATTTAAGCGTTGTTGTGGCTGCAGTTGTGTAGTCCATTGAAATTCCATCCGTGTTGTGTATACCCCACATATGCTTAATACTTATTAAACGTGTATCTTCAGTATAAGATGTAGAGAGTTGGACATGTTTATCATGTATCTCAGTTGTATGGATCAAATGAAAAGTCGTCAGTGTTAGGCACCAGGGTGTTCTTATTATAAACTCAATCAATGTTGCAAGGCTTGCAGGCTCTTTTCTTGCCTTCTAGGTCTTTGCAACTTTGAACCGTTTTTTGTTTTTCAGATCAGAGTAACAGTTATTTCTTCATATTTTTCCATATAACAAAATAGAATTAATTTGTCCAATGTGAAGTTGATTGAAATACACAGATTTGTACATACAGCTGCATAATTCAATGTACAATAGTTCCTCGGTACTTATTTTTCTAGATCAAGGCTTCCGAACCTAAGATGAGTAAACGTAATTGGACCAAAACTTGTGGCTTCAGTAATAGACCGAGTATTTTGTGATAAAATTAGGAACGTCAGTTATGCCAATGTTTATCAATCAAGTCTTATTTTCCTGATTGTTAAAAAATTATTTTGGGGTAATTGTAAGGGCCTTTCATTAACAACAAACCAAATTTAATGTTCAAAACCTTTGCATCTCTCTGTGTGAAGGAATAAACTCTTTTTGAAATTTGATTTGTAAATTTTCAACAATTTAGAAATTTTCTGTGATCAGTTTTAACGGAAAAATTGCAAAATTACAAAGAAGCCAAGGAACGCACATTTAACATATAGGTTGTTCTTGTCTGTAATAAACTATTTGAAGTAATGGCAATGTAAAGGCTTTTTACTTAAAAAAGAAGAAGAAAGAACAGGAAGGTATGACATAAGACATGAAACTGGCCAGACTGACAGAAGACATGAAACTGGCCAGACAAAAGTCGTTCAATCTGTTTGCATTTCCATAGACCATGGGTATGTAATCTAGGATTCACTATGATTGAAACTTGACGTTCTAGAAATGTTGCACTGCTCATCTCAATTTAGCTAACACATTATGTGGTCTTTCCTAACGTTTCCTGAAATTTTAAAGGTTTTAATGATCAAAAATCCATTTGGATAAAGTGTTATCTTCCATGGTATATTATTTAATCTGCATATAATGTTCAGAGTCGCATGTATAGACAGATGTTCAGATATCAGTTTGTTGCCTATATGGATAAAACTCAGTGCACTGATATGTAGTATAACGGTATAACCACGTGTATATATTAAAAAACAAATACAAGGAAATGGTCTTGGATTGGATTAAACAAATATGTGGCACTGGTGGGGTTTTATGTTTGCATAAATTGTGGAGTAACTTTGTGAAAAGTTTGCCAAAAGATGTGCTGTAAATGAAAAATGAGAACAAATAAATGGTCAGCGTGTATGTTTGTATGAACAATTGTAAAGGTCACAAGGAAAGAAAAAGCAACAGACTTGATCAGATCATCGCAAAACAATTTTATTAAATGAACCAACACTGTTAAGTTGTGGATACAGTGCAATGGTAAGTGCCAAACTACATTCGGGAAGTAGGAACCATTCCAAATTGTCTTTAAGTTGAAATATAGAGTTAATTTATTACATGTACCTATTAACCCAGGTTACAATTAGAATTCTATCTTTGAAGGCTTAATCACTGCTGCTAGTCATTTCGGAGATCTTTTTTGTAGTAACTTTCAGAATGTTTGCAAGAACGTTACCAGTACAAGCTCGTCTTCTGACAGTGGAGCATAACAAACACCAAAGCAACTGTCCAATTTTATTGTGAACAAAATCTATTTTTTTTTCATTTGAATGTTACTTTCCATGTTTATGAAAACCCTAAATGCACACGTCAAACTCCAATTAAATCATGCATATCTGTTCCTAGAAAAACAAGACCAACAAAGTCTCGACTTGACAATTCTAAACTGGTGCCGGTAATTTAGAGACCAACTCCAATGGGATCTTGTCTACCATGTAAAAGGAACTAGTCCAAGATGGCATATAAGACTGTTCTCAATAAACAAGCAATGTAAACATCCACAAGAATGATGGTCTACAAAACCAATCCCCCGGAAATACTCCAATCCAAAATCAACAAAATTCTGGTCTATAAACTCTCATTAAAACCTCTTTAAAAATCTTGCCAACCACTACGTGTCATAAGTTGGCTGGTCTAACAGGACGTCCATAGATTATATAGCTTCTTTAATGAGGTTTGTCATTGTCTTGACTTGCGTTGCTGTTGACATGTCTACGTACTTGTCTCCGATCTCAACCACCATTCCACCCATGACAGAAGAATCAACCTGAAAAAAATATTGTCAATATAACATATCTTAGGTTTAAATTACACAGTCGATTCGTAATAACGATAACAATTACTTTGTTTCACCACTGCCAGAATTTTCAAGTTTTATAAACATTGTCAAGCCCAATACATTCTTAATCACCCACCTGCATGTTCATTTGAAGTGTTTCAGTCTTCTTGACGAAACCTTTTAATGCGCTCTGAACCTCCTTCAGTTGGCTTGCATCAAGTGGCTGTCAAGATTAGAACAGGTATAATAACCATCAAATTTCAGTTATGTTGCATTACGACCACTCTTATTACCCCTGATTAGTGTGCCTATGGACACTCCTGAAACCAAACTTCATGTGGAGCATACATTTGTCCAGTGGTATTGCAGTCAGAAAATAAATCAAAACCGGGAACATGAAAGTAATTACCACAAAGTATCCCGCTCAACAATATCAGGAACTTGAAGCTGTAAGTCTGAAAATTTGTCTACATAACTTAAATCACTTATGAACTTGACATTAAATATGTGAAAGGAAATGCCAAGGTCTTTATTTCAGGGGGAAGGGAGATTGGTTGTCAGATTATTTAAATTTTGTAGACGTCGAAGATGAAAGGTCATGTACCTTGGCTGTTGTGATGGTGCAGACGACTTCACCCCTATGAGAGCTCATGATTCGAGCCCACGCGTTGAAGACTTCCTTCATCTTTCCCAGCCGGTTGTTGTCAGCCAGGACTGTCATGAAGTTGATCGTTGTGGGTGACATCTTCTGACTCTTCAAGAAGTCATTCAGCACACCTGGAGGAAAGACAACGACCAATCAGGTCGTAGAAAAAAATACATTAGATGCTTGGCTTACTGTACAAGCAAGTGCTGGTGTTGCAAATATGACGCAAGAGAAAGTTACATTTGTTGAGAAAAAAATGCTTGAGGAAATCAGACTTACTGATTTTGTTCAGTCGATTAATGACTGGATTACTGATGAAATCTGCCAGCTTAACATTCTTCTGTAGAGTTTCCTGCAAATAAAATTTGATGCCACAGTTATGTATTGAATATTCACATATATTTTGCAAAGTTAATATTGGGCAAAATTCAGAACCACACAGCTGAAATCACAAATATCAATTGTTATGCCTATTCAAGGATGCGAATGTAGCAATAGACATTGGGAGAAACAACATTTTCCGTTAACCTGGCACTTCTGTTTTGACCTTTGACCTCTTACCTCGACTGACTTGAGCTCTTTATCGATAACATCCAGCTTCTTTTCTTTACTAGCCGCTGAGTAGAGTGCATGGGCATAGCGTCCACCAAGACCAAAGACCTGTATAGGAGGCTGCAGAAAGAATCCAAACAAAATGAGATTGTATGCTGGAAAATAGTTACCATTGATACACAATCAAGGTGCTTTGTATCCATTGTCAATGTTTAAATCATAAATGGCCCTTTAAATTAAAATGACAAAATTAAGAAAGAGAAATAACTGATTAATGAAAATAAGTTGTAGTTGGAGAATTATACAAGTTAATAGGTCTACTTTTAAATATTTGCTTTGGGCATAATGCTTGCTTAAAATACCATCATGACCATTGTTAAAGTTAAAATCAAACAGTTCATACCTTGACTAACTGGGCCGCAGTACTTGATGTACTGAACTGTCGGGCCTGAAACAGAAAATAACAAAATACACAAATCACAACAAATTGCGTAATGCTTGAAGAATGAAAATTATGAGCATAACAATGACATGAGCATACCGAGTTAAACAGAGTGATGAACAGAAAGGAGCCGTCAATCATTTAAGTTCATCTTCTTCATCAATAAAAAAATGTGGACAAAATGGGGAAACCTGAGCTGAGCCACTTTTTCTTCATAGGCCTAGGCTATATCATCTCAATGAAAGTCATTCATTGCAAAAATGATGATAAGACATGAATCTGGGACTGAGAAACATTTCCAATTATTTTGTTAGGAAATACTTAAACAAAATTCTTGACTCTCCATAGACTTTGTACACAACCATTGAAGCGGCATCAGGTTGCAATATTCTTTCCAAATAATGTTCAAATCTGATACTTCTACATGCATGACACGACAATAATTTCATAGGTATTTAACAGAGGCCATATAAAGTGAGTTAGATGCCGTTAAAGTACAGTGAAGTACATGCACAACAAGTGTCGAAATTAAACGCATTGTCGTATACTCGTTACTAATCAATACAATACACATGACATGCATGATTACGAATTACAATTTTTCGGCCCAATTTGGCCGTCTCAAAACAATGATGTTTTGCAAAGATATATCATATCATCTTTATTCAGAATAACCCAGACTTCAACCTCGCACTGTTCTTTAGGACCCCGATCACACGTTTTGTCAAAAACCTTGAAAATAAAGTGAAAATGGTAGTTACCAAAAGCGAAAACCTGCAAAACGACATCTCGAAGCCGGTAAGAGTGCGCCCTCTATATCATTTCGTGCATTCTATTTTGAGATTTGTTTAATAAGTTAAACTTTTTCAAACAGTTATATACTCCTTTAAAAATTAAAAAGCAAAGAATTAAACGCTCCATGACGTGTGTATGAATTCAATTAACCTTAAACCGGTGAATTTTTTTTTATTTAAAAAAAATAGACTTGCACACTAAAAAAAAACAATTATAGAACGAGGTTGCCTAGAACGTGCATAACGAGGAAGGTTTTGCCTCGAACTACTGCAAAAGTGCATTTAATTGGTTGAAAATATATTTAGTTTGGCTCTTTAGATTGATGTGATATTCAGCCTGACAAATCTGACAGTTCAACATGCCTGGTTATGAGATGGCGTTGATTATGAGGGTTATGAAGAGGGTAATTATTGCCTATCAATTTTATGCATGTTTGTTTACATTGACCAGTTGTGATATGCGCACAGTTTATTTCAGATGCTGCACTGAATCTATAATAAAAAAAACAAACTTTGGAGCGACATTATAATGCCTATAGAAATTAAATAAACTGAAGGTTTCAATTATCCATTTCCAGCACTCTCGGAAAAAAAGTCTGAAAAGTTTCAATAGTTGCATTTTTTGCAACTAATTTAAATGACTCGGTAGGCCTAATTATATTTTATTTTGATGCAGCCAAAATAATATTTAGATATTGTATTATTATTTTGTCAAAAAATAGTGAATTGAGACAATTGTTTCCGTTGTTCTGTATAGCCGGATTTAATCGCAGCTGTCAAACGATCCGTTGGTGCTGTCATAGAAAGAGGTGGCATCGTAAAGAATCTTGAGAACCTTGGAGAGAAACGACTACCCTACAGGATGATTTCTCATGCAGAACACTTCACAAGAGGACAGTAAGTGATAAACGATTTTACAAGGCATATCTACATATACCACACTTACTTGAAAAAAAATAAATAATTGCCCCGACTCTGAAAAATGGTGCACTACTCTAAAAATAAAAAAGCTACATGAAAAATGATTAGCTTCAACACACCCTGAGAGAAAATCCCCCCCTAAACAAACCCCCCCCCCCCAATGAAATGTTTTGTAAATCCACTGATAACCTTTCTTACCACGACCCAAGGAGTAAGACTCAGAATGTAAAGTATTGCACGTTCTGATATATTTTCTGATATCGTCTTTTTTTTTCTCCAGTTATTTTATTGTGGACTTTGATTCACCGCCAGACGCCATCACGTCAGTTCAGGAATATCTTCATCGTGACGTGGATGTCATCAGACCCACCATCTTGAATAGAGAAACAGAGCGAAGGGAACCGCCCCCCTGCCGTGGGGTGCATATAGGATTGTACCAGTTGCCTGAAAGGATTATAAGAAACAAGAAAAAATTAAGACATGATGTGAATGTGGACGACCTATCGAAATAGAGGGAGCTGAATCATTTTCTCAAAATGTGGATCTTTTTTAAGTTTGACTGTATTTAACATCGCAACGAGAACATGGATGTGAGCATTAATGCCATCAATGCCTGGTGTGGCTGTTTCTCAAGACAGTAGAGGGCGCTCTCTTGTAGATTCTGAAGAGCACAGTTCCTTTAAAGTGATGCCACACCCACTATTCCCAGTTAACTATTATCCTATTATTCTTCAGTACATGTACATGGATATTGAAACTACATCAGTGGGGCTAACCTACCCCCACTCCCTGGGCCAATGCAAACCAAACATAGGAATACATGTATGCAGAAAAAAGTAGTACATGCCTAGTGCCTACTAACTCGCTCCCCCCCCCCTCCCCCTTGAAGTAAACCCATCTCCCACCTTTTTTAACCAAATCATTATCTGTGCCTTGGCATGTATTTGTGACGTTTTTGTATTGTCAATCATTGACAAAATGTTGGAAATATTGATTTGTGTTGAATTTTGTTTGTTATACAATGAACAAAATCCACTAAAAAATGTTAGAAAGGTACCCAAGTTAATTTCTTCTTAAAAATGAAATTTTAAAATGCCTTATCAGTTTTTTTCAAACTTAAATCTCAAGACCATCTGTAACAGTTTGTGAAATTTACAAAGTGTACATTGTAAATAAATACATTTAAGTGCTCACTTATTTGTTATTTGTCTTTTTCCTTTTTAATTTTTAAATATTTTTATTCAGGGGGTGGGGAGGGGTATCATGTTATTGACATTTTTAAAGTACACGGTACATTGTAATTTGTATTCCTTTTTACGAGAGCAGTTTTGGACAACACGACAGTAGAGGGCGGGCTTGTCGTATCAAGCATGTGACAAACTGTGCAGGGTGTCGGACGCTTCGCCCCATTTCCACGTCGCCCCATGTCACTTCGCCCCTAACCACTTCGCCCCATCTCCACTTCGCCCCATCCCCACATCGCCCCATCTCCGCTTCGCCCCATCCCCGCTTCGCCCCATCCCCGCTTCGCCCCATCCCCACTTCGCCCCATGTAGTATGAAAAAGGTGAAGGCTAGGGGTGCAGACCAAATGAACTGCCAAAGAGACACAGATGAGAGAAATGATGGCTCTATCCCATTCAGAGACGCCTCTCCTATTGGCTTGTGAATAAAATCATCAGCCGCTGGATTCAAAAGAATCCGTAGGTATGGGTCAGTGAGTTAAAAGGAACTCACTGCCTTGAGGAAAAGCCGGAAAATGTTCCGTCAAAATTTGTCTGATATGTGACACTTACAACTTCATTTAGATGAGATTGGTTCCTCCAAGAGTGAAATTAGGATGTCAAAGGTATTGTTGTTCTCAGATAAGTGGGAGACGCCGGTTGGTATAGCCGGGTTGGGAACAAAGTTGGATCTTTTTTCTCGGTAGGGGAGAGCCTAGCTTGAGAGGTTGGTTATGAATTGTTCATTTGGTGATGGGCTAATTCTTTCCGTTGGTTAGCAATTAGTGAATCTGTTGAAATTGTTTTTTTAAGCCAAAAAAATAGATGAGATTTTTTTTTTACATGTAACAGCTGGGGCGAAGTGGGGATGGGGCGAAGTGGGAATGGGGCGAAGTGGGGATGGGGCGATGTGGGAATGGGGCGAAGTGGAGATGGGGCGAAGTGGTTAGGGGCGAAGTGACATGGGGCGACGTGGAAATGTGGCGAAGTGTCCGACATTCACTGTGCAAGTGTGTGATATCGATCGCCGATGTTGGACAGAAACGCCACAAAGAAAGGTGAATAAATTGAAATAAAACTGCGAAATTTGCAATGTAAACTATTAAAATGTGAGAACAAGTAATCAGGAAGACGTTAAACGTTACGCAGTGGCTATTGTTACGGCAGCCGTAACGCATTTCCCATTTTCTATCGTTACGGTAGACTGCAACCTGGCAACTTTTATAAAAAAACATGACAAGAAAATATAAAATTAGAAGGAAAAAAGTGAATTTGAACTTTATGAAATTTGGACTTTATTTCCCTTTTAAAAAAAATCCTCCAAAGCCTCAGGTTAGAAAAGGAAAAAAATTCGAGTGCAAAACTGAGATTCGAACCCGCAACCTCGCGGTGCAAAATCCTACCCTCTATCGGCTGAGCTGGCGCACTGCTCGATAAAACGTGGAGAAACAAATAATTATATACCCGCGTGCGTATCAAAAAAATATCGTAGAGGGCGCTAAACAACGAGTGCCGTAACGATAGCCACTTCGTAAACGTTATGATGACGGTTATGGGAAAGAATGTTGCAACCTGACGCTACTTCGCGGTTGTGTACAAAGTCTAGAAATTTTTCTAGGTTATATTTCTCAGTCCACTCCCAGATTCATGTCTTATCATTTTTGCAATGACTGACCTTCATTGAGATGATATATGAAGAAAAAAAGCAGTGTACTGTCAGGTTGCAACATTCTTTCCCGGTTATGTTTAAAACCTGGTACAATTTCGGTAATTTCACTAATTTGTTGGAAAAAATGTTGCAACTTGACGCCACTAAGTTGCTGAAGTTACTGCCCATACAGAGCAAAGAACATTTCGCTTACATATTCCTTGTGTCCAGAATTGTGCCTGCGCTGGGTTTAGAAAAGGCACTAATGTTTGCGGGCAGCGTGTTTACAGAAAATAAACACCTAGCAGTAGCACGCGGCCGCCACGGCAGCAAACGGCACGCGCGTGTACGTGTACGTCTTCACGCGGAGAATTCGTACTGAAAATGTTTTCAACAAAAGCGTGGAATTGCAGTTTATTTTCGGTAAACACGCCGCCCGCGAACATAATTGCCTTTTCTAAACCCAACGCAGGCACAATTCTGGACAGATTCTGTTATAATTTTTTTCGCTATGGTGGTAGAATTTATACCCCGGACGTCCGTCGTAATGCAATGAAGACGTCGTCCAACCTGGGCTAGGTAATTCTTAACAATATTGGAAATGTTTCTCAGTCCCAGCCATGGTCCCTGCATCATCATTTTTGCAATGACTGACCATGGACAGACCTTCATTGAAATGATATATGAAGGAAAAAGTGGCGTCAGGTTGCAACATTTTTTTTCTGAAAAGATTATTCACATAAATCGCAGCTGTTTTCCATGACAGTAAACTTATGTGAGATTTGACTTCAGACTGTCACAGGACTGATCATCATACGCATAAGTTCTATTTAGAATAAGAGCGACGAACTTGATCAGTCAATGTTCACATGTATTGCTATAGTGTACTGGGCTCCCTCCCTCGGGCAAATTTCACTAACATTACAACCAAAACACTCATCCAAAATAAACATGCTAAAGAAAAGAAACAAGGACAGAGCTAGTCTATTTTGGAAAAAATGTTGCAACCTGATGTCACTTTTTTCTTCATATAATATATCATCTCAATGAAGGTCGGTCATTACAATAATGATGATATTCATGAATCTGGGACTGAAAACATTTCAAATTAAATTTTTGTTAAGAAATAGGGCCTACTCGGAAAATTTTCTTGACTCTCCATACACTTTGTACACAACCAACGAAGTGGAGTCAGGTTGCAAGTTCTTTCCACATTCTGTCCCACTGCATGGCCATGGGGCTAGGTCAGGGTATTTTTCAGAAAATAATTCAAGGTGATGAACAAAGCCATTGACATGGGGTCACAATATGGTACATTATCCTATTGTAAATTTGCTTTCAAGTTGAACCTGATAACTAAGCATTACTGTATCTACATCTACCCTTGCTGGGAAACTGTGGACTGTAAACAAAGTCAATCCTGTGCAGTGTCCAAAGTTCAGAATAAATACTAGCTGACTTTCTGTTATCATAATCCTGTGCACTTTGCCCATAACGGAACACAGAGCACGAATCGTTGCATCATCTCAAATGTAATGTGTAAAACTTTAGATTGGATAAAAGTGTTGACTGGGTACCACTGTCGTAAAAAAAGTTACTCCCAAATTCTTGGGATATCTTTTGTTACTGAAACCTCGACAATTCCAAAAATATTTTTGATTACAACGGACCATAACTGTTAGTGGTGAGTGCCGTTTTCTAAAGAAAACATCAAAATACTTGTTCTGAAATCAATTTTTTGCATTGTATCAATTTCTGCCTTTTTTCTATGCTGTATTTTAATTTCATATTTTCCATTGAAGCATTTACATTATATTCCTTTGCGTGTTGTACTTTAAAAGTGTGTTGTGTAATTGTAATTGTAATCTGTTATCTCTTCTAGTATAAATGTAAGCAATTGTTATAACATCATGTTATGTAATGATCTTTCCCTCGACTTGTACAAGCAATGTGATACACATGTTACAAAAGTGCATGCAAAACATTGAACAGTTGTAAGCAAATTGAAAATAATAGTGTCTCTTTTTTTTCCTATTTTTATAATGGCATGGATATCTTAATGTATCCCTTGTCCAAAACGTTTCCATTAACACGTTTTGCAACACCTTTCCAATTAGTTTTATTTGTTTGAAAAAATGTTTTGAATACAATTTCAGAGTCAACAAAGCGTCTGATGTCAGGCATGTAACTCAACGATCTCAGGACAAATCACAAATCTTCCAACGTTGCTTCTCTCCGTGTCTTGGTCATTCTCCACGTCACCATGGGTCTTACCTCCTCTTTCAAGGAATCTCCTCTCATCCAGATGTTTTTTTCTGTGACATTCATCGTCAGTGGTATCATAGTCATTCTGATGCAGCTGCTAGCGTTGGTGCTTATCCGTCCGTTCAGTAAGCGTCTGTATCAGATAACAGTCTGTAATCTGGTCTACCTCCACTGGGGTCGTAAGTATGCCTATCTGGCATGATGCAACCAATCTAAGAAGTGTAGAAATGACTTAGAATAAAGATGGAGAAATTGGGAGAAATTGTGCGGTAGTTTTGTTGATAGAGAGTTTCTAAGTCAAATCTCTCTGTGCAAGTGTAATCAGATTTTGGATTAGAGAAGGGATCAAGTTTGACAATTTTGTTGTTGTTTCTGTTCTTGTGTGAATTTTTATTTTCATTCATTGAAATTGTTGGGGAAGTTGTTTTCATGGGTTGTGAGGTGCCGATGGTATCATTTTCTTTTAGAAGGGTAATGCTGCATGAGGGGGAGGGGGGGCACAAGTTAGCCCTCCGGGATACGGCACTATTCTGTACTAAAAACTCTTCAAACTGCGGTCAACCAACACGTTTGAAATTCTCTTTGTTTACTTGTGATGTATCCTCTGTCAGAGTTGATTTGGTTGTGTGACCGATGGTCAGGATCAGAGGTCCGGGTGTTTGCTGACGATGAATTCGTGAATATCTGCGGCAAGGAACATTGCATCATTCTATGCAATCACAGGGAGGATGTGGATTGGCTGGCTGTCTGGGTTCTGGCTGACAGGTTCGGCATCTTGAAAGTGAGTTCTTTCTGTTTTCTTCTATTCAATAGACTCCTTGCGTGGTGTGCCCTCCCAGAGGGCAGCTTTGGTTATTTTAAGTCAGTGACAATAAAGATACAATGCTTCTACTCATACGTATCATAGAGCAACAAAGACCTTCCCTCTGATGTGACATCATATGCAAGTGGTCTATTTTTCGTCCAACCTTATAAAGATATGTTGGTGAAAAGCAAAACCCCAAAATTATATTTTACAGCAGTTCAACCATGTAGAGACTTAGTCCTGAATAGAGAGAATTGTTGTAATGTAGGTTGAGGCTTGTGTGTGCCCAGAATTTTAGATAATAGAAGGGCAAATCTCAGAATAATTATAATGATTGATTTCTTTGTCTTGTAGCAAGCGAAATGCTTGATGAAGAATGAGTTGCAGTACGTCCCGTTAGTCGGTTGGTCCTTCGCCATGCTGGAGATGATCTTTGTCAAGAGAGACTTTGCAAAAGACAAGAAGACGATGATTGACGGCTTTCGCAGTTACCTGACCTATCCACTCAAGTGCATGGTAAGAGCAGGGCCTGATTTCTTAAGCAGAAAAAAAACATCACTAGGCAATATATGTGCTGAGCAGAAAAAGCAGGGAACCAGTCACGTGCAATGTCAATAGCAATAGATTTGACTGGTAATGTGTTTTTGCTAAGCAGATATTTTCTGTGCTTAGCATGCCAAACAGGCCACATCTGAATTACTTGACTATGGCTTGAAATTACACACGTGTGAATGGGAAGTGGCTGCAGCACTATAAAAGGCTTAAAAGAAATGGAAGAAATTCCCCCAAAAAAGACACATCTAATTGTATTTCAAGAATTCTTCATACATTTTGAGCTTGGATGGCTCAATCTCAGCGGTAATGCTTCAAAAATCATACCCAAAAAAATGGTTGTTTTAGACTTGTGATAGAAAAAGAAAAAAGATACCGAGGCTTGTCACATCTAGAGTTTAATTTTTACGCTCATTTTAAAATATTCCACTTGTTGTTATGTTTTTTTTTACAGATTTTGTTATACTGTGAAGGAACCCGTTACACTCAGGAGAAATACGCCAAGGGTTTGGCCTTCGCTAAGGAGAAAGGACTGAAAGAACTCAAGCATCATCTCATGCCTAGAACAAAGGGATTCGTGGTTGCCATGGAAGCATTCGACGGACAAAGTAGGATTTCCTTTTTTTGTCTGGAAATTTGTGTTTTACAAATTGCTCACATTTTCAATGAATGAAATTAATATATGGAAGCTATCCCTTCAGAATTTAAAATTTTCAAAACATGCCCATACTTTGAAAGTTTTGCTATGGCAAAACACAAACAAAGAAACAAAGAAATGTTGGTGATTACATGTATTCCTCAATTATAATTAAGAAATTCCTGCCATGCTTATATATGTATATATATATATGTATATGTGCCAATCAACAAGGATGGTGTGCTTAACGGTGATCATTCTTCTGAGAAGTTTCCACTTACAATTGGAAACTGCTCTGACTGTATTGAGTGTGGTCTCATGTGTTGTTTCCTCCCAATACTGAGTGGTGAATGGCTCTCAAGACAAAGACTCTGCACATAAATGTGGTTACCTTAGGGGTCAGATGAGGCCACTATATAAGCAAGGGCTATGTGTCAACGGCCTGTCACATATATATTTTATAATAGTTATAATTTACAATGTTCACAATGCTTTGCTAGCATTCATACATAATTTTCCTATTTGCAGTACCTGCAATATACGACACAACTTTCGGAGTTAGCCAGTCCGACTCAGAACCAACATTGCTTAACCTGCTCAGAGGAAAGAAATTTATCTTCAATTTCCACGCAGTGTAAGTCAGTTCTAGGTGTCGTGAAGTACCTGGGACATTGTTTGTTTTTATTCATTCTGAAGGGTGTCTTATTTTCTTACAATTTTGGGGACATTATGGTTGTGAGATTTTTGAAGAAGCGACATTTTTATGATTGTTATCTTCTTATCAGGAGCCATCACTTTCACTGAAATCTGATTCAGAAATCTTGAAAAAACTATGTAGTGTGAGTTAATTATACTTAAAATAGCCCAAAGTCCAATGCACATCGTCGTTAATTACAAGACTAACTTTCATTTTTACTTCATAAACCCTGTGAGTACCTTTTCCCAAGAATTATTTCTCTAATTCTAATGATGAAAAAAACCCAATGGTTTGAAATTGCAGGCGGATACCCATTGCCGATGTGCCAAAGACTGAAGACGGCCAAGTGAAGTTTATTCATGAAATCTATGAGAAAAAGGTCAGTATCAGGTCATTCTGACCTTCAGAGGTCAAAGGTCATTACCAGTAAACGACCTTTGGATTGATCCTTGTGAAAAATCATTTCATATCACTTCCTTTCGCTTCATTCATTTGTTTTCTTAGGATGTTTTGTACGGACATTTTCTGGAAAACGACACCTTCACTGGTTTCGACCACCGTACCATGCGTGTCATGCCTAGGCGTTGGGCACCAGTGATTATTGAGACATTCTGGTTGTCTGTTCTGGGTTTGCCCACCTTGTATCAGCTGTTTCTGGTCTTGACGACAGGATCAGCAGTTGCTACGGCAACAGCCCTCGGCATTATTGTGGCTTGTGAGTATACTTCATTTTGCAGTTCTCCTGCTGCATTATGTGCTACTATCATGGGGTTCGTTAGTGTGACGTCATCTCAATTCAACCATGAGTACTTCACACGGTGTAGCATAGCACGAATGGAACCGGAAGTTAACGCAACTGGAGCGTTTATCCAATGGGCGCTAGTAATCAGTGGCGCGCGCGCGTGTATGACGTTTTTACTAACGAACCAGATTGACTACAAAGTGCAGGCCATGATGATGATACTGATGATGATGATGAGAATTCCTGTGTTGACTCTCGCGAAACTGCAATTTTAAATACAGTTACTCATATTATCAGACAAAAAACAAATAACTTGGAAAGCACCCACTCCAATGATGCTAAAAGAAATATATTTTTATACATATAGAATATTTCCTATTTATCATTTTTAAACAAATTTCTTTGCAGTGTACTTCTTAATCAAGAAAATGATAGGAGAAACTGTGACAGCAAAGGGATCGGAGTACGGTGGCAACAAACACAGAAACAATGTCAGAAACGGAAACAGTAATACTGCCGCAGATGTGAAGAATGACTGATTGATGAGATCTAATAGCTGAGAAATCTAAACCAGGTAACCATAGCGTTCCATCTTGTACAGCTGTAGTATATTTCTGGGGAGCAATGTAGATAACAATTTCCATGTTTCTGTGATGACCACAATGTGCAGATCTGTGACTAGCACATCAATTACATTTGACTACAAAAACATTGAAGATGACATTGAGCAATGCAAAGTCCACACTTTATAGAAAAGACTTGGTTGACTTTCTTATATTTGTCACTAAGTTGTTTTTTATTGTTCAATCTTCTTAAAGTCATTCCAATGTATAACTGTCCTTTCGTTTGATTTTTATTATAGTTAATTTATACCAATTGACTTAATGGGGAAAATGACAAAAAGATACCACAAGAGGGGGCTGTGCTGAATGGGGCTCTAGGTTTCCTCCGTATGAAAGAACAGCCAATCTACCACTTGGTGGAGCCTCAACTTGAAATGGCTACTGATTATTACGATGCTGATGAGTACATTCCAAAGAGAACATAAGTTTTATGCATTTTGCGAGTCATCTTGCATTTAACAGTATGAAGTCAAAAATTCCTTCGTGGAGGGTCCAACTGTGTTCCCAGGTCCAAATCAAGCAAATTTATATCTGTAACAAAATGGGGTGTTAGCACTAGTGAAGTAATAAATGAAAGTATAAATTTTAGTACTGCTCACCAGTTATTTTTTTGCCAAGTTTTCGGACATCTTGTTCTACACCCTGAAGAAAGACAAGATGTCCGAAAATTGGGCAAAGCAATAACTGGTGAGCACTACTTAAATTGATATTGATATCTCAGCCTTTATGTGTTTGCTGTCCCTTAGTTGTTTGTATGTAGAGTTGTTTTACGATAGTTTTGAGGTTTTGTTTTTCATTATTTTCAATGCTCAGGCTTTTTCTTGTTGAGTTTTTTAGCTTTAGTAACAATTTCTCATTTTTTATGTGCCTTATATTGCTGACATTGCAGAACAATGCAGATGTAGAATGATTATAAATTCTACACTTAAGAGTCAATTTGTTTTGCAAATGTGCTAGGATAAAGAGCGTGAAATTATATGAGCTTATCGGGCCTTCTTCTTTTTAGGATTTCCCCATTGCAGAAATGTTCTACCTATAAATGTAACAATAAAAATGCTTCATATTGAAGGTCATGATGTTAATTTATGTCACTCATGATGATCAAATTGCAGCTGATGTATACATGTAATTTTGAATAATTTTACCAAATGTTATCGCCATATGATGCTTATAAATCATTAACTTATATATTCTGTGAGGTATATTTAACAAAATGTACAAGTATATGCCATTGTACCTATGTGAATATTATGCAAATCAGTTCTATTAACATTATGAGTATTCATATGCTGCTAATTTGCATAACTAAATTTATAATTATTAATTTTGGGGACCATCAGGCCAAGGGATATATGTATCTGAGTATGCATATATTCATGTATTGTTGAACATACATGAAGAATTTAAAGCTACTTTTTCCTCGCAAATTGAAAGGTTTTTAATAGATCCTATGCATTACATAACATGTAGATTTACGATGCTAACAATGAGTGTACTGATGCCGATCGCAGACACTTGATGAAAGTCACTGATTGTCTGTGATGCTGTTTGTGGTATGGTAGTGTCAGTACCTGCGCCTAGAGTAGCTCCTCCTTGTTATGTACTTGATGCAAAGCTTAAGACAAGCATCACAGACGCTTAAGAAATGTAGTCTTTCAATAAGACAGTATCAGAGCTTTTTTTTCATTTGTACGTGAAGAACGTACTCCTTTTCTCAAGAATTTGTAATTTTTTTTTTTATAATTTGTAGATTTGTTACTGATTAAGACCTGGCCCATCAATAATGAAATAAATGTTGATATCAAAATGTTGCACTTAGAGAGAGAATAGTGCTGTGTTCGTAATGGTTCTTTTTTGTACGATGCCAATTTAGAGTAGGCCTACAGTTGTTTTATTCTGACGATTTGTCAACAAATTTTAATTATCCAATAACAAAATTTCAGGCTAAACTATTTTTTTATCCATTGCGTTCAGGTCTCATCAAGTGTTTGTCGCCCTCAAGTGGAAATGCGCAAAGCCGATACATGTAATATCAAAGAGTTCAGCAACAATCCAAAGTAAATGTTGTTGTGTTCAGTATCGCGAGATGATTGATAATACTTTTGAAACCTTGTAAGTTTAATTTCTATGAGTGAACCAAACCAATCTATTTTCGCAGCTTTCGAATCTATTCGGCTTTTGTTACACCAGAATATTAAATGACCCCTTTTTGAAATGTATAGATTTTGTTTCGGAATTCCAATCAGTCAAGTTGCCATTATCTTCTTTACATCAATCTTCTTGGGGTTTTTTTCTGCATGGCAGCGCCTTAACCAAACAATTGTTTATCATTTGAGCGCATGCCCCCTTTCACATTATAATTTAAAAGAAGATTTTAATATTGGTATAAAGTACGGCAGAATCGATCGCACTTTTCTTATCATAAACCAATCATTCACATATAGGACCCTAAAGAAATTTGACTTGAATTATGATGTGTACATCTATATACGTTGTGTACATGTAATCGGTATTGCGACTGAATAACTGTTTCTATTCTAATTTTGTGAATTATTACAGTTGATAAATTCTATTAATTTTAAATATTGACTGTATTGTATTGACTGTATGTTGTATATTGTGCTGTAACGAGGGGTTTGATGGCAAATTGGGGTCCGCATTGGTTTGAGTTCTGTCCCTAAAATGGGCGTGGTAATCATATGTGGCAGGGGGTTATTTGGATGTTGTGGGGAGTGGTGAAAGCAGAGATTTTGTGACAATCAGGAAAATAGTCGGCAACTGTCTGCAACTGTTGCGACTGCTTGTATTGAGGTTTTCATTTGTCTGCGCGCTGTCTCGGTACTCATCCACATTGCTGTACATGTATAACATGTATCGGCATGGCAGACTTTATAGTGGACCATAACAGCCCGAAGGTAATGAAAATGTGAATGATAGATGCTCGACAACCCTTCTCAGCTCAAAATCGATCCCGCCGTTTCATTTGAGCTGAAGTTGATGCAATAATTACATCAATACACTTCCGAGATGGCAAGGCAATTACTGAAAATCGTACAGAATGACGATGTATTACGAAATAAAGTTGTCAATAACAAGATAAGATTCTTCCCTAGCGAAATTGACATATGAAGAATAGAAATCCTTCAACTCACAAAAAGAAACTTTTGCAAAGAATAATTAAATATTCAAACATGTTTAAGTTATTAAAGGTTTATAAAGGAAGTTTGATATTCAGCGGTTTAAAAGGATCTCGCAGACCGATTTTTGGATTCATTACGTCGACAGCCGCTGTATTGAACTAAGGAGGATGGAACAGGTTCGTATAATGTTGCGATTTGTACCTGATCTATTTTGTTTAAATTGTTTTCCTTCACATTTTGAGTTTAGTTCTGCTGGTCACTTTCCCATGCATCCTGTTCGTTGCTGTTAACCAGAAGCTTGACTCTCTTCAGAATTTTCACGACATTTTGTATTATTTTCTGGTAATTTCTTTTTTTCTAAAATTCAATTGTTGAGAAATAGAAGAAGAAGACAAACGACTTTAAAATCAACTTCGCTATTTAATGTTTTGTGACCGGAACATTCGGATTTTTTGTTACATTTTTTTCTAATGATTTGTTTCAGAGGAGAAGGCAGACCATGTTTTTCCTTCTTGTACTTCTGGGTCTTACTAGAGCACTTGGCATGGCACCTCTTCTGCAAAATGAAGACCCCGTACCTGGCCAGTACATAGTCCAATTGGAGGTAACAGAGTTTGTACAGGGGAAATCTTTATAATGAGCAATGCTGTCTTACAATTGTATGTATATTTTCGAGGGGGGGGGATCTTCAAGTCTCATCAATTTCTCCTAGATGGGAAACCTCCTTAATCATGTAAACAATGTGCGTTTGGAAGCATTTTGGGTCAAGAACCAACTTTGCGTAGATGACATAAATTACAGAGCCGCCCATCTATATCAATGAAATAATTCAAATCCATAATTTGATGGTTTCCTTCTTGTTTTGGTTCAGCCTTTCGGGAACATCTATGACGTGACAGATGAGATGGAGAGTAACATTCCAGAGAACCTTATTGATACAGTTCATCATGTCAAACTTCTTTCCATGGACCAGACTTCCAATATGGCAGTTATGGAGCTGGACTACATATCCTTGGCCAAGGTAGAAATGGAAAATAGAAGACAGTGACTGGCATTGACATTTATAGCTCAAACTCAAATCAGTGGCGCACCCGGGGAGTCCCCCCCAACCCCCCCCCCCCCCCCCCCCGAATCCTGGGTGCGCCAATGACTCAAAGTTCTTGAAAAAGTAACCATTCTTATTCGGTGTCGGAAGTATTCGGAAGATACAAAGCAACATTTAATTAAAATGAACGTCCTTTTCTGCAAACGTATCTCCGAAATTCTGTATCTTTTCAATAATTCTATTTGAAGAAGTAAAAGTTTGGGTCTTGTAGGTGTGACTTGCACACACAAAATTTGTTTTTAATTTTCCTTTTTCTAATCTTGAAATTTTGTCTATAGTTGCGGAAATATCCGTATGTAAAGTACATAGAGCAAGACGCTTACGTTCAAGTGCATGATGAAGAGCCGGTACTGGCGGAGAATATAACAGAGCGAGCGAAGGAAACTCGAACGTATGAAAAAGCGAGATGGGGTTTGGATCGAATCAATCAGGAATACCTGCCAATGGATGGCGACTGGGAGCTCAGTGGTAAGAACAGGTGCAATATAGCAGGTGCTTCTAGGCGCATGTACGGGACACAATACACGCGCAGGTAGCACGAGCGCGCTAAATGCTCCTTTCGACCAATCACGTACTTACAACTTGCCCAAATGCCAAGGGCGTCGATCGCTTCTCAAAAGGGGGGAGGGGGGGACGTACGTCGATCAGAACTGATGCGAGCGCGGAGCCCTAACGGAGTAGATTCTAGCCGCTCTGTGGTGCGATCTGAGACAATATCTGACCATTTAACTAACTTTTTGGAGCAAAAGATCATCATTTAAACATTATTTTCAAGTTTGGAGTCATTGAATCAGCGATTCTGAGCTAAATAATTAAATGTAGGCTACCATTTTTATTCGGGAACATCCCCAGTTCCCCACCGATCTATGCCCATGCCAAATGCACGCGCATTTTAATGTGAGAGCGCGTACGATCTGCGCGCGAGCATCTTGCCAACTGATCAATGTTGTCTTTTGGTCAAAAGGGGATGTAATGCAACTTAATTGGTAACGATAAAAAAAATAATGTTTAGACGGGAAACGGAAATGCTGATAAAGTCGTCTTGTCAAATATTTCAGATGTTTTCTCTATTTGTTATTTCAGGGAATGGTTTTGGAGCCCATGTTTACATCATAGACACGGGGGTGAAAGATACACACCGAGACTTCGAGTGTCGTGTTGACAGAGTTGAAGACGTCACCGGAAGCGACGTACGTTACCTTGGCAACCGCTTGTAGATCACATGCTTTATTGTATTGAACCCAGAAGTAAAACAGATCATAGTCGTTTTTATTGATAAGTGTTTGATATCTGTGAGATGTGGATTTTTAACATAGACTTAAACCCTAAATGTACTGTAGGCCTACGTCTATACCTTTGTTGAAATATAAATTCGGGAATACTTTTCTTGCAAGTTTTTTCCCAAAGTCATTTTGCTCTCTCGTTCCTTGTCCAGGGTTCTGACTGTAAAGGTCGTGGAACCAAAGTCGCAGGGATAGTCGGAGGCAAGACGTATGGCGTAGCCAACAAGGTTACTATGCACTCTATTCGCGTGATGAACTGCGCTGGAACAGGAACCGTTAGCGACATAATTTCTGGTATCTATCGAGACATTCAAAGTGAAATAAAGTCCAGCGAATTTTGCCATGTTTTTAAAATTAATTTCAAGATTTGATGTACACGGAGGTGTTTGCTCAATTAAAAGTTCCTGCATTCAGGGAGTACTGAATACAGTGGTACTTTGTATTCGTAATTAGTGACAGAAATAGGCCTCTCTGGTAACGACATTTAATTTCGGTGACCAACAGCAGACATAGATTATTAAACTTTATTTAACAGAGTTTATTAAACTAAGTTAACATATATTTCTGGCAATAACCAATGATTCATTAAGAGCGTCATTTACACTGTAGCTCTATAGGCTGAAGAACAATGGAGAGAAGATGAATGTCTTTTCTTGGTCTTCATTTCAGGTATCGATTGGGTGATTAAGAACCATGTGCAGCCCTGCGTTGCCGTGCTGCCATTCTTCACGCCACCTTCTCGGAAGTTAGATGAGAGCGTGGAAGAACTGGCTGATGCCGGGTGCCTACCCGTGACTGCCGCCGGGAACGACCCGCAGAAGACGGAACTCGATGCGTGCGACTTCTCACCGGCAAGATCGCCATTTGTAAGGGATACAATGTATATACGCCTTGCACAGAGCGCAAGTAAAGTAGGGACAAACACCGTCCTCAGTGAGGGCGCCCTGTGCACGTTGTCTTCAAATAGTGCATTAGTGTTATACCTATTCACACACACACAAAACTGGAGGGGACATAATTAGGTAAAATTATTCGACCAGACTTTTGGTGTGAAATTACCTCAGTTGTTAATTGGTTTGTTTGAGAAAAATGCCCCATTTTATGAAACGAAAATATTTGCCCAAAAGAATAGGATACTTTCTAATCTGGACAGTTAATTTGGCCTTTTTCGAATTAGGGTTGGTCTTTCGTCCCCTCGACCCTGGCTACAGGCTTGTCACAATGTTGATTTGCTTCATCTCAAGGCAATTACAGTGTCAGCTACTGACGAAGACGACTACCGTGCTGAGTCTTCACGTTATGGGACCTGCGTAGACATCTTTGCTCCAGGTGTTTTTGTCAAGACAACTGATCCTCAGGGAGGCAATAAGTTCTGCTATGCTTCAGGCTCATCCTTTGCCTGTGGCTTCGTTGCGGGTAAGACAGCTGTATGGTCAAGTTGTTTTCTGCTATAAGGCTTAAATGTTTTACTTTAAGTACGTGCGTTAATGAAAACTGACCCGAACCAAATATTGTGGTGTAGCCGTGCAGTTCATTTGTCCCAAATTTACCTCGCCGTATCTCGAAATACACTTCTTATTATGACACTATACAGACACCATGACTATGGACGTAGTTACTGCAGGACAGTAGTTGCAATAAGATAAAGTATTATTCTCAGTCCATCTTTGGGAATTGCCTTTTTTGGCACATCGGCCAATCGGTCAATTTGATTACACCAAGGACAAGTTATTCCCGGCAGATTTCTAGAAAAGACGCCTACTGACAGCCACACATACAGACAGACTGACAGACCAACAAACAAGAATTATAATGTTAATATATTTCCTTGTCTGTATACAGGAGTTGCGGCCATACATCTGGCCAATGGTGTCACGGCAAGCGAAGTACGTCAACGCATCCTCAATGATGCCACAGTTTGTCCTATCAATGACTCGGGCAGGGGAACACCCAACCGCTTCTTATACATCTCCCCGCCTCAGTAACAAATTGATGAGTCTGGTCCCGTGATCAGCTTGTACTCATGCAGTGTGAGCGTGCGCGATCATTTGAGGACCGCTGAAAAACGTCATACTAAAACTAGCACACGCATGCGCAATCGCTAAGATACAGATTTGTCACGGGCAGGATAATTTTATTTCAGGCTAAAGTAAGTGACGCAATCTTTAGTATTTATAAGTTGTGTTTTACCTTCTGTAAAATTGTACCGTCTAGATATTGGAGCTAGAATGGATAATATCATTTGCATCATTGACTGAAAGTTGAAGTCATATCTGACGTGCGTGTTGGAAATTAATCATGTGACCATTTATTTATTGGATTCAGTTTCGTTTTGAAACGCAATTTGCAACGATTTTTTTTGCCATTTCAAGAAACTGTTTCATTCATAAGCTTCCCTGGTCAAGACCAAAGGTCACGTGGTGCATTTCAAATGGCGACGAGATTTGACACATAACATTGTAGGCAGCTAGACATAACTTTACCTTGCATGATTAAGAAATATAATATCTATGATGTATTTTCTTTTTAACAAAGAACATAATCTTTCATTTCGAAGGCAAAATTTAAGTTCTGAGAAAATTTTGAAATCTCAAATTTATGTACATTTCTAACAGGGGGTCAATAGAGGGCGCTTATATATGCCTTTGTCAAAATTATTGATGATGTTGGAGACAAAGACAAAAACGATTCTGCCGTTTCCATTACTTTCAACAAGAAAGCGTCTAAGTAAACCTTAATAACATTTATGTACAAAGAAAATGTGTTGAAGATTGTCTTCATATAATCCTTCATTATACATGTAGAAGTGTGATCACTCGACTAACAATAAACCTGAGAGCTTTGGAATGTCGATTGATTATACATGCATTCCGAAATTAGTATTATTTTTTTATGTAACATAACGACAAAATTAAGAAATTTTGAGGACTGTCGCTATTTTGTTTGGAATAATATATTTATGTAGTCCCGATATTGAAACGTTGCGGTTATCTTTAATTTATCGATCGTTTTCGATGGAAGTATTTTCAAGCCGTCAAAACTGGTTCTGTCTTCAAATAATCAATATTGTCCCCGCTTATAATTAAATCGCAAAGATATTTTTGTTTGATTAATTGGGGTTTAAAAGACGCCGCACAACAATAAATGTTTCAGTGGATGAACGGATACATGATCGACAGTCGCCCTATGAATCAGGTGAGAAAATCCGTTCATTGTAAAATGGTTATAAATGTTTATACCTTCAAAGCAAACCACTTTTGTTTATTTTTATCTCTTTTCTCAAATTTATTTCCAACCTTCCAACATCAACAAATATTGTTCCCGCCCTTCTTTCTCAAATACTATTTTTTTCGTTCCTTGACAGTACATGTAAATGGAAGGATTAATCAACCTGTCCACTTGTTGTGAATGTTTTGAGGGAAGCTTCTTCTCTATCTTTTGTGAGGTTTTCGGAGAAAATGTTGCTGTTTCTGGTAATCCCGTTATTGTTTGTCACCGGCACTGAAAGCTCGGCACCCTTGCTACAAACTGAAGACATCATCCCAGGACAATACATCGTCAAAATTAAGGTAAGAAGAGATTTTCACTGCGTCTTAAAAAAACACACATAAGGATAGAACTAAGTATAGTTTTCTCTTCATTGATGCTAATACTAATTGTAAAGTAACGGAATTTGCCGTTGTGTGTGCCATATAGATGATTTCACGTACAAGTAATTACAACTATCATTGAAACTGAATGAATTGTTGATAGGATAATGCAACCACATTACATTAACATTTAAAAAAAAATCTAATTCACTGTTAATATTTAAATACACAGTTCGTGCATTTAGGTTATGGTTTCACTGAAAAACGCTCAAAATTGAATCTTTTGTGTGCAGTCACATGACCTTGTCAGCGAATTCAGAGAGAAAATGGCGGAGCAGAGTTTGAAATCAATGCAAAGTTATGGCGGGATTGGACACGTGAAGTTGTTATTCAGTCTGGAGGCAGATCCCACTGTGCTGGTCTTTGAGTTAGACTACAAGTCTCTTACCTTGGTAAGAAAATCATTACCTTTTGTCTCCTGAACTAATCTTTTCTCAGGTAAAATCCTGTAAAACGCAAGTTCAGCTCGGGTCTTTCATGCATTGTGTTCAGCGCACACCCGTTCATATTATAATAAGACTCACTTCTTTTTGCTGAGCTGCCGACTTGTGACGCTGCGCGTCATGTGCCGGCATCGTGACGGTATTCGTACACTGCGCTTTGGTCACGGCAGTATAACGTAACGTGCCTGAAGTTTTGACCAGTGAACGAGATAAATGCTTCATTTTGGGACTCGCAGGTGCTGTCTCATCCAGCCGTAGACTACGTTGAGGAGGACGGAACCAATCAACCGGATGATGACATAATTGAACATCCAGACACTTATCTGCAAACACAGCCGCCAAGTAACTGGGGATTGGATAGGATCAACCAGGAGGAATCGACCCTGGATCGGAATGTTTCCTTCTTTGGTAAGTAGCATCGCCTCTTTCACTTGTCTCAAAACAAAGTTTTTGTATCTCACTTTCTGGGGAATATCGAGCAGAAATAAAATTCTTCGTAAAATACTGACCATATCTATTAGTTAAACCTGATCTGTTTACATAACCCACAAGGTTAGGGATACTGAGAGAAAAACTGAAAATATAAAGCAAGGGATTTTAGATTACCTGTTTTATTTTAATTTTAAAGTTATAATGATTGTCTTATTTTATTGTCGGTTTTTCATAGGTAATGGCTTCGGAGTGAACATTTATGTGATCGACAGCGGAATAAACGATCTACATAGGGACTTTGAATGCCGGGCGCTGAAAGCCTTTGATGTGTTCGGCAGCGATGTATGTTGACTCAACTCCCAGGAATGTTCAACAAATATTTTGTCCAAAAAAAAATCGCTTTATAAAATGTATTCATTTCAATAATTTTCTGTTTCTAAAAACGGTTAACATTGCTATCTTAGTCACAAAAATAGGGATGTCTTGAAGTTTATTTCACATTTAATGAAGAGCCTTCTCTTTTAATATTGGTGTATGTTTTATTTATTTACAGAGCTACTTCCAAACGGATTCTTTTCACATTTTTGCTGCTTTTTACGTCACAATAGCAATTTTCCTTGGATAAAATTGTTATTTTTATGTTTTGTTTTCAGGGTCGAGACTGCAAGGGACATGGGACGCAGGTAGCAGGTGTCGCGGCCAGTAAAACCTGGGGAGTTGCTAAAGCTGCGTCCATTCACTCTGTCAGGACTCTGGACTGTAGAGGGATAGGAAGAACTAGTGATATGGCAGCAGGTTGGCAGAAATGTACTTGAGACTGTTTCTGATTGTCCTTCTTGTGTGTCAAGTACTTCTGTCTGTTGTGGGGTTGTGATCTTAGATTTTTCTTCTTTTTCCCTTCTGACATTTTTACAGTAAATTTGGCTGGCTGTTGACCGATTAGCAGACTGACTGATTGAATGAGTGGACGGTACCGTCGGCCGACTAACTACCTGACTGACTGATCGGCTGGATTGTCAGCTGGCTGGCTCCCCGACGGACTGACTGACTTCTCCCTTTGTATACTGATTGATTGGTTGGCAGACTGGGTAGTTCCTATAACTTTATTTTTCCTCAATTTTTCACGTGTCTCGTCTTCTCGTGCCAGCTATCGATTGGGTAACAGCAAATGCCAAGGCGCCTTGTGTTGCCACGTTGAGTTTCTCCAGGAAAACATCATCCCTAACCATCGACAATGCAGTAAAAGGATTGGCAGAGAGTGGATGTCTTCCTGTAGCAGCTGGAACTAATAATGTCCAAGAAGTTGCCAGTGACTTCAACGCTTGCACGCGATCTCCGGCTCGCTCACCCTATGTAAGTTGGACTATCAAGCCATCACAAGTGAATAACAAGACAAATCACAAGTCAACTACAAACGAATCACAGGTCAATCTCAAGCCAATCACAAGCCGATATCAAGAAAACCTTATGGCAATCACTTGACAACCTCAAGACAATCACAACACAATCACAAGTCAATCACAAATGAATCACAAGTCAATCATAATACAATCGCAAGTCAAATCACAAGTCAATCACAAAGAAGGCACAAGTAAGTGGGAATGAAAAATGACATAGTTATGTCATGGCGGCGACTCAGTTGGCTTAATACACAGCTTGTGACTTATTAATGACTTATGATTGACTTCCGATTGACTCAGGAGGACTTGGGATAACTGTATTACAACTCTTTGATTTACTTATAAGACCCACCGATCTCTTACACAAGATCACCCGTTTATGAGTAACTAATCGGTCATTATTACAATTTTCAGGCCATTACAGTCGGTGCAATCGCCTGGTCAAACGACGAGAAAGCATCCTTCACGCGTTTCGGAGTCTGCCTGGACATCTTTGCGCCTGGTCATTTCATCCGTACTACGTCATCAGACGGCAATTACGTCACTGCCAGCGGGACTTCGCTTGCTGTTCCATTTGTAGCGGGTACAACTTTACAAGATTTTTTTTTCGAAAAGCTTCCTTTTGGCAGTTCAGCCTTTATGATTGAGTAAAGTTGCTTACTTTCTGCGATTAAAAATTCGATGCCACAGCCTGGCCGAGCGAAAAGAAAGTTCTAACAACCAACTTTTCCTTATATATCAACAATGCTTTTTAATCGATTTTCAACGTGGGATGTTGGCTTGGGGGACTACCGAGTAATAACAGGCAAAGTTCTGTTAATATTGACATTGTGTTGATAATGACCTGGTTGTGTCTTGCATGTTAGTTGTTTGCTTGGTTCGTTTGTTCGTTGTTTTCAGAACGGATCGTTTTAATAATTATTCTTGTGGTCTGTTTTTCCCTGCGAATTCAGGAGTTGCAGCCCTTCATCTTGCTTCAGGAATGTCTACTCAAGATGTTCGTAAGAGGATCCTTGAAGATGCAATAATCTGCACAATACCTGACGCTGGGAAAGGTTCTCCAAATCGACTCCTCTACACCGAACCTGGAGCTTACTAATACAAACACAACAGCCCCCTCATCGGTGGAACTATTAAAGTGGCAGGATGTTGGAGTTCCCAAGGAAAACATTTAATTTCTGTAAATTTCTGATATTTCACATGATTTTCTGCGGAAAGTGTAGCACAAAAACTCGGAAATTTCTTCAAAATATTCACTTTGTTTAGCAGGTTGAAAAATTACATGTGATCTTGATCTTGATCTTGATGTATTTTCTCAATACGTAAATAAATGTAGAATCCAGAACCAATTACTTTGATGTTGCTGTATCTAAAAGTGTGGTTGGAATGGAGACTAAATTTTAGATGAGTGTAGGTTAATCAAGTTTATTTTGATGTGCGTCCCTTCATTTAAAAAGACCGAGAAGACAACAGTCGAGTCCCACTTGTATTTTATTTGGAAAGTGTTCAGTGTTGTCTTTACTGAAATTAATAAGTGATGTGAACAAAAAAATTAAAGAAAATAATATTAAGAAAACATAACCTGAATGTCAAAAACAGGTTAGTTTCAGACATCGAGTTTCAGTTTATTTAAATATAATCTCTGTGAGACGGATGTGACCCTCCCCTTTCTAATTGGGTTACCGTGGCCTCGCCTACTCTTCCATGATTCTGTTAAGCCCCGCCCCTGTAAAACCCAGCTAGCTGGAATTCTTCAAGCTCTTGAGGGCGCTCGCGACTTACGTAATGAATGAATGAACGTGCTGTCTAATGTTTCAATCTTTCTCAAATCTGTGCTTTGTCTTTGTCCTCTAACAGTATGTCTGTGTGTGTGTTTGTGTGTGTGTGTGAGGAATGTGAGATCATTTGGGTTCTCAACAACAAGTTGTTTTATTAGTTCTTTTAATACCTTGCAGATCTGAAATTATTTTATTCATATAATCATAGGCCTTCAATTGTTTCATATTATTTAGTACTATTATTAAGGTAATGGTCACTCTAAGTTTCGTATATTTCTGAAATTGAAAATTTGCTGGTAGAGGTATTCTCTTAATTATTTTAGTCTTCAGGTCTACCCTATTTTGACAGCCCCTACCCTATTTTTTTTTGGGGGGGGGAAATGAGGGAATAAACCCCCAAACCACTAGCACTACCTTCTAAGTTCTAGTTCTACCCAGGACTACACGCAGACACCTCCATATGATAGTACACAGATGTAAAGTTTCCAGTTTTTATTCCAGATTTAAACTTGCACCTGAGTACAAGAGTGGAAAATTGCTGAAGCTGAGACAATATGGAAGCTGGCGGAGTTGTTCCAGATGTTATTGACGTTGCCCCAGCAACCACAGCGGAGGTCACATGGGACAGTGGAGTGAAAGCCGAGATGGGGAATGTTGTTACTCCCACGCAGGTATGATCGCTGTACTTGACACTCCAAAAACTGAACCCTGAACTAAGTATCCCTTACTTCATGAACATGCAGTCTCCTCCTCTGTGCAAGAACCCAGTGGCAAAATCTTTGTAGCCTAAGAGTTGAGTAATTAATTTGTTGATAAAAGTTTAAAAGAAGTCATTTTGTAGTATTTTAGTTGTAAATAAGGAATATTTTGACATTTGAGAATGACATATTTAATTTCAGGTCCAGAAGCAGCCCATTGTCACCTGGCCAGCTGAAGAGGGCGCCCTCTATACGATCATCATGACTGATCCTGACGCACCCAGTAGGGCTAACCCTAAGTTCCGAGAGTGGCGTCACTGGCTAGCCATCAATGTTTCTGGTAACAACATGAGCAGTGGCAGCGCTCGGTCTGAGTACATTGGAGCGGGCCCACCCAAGGACACTGGTAGGCAGTTTCTCTCATGGAATTTGAGATTGAAGGAAAGACTTAAATAAATAATGCTCAACTGAACAAATGACTTACAGTTTTCTGTAAGAAAGACAATGGGTGACAACTTCAAGATTTTGACCATATTTTCCAATTTTCTGGATCAGATTTAATATCATGTAGCTCATGTTCCATCCATTGCCATTGCAGGCCTGCATCGCTATGTCATCCTCATCTACAAGCAGTCTGGGCAGATCAATCCAGACAGTGTCCCATTCGTCTGTGATAGCGATTTAAGTGACCGAGCTAAGTGGAAGGTGCGTGAGTTTGCTCAGTCTCACAGCCTCGGCAACCCAGTGGCAGGAAACTTTGTTCAGGCCGAGTATGATGACTATGTGCCTAAGCTGTATGCAAGAGCTCAGGAGTTTGCAGCCAAGAGAAAACAAGAAGCTGAGCTCAAAGAAAAATAAGGTCTGGTTGGCATTTCTGTTCCCAAGAACGAAAAGGTAATAGGAAAAAAAATGTGTATGAAAATCATATCAGGCGAGTTGACCGTTGCGTTGATGGGCTGGCTTGAGCTTTTATTTTCCTCTTGCATTAAGTCTGGCTTATTCACATCGTGTGGTGTGTGGATACTAGATAAGCTACTCTCAACAAGCATGATTTTTCTTTGAACATCTCTGTGATATGAAATTATGATTTAATTTGATTTGATTTTTTTTTTAAAATAATTTAGTTGATTTGAGCAAATTATTAGCTTGGCACTAAAATCAGACACCTTACACTTAATTCTCCCCGTTTTGGGGGGCTTTTTTAAACGAAATTTTGGTTTTTATTATTATTCTGAATTTATTTCTTTATTTTTATCCGTTTCCATGATATTCATTTAATGATTTTTGATGCTGTTCAAAAGTATGTCTAATGTATCTTCAAAATGTTTGGCTACTTTGAATGTTTTGAAAATGTTCACTTTATCAAAACAAAAATGTGTGAGTTTAAGTGATAGCATTAAATGCACTGTTCTTGACTTATTTAATGGTTACAAACTTGTTAGTTTTGCTTATGTCCAAGTTAAACAATACACACAAAAGACAAAGAATATTCACACTCAATACATTTATTTTTCTTCCAAAAAAAACAGACAAAATTTAATTTACCTTAAAATAACCCATAATTTAATGATGCGCAGTGTACGTATTTAATAGAAGTACTTTATTATAATGAAGCTCAGATGCACATGATTAAAATGTTACATGTACTTATAAAGTAGTTTCGTTTAGAAAACCTTTACCCAACAGTACAAAAGGAAAACAATTCCAAAACTTTTTCTTGAAAACCTGCCCTTTGATCAAGGCAGGATTTGGGAGTATATGCAAATTTGCCAGGATTTAATTTTTTTGCACATAGGCAAAAAGATCATAATCCAATGTCGTGGAGCATATCAGCAAAAATATTTGTTGTGCCACCCTGTAGAGTCACTTAAATAAAAATACTGTTATGGTGAAGTTAAAACATAAAAAGAGTTACATGTATCTGAAGCACCGTTGGAGGTACAAAATACACTGGCCATAGTCAGGAAATGTCACTGAGAGATATAATAGACAGTCATAAAAATAGCATTTCTTGTGGTGGAGTGGATGCTGTACGACCGTATTTCTGCTACCTCGTCTCCAGCAGGCCGTGTTTCTTTGACAGGACTTCCACAGTCTCCTTGTGAGCACTGCAAACAGAAATATACAATTTGAAATTACTTTGAATTAAAGAATTGATATTGAATTGATATTCAAGAACTCTTGAAGGATCCAACTCACCTTCCTGGTCTGATGATGGTGAATTGCCCAGGAACAGACAAATTCACCACGGTAGATCCCAACCGTGACTCCAAGGTATCACCAAGTTTACCTCCATCTAAAATGAGGTCAAGTTTGGGCCAAAGCTCCTCAAATTCCTGAAAAAAAAAGATCAAAGGAACAGATGATGCTTTTGTAAACATTATTTTGTGTAAACTTGGATTTTTACAATTGTTTTACCACAATTGTCATTAATTTTCTCACTACGCTGAATGTTCATATTTGTTGCCAATTTTGTTTCAAACTTGTTTTTTTGAAGGATTAAGGAAATGACGCTTTTATGATTATATGATTTATTAAACAATTTAAATCTGAATATTAAAATACTGCAAAAAATACTACAAACAAAAAACATCATGCATCACAAACCTGCACGGCCAGTGTACTCCTCGAAGCACTGACGTTGGCACTGGTAAGCGCTAGCGGGGAACCAACTGCTCTTGCCACCTGTCTGATGAATGGATAGCCCGGGATACGGATACCAACCAAACTGGTAAATGGGTTCAATTCTGGGTTGAGCTCAGGTCGTCGCTTGAGAACCAACGTGACCGGTCCTGGCAGAAGATCTGAGAGTAAACTTCTTGACACTGGTACTTCACTCCACCTGGGTAGGGGGGGGGGGGAATCAAAATTTGTTAAAATTCAGATTCCAATTTTTTGATTGGAAAATTCCTGAATCCTCTAGAATCCATAAAAGTGCAGGATTCCAATGTTCAAGGGGCATCAAGTCATTCATAATCTGAATTCAACAATAAGTATTAATATATCATTTGGAGTCTCGGTCCTGATTTTACTGTAAGGCTTTCTACAAACAAGAGTATTTTTTCTCAACATTTGAACTGCCTTGTTGCATAAATGTGCAAACTAGAACTTAATTCCTCTCGAGAACAATTACTGAAAAAATGATTCTTGTTTTTCATGAACAAAGTGGATTATATTTTTTCAATAAGTTAAAATTTCCACCGAAAAACATACTTTTCCAAGTCCTCAATGTCTGCAACACAGATTGCGATTGGGTTATGTCCATTTCTTCCTTTGATGTTGTACAGTTGCTTGACTGAAGCAGTAGACTGAGCCAAAGCAGCTACTCCGTAGATTGTATCTGTGGGGACAGCTATGACATTGCCAGCCTTGAGACTCTCAACTGCTGCACAAACTGCATGGTGGTTATCTGTTATTAGAAAGAAAATATTTAAGCTGACAATAATCAAGGAATATAACCAAGTACACAAAACACTGAAAAAAAACCCAAAACATTACCCCCTCCTAGCTTGAGTAACTCCAGCTTAACAAGCTCATCAGGAATTCACACTCCAGCTTAACACGCTCATCAAGAATTCACATGTGAATTCCTGATGAGCTTGTTATTAAGCTGGAGTTACTCAAGCTACATACCCCCTCCCTGCATAACTGTACAGTACATGTAAAATGATGTATCAAAATTGAACAAAAGAGAACAGAACAATTTGCACGGTGCTCGGTCATAGCCCCATAAATGTGGCCAACTTACTGGCCTACCTAGCTTATAGAGGTAGTCCATAAATTGGCCACATTTATGGGGCTACATCATGTACTCGGTACACAGCGCACATGACATTTTGTACACAGTCAGTACAAATTGTAGTATTTGTTTACCTACCTGTTTCGTTTCCGAGTTTAACAATCCGAGCCATACTCTCGATTTCTTGTTGATTTTGGCCACTGAATTCCTTCACAAAATTGGCACAATACTTCACAAACGTCTGTGTCAGCCTTTTATGACGAATGCAAAACATCCTTTGACAAATTTTAGAGAATGTTGCAGTTGCACGTCATTACATCACCACCACTTCAACTCATCATGCACGCGCACATGGGGGCTGCCATCTTCGACCGACTGTTTGTTAAATTTCTCGCCTCCACTAAATATGTAAATTTCTAGGCGGGGCCTTTCATCGCGCATTCTTTTCTGACTTTTATCCAATGAATGCAGTGACTTCATTATGAGTTTACTCGTGGATCCTAAATATGGAAGTCGCATCACCATATATGTAACCATTCATCCAAATAAAGTCATGCTCTGTCTATATATGGTATGATGGAATGTCCCACCAGCTGCACGGCGGAAATTGCAGCCCATGCACCATTGTGGTTTACCGAATTAAACTGTGTACTTCGTGTTGCCCCATGGAGCTAAAATGGCGATAAACGGTACGAAAAACCGCTGGAATTTCGAGGTGATTCTGCTGCTTTTGGCTGTCTCCTTTTCATGGACGAATGCAGACCTAGTAAGTCGATGTGAAGAGACCTGCCAGGCTGCTTTGGTGAGTATTACTGCTGTTGTTTGACTGCTTTTTGAGTTTCTTTTTTTGGGTGTATCGATCGGGCCTGTCAGTGTCAGTCAAGTTTGTGCAAACTTGTGCAGAACAACTATGGCACTGACTTAGACCCGTGAACGTGGCGTTGTATACATTTACAAGCCACGTTCACGGGTCTAGCACTGACTGAGTAACTGAGCATGCGATGTAATTTGGTCCATTTATTTTCTCTCATGATTTGTGTAGGGTTTCACTGTTTACATTAAGTAAATTGGTAAAATAAATGTGTTGATAAATCTCATTTTTTTGAAATGTAAACTTTGTCTTTATTATCTTGAAACCTCTTCATCAATTAAATAATGATCAAACCACTGAACCCATGTACCAGGAACAACTTGATAATCTCTAGACCTCCAGCCCCTGATCCAGCACCCCCCCCCCCCCCCCCCCCCCGCAAAATACAAAATAGATTTAAAAATGTTGCAACCTGACGCCACTTCCACGGTTGTGAACAAAGTCTATGGGGAGTCAAGAATTTTTTCCTTACAAAATTGGAAATATTTCTCAGTGCCAGATTCATGTCTTATCATCATTTTTGCAATATATGAAGAAAAAAGTGGCGTCAGGTTGCAACATTTGTTTCCAATATGCTTACCGCATAAATTGAAAAAGTCAGCAGCATGTTTTGTTAATTAAGAAATATTTAGCCGGCGCCACAGGGCACTGGCTTTCTTTCAGTAAACAATATGTACAGCGCCGTCTTTGACGCCTAAAATGAGTTGGACTACATTTATTACCTCCATCGTTTGTGCAGCACCTGTGGCCGAATGGATAGCGATTAGCGTGTGGATCTCTTGAGTGAGAAATCCCTGGTCAACTCCTGGCTAGTGACAAATTCGAATTTTTTTCATCCCAAAAAATTAAGAATATTCGTCTTTTCTTTTAGAATTGACTCCAACATTTCATTACAGAGTTTTATATTTTCTTTTTCTGATTTGTGGCTCTGGAGGATATTTTTTTAAGGGAAATAAAGTCCGAAATTGTAAAATAGTATGATTCCCAATGTCCCATTCCCATCTCGAAGTCACAATGACAATGTTGGCATGGAACCAGACTAAGATTTGTCAGCGTAAAAAAAAACTGATTTTGTTTAATATTAATCCCTCAAAACAGTCACTGCGCATGTTCAGTGCCTATCCGGCAAAATATTGTTTACTTAAAGAAAGCTGTGACGGCTGAATATCCACTGTTGTTATGTTAACAGAGTTAAGGAAAGAAGGATGATTTTGTTCCCATAAATATTACTTTGTTTGGAATGTGATTTAGACGTTTACATATTGTAAACATGTATAAATATATGTTACTTTAGTATTCCTACCCTGTGCCAACAACCTGTTTAGACATTTTATTTGTTTCGAATATAATTTTTAAAATACCCTCTCGGGCTACAGTAGCTATGTCACTTTTACATTTCTTTCAACTGGAACTGGATTTGACATAGACATTCCCTGTGACACAATTTATCACACACAAACACCTTGTGAGCGATAACTTGTATTGATGTGACCCCAAATCCAAGTATAAACTGTTTACTGCTTGTGAACGTGGAGTTCAAGACTGCAGCACCTGACGGTTCACTCAACTCAATTTACAGACCTCCTGGGGTTAGATCTTGACAGTAGGGTCATCTAATGTCACCAAATGTCACACTCAAGAAAGTCAAAGTTGTTGAGAACTCAGAAGCTAGGACAGAATGTGCATAACTGACAAATGTATGACATTATTTGCTGTGCAACCTACAACTTACAAATAACCGAGAAACTAAAAAAGAGGAAAGACAAAAACTGATTTACTTTAAAACTTAATCATAACAAGTGTTTATAAACATACAGATCTGAAACAATACAATAATGTGTAGATTTAATCAGGCACTAATGGTGGTGGCAACTGTGTTGAATACTGTTAGAGAGTTTCATTTGTAACTTATAAAATTGGCACTTTGGACAGTGATAATAAATGATCATTGTTTTGAAACCATTTATGCTCAGGAAGATATTTGAGGTGCACTCCCTGGGTGAGATTATGAAGTACACTTGGTGTGTAGTCTCATTGCATTTTCTTTTCACCTATAAATTAGGATTGGAGTGTTTTAAATGTCAAGTATTACAAATCACTGTATTTAGAAGAATATTGTTTGATTTTTCATGCTAGATGCGAAAACCACAAATTTACGCTAGACTTCTGCAATCCATCCTTTATAAGATTTTTTTGTTTTGCTATAAAAAGAATATGTACTGTACAGTATCATCTTGTTTGCAGCCAAAATGACAAATATATTTATAGATAGTGCTAGCATTCCATACTTGGCATCCTACTGACCAGAGCGCAATATAATCCAAAGTGACAATCATGTAGGTGGATAATGGGGCGTGACCTTCATGACCTTTCGCAACCCCTGGTGACCTTTGAGAGTCTGGAATCTGGAATATTTACAAGTTCTATTAAGGCAGACATGTCAGGTTGTGTATGATGAACGCATATTTGATGAATGATGTGGTGTAATAATGTTAGCCGATAATAAACATGTATCTGGTGAAACAGACTGGTGAAACATTAAAAAAATGTGAAGCAGTGACTAATTGCTTATGTTAGAGAAAGTTATTGTATCACATTTTTCAGACTGGAAGAATTCGAACTTGTGATATCTGACAGTGATTATACATTGTACGTCTTCAAGATACAGTATATTTTGTTACATGTACATGTATCTGACAGTGACAAAAAAGATTTGGGTATTTTTCATCTAATTAGATATGATGATTTGCTTTTTTTTTTAAAAATAAAGTAACATAAATTAGCTGTGGGACTGTGTAACAGTGGAGAATGTATGGATTCGCATTTAGCTTTGAAGTTTGAAAAGTTTATATAATTAATATTTCCCAATTTCCAAATAAAGTTTTTAGTACATGTATGCCAAAGCAATGTACAAGTCGACATCAGGTTGCAATATGAATGTTAGTTGCACAATTTGGGGATCCTATGAGCTACTATTTTTATCGTTCCTGTTCTAGGAAACCTGAGCCTGCCTTGTGAAATATTGCACTTTGGCTGTTAGTGTCGCAGGAAATAGTGATACCTCTTGATGAGCTGCAAGGGGATTTTCTTACATCCATTAGGTGCCATTAGAAGTTTTCAGTGTAGTCTTGGTGTAGTGTTCATGCCCGAAGCATGTCTTGAAGGTTCTTTGAAGGCTAGAGACAAAGCTGGTCTTTAGTTGGTCTAGCCAGATCTGTTTCCTTGCTCTGTGGTCTAACTAGCTTGCCCAAAACAGCAGGCGTCCGAGGGCAACTGAAATATTATAATATGAGAGATGGATGGATGGATGGATGTGTACCCATTGATACTCGACACTTATCTTCCAACTGCACTCTGCCGTTTGTTGTAATGCAAGAGGACTTTTCCTAATTTTGATCTGTTCCGGCATTGAAAAGATTGATTCTATTCACAAAGATTTGTTGAGGAAGTGTGAAACTTGAGAAATATGTTGCAATGCACATTGAGATTGTGCATTGTATTTTTTCTTTTAACATTGGAATAGTATTTCTTTGGAAGTAAAGCATGGGCATATGGTTAATGTGATTTCACAAAATCTAAGTCATAAAAACTTATGTAAGGTTTAAAAAAAAAATTAACTGCAGTAGGAATATAAACAATAATGATATTGCGCAACTACCGTTACAGATATGGGTTATTGATATTGACAATAACACAAGTTCATCAATTTATAGAATTTCCTTTCTTATTTTCTCCTTCATTTTTTTGCCTGATTTTCTTTTTGCAGACCCAGTCTTCCCTACATTATTTCTGTCAATTCAAAATTAAAAATGAATTAAACTGCTGCAAACTGCTAACTGACTGGATTGACGTGAAATACACAAATCAACATATTAAAATAGCCTGATATTTCAGCCTTGGCAAGGCCTCCTTCAGAGGCAAATGATGGAGGAACAAGAACAAGTTCAAAGTTCTCAAATACCTAGCCCACCTTATTTTTTTAAATAGTAATTTGATTTCTATGACTCATAACATCTGTTACACCCTCTTCCAATGTACGTGTGTAAACATGTACGCATTACTGTACAGGTACATGTAAATAAACAAAACTTTTACAGGAATCCTGTAACTTCAAGGCTGATTGGTTGCCCTTTGAGCTTTTAATTAAAAACATGTACTTTACAATGTGCTCTGATTCTTTAGGAACCACTTCCAATACATGTATGAGCAAAGTTCACCAAACAGGACGTTGATAAAATGCTTGAAATATTCAATAGATGTCTCATGGCTGTGAAGTATTTGGAGAAAAGATAAAGATTTGATTGCCTTGTTGTGTATACAGATTCATCATGTTTATTTGGACGCTGTCAATTTAATAACTGTTTGAACTACAAATGGATGAAATGGACGTCTAAGTGTGACTACACATGAACGTGTTATTATGCACGATGGCAAATTGTGTTGGTATTGGTGCATGGCAAAATTCTAGATATGTCTGCTTTTCCTTTTTTTGTTTTTTTTTGTAAGTAGGTACATGTACATGTATTTTGCAAGGTCGACAGTCCATAATGATAATATTTTCTACAGCCCACACAAAGTGCAGCCTCTGCATCAGTTGGAATATGTGTAGGTGTATACAATACACAAAGAAATGTACAAATACCGAAGGGACATTTTTGTGAATTTTTTGACTTGCCAGTCATGCATGACAAGTTTGGATTATTGTAAACAAAGTCTACAAATGATACACAAAAACCATACCCGATACATGCACTTTGACACGTATACATGTAGTTGTGTAAAATGTATCTTTAACCCCATATTTAAATGAATACCGAAAGGGTATGGTATTCAGGAGTTTGAGAGGGGAAAATCGTATCTTTGTGTTCATGGAGGAATGAAGTACATGTAGTAGAAAAGAAAACTAGATGTATGCATACTTATATCTACAGTAAATCTGGGGAACATTGGTAATAATACGTTTTTTAATTGTTCCACCGAGTAATTATAAAAAGTACTATGCTTTTTAGAGTCACACCTGTTGAGAGCTTGTTTGGATAGTCAGTGCACTTACAACCAAACACTACAGGAAGTAATTGACTTCCAATGATTTACACTCAAGGCCAGCAATTCCCCTACTGTCAGGGTTAACAAGAAAGTTCAATCATTGTGGTCATAAATTTAAACCATTTACATGCCTGTGTTGTGGGGGATTCAGTATGAATTTCATTATATATATGTAAGTGTGCAGAATTATGAAACAGGTGTTTCAGAGGTGTAGAGTTGGGGGATGGGGTTGGAATGCTCACATAACTTAGATCAGGTAAAATTGTACACCTGTAGAAACTTTTGTAATTAATTAATAAAACATGACTAAATATGATTTTGGAGTTGAAGTATTGTATAAATTTCTCATTTCGAAACTTGCATCCATGACTAAAGTATTTTTCGTGGAGAAAATAATACAGAATTGAGTAGCAAAAGAATTGTATGTGGTCATATAGGCAAAGCAGGGGTTATAATGGTGTCAAGCTGAATTCTTGAGGCAGAACATTCCACCTGCATGACAGAAACCACTTGTCTTGATTGAGTGGTTTTGTGGTTTACCACAGTCAGACTTGCTTGTAATCACCCACAGATAAACAGTCCACATAATGGAATGCTGACTTCCAAAGCCGCCCCCACCCCAGGATGAAAAGGAGTCTCTCAGCCTTGGCCTTTTATTGTAAACTGATATTTTTGTTCAGTTTTGGAATTTGCTAGTAGGGGCCTACATGTATTTTAATAAGGATTGGTGTTGCCAAATGTTTGATTTTGATATTTAGGTCATATTAAAAAGTCAAGTTGATTTATGGTGCTACATGTACATGTCTACTCTAGAGTGGTCTGGTATTTGATTGCAAAAGTTACTGTTTGAAGGTCACTGGGAATGGAATAAGCATAATAGAGCAAGGAATGTCACCTCACGGCTACTTTGTACATTCAGTACAGCTCTCCTACTCTTAAAAATAGTTGGGGAGGGGGATTGGAAAGAAAAGAAACATTCTGAGCCTCTGTGTAAGTTCCATGTACATTTGTTGCCAAAATTCACACAGAACTATTGTTTTTACTCACAAACTCATCTACAATGTAACTTTAATTTGTAAATTGTTTGTTTTTGTCACCACAGAATGCTGCAAGTGGGACTGAGACACTAGTCTGCAATGATACATGCAGAATGAGTTCCGTAAGTTGCTTGAAATAACAATTTAAACTCTAACACCCCACCCCAAAAATTTCCTTGGGCATGTTCTTTGTCAATGAAATGACAGCAGCCTTGCAATATGCATTGCTCCATTGATGGGATATATTTAATCTCCCTTATTCCCCTTAAAGCACTTATGACCGAAACCAAAGCCGATACATGCATCTGATAAAGCTAAAGGAATTCTACAAACTTGTTTAATCTTTATTTTTGACAACGAGAACTTTGTGATATTTGTTTAACTTATATTAATCCCTGCTCAAAATCTAAAACATTAAACAGGAAGACATTTAGGTCAATTTTGAAATAAAACTTGATGTGAATATAGCGTGTCTAAACCAAAGCACAAAATAAAGAGAACATACTCCTGCGTCCGTATTGCTTTACAAGTGTGGATAAACTTATCAGATATATGTTTTATATCCCTTGATCAAATCAACGATTTTAGGAAACATGTCTTGGCTTTAAAGGGAATATACAACATTTGCAAACATCGAAAAAAAAAACTACCAAGTTTTTGCGAAATACCTTAATATGATGTTGGTAAATGACAGCCTGAAGCATCCTGTAAAATTATGGCACCTGGTATACTGTCATTTTCAAGAAAAGTGGTATTTTTGTATCAATTTCCAACGCTGATCGGCCGATCAGCGTTGGAAACAACTGGCTTTTTTTCAAATACTGGCCCCAATTGACCATTGCACTTGTTTGCAATCGATTACAAACCTATGAACGGGTACGAGCCAGCTAGACTGGTTCCCTGACCTTACAATTCCCCAATGTATGTAAACTGCTCTGTTTCTTCTTATATGGAGTCAGGGAACCAGACTACAGGAAAATGATCGTTTTTCTTGGTTTTTATAGCATTTTCGAACCCAAAACCTCCAAAAAGTCAGTGCAACTATATTTGCTTTATATTTCCAACCCCCCAATTCCATCCATTTCTGAAAATTACAGCAAAAGCAAATGATGTATATTCCCTTTAATTGTTTTAACAGTGTAGAGCAGGCTGCCATTACTGGGACAATACAACAGCTGATGCATGTACGCAACAATGTGTAAGTAGTTGATTTGCTTTGTGCTTTAATACAGGACCATTGTGTCTTACATGTATATTGGATGAATGTTTCAAATAATTCTTCAAGTAAAAATTTACTCAACTTCAATATTGTGAGAAGTTTGTTCCCTTTATGTCTTCAATTTATCTTCTGTTTGCAGAATTCTACGTTCTCACTACCAAGTCAGGTAATACATATGCTTTCATTTCTTCAGAAATGTGAAAATTATGATTTTTGTGTGTGAAAGTTTAATGCTTGTAATTCTTGAAACTTAAATATTTTTATAAAAAAAAACTAAAGGTACTGAAGCACTTAGTTTTTTTTTGTGTGGGGGGGTTCTGAGTTCATGTATCTGCTGATACTGCAGATGCTGTAAATGTGCAAAGGTTTCTTTTGTAAATAGAGGCTGATTACTTTTGTTCATAATGTTTTGTTGCATGTTTCAGGTGCAATATTGTGGTTCTGGGTGTCTGTACGCTGAAGATGAATATGCTGCTGTTGTCAGAGGTAAAAAAATAACTTTTTAGTATACAAAGTTGGTGATACCTCATAGAATTGTTGGAAATGGTCTGGGATTTTTGGGCTAATGATGACATCAGGTCTGGACTCTTGAATATTTAAATTTGTATTAGCGTAAACGTAGAGATCACTAGTCTGAATTGACAACCAGCTGGTTGCCCAAGTAATGCCTGTTGCAATCACTATGCATGGAGCTTGATTGTTCCAATTTTGGAATTGTACAAAGAATGTACAGTAAGAGAAGTGCAGTGTGTTGAATTTGTTTTGTTCTTTTCCAGCCCAACTTGGAAATATTTCTGCACCTTATGTTTTATCGATGGCGAGTATTACAAACGACAGCGTTGATATCGGATGGGCAGCTGCAAACCATGAAGCAGTGACGTATAGATTACAATGGCGTTATGTGGAGATAGAGGGCAGCACATGGACGTCTTATCACAGACAAGTGAGGAATTATCTCATTAGATATCTCATTAATTATGCTGCGGCCGATGTTTAGTTATTGAATTATTAATTTACAGTTTTGAATGATTGGCTGCCAGACAATAATTCTATTCTTGCGGGGTTGGCTGGTTCCCGCCTCACAATCAGTATCGATAATGTACGTACTGGGAGCCAGTCTGCTCGCAAAGCTGATCTGTTAACACACAAAACAAAAACTTGTTTCAGAGGGTTGCATGTTTGCGTCAATAAAAAGGAAAAGGGGAGATTTTTAACTAGGAATAAACCTTAAAAGTCAATTTTTTTTTTTCATAATCAGAAACTTGAATGTGTTGAAGAGTTCGGGAAACGCAACTTTGAAATTACTATTTTTTTCTCCTCCGTCCTCAGCCCGTCTCAGTCCTCCAAGCCTCTGTGACTGGACTTCATCCGCTTGTTTCCTACAAGTTCCGCATACAGTGGGTCATCACGCTAAGACATGTACTGTCTTCCCCTGCCAGCGTTGAAGTCACAACAGATCCATATGGACGTAGGTTTAGTGTATCAGATTCATAGCCAATGGTTGCACACTCTGTTCACCTACTGAAGGGTTTAGATTGCATAGATGTTTTCAAAGTTTGATGTACTAATTAAGGCAAACATCCACTTTCAATAAATGGCTTCAAAACAGGAAGAAAAACACGGAACAAACAATCATCTGGTAAAAGATCAGAAAGTTGACATTCACTTGAGCATATCGGTAGAGACCTCTACACATGTACATGTTTCTTCTACTGCATAAACTTAAATTTGTGACAGGTTTTTAACGAGTGTCATATTTTTGTTGTGTCTTTCAGCTCCATTATCTGCACCCATCATTACCAGTCTTGTGTCACCGAGTCCGTCGACTATTTCTGTATCCTGGAAACGACCCAATTTCCCCAGTGGACCCATAATCCAGTACACAGTAAGGATACAGAACAACATTGGCTACCCACAGATGACAGTCACAGTGAGAAACACGCACACGTTTGTTAGACTGGAGCCGGGGACAGTGTACAATGTAACAGTGACCGCTAGAAATGCCGATGGGGAGAGTCCAGAAGCTAGACAAACTATGACGACTCAACCACCATTGAATGGTATGTGTAAATCTTGGGCTGGGGGGTCGGGGAGAGTCGGGATACAAATTGGACCTTTTTGTCTTCTTAATCTCCTTTTAAATTAAAGGGCCAAAACTCAGGTAGAAGCACAATTTGATAATACTTATGTGATCTTTTAGATACTATTTCATAGAAATCACTGCAGGTTGTTATTTACTATGCCGTTTTATTTGAAATATGATCATTCAGTATTCGTCTCTGTTTGTTTTTGTTTCCTTCCTGGCAGATACTAGCATTCAGCCGTACTTGGTCGTTGGTGTTTCAGCTGTATTTTTTCCAACAAATAATTGGGCATCATATGTGTCGTTTGCTCCTTTTGACAAGTTGGGAGTGGAATTTCCACAAGACGTGCATGTTGCTGATATTGAAAATACCACTATTGCAGGTATGTGCATGAAAGGACGTCTGTCCTATTTTTTAACCCTAGTTCTTGAGACTTTTTCGATAGGAATCAACCCAAGTTTGTCTAAAATCCTCAACTGCAATTGCAATTCTCAAAATTAAGATTTTTATTACAAGGTTTGTGTGAAAGCCAGTAGTATTGATACTAAACAGACCTGAAACCTGGACCATGAAAAAGAGCTTCAAGATCGCCTTGATGGTACATACAGCAGGCTTCTTCCACCTATCTCTGCTAATGTTGCTCAACAAAGAGAACGCTTTGCTGGCCACTGCTGTCATGTTGTGGACCAATTATATCTGATGTACTGGAAATACGTTGGAGACTCCCATGCCCTGATGGAGGAGGAAGACCTTTCAACTACATTGACGTAAATTCATTGAAAAACAGTTTAGTACTTAGAACTGTTTCTCATGAAAATAATTGTTGTTAATATTGTTGCAGACGTTGCAGTTCATTATTGGAAGAAACTGCTGTATCTCTCGGATTCCTCTGGGGCCATCCATCGCCGAGCAGTGAATGTCTCTAATCTGGATACTTATAATAGTCCATCTGAGGTCATCTACAACAGCACAAAGGTCGCGACCTTACTGACAGTGGATTGGCTGTTTGATCATTTGTACTTTGCACAGGAAAACCAGGTATGGCATTATTTGTTTTATTTTCAAAAGATGGCATTGCGTCTCTCATCACATCAAACACATTCTGGTTTTGCAAAATCCTTGAAATAATAGTTTTAGAGTTTCTTTGTTGTTGTGAGGGTCCTTTGTCTCAAAAGTTCAACAATTTACCACCCCTAATTAAGAGGCATTTTAAGCTGTTTTCATTCGGTTTTTGAAAAGAGCGTGGAACTTATTGAGTGAATACTGCATTTTGGTGTTTTCTGTTGTAGAATTACCAAAGTAACCTATTACCCTCGTGGAATTACTGAGTCAACTGTCATTTCTTTGTCAGATATTGCGATGTGATCTGACATGCAGTCAGGCAGCTGAAGTCGTGATTAATGGTCTGGACTCAACACCAACTGAGCTGCATGTTGACCCGTACAATGGGTGAGAATTATGGGGTCATTCTCTGGATCTTTGTTGTCCCTGAGGAACAGTTCTTCTCGTACCTTGAAATCCCTATTGAAAAAATTATTATTGAAAAATATTTGGAAAAGTTTGGGTTTTTGTGAGTTGATCTCACAGAAGGATTATGTCAAAGGTATAAAATAATGATAAGTAAAACAATCATTGGAATATGCCAAAGAAATACTTCAATTTGTATAAATGTATGTGTTTAATCAGAGAGGAATGTTTCTCTAAAAGCAGTAAAAATGATGTTGTGTCACTCTCATTTTGTCAACTTTCTTGATATACTGCAAATCAAAATGGTTGGTCTGTTAACATGGCTGCATTGTATAAGGGTGAAATGTTTGTTTATTTGTTTATTTGTCTAGATTTATTTACTGGTCGGAGTTTGGTCCTTCGAAGGGCATCTACCGACTTGACTTGGCTCACCTGGGAAACAACGCGAATGGACAGAAACAGTTGATTGTCCAACTAGAAAACGTGGAGACTTTCCTGATAGACCCAACAGGTTATCAAGTCATATTCCCCAATGCTAGCAGTGATTCAATCGTTGGTTCTTTTCTTGATGGAACGGAGCAGGACACGCTACGAGTCGACGAGGGACATGTTCTGGAATATTTCACCAACATGTCTAGCCTTGCGTACTTCAACAACCTGTTTGTGTGGACGCGATACGACAGTGTAATAAGGACTTGTGGCGTGCTAGGTGAAGAGCCTTACAATGCAGCATTCATGTACTTTGAAGATAAATCTGGCACGAATGTGGAAAATATTGACTTTGATTGCGCCGAGGCTTATCACGGATTGGATGTTTATCATCCTTATTACCAACCGATTCCAGCACCTGTTACTCCACCCACTAAGCTACAGGTTTTGTTCTCAGACACCACGGCACAGGTCTCCTGGGTCAGACCAACTGATCTTGAAAGCACAGGTTGGTCAGTTAAGAAATAAGATATGTTCTTGCAGTTGCTGATTACAGCGTCTGCTGTTAGTCTGATCTGAAGCTGCTAGCCTACTCCAGCAAGCTCAGTGGTTGAGTGGTTAAGACATCTGCACTAGTAAGCAGGAGGTTGTGGGTTCGACTCCCACCATTGAAAGCTTGCATTCAGCTGTCATCTTGTAGGTATTTCTGTTATTGTAATTCAGAAACACTGAGTGCACAAGAAGTCTAATCAGTCGTATCCTTGTGGTTCATGAAAACACACCTTATAGGCAGCAATGCGAAAAACACCTTAAGCATGTTCAATAAAACTGAAGGGCGGAATGCAATATGTCAAAAAATATATCTCATTCATTTATATCGTGATTGCCCACACTTTTGATTTGTAAAGTTAGTGAGTGAATTTTTCCTCTACTTCATAGGTGAGGGAGCCTGGCAGGAATGGACATACGAGACTGAACTGACCGATGTGACATCATCAGATGTCATCATCCTTGATTCCATCCAAGACCTGACCGCTCGTCTGGTCAATCTGACATCACAAACTAAGTACAGCATCAGGGTGCGTGGCTACTCACAGACGGCTAGAGGACCATGGTCACAGAGCTTTGTGGGAACCACACTCAAGCAAGGTAGTCTGCTGACATTTTGACTGGACCTCAAGGACCAGCCTACTGTCCTCGGACTGACAGACTGACTGACAGACTGACCCCCCCCCCAACTGACTGACTCCCTCCCCGACTGACTGACCGACTGAGTCACTGATGACCGACTGATGGACTGAGTCACTGAGTATAATTAATGTCCAAAACTGAGACGTTTGACTGGGCAAGTCTAGTCTTGTATTTTATGTAACCAACAAATAAAATGCAAGGAACACTAGCCATATGTTTCAATATTTTGGCTGGGTGTAGTAACTGTGACAGATGTTTGGCATCTGGATTCATTTCATGCTTACCAACAAATAAATGCTTCTCTAGTAAACTATTTCACTTTTAAATTCCTCATCATAAGGAGATGATGAACCATTTCTTTTTTTTCTTCCCAAGTTGCTGAAGAGCCTTTTCTCGTCTTTGCATCAAGTGACGCAATTAAGAGAATCAACTTGGATGGCACTGGATTGGCAGATATGGCTAACAGGAGTGGAATAAGAGGTGATTAAGAACATGCAGTTGGTGTTGAAACTTTTTTGTATCATATGAAAGTAGTCTATTTTGTGCCGTGTACTATAAAAGTGACGAGACATAGCAATTGAAAAATATCCTATATCCCTCTTTCCTTTTCAGACTTTGCATGGGACGGAGACGCCTTGTATTGGTGTGATAATACGGGAGCCGTCTTCAAGGTCAATCTGACCATCCCAGGAATGATTGTGACAGAGTTGCCGTTCACATCATACACTGAAGCGCTGGCTGTTGATTGGTTCACTGGAAAACTGTACCGTGGAAACAGTAACCAACAGGCAAGATGTATTTCAGTTACCATAGAAACTGTTTTGAATTTTTATAAACCTTTACTGTTTGTCTGTTTTGTTTTGTTTTTGCTGAATTTTTTCAACCGAAGTCTCACTTTTGTTCTAGGATCTTGTGATTGATTCAGTGAACGCTTACATGTACTGGACTACGACTAAGACCGTTGAGTGTTCGCGCTTCAACGGCGAAGGGCGCTTTGACTATGAGCGAATCAGTGGGCTGTCTGATGACCTCATTGCTGGCGTGACCCTTGACCTCACTGATGGCTTTGTGTACTGGTTCTCATTGGCCAATGAGGATAGTGTGCAGTCGTTGAAGCTATACAGAGCACGGCTAGCTGGAACTGGGTAAGGTTAAAGGTTAAACCGCTAAAGGTTTAATTTCAAAGTGGAATTATTGGTGAAGGAAGATGTAACAGGAACAACTGTCACCTTGAACAGCTGTCTTTAAAAAGTGTTTACCGTGAATCAATTTAGAGCAGTTCACTCCACTGGTTTTAAGAAGCTGTTTTCGGTAATCCCAGTTGTAACCTGATTGTAGATTTTGTAACATGCACTTGGATTGGTTGAATTTGAAGTCTTTAGTTTTCATTGCATGCGATACTCTATTCTTTTTTGTTACATTTTTGTTACATTTCTGTCTGTTAAAAGAGCATGGGTTTTCAAAAACTTTATTTTGTGTTTTGTGTTGGGATGCAACTTATTGCATTTTGGTGGTGCATGATTTTGTACATTTGTGTTATTTCTGTTCTTGTTGTGGTTGGTATTCTGTTAATAGCATGGGGGACCCAACATCAAGTAAAGAAGAACTTAACGTCGTACCATCAAATATAGAGTAAGTATGAATGTAATCAAATGTTCTTAGATTTTATTTAACAATCCCAAGGGAATCTTACTCTGGTCTCCAAGATGAAAACATGAGGCCCTTGCAACGTTCACAATTTGCTTTTGAGAATTGTTACATTGAAATTGATGAGTTGCCATCAGTGACGTCTAAAATGAGTGCAACAAGATTTGGATAATGTACAACTTGGTCACAGTCTTTGATTTTAGATCACTTTTTTTTGGTAACAGGCGAGTAGCCTTGAGTTTCTACAGCCAGAAATTGTTCTGGATCAACGAGCAAGATGAGATCATCATTGGCAGTGTGGAGGGTAGTAGCCTAGCCACACTCCCTGACGGACAGGGTGCCACAACCCTCAGCGTAATACAGAGCACACTCCATCCCCTACCAGGTACACCAACCCCTCTAAAAATAGTAATAAATAAACATTGAAATGGCCTTGTGGTTTTTGTTTTTAAAACATATCAACCTTCATCAATTGCAAAAAAAATGAAACAGTTTTGTTTAGTGGATTTGTTTTTATATCTTTCCAATTTTTTTTTAATTTCCTTTCAAAAAGATGACCTTCACAGTGCAGTTTTCAGTTATAATCATATTACATGTACCTCACATTTTGTATCCCTTTGTTGTGCTCCAGATGGTTTTTCTTCTGTACCCACGGTGATCCCGTCCATGATTCCCGCTGAATCCTTCCAGATTACAGGACCATGGCATAACTTTGACATCACATGGCGCGCTAGCACCGAGGTGAATTATGGGACTGTGTTTTATGACGTCAGTGTGATGGTCGGAAATTCTGTGGCTACAGAAGTTGTGCAGGTAGGGATTCTGTCGTATTGCTGAGTTTCAACCAGCAGTCTCATCAGCATTTTCTTTCAGAAGAGGGGGGGGGGGGAGGATATGAAATGGTGGCTCTAGACAAGTTAAGGATGAGGGAATTTATCTGTCAGGTTGGGGGAAGCTCAAATGACTTTTATTTTTAACGTGGCAGGTTTTGGAGAAAAGTATAGTATTTTTCAGCGTTGAGAGAATTTTCCTTTTGTTTGCAGTCAGCTGGGAGGACTGCTCCCTTAGGTTTGTCTGATGAGATTGCTGGTATTAACCTTGAACTTATTTTACAGTTTTACTTGGTAATATGTTGTGGTAAATAGTTTCTCAAGAAAATTCTGGCTTTATTTTGCAAATTTTGCAAAGAGCGAGCAGAGCAATAGAGAATTGAATTTGTCTATTTTGTGTTTTTATTTTCAGGCTGCAGTTTATAACATGATCGGTGTGGATCCTTTTCAACCTTTGTCCATATCCATACAACCGTACACCTACTGGGGATCAGCCGAACCAGTCACTGTCACCAGGAGATCTCCCATGTCAGGTGATCATGAATATTCATAAAGACTCTCTGACAATTTCTATTGGTTGAGAGCTTGTCACGTGAGGTGTATTATCTATTTTAGCTTGTGCAATAATGTGGCCCCTGAATATGAGTAATTATGGTTACCCGTTTGATGTCAGTTGGTGATTTGAGATCACTGTCAAATGTTGGGCTTTTTAACATGCATAATTTCAGTTGGGGTTTGTATGGGTTTTTTCAAGACCGTTGAATGATACGAGTGTATAATGTAGATACCTATTTGTGAAGAGGAAGTTACATTCATGCTAATTCACGATATTTTCTGTTCTTTTGTTCTTGAAATTTTGTTTGTAGTCCCAACGGTTCCACAGAATCCACGGGCTTTTCTGACAGAAAACAAGGACATCTACACAGGCACAAGTAACTACAGTGCAGTGTTCCGATGGGAAGCCGTCATGGAAACTAACGGAATCCTCCTGGGCTATAAAGTCCGCTGGGGGTCTTCTCTAAATGACCTCATGATAAGAACCGTTGATAACGAGACCTACCAATTTGCCGTCAACAATTTGAGGAATAATACGGATTATTATTTCCAGGTCAGTGAATTCAAGGATAAGTCTTTCCCGTTTTATTATTCAAAGTTGCCATCTTTGTCGAAGCAAACTTGTCTAAGAGCATTGTGCATTAGTAAACTTCGATGTGTCTAATCCCTGAATGTGCTGCCCTATATCATGTTTAATTTGCTGCACTGAGTTTTAAACTGAAATAAATAATGTGATCAAAATGTTACTGTTTTGGTTTTCCTGTAGGTGGAAGGTTTTACAGAAATTGACAGTGGACCAGCTACCTCACTGGTAAACGTTTCAACCAATGGTAAATATTGTTAAAAGTTCTTTACATTGTGACATGTTACATGAAATTCATCACAATTATCACTGGACTGTTTCAAATTTTTGAGTGATACAATGGAAAGTATGTATTTTCAACAATGAGAATGCAATACCTAATCTAAAATTAATGTCACCTGACTTTCACATGACGTAAATACAAATCATCTAAATAGCCATCTTGTCATTTCTGCATTTTAGAGCCTATTCTTAAAAATGAAAGGTTATAATTCTAAAACTTTTTCTTGTGATTCCTTTTCTTTTAATCTCATCTAGCACCCAATCCCCCACCAGTCATCTTTTCCATTGGGTCAAACAGTATCACACAGATGGACACAGACACCCAGACAACGACAGATCTCCTGGGTGGGGAGAGTGTAACGGCAACTGCCATTGCATTCATTGCGCAGGGGAAACTTCTGTTTTGGGCTGACAGCACAAAACTGATGGTGAAAAGCAGCAACTTTGATGGCAGCAATGAACAAGATGTGAGCGATTCGTAAACATTATAACCTGTATCTGATACATCGAAGTGCTCTAGTGTTTTAACTTGTTTCCTTACAAAAACAATTTGTTTTAAAATTGTTGGTTTATTTCATGTGTGGAGTGCTGTGGCCTCGTGGTCTGGAGCATTGAATTTGTGGTCGGCGGGTAATTCTGCAGGTTGTGGGTTTGAGTCCAGCCTGAACTTTTTTGTGGTTTTCTTGAGGTTTTCTTGAGGTTTTAAGCAAGCCTAAGTAACCATCAGATGTGACAAGAGCATATGTTGATATTCTTCCTCAACAGTTGTTTCCGTTTGAAGACGCTCACCAACCTCAAGCTGGTGGATTGGCAGTAGACTGGCTGTCACGTTGTATCTACGCCTCGACCGGTGCAAGGATCTTGAAGTATGACTCAACCCTACCAGCAGGATCTGCAGTAACGACCCTGGCCGACGCTGAAACCTCATCAACTGTCTATGCCTACTTGGGCATTGTGGTCGACCCCCTGCAAAGGTAGGGAAGTGATTTTAGGAAAGTGATTTTGATGATCAGTTTGAAGTCTGTTTCATGTTCCTCCTCATGCCTTTTGGTTTTCCCCTGAAGCAATATTAATCTCATGAACACTGTGTGGTCAGTTTTGTCCAAGGGCAAATACTTGGGTGGGACTCGAACCCACAACCTCCTGCTTACTAGTGCAGATATCTTACCACTCGACCACCAGGCTTGCTGTGATCAGCTGGCTGATTTGACTCTGTTTTTACAGCAGGTACCACAGTCAATGATAACATTTTCAAACTCAAAATCAGACATTAGCTAAGTAAATAAGCTTAAACTTTGTGTTTTACTTTGTAGCCGTCTTTACTGGACACAAGGGACACTTATAAACGGGATCGTCCTCATGACCTCAGATCTGCAAGGTCAAAGTTCACGACCTCTGCTAGGTTCCCAGGGTGGACGGCGGAAGCGTCAAGCATGCAGTTGCAATGAGAATGCTACAGCTTCTGGCGTCATTGCAATGGACCTATCCAATGCCCAGAATCCAGAGTTGTTTTTTGCCGTGTCGTTGATTGGAGATATCTACGCCACGGATCTTGAGGGCTGTCAGTGTCGGCTCGTCATCGCTGCGTCTGATCATGCTCAGTCAGGTATGCACTGAACAAAGAAGTTGTGCTTGTATCTTTGTCACAGGTTAATCATGCCACTGTTTACACAGTTTGACCAGAAGGTGCGAGTTGGAGATCCAATTTGCCAATTTTTTTTCAAATAATGAACAGATTTATCAAGATGTTACTGTTTGGATTTATAGAAAAAGTAGGTTTCTACATCTCTGAAATTCTCCAAATCTGCCACAGAATTTCTCGAACAGGCCTCTCATTGTGCTTAAAAATATATTCCATTTACTTTTCTTAACATCAAATATTGGAAGTTTAAATTTTGAACTTATGTTTGTTGCAGGTCTTCCCCCAGACTCACTCACTGTTGACCAGACTAGAGTCTATTGGACCAATAGAGACCAAGAGATCGTGGCCAGTGCTGACAAGGTCACAGGTCAGGATTTCAGGTCAGAGGTCGTGAACCCAGTCCCCATCCTAGCTGCCTTTGGTGACAATCTTCAACCATACCCAGGTCAGTGTGTGTTTTGTATTTTGAACTTTAGTAGGTGCTGGTTTACATCATTGTTAGTTTCTTTTCATTGGTGTCATGATCTTTCTTTTTAGATCCTGTTTGTTTAGCACCGCCAGCTTACACATCCGAGGCCCAACTGGTATCCAGCACGAGAAGCACGCTGAACCTGACCCTGGCGCCGGCCTCGGTGTACCCACAATGCACTGGGGTCAGTACGTCACCAGTGACGTACACGTTGCACTATGGGAAGACTGAGTCTGGGTCGCTACCATTCACAAAGGTAACATCCTGTTAGTTATTAGGGAACATGAGTCACAGCGCTGCTAAGAACACAATTTGCTAAGCATAAGAAGTGTCTTCCGCAGCAAAATAAAGTTGTCTTGTTGAATGTTGGAAGTGAAGATTGCAAGTGGTTACACTTTCATCATTATTTATAGCAGGGTGAAGGAACTAATGAAGTGTGTACAAAGAATTGAGTGAAGTGGGGTTTAAACCTGCGACCTCCGGAATACCATGCCTGTGCTCTACTGAGCTACCCAGCCTCATGTTTGCTGCTCTTAAAATCACAGCATCTTTCAGGGAGGATTGCAAGCAGTCATGTAACCCTTAACATGCCATGTAGTCAGGGATCATACCTCAAAGTATCAGTTCATCCAAGCACGTTGCATTATTTTTACATTTTGAATGGTAAATCTTGTGGAAACATTACAGCATCCTTTCTGTTATTCACAGACCTCAAGAGACACCGATGTCCTGCTAGATGGACTGGATCCTTACACAGAGTACAGCATCCGTGTCTCAGCTCGTAATTACTACACAGTAGGGGAGCCATCCCTGGGACCACAGGCAGTCCATATGACAAGCTTTGGTGGTAAGAAGAAAGCTAGGTCTGAATTGGAGAATTGGCTGCTTTGGCCAAAAAATGAAAATTGGAAATAGTTGTGCTATGGCAAAGATCAGTATCTGCTTCCAGGAAATTTGATTAAAATTTAGGTGTTTTAATACACAAAAACCCAAACCTCCAGCAGGGTTATTTATATTTAGATTTCAATTGATTTAAAATTTCTACTATTTTATCGGCTTGCAAATTTGTATTGTAAAGTGCAAATCTTATTTTCTAAGACAAAATTGGTTGTAACTTTAATGGTGACCTTTTTTTCTGTGAAGACCTTTTTATCACTCCAGAACTTTTGATTACCGTAATTTTCGGAATATAAGCCACGGCTTATACGTTGATTTTGCCCATGAAAATGTTTACTGCGGCTTATACACAGGGCGGCTTATACGCCGAGCCTTGAAGAATAAAAATGAAATTCACATGTGTATTTAATGTACTGGTATAAGAAGAGATATGTTGCTGAAATGAATTATAAATTAAGAAAGTCATTAACAAACCGAAACCACGAGCGGTAAAAAAGTACGGTGATGAAAGCTGTCTTCGACACTTGCCACCAGCCGTACGTGATACTGGTACAGTGCAGCAGCGATATGCAGGCATGCTTTCCCAACAGCGGACCACACCATTTGTGGTAACAAAGGGGTGTTCTTTCTTGGGTACAATAATTACCAATATTTTCGCTGTTTAAAAAAGAAGAAAAAAGACCACTACAATTTTTATGGCGTTCGAAACATTTTTTTATTACATAATCAGTTGTTCAACGTCACAATATATTTTGTTTTCTTGAAATGTATTCAAGAAACGATGTAATACTCAAAAGAGGGACTATATCACCCCTTACACAATTAATGGATTCGTCTATTAAAATGTCCGCTTCGTTTTGACTATTTCCAAAGAAAGTTACGATCGAAACTTGAATTTTTCCCGCAACTAATCGCAACAATTTGATAAGTTTTGAGGTAAAAACGGACCTGTTTATTCTTAGGACAAAACAAATCAGCATCTGTTGCCACAAAGCAAGATTTGTAGCGCTCCAGTCAGACAACACACGGTGGGTTTCATACTCTCTCACGTGCTGTGGGAAAATGTTGTCATTCACCGGCGTGCGTGGCGCAGGCTGCCGGGCTATGACGGGGCAGCCAGCAGCAGTTCCCGGTGTTTATTTCTCATCAATTCCCATATTTGTTTGTAAAAGTATCAATTGTAAATGATTTGATATAACTTTTGTGGTCCTTTTAATAGCTTCTGTAGTGTGAATGGAACTGGTTCAGAGCATTTTGACTAGAATATGGAGGCCTTACAAAATTGAAACCGCAGCGGTCGGTGCGGCTTATACGCCGATGCGGCTTATACGCCGACTTCAAATCTTAATTTGCAGATTTTTGCGTGCTGCGGCTTATACGCCGCGCGGCTTATATTCCGAAAATTACGGTAAATATAACTTTCATTGCATGGATATTTGTTTTTCAGTACCGACTGAAGCACGTAATGTCACCGTGACTGTCCTGGACCCCCACGAGGTCAAAGTTCGCTGGCTCCGCCCCTTGGAATCCAATGGACCAATTGAAAATCTGCGCTACAAAGTTGTCATTGAACGTATGGCCAATGCTGGAACTTTTGAAAAACTCTACGTCAGGTCGATGAAAAATTCATCACTGGAATTTGAGTTGAAAATCGAGGATCTGGTGGGGGGAAACATGTACCAGTTTCAGGTAGAGTTTTCCATTTTAGTCCTGTAGTTGATTATATTTTAAATTTAAGAATTTGGGAAGTTATTTCAAACCTGTTATTTCAGCGCGAAATTAAGCACATATTTATTCCCTTATTGTAGGTTTTTTAGGTTTTTTTTTAGTAAATGCAGTTTTTTCTCCCACAGATTAAAGCCTTTCCAGAATCTGCAGAGGAATTACATAGTCTGAGCCAGATGGTTACCATGACAACCTTCCAGATCCCAAATACTGTCAACGTGTTGTCTAACACCGCTGACACCATCAGTGTTGATTGGACGTCGCCTAGCGACGGCAGTGTTGCCATGCATCGGATTGAGTATCTCTACGCCGGCACTCAGGATCTGCCTGTGAGAATGACGTTTCTTTGCCTTCACAAAAAATCCAACCTGTTCGAGAAACATGGATAAAAAATTCTTTTGTAGTTCTGAATGAGGCTCCCAAATAAAATGCAACATCTGAAAATAATTATTTCAAAAAAGTGCAATATGTGGGGTAGGGCCAAATGTCAAATAAGAAAAGCAAAATTTAATGAAAGGCAAATCAATGTAATTCCTCGAACAACAAATGTGATTTGCTTGAATTTTATAGGGTGAAAAGAAAAACAAATTAATTATTCCTCACTTGACTCTGACACATTTTTTCTTGACGATATTTGGTTTTCTACTAAAGATACTTTGCATTATAGAAAAAACAAACAAAAGATAACTGCTGAATGCAAACAGTCTATAATGGTGTATAGACCCAAATTGTTTTGAAATTATTTGTTTTATTTTGGAAGAATGGCCCAAGTTCCAGCGACTCCTCTTCAAGTTGGATGCGTCTCAACAATGAGAATGAAACGGAGCCTAACACCACCTATGTAGAGGAGATATCAGGCCTTACGCCTTACTCCTACTATCACATCCGCGCTCAAGTCATCTACGTCACAAACAGGACGTATGATTACTCCAAGAATCTTGGCAGGATCGTTACCAACGGTACAGCAGGTAAGAACAGGAGAAAAATGTTACGGGAAATCAAAATACAATCCACAAAATTGTAAAGTTTACCCTGAGATCTGTTGATTATTCACAAAATATTTGAAAACTGAACCTAAAGTTTGTGTTTGTGTATAGACTGGGTTAAAAGAATTGAAAGGTTATTATTAGAGTTCTTGATTATTACACTCATTATTGTTCTCCAGTTTTTCAAGGAAAGTTTTATCATAATCCTTTCATGTGAAGGCTATAATTTTCTGAATTTGAATCCATAAACAATTCATGTTAGTCTTTTTCAAATTTGAAATTGTTCCGTTTTAAATTTCATTTGATGCCATTGAGAATTTCATTAAACAAAACAATGTTTCACATTTTTTTAATAAATTTTTCTTAGCTGGGCTACCTCCGCCTCCTGCCCCGCCAGAGATCATCCCCAAGACTCAAGGATTTGAAGTGAGATGGATAAAGCCCACAGTCATCAATGGTCCAGACACAGACTTCATATTTATACTCCAAGCAAAGTAGGTCACAATGCATTAAGAAAGCTTATCGGTCAATCATTATGTGCATTTGAATCCATTTATTTTTATTTAAGATGACTAGTCAATATCTTGGCTTGAATGTAGCACATTGTTTTAATTCTATCTAAGAGTGCTGCCTGACTTCATAAGCATGCATGAGGACGAGTCTGCAGTCATGTGAGGTCATAACCTAACGTGTGTCCATGGGCTGGACACTTTACCACAATTGCTTCCTTCTATGCAAACCCAACAGGCCCTTGTGAGGATGCAGTTACATTATGATAAACTTGATTGTCAAAAGGAGTTACTTGTGTTGACATGTTGGTAGAACACTGGCATGATGAACAAGCTGACTAAAGGTCGAGTCCAAATGAAGACATATTCCTTCTGAATTACTGTTCTGTTCTGATAGATCAAGTAAGGGTGATTGGGTGACAGTCTACCAAGGCAGCATGACGACCTGGGAAGCTAAAGATCTGATGGAAGACGAGAGCTACACGTTCCGTGTCGCTGGACAGTCCGTCGTGGGTATGGGGCCTTACAGTGCCACAACTGCACCACAGATCTACACAATGGCGGGTGGGTTTCATTTCTTGGTTGTCTAATATTTGTTCAACTGAAAGATTTGTTGTTAGCAGAAATACCAGTCATTGATGACAATTGTAACTTAGACATTGCTCTGTGGTGGATGAAAAACGACCATCCTGGATGAATTTTTCTGCATTATCATCTCCAAAGTTTAGACTCTTCAAATAACTGTAAACAGTAAAGACTCATTTTTGTACTGATTTTCTCCTCTTTTAGGTGAAGATACCCAAATTCCATTGTATGTTATCATCGTCGCTGCAGTGGTGGTTGTACTGATTCTACTAGCAATCATCGTTGTCGCTATCGGTACGTTTGCTTTTGTTTCAAGTTATATGCAATTTTAGGGTTTTTTTTATATGTAAAGCTGCATAGTTTCCCAAAAACATTTGCCTCACAACATTGATAGTAAGGTGTTGCTTAGCCCCATCTGTTTCATCAGAGAAGTTTGAATAATTATCATGAACATTGAAAACAGTAATCAAAACACCTAATGTGCTAGCACAATACACATCTCTGCAGGTCAATTTTAAGGTTGAGATTTTACTTTCTATTCTGCAGTGCTTCGTCGTAGAGCAAAGAGAGATGCTAAATGGAAGAACAACGTGACTGTCGCATATCGAGCAGACACTGAGCTAGCTACGCTGCGGCAGTATCCTACAACTATCGTTCAAAAGGATAACTCACTCTATGCAGTCACGTAAGCTAAATTTCTCTGTACAAATGTGAAGTTACTTTGTTGAAGTCGCATGTCATTGCATTCAAGTCAGTCTGGTCGAGTCAGTCTGGTCGAGTCATTCTGGTCAAGTCACTCTGATCGAGTCACTCTGGTTAAGTCACTCTGGTCAATCGAGTCACTCTGGTCGAGTCACTCTGTTCGAGTCACCCTGGTCGAGTCACTCTGGTCGAGTCACTCTGGTCGAGTCACTCTGGTCAAGTCACTCTGGTCGGGTCACTCTGGTTGAGTTCCAAGTCACTCTAGTTAATAATGAACAGTTTGTTACATCATACTTCTATCAAGATTGTTCTTCAATTGACCTCTTCTTTCTGCAGGACCACAGTTGATGGGAAGGAGGTTGAATTACCCATCTTCCCTCGGGAGCGTCTCAAGCTGATAACGTTTCTGGGGAGCGGTGCGTTTGGGGAAGTCTTTGAAGGACTCGCTTTGAATATTCATGGACCTGACTCTGGGGAAGCTAGAGTTGCTGTCAAGGTAACCATTTTTGTTTGCACCGATAAAACAGTATATTTTGTTGTAATTAAATGTAAGTGTTGTGTCTTGGTTTGCATTAATATATTTTTCAATATAACCAGTTTCATTAATTTGAAAATTCTTTTTACTTTAAATCTACCCTTTGTATTTGTCCATTCTATTGTCATGGTTACAGACATTGAAGCAAGGAGCTACTGATCAAGAGAAAGAAGAGTTCTTGAAAGAGGCTGTGTTGATGGGGTAGGTTTACTAAGAAATTTGAAATAAAGGACATTTTCGGGTAACACCCGAAATATATGAAAAATTTGAAGTTATAGAAAAGGTAGATAAATTGATGAGTCTGTAGGAAGCCTTGATCTCGATCCATAGGGGATGCAGAATAGGTGCTTACAACTTAACATTAAACTTGATCCAACTTTCCTTTTGGCAGCAATTTCCATGACAAGAATATCCTAGCCCTACTTGGCGTGTGTCTAGACAACGATCCTCAGTTCATCATCTTGGAGTTGATGGAAGGCGGTGATTTGTTGTCTTATCTGCGAGGAGCTCGAGGGACTTCAATCACTCCGTGTCGACTCAGTCCACTGGACTTGATTGATATCGTCATTGATGTAGCTAAGGGTTGCCGCTATCTGGAGAGCCTCAAGTTTGTGCACAGGTACAACTGAGATTTGCTTTTTCTCTTTTTTGTATTGGATCATGTCTGAAACAGGCCTTTTGTCAGCTTATTTTGTCGTCTTTCTAATTGTTAAAGACCCAGACTGTAGCTCTAAATACAAGAGACTGAGTTGCAGCCTATCATTATGGTTTAATCTTAGCTGGTTTAAAGCACCATTTGCAAGCTGAAGCAGGTGTGATTCGAACCAGTAATCTTGCTGACAACCACCTGCTAACTGTTTTTCTCTCTGGCCCGACTTGTGTTTGCAGCAGTAAAATTGGACATAAAACTGCTTGGTCATAATGAACCAGCACTATCATATTATGTACTGTCACACACAGAAGACCATACTCCATTACTAACTTTTGACACACTTGCAGTGAAAAAATTAAAAGTACGTCCACTTTTTTGTTAAGACGAATGCAGAATTTCATGTGAATATGTCTGATGTCTGAACATAATTTTCATAATTTGGCTATAAGAGTTTGATAAATGCCAAGCATTGTGTGTCTTCCTCCTCAGAGACTTGGCTGCTAGGAACTGCCTGGTGTCTACCAAGGATCACTTGGCCCCGGACCGCTCAGTGAAGATCGGTGACTTTGGATTGGCTCGTGATATCTACAAGAGTGATTATTATCGCAAGGAGGGTGAGGGGCTACTACCTGTCAGATGGATGTCCCCTGAAGCATTGATGGATGGAGTGTTTACGGTGCAGTCAGATGTATGGTAAGGTTGGGTTCAGCTTGTTGGTTGGGGGTAGGGGTAGTGGGGAGGGGTGAGGGTGAGGGGTTACTGCCTGTCAGATGGATGTCCCCTGAAGCATAGATGGATGGAGTGTTTACGGTGCAGTCAGATGTATGGTAAGGTTGGGTTCAGCTTGTTGGTTGGGGGTAGGGGTAGTGGGGAGGGGTGAGGGTGAGGGGTAACTACCCGTCAGATGGATGTCCCCTGAAGCATTGATGGATGGAGTGTTTACGGTGCAGTCAGATGTATGGTAAGGTTGGGTTCAGCTTGTTGGTTGGGGGTAGGGGTAGTGGGGAGGGGTGAGGGTGAGGGGTTACTACCTGTCAGATGGATGTCACCTGAAGCATTGATGGATGGAGTGTTTACCGTGCAGTCAGATGTATGGTAAGGTTGGGTTCAGCTTGTTGATTGAGTAAAACAATGAGGAGGTTGCATCAAAATGAAAGACACGGTTATTTTAGTGGAGTAAAGAAACAAGGAGAGTGAGGGATAGGAACTGAAGTTGAGGATCTTGTCAAGGTTAAAGTTACAAAACTGTTGGTTTTTTTAGTACAAGACAAGAGGACTGCACCTAAGCATGACATCAAGCTTTGTTTACTTGAGCTTTGTGGCTCTTGTCTCCACTTTGCTCCCATAACAAATGATCATCAGATGTTGACATAAGAAAGTGATGATGATGACATAAGAAGGCACAAATTCAAACAAAGTGTGACATCATTAAGTCTTGCCGCTAATATATAAGCATCAAATTGAATACGTTTACAATTTCATTGTTTGCAGGGCGTTTGGTGTCTTAGTGTGGGAAGTCATGACCCTGGGTCAGCAGCCCTACCCAGCTAGGACCAACGTTGAAGTCCTTCATTACGTCACAGCTGGAGGGAGGCTGGACAGACCGGACAACTGTCCTGATGATATGTGAGTGACCACTGACCTTATTGATAAATCAGTGTGTTGGGGAAGCTACTGTATATCCTGACTGCTAGGTAGAATACTTTGCTGCGCAGTGCCATTTACTATGGCTGAAGCTGTTGGTCACACTAGCGAACATAGGATTGAAGAAGAACAATGCATGGGATTATAATAACACTCAAGTCTGCAGTTCCTGTTTATGACAATTTTCCTTGGAGTTAGCTGGTTTTGTAGTTGTGGTTTTCAAAAACTTCCCGTCAATGATATTGGAAACTCAACCCTGAGGAACTTCTTGTGCAGCTTAGAGTTTCCTCTTTATGTCTTATTCCATTTGTAAGACTGAAACTTGTTTTGGGCTTCACCAGTCCTCATTTGCATACTGGTCTTTGCCTGATGTCATTGAATAAACATGATGTTAATGAATAAACAAATATTGGTCTTGACTTTTGACCTTTGACAGACATCACCTGATGCTGAAGTGTTGGGAGAAGCAACCAGAGGGGCGGCCATCTTTCCACTCCAACCTGGAGAAGTTGAACAGCTACAGACGCAAGTCTGCTTCCATGTCCAGCGGTGTGGATAACCCAGCCTTCGAAAGTAAGTCCAGTTTGGTTTTAAATGTCAAAAAGGCAAACCTGTTAATGAATTTCAGCACTCGCACCTTTCACTTACAAATCATTCATAATGTAAGTTACTGACTTAATGAAGACAGTTGTGGATTCCCCAGGAAAAATCACAAACTTTGGGAAGTTTGAAAACATCAAATTTTTAAAATTTCTATACAATTAAGGCTACTGACTTGTTTGAATTGCATAGGAACCGTAATGTTCTTTTAGATAAATATTTTGATTAGAAAAACAAAAACTATCTAAAAAAATTTATTTACAAAATTGTAGATGTGTTTGTCACTGTATTTAGAATGGTCACAAAGTTATTTCAAGCTTGATCTCTTTCCATCTGACCACCTTGTTTGATTGTTCCCTGTGTGTGCAGAAGACTCAATCAAATACCTTCGTTTGGCTAGTGGAGGTGGCGCTGCCGGAGGCGCTGAAGACTACCTCCAACCAATGGACAGTGCTCAGTCCCTCGGTCGACGAGAGAGTACAGACAGCTTAAATGAGATCAAGACCAAGGCCCAGGAGGATGCGAGACGTTACCAAGAACGGAACCCAGATCACTACCGCAGCCAGGGAGCCAAGCCTAAGGCTAGGAATGCTAACCGTGATTCTCTAGGGCTACCTCAAGGGAGCGCTGTAGATCTGGAACCCAGATACACAGCCGCGCCATCGTCATTCAGCAAGGCGACGGGAGCAAAGGTTAAACCAGATCAAGTGGCCAGACAGCCAAGCGATAGAGCTGCCTCCAATGCAGCCTCCAATGCTGCCTCCAAAGCACCACGGCCCAAGAAACCTCTGAACATGAAAGGCAGTTGGGTGGACCCGGAGAAGAAGGAAAAACACATGAAGAAAGCGGCCGAGAATAAACGGAGGCGGGAGGAGGTTGAGGAGAGGAGGAGGAGGGAGCAAGCTGATGCACCTCAAGGACCGAGCGTAGTCATCATGGATGAACCTTACCTGATCAGTCAACCAGCTGACAGCCAGATGCCTATGAGACGAGCTCCCAATCCATTCAGGGAGAGTTCTGGAGATGAAGCGGATCGGAGGGATTACACCAACTGGCCCAAGAACATTGAGGAAGACCACACCGTCTATCAGGTCTAAATCACCAGTGTTGTAGTCAAGTCCATCACAAGTCAATCACAAGTCAATCACAAGTCCAGTCACAAGTCCAGTTACAAGTCCATCACCAGTCCAGTTACAAGTCCAGTCACAAGTCCAGTCACAAGTCCATCACAAGTCCAGTCACAAGTCCAGTCACAAGTCCAGTCACAAGTCCAGTTACAAGTCCAGTCACAAGTCCAGTTACAAGTCCAGTCACAAGTCCATCACAAGTAACAAGTGATATACAATAGCAAAATATTAATAATAATTATAATAATGGTCACAGTTCATTTGAATAACTTGTAACTTCACTTGGGACTGGGTAAGTTGTGATTGACTGACTTCTGAGGACTTGTTATGCAATTGACTCCAACACTGTTTATCTCTGCTGAGTTTACAGTCTTGTCCCCCCCTAAACCCACACATTGCAGGGTTGTATTCACGAATCCTTTATTTCTTGGCTGCTCGATTTTCTAGTCCGCCAACAACCAAGCTTTAAGTTTGGAGAGTAAGAGGGTCCAAACATGCCAATATTCTATGTATTTTACTCATCGATTGTTTATTTTTCAGCCCACCTGTAATAGTTTTAACACATGACTGATACTGTTTACATTCTTCCAGTTTTCCCGTCTTTTATACTGATGTTAAACTAGTATTTTTGTATCTTGCAGCATTTTGATATTCCACAGTTTAGAAGTGGTGTTATTATTCATAATATGAGGGTGTACTTTATCAAACAGGTGCCTTTTTAGAGTTTTATACAGTTTCTATTTTTTGACTTATTTTTTTTTTTGTACATGGTTTGTCAGAAAATTGCTTTTAGTGCAGTACATAAGTCTTGCAAAATATACTATTCGATTGAGTAACTCTAATTGTAGCTTTAGCTTGGGCCACATATATTATTAAAATATTTGGTAAACATGGTATACTCCAGAATTCTTTGGCACTGAGATAAAGTACCCCAATAACCAGTTTTTGTAAAAAGAGCATATTATTGATGAGATTATTAAATCCATTATGTCAATTTATTAGCCTGAATATGTATCTGCATTTTAACATAGTTTTATAGTATGTATATTTTTGCATCAATTTGTTATACCACGTGTTTATCAACAATATATATTAAAACAATGTTTTAGCCTGAATACTTAATTACTAACTTCCAAGTACCAACAAAAAACACAAAGGATAACAGCATTTTTACTATTCCCTTTTATACTATATTTTAAATATACAAGCTTTTATAAACGATGTTCACTTGAAATAATTGTGATATTTCATCTGCGTTTAAGAAGATGGATTATTTAACAAATATTACGACTTCACGAGAGGTAAACAATCGCTTATTCATAGTTAACAGTACCATATTTATATTTGTACTATTTGTCTTGTGTGTGGAATTTCTTTTTATACTTTAATCGTTGTTGTGAGCACTACTTATATTTATAGTCAATGTTGTTATTAATTTGATTTCCATAAGATGGATTTTAACACAATGCTTAAAATGTAACCAAATAAAAAAAAAACCAAATAGATTTTTGTACTAAGATTATAGTTTTTATATTTAACATTTTTGTTATACATTTGTAACATACAACTCTATATTCATTTGTCAGTATAGGTACATCATAATGTTGACACAAGTAGGTGCTTATATGCGTATGATGCGGAAGTGTTGTGAGAACAGTGCTGTAGTTATTAGGGCGAATAACTACCACAACGATGGGACCAAAAGTGCAGTGTCGTCTGAGTTTGAAATGATCACAAACTTCGATCATTGTGTGATGCATTGTGTCGAAAATAAACAAGGGTTTTGTTGTATATTTGAAGACTAAAATTATGATATTAATGTTATAACTTAAGCATGTTTTATTTTTAACCTTCATGTTGATTTTTCACTAAAGGTAAAAAGAGGTATTCGATTTTGTAAGAAAAGCCTTATTTCTGCTCAGCTTGTTTTCAGAAAAAAAAAATTTCAATACTTGTAACAAATCAGTTTGCATTCCATACATGTTACAAACTGTGATCCAACTGTCCAAATTCCCCGGTTTTACACTTTCCCCCCACTTTAATTCTGTTAGCATTACAAGTGCAAAACCACTGTGATTTCATTTCCAACATTTTCTTTTGTAGCAAGTTGTTTATAAGTAATTGTAAACAGCTTTGAGATTGTTGATACCATGGAAAGGGCCATTATAAGCATTACAATTTATTTTTATTTTATTTATCAAAACTGAGTCTCTGTTTGTGCAGGAAGTAACCGATTCATCATCTTTGTCATTTGTATTCATTTTTTTCTAGAGCATTAAACTAATGGTGGGAAAGAACAAACATAACATTTTAGCAGATATTTTTTAAATTTTGTTTTAACTTGTGTATAAATTTTGTAAAAAAATGTACCATAATGTATCCAGTTTTGTATGAATACATATTATCATTGATTTTTTTAAACATATTTTGGGTGTTTTTTTTTTACTAATTGGTTAATTTTGCCAAAAGTACTCATCGCTGGGCAGTTGAATTATAACTATTGGTCGAAGGGGGACATGTCATAATTTGATTTCAGATTAATTTTGGTAAATTTGGTGAAAGATTTAAAATTGGTGTATACTGAAATAAATGACAATACGTGAATGTTTGGTAGTAAAACAGTTAGACAATTGTTTTTATTTCCACACATTTTATTTTGAGGGGAAATATACTTTTCTCCAAATTCAGTTGGAGTCACGAAGTTAGAAAGATATACGTATGCGAATATATTTTCAGGCAAATTCGTAATTCAAGATGTCCAGATATGGGAATCTTTCCAGTACGCCGAAAGGTAGTTGAATTTTGAGAAATAAATAGTCCAAACTTACATGATTTAGGCCTACCGGACTCGCCTACCGCATCGCAGCATGCAATATCGGGATAATCAACCGACAGGTGGCGCTCTCCACAATTAACGGTGTCAAATACAAACTCGTTTACGTAGTGTTGAGCGGTACGCACTGACAGGTACTTAATGCAGGAGAGAAAGTTACAAAATAAATTTAACCCTGGGGACGAACTTGCGAAAAAGTTTCGAAGTCCGAATTTTCCCATCATGCATTGAGAAATCCCAATTCCTATCTCGATAGGATTTTGGAAATGGGAATCGTTATTCGTTATCCGTTTTGCTTTCGATTTCGGAAGTGGGAATCGTTATTCGTTTTCCGATGAGCTGTCGAATAGGGAAATGGGATTATTGGAATCGTTATTCGTTTTCCGTTTGGCTGTCGAATAGAGAAGTGGGATTCGCTATTCGTTTTCCGTTTTGCTGTCAAGAATGGATTTTGGATTCGAAGTCCGTTATCCTATTGGGTTTTGAGATTGTTCTTGACACCGTTAAATGTGAAGAGCGCCTCCTGTTGTTTGCGGTACCGCATGGTACAATACACGTTCAATTTTTCGCGGGCACGGTACGGAGATGCAAGACATCGTCACACAAGTTTTTGAAGTAAGTTTGCCATTTTGCCATGAAATGTTTATTGAGTATTTTACATGTGGTTGTAAAGCTCGAGTTTGAGGAGAAGTAGGGTACAGAATATGTGGAAAGAATGGAGTATTTTAGGGTAAACTAACCCGGAGTTGAGTTGCCTGTGAAAAAATCCTACAACAACATGGCGGCAGGATGGCGATTTTTTTCCCAAAAAACAACATCCGTATGGGTATAAGCCCCATAAATGTGGCCAATTTACTGGACTTCCTCGGTAAATAAAGGCCACACTTCCGCCATGTACAAAAACATGTTAAACTTTGTCAAATTTTGATTTTCACATTTAGGCTTTATATAGGCATAATTTGTAGTGGTTTTTTTTGGCAGTGGATATTTTGCCGGAGACGGCAAACCTTCAGTAAACGTTAGTTTGCCGGATATGCACTGAACATGCGCAGTTACTGTTTTTTTTTTACTTTATCATTTTCCGGCTCCATGCCAATACTGTCGTTGTATTTTTGTATTTACAAGATGGGAATCAGACCATTTTATAATTTCGGACTTTATTTCCCTTTAAAAAAAAAATCCTCCAGAGCCACAAATCTGAAAAAGAAAAAGTTATACTCTGCAATAAAATGTTTGAGACATATTAAAATAATAAAAGAAGAATATTCTTATTTATTTGGGGATGGGAAAAAAACCCTTAAAATTGTGGCGGGGATCAGGATTCGAACTCGGGACATCCCACTCACTAGTGCCATTGCTTAACCACTGCACCGACTGTGCTACTCAACTTTGATGGGAATTTAATACATCTTATAATTCAGCCCTATCTTAAAGAGTACAGCACCCTCTGTTGATATGGATTGCCACCGGCAATCCTTTAGTAAACGTTAGTTTGCCGGCGTTACCTCCGGCAAAATATACACTACCTTTTTTTTTGCTTTAGAAAATTACTCACCCTCTTTATAGGCTATAAATCAGAAAGTGCTGCCTTTTTCAGATGTCTATTTTTCGTGAAATTTCCAGATTCGTTTGCACACATTTGCGTACATCAAAATTTCAACATGAAATTTCACGAAAAATAGACACCTGAAAAAGGCAGCACTTTCTGATTAGCCTACAAAGAGGGTGAGTATGCTTCTAAACCAAAAACCCCACAAACTAAGCCTAAATGTGAAAATCAAAATTTGACAATGTTCTACGTGTTTTTGTACATGGTCGAAGTGTGGCCTTTATTTGCAGAGGTAATCCAGTAAATTGACCACATTTATGGGGCTTTCCCGTACCCAGATATTTTGCACAACAAGCGCCTTCAAATGTTTAGCAAGTGATTTAGGGGGTAAATTTTTGAGTTATGGAGTATATTCTGCAATTATTCCTCACAAGGTTTGGCAAATTCTAGACTTAGCACCAATGCCTTCAGTGCCTTGTGATGTAAACCCGTGGAACATGGCCAATTTTTATTCTAAAAATATATAACTGTTTTACAAAACAAGTTTGGATTTTCCAGATATTCAACTTCCATGAGGCCCTGCATGCTGAGTCCTTCCATTCTGATATTGCATTTTTTTATCTTTGAAATAGGCCTAGAGACTGTTTTACAATTTCTTTCTTTGGAAGCACACTCACCTGGTAACAAACAACAGAAAATTCACTTGGGTGCCTGGACTTGTACTTTATATGTGATTTCCAGATTAAATTAAGTTTGAGAGTTTTGTTCTCAAACATCCTCTGGAAACGAGATGGAAACCAGACATCTTGAAATGCCCAACTCTACTTTCCAGAAAAACTGTTCATAAGTTGGAATTTTGTGTTGAGACTAAGTAGTTTTCCATCAAGTTTGTGCTTACGTTATTTTATTGTTTCATTTTTTTTGCAGCAGTTTCTTACGTTATTTTATTGTTTCATTTTTTTTGCAGCAGTTTTCCACAAAGGTTACACCACTTGAGGATGAGATTTGCTCACTGAAGGAACCTGATCGATGTTGGAGAAGTGAAAGTGCATCAGACATCCAGACCCACACAGATCAAAGCAGATACTACAACTGACAGAACTCTATACAACTGATCCCAAACTCAGTAAGTAGAGCCTTTTATTTCACCAAATCTTCTCTTTTCCATGAATGTTGTTCAGTATCAGATTCTTCAAATCTTGCTTTTCCCAGATCCTAGCATTTGCCAGAGGTTTTAGGGTTGTGCAAGATATCAGGGGCGGACCCAGGGGTTTTCATCAGCCCAAAAATACTGAAATGTAGACAGCTTGTTTCCCGGACACTCGGCCGGAGGGGGGGGGGGGGGGGGGGGGGGGGGGGGGGGGGGGGGGGGGGGGGGGGTCGTACCTTCCTTTCAATGGGGGCGCTGTACACAGGCGGATATTCTTACAGTATAATTATCATAATTTTGTGTGTGTGTCAGAGCAGGGGGGGGGGGTCACATTATTACTAATAGAAATACATTGAGACAGAGTGGGGGATTGAGTTATGCAAATCCATAAATGCTGCTGTTCCTTGCTGTATGGATAGATGGACAGCCTATTCTAACAACAATACAAGTGTTTACCTCTGGCCACTGTTAATTTACTTCTTGGTCAGCTGGTTCTCACCGTAGCTTGAAATGGATCTTAAATTAATGCTCCTTATAATGGTGGAGGACTTGTAAAGATGCAGGACAGAACACTGCAAAAACAATGTCATGTCTTCAAGAATTGTGGCTTGCATTTATTTATTTAAAAATGATTTTGCTCAGATTAATGTTCCAAGCATTTTTCCCAAGACAATACTGTCATCCCCATCTAATTAGTTCCTCAGTGCCCCATCCCCTATTATTATGCAAATTCACACTCCCACTTTACCTGACACTTCACATGACTTTAATTACCCATCAAGTCATTCCTCTCAAATGTGTTTATCTTTCTGTCTTTTGTTTCCATAGATGCCTTAGAACAGATGGGAGAAAGCCAGCATGCTAAGCAAGCAAGCTAAGCAAGCAAGCTAAGCAAGCAAGCTAAGCAAGCAAGCTAAGCAAGCCGTCCATGAACAAGCAAACCAGTAAGCAAGTCAGCTAGATGTGTTCACTAAGGTAGGACTAACCATTTCTTTCAGCCAGTAGCGCTCAAATTGAGCCAGTGAACACCCAAGACCCAGGAACTCAAGACCCAAGTACAGTTTGCAAGTGGAGTCGTTCGATGGATTGTATGAGTGAGTCATCAGAGACTTTTACTTTATATTGTCATATTCAAGCAAACTTGAAACCTATGTGCTAAATTTGTCAGTCTTAAAGCAACAGTGAAAGCGAAACTCGTATTGCGCAGTGGTAGCGCAACATTAAAGGATTAGGTGCCACACATACGAGTACCAGTTTGTCTAATTTCCTAATGCTCAGCGATTTGGTTTGTCAAGTTTGCTTGATTCCTTGTGAAGAGTTTGTTTCCAAAACATGATACACAAAATTGTTTACCATTTAGAATTCCGCCCTCTCCTGGTTGTCTATAGTCAGTTTCAATGGCTGTCCGTTACTGTTAAACACAATTTGAAAATTCAGTAGAGAAAAAGAAAGAAAGTAATCTAGAAACAGCTGTTAAACAGTGCATGTTGAATGTAATCTGTACATTTTCATGACAACGCAACTTTTTTTTTTTTTTTTCAAATGGATATATACAGTTTTGGAAATATCATGTTTTGGGAATGAACTCTTGATGTAGTTGTAATGTGCTTGTTGGTGGTGGTCAATGTTGTGATGTGTGGGTTGGTGGTGGTATGGGTGGTGGTTTCTCCACAGATCATCGGCTCAAATTGAGCACATGTCAACGGCTCAAATTGAGCACATCTTGCAAGATTGGACTAGGGATCTGCTTTATCCTGAAGTCCTCAAGGATCTAGACGGATTAGCAGGACTATGGGATCTTCTATATCCCTACGTCCATTTGGGGGCAGATCTTGGGTGGCAATTGGAGGGGGTTTTACAGCAGCTCCCTGGGGAGCAAATTATGCAAATTTTATTAAAGTAAGATAACTTAACTCCTTGGTGGAGATAAAACGAAGTGCCATGGGTTGGCATAGATGCAACTTCCCTCACAACTTGAAAAATCATCATTGGTCTTTGGGCCAGCTGTGCTGTTTTGTCAGCTCATAATAAATATAACATTATTTTTACTCCTGAATGGAGAGGAGTAATGAGGGAAAAATTACAAGTATAATGTACTGGGTAAAAGTTAGGTAAGGAAACTTGCCCCTGGATCCGTCCCTGCTGCAAGGCTCCACTAAACTTCAAATTATCTTGTGCACCGCCTTTAGGGCATAAACACATACGCCACACAGCGTCTCTGGACTCCTGGAGCTGGATAAAGACACCATCAGCTGGCTGAACTCGGACCTTCCTATTGAGCCGAGATGTGAAGATGGATTTCATACGGACGAATACTTCCATAGGGAATTTTTTTTTATAAATATTGATCAACAATAAGTGGAATTAACAGTTTCACTTCATAAATAGGTTTTTTTCTCTTAGTTCAGGGGATCTGCTATATCCTTCTGAAAACTTATTAAGGCTATGGGATCTCCTATATCCCTATGCCGTTAGGGCTTAGGGAGGTGCGGCGGTTTCGATTGCTAATTGGGGTCTGACTGGGTGCTCCAATTGAGGTGCGGCGAAAATCCAGCACAGATTCAAGGGGCGAGTTGCGTCCGCGTGGTAGGTCCGCCTTCCACGTGGGGCGTGGGTCCTACGCAGCGGCCTGGAAACCCTAGGATGCCGTGCCATAAAGGAGCAGGTAGTGCGTCCCTCTTTATAGGGGCGTGGCCCTGTATTCACAGCCGGCAAACGCTGCTACTTCCTATCAGACCGCATGAACCCGTAAGGGGGATGGACTTAGGGGGGCGTGCATATAGGTTAGGGTGCTTTCCTGGTCCTTCGGGGCTGGGCGGGCGGACCGGACAGTCGATAACTGTGTCTGGCCCTCCGGGGCCTACCTTTTATCCAGCAATGGGCCTTACGATACTGAAAGCGCGTTGGGGCTGGTATCCTGGGACCTTCTCGTGGTGGCCCTGTTTAAACAGACCTTACCAGGATATTTGACCTGCTCAGTGAACATGAATCACAATGTTACTCAATTGTGTTCTCCTGCAGTTGTTTGAATGAGCTGAGCAGTAAATAGTTACACAGTATTATGTTGCTTTAAAGCTGACACATTAATGTTGATATATAAGAAAGTTTCTGCAGCATTGGAATAATGTTCACTGAGCAGGTCATATTTGTTTACGCTTTCTGTTGTAATTCTGCTTGAATGTTCAGAATTGATGAGGTTGTCGAGAGAAAACTGTTGATTGAAGTTTGTAATGATAGCGAGTTCTATTGATTAAAGTCAAATTTTGCAGGAAGCAAAATGCTAAAATATCTTCATCCAGAAATGAATCATTCATAATTTAAACTGATAACAGTTTGAATCTAGTATAAAGAGTGCATCTGGAAATTGTCCTGGTCATATAAAGAAAAAAGAACAAAAAGCTGCAGAATTTGACGGGGGATTCTGAACAACCATAGACAACAGCTTTTGATGTCTGACAGGATTTTTGTTTTTATTCATGTCACACTCTACAGAAATCCAAAGAAGACAACCAACACCCAGACCAATCAACGATCTCATCTGAGGTGAGCAGAACAAAAAAAATGTTGCAAGCTTGAAGGAATGTTCGTACATGGTTCTTCTGTCTTAAAGGGCTTTTCTGTTTGCATCACTCTCCTCCATTGCCAAGTTTTCAAATCATGTGCCAATACTGCAAGACACTGATTTCCCTTTCTGTCACAGCTAATCGCTAGAAATTAACTTGGCATTAAGACAGGAAAGATATAAAGACATTAGATTAGAAACAAATAATTACAACAATGGACAAACTTGTAATACCCAATTCTTTAGCTACAGTTTAATTTACATTTTAACTCCTTGTAGTAATTACAATTCAAATGACGATACATCCAACTAAAAATATTAAATGTGCCATCTGATTTCTCCTTGCGTCACAAATATAGTTATATCACACTGGACAAAAAGTTTGTTGTCATTCTTGGAAACTAAATTAGGAATAAATCCTGCGAAAGTAGCAACTTGTGTTTCAGTGTAAACCTTTCCTCAGTAAATAACAATGGGACTTGAGACAATGAGACTTGAAGTCTGTTATATGTTTGTTTGGTTTTGGTTTATTTTAGCAGCCCACCGGACAGACTAGGAGCCCAGTAGAGCAGATGGATAGGAGTTTGATTTGCAGAATTGATCAGGTAAATTGAGTTGATGAATAAGCCTCTGTACTGATGACGTCACACTTTGTTTACATGTGCACTTTCCTATGAAGCCAGTGGGGGCCCACGGTCCACTGAGCACCATAGGAAAGCACACACGTAAACAAATTGTGACGTCATCAGTACAGAGGCTTGTTTCATGTTGTTAACTCCAGCAAACTCACACTGTACAAATGTACTCATATTTTACCATCATGTTCTAGTGTTATTTACCACGGCAAAATTTGACAATCTAGATCAAGGAATTTAATGCAAACATTGTAACTGGTAGTTCAACAAAGTATGGGGTCTAATTTCTTCAGCCTCCTTTTTTGGTGAAATTTTGGCAAACATCCTATTTCTAATCATTGGGCAACAAACTTAAATACTTATAATAAACTTAAAGAAAATACTGACATTATAAAGTTGAAATAAGAAATTAATCTCCTGTGATATTCTGTCCTAAAATAATGTTCTATTTTTTTTCTTTTTCTGGAAGTTCAGCGATGTTGCCAGGCACTACCAGGCATGTTAGCTGTGGAGCACACACTGCATGATGCCTACATTGATGTGGTATCGTCATGGCAACGCCAAGCAAGGACTGCATCTTTGGAAACCTAGTGCATGTAAATGAGATAAGAAATAACCATTGCAGTGAAATCTGACACTGAATAATTCATAGTTTGTTTTGGAAAAAGAAATACATTGTATTTACAGAAATAAATTTAGAATTGTTTTGCTGAGTATAACCCAAAAGTTTTATGCCCATGGTATTTCTTGTGAATAGAATCTTCCAAGAGAGTGCTTGAATGCTATGTAGGCATGTTTCCTGCAATTTTGAAGCATTTTATATTCTTCCAAAATTTGGAGAAAAAAAACAAGGGGTTAACCCTAAACATTAATTCAAATTGTGTAACTTTTCAATTCAAACTAGTTCTACAAACAAACAAACACTTTTGGATGCAATATTAACACATTTTGATGTGCTTGAGATGATGATTTTAATGCATCAGGTATAAATAAGTATCATGGAAAGACCAGTATAAATTTTTATGCCATATCTTACTGTAGTTGGCACTCTCGCAAGATAAGATTTGGGAATGTGTTTAAACGTTTCTAGTGCATTGCACATCGTTTGAATTTCAGGTGTTTCTGGGGTTTTTTGCCCAAAATGGACTTGTTTGCATGTAACTTGGAAACACCAGTGGATGCGAAAACAGTTTAAAATTTCCCCAAGTAAATCATTTCAGTTTATTATTGGCCCAAAGCATATTTAAGTACTTTTACTGTTTTGTACTTTGTAAGTTTGTCCTAAATTGGTGCAGACTAGTAAATTATTTGTTAATTATTGAAAAGAGGGTTTCAATAAACTTGCCATTAATCTGAGATTGAACTGAATATTTGTTCATTCATTTGTCTGTTAAATTTTCCTTGTTAGGTTTTTCCGAAACTCAATTTTTATCAAAATTTCTAAACGGTAAGGGCTTAGCCTTGCAATTTTAACAAAAACCGGACAAAACTCAATTTTTATCAAAATTTCAAAAACGGTAAGGGGTTAGCCTTGCATTTTTAACAAAAATAGGACAAAACTCAATTTTTATCAACATTTCAAAACGGTAAGGGGTTAGCCTTGCATTTTTAACAAAAACAGGACAAAACTCAGTTTTCATCAAAATTTCAATACGGTAAGGGGTTAGCCTTGCATTTTTAACAAAAACAGGACAAAACTCAATTTTCATCAAAATTTCAAAACGGTAAGGGGTAAGCCTTGCATTTCTAACAAAAATAAGACAAAACTCAATTTTTATCAAAATTGCAAAACGGTAAGGGGTTAGCCTTGCATTTTTAACAAAAATAGGACAAAACTCAATTTTTATCAAAATTTTTAAACGGTAAGGGGTTAGCCTTGCATTTTAACAAAAACAGGACAAATCTCAATTTTCATCAAAATTTCAAAACGGTAAGGGGTTAGCCTTACATTTTTAACAAAAATAGGACAAAACTCAATTTTTATCAAAATTTCAAAAACGGTAAGGGGTTAGCCTTGCATTTTTTAACAAAAACAGGACAAAACTCAATTTTCATCAAAATTTCAAAAACGGTAAGGGGTTAGCCTTGCATTTTTAACAAAAACAGGACAAAACTCAATTTTAATCAAAATTTCAAAACGGTAAGGGGGTTGCAATTTTAACAAAAATAGGACAAAACTAAATTTTCATCAAAATTTCAAAAACGGTAAGGGGTTAGCCTTGCATTTTTAACAAAAACAGGACAAAACTCAATTTTCATCAAAATTTCAAAACGGTAAGGGGTTAGCCTTGCAATTTTAACAAAAATAGGACAAAACTCCATTTTTATCAAAATTTCTAAACGGTAAGGGGTTAGCCTGGCATTTTTAACAAAAACAGGACAAAACTCAATTTTCATCAAAATTTCTAAACGGTAAGGGGTTAGCCTTGCATTTTTAACAAAAATAGGACAAAACTCAATTTTTATCAAAATTTCAAAAACGGTAAGGGGTTAACCTTGCATTTTTAACAAAAACAGGACAAAACTCAGTTTTCATCAAAATTTAAATATGGTAAGGGGTTAGCCTTGCATTTTTAACAAAAACAGGACAAAACTCAATTTTCATCAAAATTTCAAAACGGTAAGGGTTTAGCCTTGCATTTTTAACAAAAACAGGACAAAACTCAATTTTCATCAAAATTTCTAAACGGTAAGGGGTTAGCCTTGCATTTTTAACAAAAATAGGACCGTTGAACTCAAATTTTATAAAAATTTCAAAAACGGTAAGGGGTTAGCCTTGCATTTTTAACAAAAACAGGACAAAACTCAATTTTCATCAAAATTTCAAAAACGGTAAGGGGTTAGCCTTGCATTTTTTTTACAAAAACAGGACAAAACTCAATTTTCATCAAAATTTCAAAACGGTAAGGGGTTAGCCTTGCAATTTTAACAAAAACAGAACAAAACTCAAATTTTATAAAAATTTCAAAAACGGTAAGGGGTTAGCCTTGCATTTTTAACAAAAACAGGACAAAACTCAATTTTCATCAAAATTTCAAAACGGTAAGGGGTTAGCCTTGCATTTTTAACAAAAATAGGACAAAACTCAATTTTTATCAAAATTTCAAAAACGGTAAGGGGTTAACCTTGCATTTTTAACAAAAACAGGACAAAACTCAGTTTTCATCAAAATTTAAATATGGTAAGGGGTTAGCCTTGCATTTTTAACAAAAACAGGACAAAACTCAATTTTCATCAAAATTTCAAAACGGTAAGGGTTTAGCCTTGCATTTTTAACAAAAACAGGACAAAACTCAATTTTCATCAAAATTTCTAAACGGTAAGGGGTTAGCCTTGCATTTTTAACAAAAATAGGACCGTTGAACTCAAATTTTATAAAAATTTCAAAAACGGTAAGGGGTTAGCCTTGCATTTTTAACAAAAACAGGACAAAACTCAATTTTCATCAAAATTTCAAAAACGGTAAGGGGTTAGCCTTGCATTTTTTTTACAAAAACAGGACAAAACTCAATTTTCATCAAAATTTCAAAACGGTAAGGGGTTAGCCTTGCAATTTTAACAAAAACAGGACAAAACTCAATGTTTATCAAAATTTCTAAACGGTAAGGGGTTAGCCTTGCATTTTTAACAAAAACAGGACAAAACTCAATTTTCATCAAAATTTCTAAACGGTAAGGGGTTAGCCTTGAATTTTTAACAAAAATAGGACAAAACTCAATTTTCATCAAAATTTCAAAAACGGTAAGGGGTTAGCCTTGCATTTTTAACAAAAACAGGACAAAACTCAATTTTAATCAAAATTTCAAAACGGTAAGGGGTTAGCCTTGCAATTTTAACAAAAATAGGACAAAACTCAATTTTCATCAAAATTTCAAAAACGGTAAGGGGTTAGCCTTGCATTTTTAACAAAAACAGGACAAAACTCAATTTTCATCAAAATTTCAAAAACGGTAAGGGGTTAGCCTTGCATTTTTAACAAAAACAGGACAAAACTCAATTTTCATCAAAATTTCTAAACGGTAAGGGGTTAGCCTTGCATTTTTAACAAAAATAGGACAAAACTCAATTTTTATCAAAATTTCAAAAACGGTAAGGGGTTAGCCTTGCATTTTTAACAAAAACAGGACACAACTCAGTTTACATCAAAATTTCAATATGGTAAGGGGTTAGCCTTGCATTTTTAACAAAAACAGGACAAAACTCAATTTTCATCAAAATTTCAAAACGGTAAGGGGTTAGCCTTGCATTTTTAACAAAAATAGGACAAAACTCAATTTTTATCAACATTTCAAAACGGTAAGGGGTTAGCCTTGCATTTTTAACAAAAATAGGACAAAACTCAATTTTTATCAACATTTCTAAATGGTAAGGGGTTAGCCTTGCATTTAAACAAAAACCGGACAAAACTCAATTTTCATCAAAATTTCAAAACGGTAAGGGGTTAGCCTTGCATTTTTAACAAAAATAGGACAAAACTCAATTTTTATCAAAATTTTAAAAACGGTAAGGGGTTAGCCTTGCAATTTTAACAAAAACGGGACAAAACTCAATTTTCATCAAAATTTCAAACGGTAAGGGGTTAGCCTTGCATTTTTAACAAAAATAGGACAAACTCAATTTTTATCAAAATTTCAAAACGGTAAGGGGTTAGCCTTGCATTTTTAACAAAAACCGGACAAAACTCAATTTTAATCAAATTTTCAAAATGGTGGGGTTAGCCTTGCATTTTTAACAAAAAAGGGACAAAACTCAATTTTTATAAAAATTTCAAAAACGGTAAGGGGTTAGCCTTGCATTTTTAACAAAAATAGGACAAAACTCAATTTTTATCAAAATTTTAAAAACGGTAAGGGGTTAGCCTTGCAATTTTAACAAAAACAGGACAAAACTCAGTTTTCATCAAAATTTCAAAACGGTAAGGGGTTAGCCTTGCATTTTTAACAAAAATAGGACAAAACTCAATTTTTATCAGGGCCCTAAGGCATCATCCTGGCAAGTTTCAAGCAATTTCATTTTTTGGCCAAAATTGAAAAAAATTGCAAGGGGTTAGCCTTATATTTTTAGCAAATTTGGGTCAAAAATGGACTTCTGAGAAAACAACTCAGAATCACTTTAGGAGGCATAATTAACATACTTTCATACTCGAAAAGTGATTATTGAAGAGATTTTGGCAAGTATAGAGGATTTATGGAGAAATATTTTTTAAAAAATTATTAAATTTACAATTTTTTGCACGCCATATTTCCTTTGAATGGCAAATTTGGCAAGAGAATTTTTGGCAATGTGTTCTAGGGGCCCTCAAGCATCTTCCTAGCAAGTTTCAAGGAATTTCATTTTTTGGCAAAAATTGAAAAAAATTGCAAGGGGTTAGTTAGCCTTACATTTCTAGCAAATTTGGGTCAAAAATGGACTTTTCAGGAAACAACCCAGAAACATTTTAGGAGGCATAATATACATACTTTCATACTCGAAAAGTGGTTATTGAAGAGATTTGGGCAAGTATAGAGGATTTATGGCGAAATATTAAAAAAACAAATATTAAATTTACAATTTTTTGCACACCATATTTCCTTTGAATGGCAAATTTGGCAAGAGAATTTTTGGCAATGTGTTCTAGGGGCCCTCAAGCATCTTCCTAGCAAGTTTCAAGCAATTTCATTTTTTGGCCAAAATTGAAAAAAATTGCAAGGGGCTAGCCTTATATTTTTAGCAAATTTGGGTCAAAAATTGACTTCTGAGAAAACAACTCAGAATCACTTTAGGAGGCATAATTAACATACTTTCATACTCGAAAAGTGATTATTGAAGAGATTTTGGCAAGTATAGAGGATTTATGGAGAAATATTTTTAAAAAATTATTAAATTTACATTTTTTTGCATGCCATATTTCCTTTGAATGGCAAATTTGGCAAGAGAAATTTTGGGAATGCGTTCTAAGTGCCCTCAAGCATCTTCCTAGCAACTTTCAAGGAATTTCATTTTTTGGCCAAAATTGAAAAAATTTGCAAGGGGTTGCCCTTACATTTTTAGCAAATTTGGGTCAAAAATGGACTTTTCAGGAAACAACTCAGAAAAACTTTAGGAGGCATAATATACATACTTTCATACTCGAAAAATGGTTATTGAAGAGATTTGGGCAAGTATAGAGGATTTGTGGAGAAATATTAAAAAACAAATATTAAATTTACAATTTTTTGCACGCCATATTTCCTTTGATTGGCAAATTTGGCAAGAGAATTTTTGGCAATGTGTTCTAGGGCCCTCAGGCATCTTCCTAGCAAGTTTCAAGCAATTGAAACACTTGAGGAGGCATGATAAACATACTTTCATACTCGAAAAGTGATTATTGAAGAGATTCGGGTAAGTATAATGGATTTATGGATAAATATTAACATTTATAAGATTTAATTTACAATTTTTGCACGCCATATTTCCTTTGAATGGCACATCTGGCAAAAGAAGTTTTGGGAATGTGTTCTAAGGCCCCTTAGGCATCTTCCTAGCAAGTTTCAAGCAATTTCATTTTTTGGCCAAAATTGAAAATAATTGCAAGGGGTTAGTCTTACATTTTTAGCAAATTTGGGTCAAACATTGACTTTTCAGGAAACAACTCAGAAACATTTTAGGAGGCATAATAAACATACTTTCATACTCGAAAAGTGATTATTGAAGAGATTTGGGCAAGTAAAGAGGTTTTATGGAGAAAAAAATATATATATGTATTAAATTTACAATTTTCTGCACGCCATATTTCCTTTGAATGGCACATTTGACAAGAGAATTTTTTGGAATGTGTTCAAAGGGCCCTAAGGCTTCTTCCCAGCTTCTTCCCTTTACTTTTTTGGAAACAACTCAGAAACACTTTAGGATGAATACTCAAAAAGGAACCATGTTAGAGATTTGGGCAAATAGGAAGGATTTTTGGACAAAACATTATACATTCTTTGTATTCAATATTTTTTTATCTTTTGCACGCCATATTTAATTTTTAAGGAAGTTCTGGCAAGAAGAGAAATTTTGGGAATGTGTTCTAAAGGCCCTCAGGCATCTTCCTTGCAAGTTTCAAGCATTTTAATGTTTTCGCCCAAATCGAAATTTTTTTTTTCAAGGGGTTAACCTTACATTTTTATCAAATTTTGGTCAAAATTTGACTTTTCTGGAAACAACTTAGAAACACTATAGGATGTATGATGAACATATAAATACTCTTGAAGGGACAATGTTTGAGATTTGGGCAAATAAGAAGTATTTTTGGACAAAAAGTAATATTTTTATTTAATATTATTTTTTTATTTTATGCACGCCATATTTTTTATTTTATGCAGGCCATATTTTATTTAAAAGTTCTGGTAAGAGACTTTTTGGAAATGTGTTTTAAGGCCTCTCAGGCATCTTCTGTGCCATTTTCAAGCATTTTCATTTTCCGCCCAAATCGAAAAAAAGTACAAGGGGTTATTAACCTTGCATTTTTATCAAATTTTGGTCAAAAGTTGACCTTTGTTTGGAAACAAATAAGAAACACTTAAGGTTGCATAATGATAATATTTTATACTCCTGAAGGGACCATGTCAGAGACCTCCCACACAGCGCCCTCTACTGTTCGTTCGCGGACTGCACACTTGTTCGTCCATGCCCGCTGCCGTTCCCTGAACGATGACAAATTACATCCAGGTGAAATGGCTGATTTCCCGAGGCCACTTGGGCTCGTTCCCAGTCTTATTAGTCATCAAGTTATGGCACAGCAAACCATCTAACTGTTAAAAACAATGACTGCGGTAACCGAACATACTGAAATGGCACACTTCTTTTAGGCCTATCCAAGTTCTCTTGGTAACGAATCAAGGTCAACATAAATTGTTGCATGGCCAAGTATGACTCTTCACGTCTGTGTTATCCACTCTGCTTGGTCAGTCCAGAAACTGTCACTTGTGGATACACTTTCTAGTCGTAGACTCGACTGATGGCCGGCGAGGCAGTATTAGAAAATCTGAAGTCATCATTATGCGGACGGGGATTGTAAATTTCCCTAGTGACTCTTGCCAGGAGTATTATCAAAGTTGAACCTTTCGACTGTGGAGATTGAAAACAAACGGATATCACGCACTCGAAGTGTTCAGTCAAGTTGTGTGCAACATTCACTATTGCTCCTCAGAAGGGACGTTTTTCAGTAGGCATAATGTTTAGTTGATGACTTTTCTCCGGATCGTTTAGGAGATATTTCGATACCTTCTGCTTCCGTTCATCTATGAAAACTTGATCTTGTCCATACCAACGATCGCACCACGAACAAACACATCCCGTGCTTATAGTTAAGATGAGACGAAATTACTTCCGCCACTGCGCCACATTCTGGGAACTTGTGTTATCTCACTCAGAGAGATGAGCACTGACAACTTCCTAAGAGTTGATTTGACCGCAGCCTGACAAAACAAAGATGACGAATTTTTGACATTTTAACCTCATTGCACCTGTCATATTCAACGTCACGCACCGGCAATCCCCCGATTGGTCCCACGTCATCATTGGATATTTGTTGCTTCACCGAATTTCCGTTTTGATCACAAACAACTACAACTGGCGTTTACGGGGACTTGCAGTCACTGGAAACTCGGTTATGAGTCCCGGGTGTGAATATATCAGTAATGTGGATTGAAAATCTGACTTGAATGAACCAAATCATTTCTATTGTCGTTTCTGCCATTTCTGAGGATAAATTGAGACGGGCAACGTTCCCTCTTATCGATACTGACTCTTGACATCATGGTTCAATCAGGATACGTAGTTGTGCTTCTGTTGGTTGCAGTTACCGCCATTTCCGCCATCTCGTTCCGGAAGGAACCGACCCGAAAGACCGTTGTTATTGGCCGGGCGGTTACCTTGCGATGCCAAGTCAAGAACCAAACTGGTATAGGTGTCTTTTGGCAGAACGTTCTAACAGGTGAATACCTGAGCAGGGACAGTGTGATTGATCCGTTCAATAGACTCAGTGACTCCATCCGATGGAGGTATCGAATCGTTGGTAACTCCAGTAAGGGAGAATACAACCTCATGATTCGAAGAGCCTTCTTGACCGATGACTCCTACTTCTCATGCGCCTACTTCACAGACGGCGGTAATGCAGCGTTTTACTCTCGGGTAGCGCGGATCAAGGTAATTAAACCTCCGGATAAAGGCTTCCCGCTGTGCCTTATGGGTCCGAAGTTACAGATGGAGGTGGGTGATAACATCACCTTGGTGTGTGAGTCTAGAGGCGGGAGACCTCCTTCCACGCTGACATGGATACGAGGCAAGAGGATTCTACAATCTGCTTTTATACCACACGCTGCCCGTACGGTGGTCGGTTACAAACATACCCTGACTGAAGCTGACCGGAACGTGAGATTCACCTGTGTGGCACGGAACCAAGCCCTGCCTCAACCCCGATCTTGCTACGTCATTCCTCTCCGGAGCCGCATCGAAGTCATCATCCGCCCGATTGTGACTTGGGTTAAGCTTGGATATAGCGTCAGCTTCAATTGCATCTCGGAGAACGTGCCCAATTTGGAATACCAGTGGACCGTGAATGGTAACCTGCTTACCAAATCGACTCCCAAGTACAGACTTCAAAGGAATGGCGCCAAACTGAGAATCGTCAACGCCACTTTGAAGGATGAAGCTTCAGTCCTTATTTGCCGCGTGGAGCAGAAACTATTAGGATACAGTGATCGTGCTGTGGCGCAACTTTGGATCCAAGAGGAAATTCAGCCCAACATTACCAGCGCGCCGATTACAACTCCGGCAGTCATCACTTCTGGGCCGGTCACAGAATCCCATTCAAGTCCCAGTGAAATCATTAAAGAGGCTCCAACAGATTACTATAGTGGATTTATGGAGGAAGTGTCCAGTGACCCTTCAGATATTGGCAGTGGGATGCCACCTTACCAATCAATAACTTCCACCATAATGGCCACTACTGAAGAAATAACACCAACTGACGAAGGGTGGCCACTACCCACAACGACAGATACCATGGCTGACAAAACTGACCCAATAAGATTGATTGAAACGCCTCCGATAACTGCAACCAAACCAGTAACCATGACCCAGCCGATTACCAAAACTGAACCTGATACCACTACAATGTCGGTTACCACATCCACTGTTAGCACCGAGCCGATAATCCAAAACACTGAACATATCACTACCCAGCCGATTACCACGACTGAACCGGCTCCTATCAAGCCGGTTCTCGCAAAAGAAGCTGTTACTACCCAGCCAGTTACCGAAATTAAACCTCTTAACACACCACAGGTTACTTCAACTGAGCCCCTTACTTCCAATCCGATGGTCTCAAAGGAACTTGTTAATACCAAGTCGATAACCACTACTGGAGCTGTTACTACCCAGCTGGTCACCGAAACTGCCAGTGAACCCGTTAGGACCCAGATGGTCAATGACCCTGAACCTGTTACTAAGCATTCGGTTACCACAATTGAGCCTGTTACTACCTGGCCGCTTATCAAAACTGAACCCGTTGCTACCCCACCGATTTCCGTATCTAATCTAGTCACCAACAAGTCGTTTCTCCCAACCGGACCTGTTATTCCCCAGCTCATCACCACCATTGAATCAGGTACTTCCCAACCGCTCACCACTACCAAGCCGATTACCAATACTGAACCCGTGAATTCCCAACTAGTTACAAAAACTGAAACTAGTGCAGAGTCGATGACCACAGTTAGACCTGTTAGCACCCAGCCGGTTACCAAAACCGAATTGGTGCCTACAAAGCCAGTTACCATAATTGAGCCTCATATTACCCCGCCAATTAGCCAGACTAAATCCAATACTATCCAACCGGTTACGAGTCCAACTTTTACCACTAAGTCAATTACAGCAAAAACAGAACATATTACAAGCCATCAGCCGATTACCAGAATTGAACCTGAAGCAATCCAAACGGTTACTTCAAACAAACCGGTATCTATGCAGCCGATTATTGCGACTGAACCAGTTACCACCCAGCTCGGTACCCCTACTGAACCAATTCTTACCGAACAGTTTACCGCATTTACACCAGTTACGACACAGCCGGTTTCCAAACTTGAACCTGCTATGACCGAGCTGACAACTACATCAAATACAACTCAGCTACTTCCCAAGACTGAACCAGTTACCACCCAGCTGGGTACCACAACCGAACGAGTTCCTATCAAAATATCCGCATCTGAATCAGTTACTTCACAGCCTGTTTCCAAACTTGAACCTATTATGACCCAGCTGACAACTAAACCAGTTACTATTCAGAGGTCTGAAGCAACTGAATCAATTACATCTCAGCTGGTTACCAAAACTGAACCAGTTACCACCCAGCTGGGTACCACAACCGAACCTGTTCCTACCAAACTAATTACCGCATCTGAATCAGTTACTTCACAGCCTGTTACCACACTTGAACCTGGTATGACGCAGCCGACGTCTGACCCTGTTACTACGCAGCGGTCCGCAACAACTGAATTAGTAACAACCCAGCTTGTTACCAATACTAACTCAGTTCCCATCAACCCGATTACAACATCTGGAGCAGTAACTAACCAGTCGGTTACCACACCTGAACCAATAACTACCACACAGGTTGCCACATCTGAACCAGCTACCACCCAGACTGTTTCCTTAACTGAACCAGTAACTACACAGCCGGTTTCCACAGCTGAACTTGATTCTACTCAGTATAATATCACAACTGAAGCCGCTACTTCTCGGGCTCTTTCAGCGTCTAATCCGGTCACAACCGTCCTACCGACTACCAAAACCAAACTGGCTTCTTCAACCGAACCGATAACCACAACCAATCTTGTTTCATCCACCCTCCCGATTACCACAAACAATCCAGTTAGCACAACACAACTGATATCCACGAGCCACACGATTACCACAGCTGATCGCTTAACCACAGTCAAACCAACCACGACGCAAGTAACAACTTCCCCCAAACCAGCAACAACGACAGAAACGTTGACAACCAACAAGGAGTCACTGACTACCAACTGGCTCCCGCAGTCACCATTGACATCGAGCGATCCAATGACAAGCAAGTTTTCAACAATAACTGTAGAGCCATCAAATAACATCATTCCTATTGTGTCTAGTCTGCCAAAGCCCAACAATGATGACTGGAATAACCTTGTGCCCGATTTTAATCTCGATAAGCAGATAGCGAATGACCAACCTGATGTGGGTAGATTCAGGGTGGGCACCCTCCATCATCAAAGAGGTGACGTACCGCAGGAAACGCCCACAACACCATTCAAACAACCACCGAGAGAGGGACCAACAGTCATGGGGCCTAAAGTGCCTCCGCGCCCCACGACGAAGCTCGCAGCGACCCGCTCTACCCCACTTTCCTCGGACCCACCGACTCCCACCACCGTGTCCGGAGGAAAAAGTAAAGTCGGATTGGCAGCCGGCTTGAGCGTCATGTTCATTGGACTGCTGCTCGCACTGGTTGGAATGGCCGTCTACTACATCAAGTTCAAAGAGTAGCCCCCGGCATGACACGTTTGTTACTTAATAATCATTCATGGTGGTTGATAAAGGACCTTATCCGCTAGCCACCATTCATTTCGATTTAATATAACTTGTTTAATTGTAATATTTATTACACGTTATTACTACAATATATGTATACCTACTTAAAAATGTCAAAAAGTGTAAAACATATTTTACGTTTCTCATCTTGTGCTCCCTTATGAAGCTTTTTATAATTCCAAAAATGCCGATTGGGTGTCGCAAGTCACGTGTCACGTAATTATTCAAGTGATATGCCTACTTAATTACTCTGTAACTATTAAGTCACGTGACACTGAATTAATTTGAACCTGTTACGATTCGTTGGCCATATTTTTATTTCAAGAGTAGTTTCCTTCGCAAGAGAAATCAACATATAGGAAACTTGCAGTTAACGGCACAAGATAGGGTTTCATATCGTCTTTAGTATGACCCCGCCCCATTAAAAAAATGTTAAAATAATCAAAGCGCGAGTGTGATATATTTGAGCAAAAATCCCAACACTTTCAAGGGCGGATCCAGAACACAATTTTTTGGGGCCCCCGAAAAAATGGTCCCCCAAAAAGTGGGCCCCAAAAAAATACGGCGTAGGGTGTGGGGCCCGCTTAGGCCTAATGGCCCCGAATTTATTTTTTTAATTCTAGATGTTCTGTGGTGCGATCTGATGCAATTTCTGACAACTTTGACCATTTTTTTTAAAGGAAAAGATGGTGGTGTACATAGTGCCTGCCTTTATTGCGACGTCACTTTAAAAAAAAAAGGTTGGGTTTTTATTTTTTTGTAGGGGGGGGGGGCAGTCCCCCCCCCCACCCCTTTTGAACCGCCCTTGAACACTTAACTTGCGTAAGTGCCAAATTTGGGCGCAAAACTAAACTTAGGCCAACATTCGGAAAAAAGGCCGGCAATTATGTGCCATTTTTTCATTGTTTTTAGCGAGAATTAAGGTTAATATTTTCAAACTGTTGAAAAATTATCTGGATAATCATGTATATATTGATATCGCGTTAGAATTACTGCAATGTCAAATTAACACGAATTTACTCCTTACAAACTCTGCATTTTGAAATAGATTTGTATGTTGTATAATATTAATATTGCGTGTTTTAAAATTTTAATCAGACGCGTCCTAGTACTAAATGCAATGTTTTTGATTTTATATTTAATAAAGGCTAATATTGCACGCGAATAATTTACCAGTGATTAAATTTCAGTCAAATATTGAATCCTTTAGTTGTTCTTCGTAATTTTTAAATTTACATTAAAATCATTTGGGATCGTCTTTTACATCACGGAAACTGTTTTTGCCCCCCCCCCCAAAAAAAAACCCCTTGGGCTTTGCTTGTACTATACATTCTGCTACATTCTGCCAACATTCAGCCCATGCATTTCTGTAAAAAGAAAAAAATCCAGCTTTTTTGTTGTTGAAGGAATTAAAAACTTCACTTTTTCGTTTAGTTTTACTGGCTATCGAGAAAAACGATTGACCTTCAGAAGAAGATCTATCAGTGGACTACCTCTGGGTTAGTTTTGAACCGGTAATTTCTTGCTCTACTTTTCCATCAAGCTGAATTTCTGAAATCCTGTACACTCACGCCCTTAAACAAACGCCGATCTGATTTGAGCTATGGTTACCTCCTTCCTGGTGGAAATTCTTCCAGGCAAGCCAGGGGGCCCAGGAGAGGTCGCCTCTGTGGCCTATTTTCTACAGTTGTCCCTTTGAAGGCGGCTGGACGGAGGCTGATAGTCTTGGTCACGTGATTAGGAGCATGACCTGGGAAGAGAAAATCAAGACGTGGTGAGTTAGTTTACAGTGTTAAGTTAGGGGCAATTTTTCTCATCCGGACGTGGCTAATTTTGGAAGCAGTGGAATAGTTCATTACGGTAGAGTTTGTTGGATTGTTTGTGGGTGTGTGTTTTTTGTTTAGTGGTTTTTTTTCTGTTTGTTGGGGTGTTGGGGTGTTTGTTTGTTTGTTTGTGTGTTTTTACATTTAAATCCGCAGTGGGTGGCGTTTATTGATGACCGCCCTTCACCACCACCTCCCAAATACTACACAAGGTATTGGAATTATCCTGAATCCAAAGTTAGGCATAGGGCCTATATTTGAAATTATAAACGCACAAAATCATAGCCTGATCTCAGAAAATTGGAACTTTGCATATACGCTGTTAGTTATGACGCTGCTACATTGCTCATTGATGTTAACAAAAATATCATAATATTAAAATGATTCACTAAACGGACACTCGACACTTAATAAGATTGTATGCATGCGTATAAGTGAAAACAAACCATAGCGTGATGGGCCCTGTGGAGAAAAAGTGCTTGCAAAAAATGTCACTTAGACCGGCAGCGTCTGATTCTGCGTCATTGCCCACCCTCGAACGATGACGAATACTGGGGCGAGGTTAGCCCCAGGAAAGGGGCTGATTTCCCGACTTGGCCTGGCTTAGTTCCTAGTCCTTACTCCCCTTGTCATGCCACACATCTACTCAGTAGAGTAATCAGTGATTGTAGTGTGTAGCCAACATAAGTACTTGGGTATGCCAACACGCGAGGATAACGTCAGACACCAGTTTGAGTTGGTATCCCGCGAGAGTGACGCAGGCTGGAAACGTCGACAACTTGTACACGGAAAGAAACCGCCTATTTGCCAGCAGGAGAGCAGTGGATTTTTTTTCACTGACTTTTATCTTGACTATTTGATGTGGACGAATTCCTGTAAATGCTGACATCGAATCGCTGGAGATTTTAATTGAGTCAATTTGACGTGAGTGGACCCCACCAGCCATTTCGTGATTTATATCCGCGTGGACTCGTGTTTCCTGCAACATTAACGCTGGTTTAATTTGTTGCTGAAACAATTTCTTTTGGTGATTTGTTGAGACATTTTAAGAAACGCTGTCAGCATTGTTGGATACAACTGTGCATCAAACGGAAACTGGAAAGTTTCTTGTTCAACTTTTGGAGGAAAAACCTTCAACAAGTTTGACTTCAATTCACTCTTGCTTCAAACATTGCGGACTGATTCTGAGGCCAGTGATAATTTTTGTCTGCGTGTACACAGACTTGACAGGATAATCTAATCCCATTCCGACATCTTCTGTAATCATAAATAATTTGGATTAATGCTGACAACCATCTGTCAAAATCCAAGGGGAGAACTGACCTATGGACGAGGGCAGTGAAACGTTCGGACAATTTGCTGATCCTCAGCTGTCATCGATACTCACGTCAATCGGAAACTGCCTTTATTTCAACGCTTCCTTCTATTCTAAACTGGGCAAAATTAGAAAGGGGATTGTGACATTAGCACAGGCTTCAACACTGTAGTCGTCGATATAAAGATAGCAAACTCAGACTACAACGAACAAACCCAGCCCATACAGTTGGTACCTGTATGAACAAAGTCAGTTCATGGCAAGGTAATTTCTCAAGAACGTTAACTTTTTACGAGTACCATACAAACAACCATCAGCCGACATGATGCAATCAGCATACGGACTGATGATGTTAGTGTTGAGTTTTGTGGCGAGAGCACATGGCATCTCATTCCGGGTCGAGCCGAGTCCGCAGACCATCGTCCTCGGACAGACAATGACTGTGCGGTGCCAAGTCGATAATCAGGACAGCATCAATGTGTACTGGCAGAACGTGGGTACTGGAGAGTACCTGAGCAGAGACCGTAAAATCGACCCATTCGATCGCCTCAGCAAGTCCGTCAAGCGAAGGTACCGTATCGTGGGTGATTCAGGCTCGGGGGAGTATAACCTGATGATCCGTCGCGTATCAATGGTGGACGGGTCTGAGTACAGGTGCCTCTACTTCACCGATATGGCTCACTTCTCGCAGGTAGCTCACATCCGGGTCTTGAAACCACCAGATAAAGGATTCCCATCTTGTCTTCTGGGTCCCAGTTTGCACATGGATGTTGGGGACAACATCACCTTGATCTGTGAATCTATGGGCGGAGATCCACCTGCCACACTGACATGGATAAGAGGCAAGGAGATCCTAGATTCGACCTTCATATCGCACGCAACTCGTAGAGTTGCTGGGTACGAGCACACCTTGACGGAATCTGACCGGAACGTGAGATTCACCTGCGTGGCACGGAACCAAGCCCTGGCCCAACCCCGATCTTGCTACGTCATTCCTCTACGGAGTCGCATCGAAGTCATCCTCCGTCCAGTGGTCACCACCATCTACCTTGGTGACAGCATCAGCTTCAATTGCATCTCAGAGAACGTGCCTCACTTGCAGTACCATTGGACTGTGAATGGTAACCCGATTACCGAATCGACGCCCAAATACAATCTCCTCAAGAGTAATATGAGATTGAGAGTCGTCAACGCCACTTTGGAGGACGATGCTTCTGTCGTCATCTGTCGAGTCCAGCAGGACGAGTTAGGTCTTGGAGACCATGCAGAAGGGCATCTCTACATTCGGAAAGTGGAGGATAACGTGTTTACCAACGCGATGCTGACGACCGTACCACTGACGACGACTCCGATGATGACCACTTCTGAGGTAAAGTTGACCACTAACCCGATTACTACAACTACACCGGTTACTACGGCTCAACCGGTTACCACCACTGAACAGATAACCACCACACTCGGGACCACGACTGCACCTCCTACAACGACGACACCGGTTACAACACAAATGATAACCACCACCAAACCAATTACTACAACTGAACCGGTTACCACATCCCAACCTATTACCACAACTAAACCAATTACAACGACCCAGCAGATAACCACGACCGAACCGGTTACAACGACACAACCGATTACCACAACTGAATCGTTAACCACACCCGAACTCATCACAACGAAGCGGGTTACCACCACGAAACCGGCAACAACTGAAACGCAGACTACCAGCGAGTGGTACACACCGACCACCCCCAAACCCCCACCCCCACCATCTACCAATCAACCAAATGTCATCGTTGGCGAGAACGAACTGATACCAACTAAGATACCAACTGAGCCACAACCCGAGAATGTGATCCCTGGCATGCCCGGCACGGAGAAGCCCACTATTGTTGACGATTGGGATAACAATTTATCCGGACTTTTGGAAAGAGCGATTGCCCGACCCAACTCCAAGGGGAAGCCGGCAATCCCAAGTCTTCAACCTCCTCCCGAGAGAGGGGATATTCCCCAGTTCCCCATCACACGTCGCCCACCAACTACCACCGCCGCCATCACCACTATGAAAACTGATAAAACTCCAGTCACACAGGCAGTCACACAGGCAGTCACACAGGCCTCCTGGAAAGAGAACGCCATCTTGCAAGACACACCAACTCCACCTAGGCCACATACAGAGCGACCAACCAACAAACCAACTAAAGCTCCGACAACTCCCACTACGCAGCCCGCTCCAACGACGACCATTCAAGCAACCACTGTGCAATCAGCTACCAATTCATCGGTTAAACCCACCCTCATCAAGGCACGACCGCCTCAGACGAAAGTCGTTGAAAGCAGCAACGCCGGTGTTGCAGCTGGATTGAGCGTCACGTTCATACTTCTCGCCATTGTTGGAGTAGGATTAGCAGTCTACTTCTTTAAGTTCAGGAAAGCACCATCAACACCACCGCCACAGAAATGAGAGAAGAGTTGATTATTGTGCAGATACAGAAACAAAGATGTGTAAAATAGCATAGCGATGGACAGTCGGAGTCATGCGAAGTAAACTAATCGGTTCTAAAAAAAATAGGGATTTTTTGTTTTTAGAACCAATAGGTTACAAAATTGGGTACAACCGGGTTCTTTCACCTCATATTGTTCAAATCGCCGTGCATTATAAGCGGGCGTTTCTGTCATTTTTGGAAAAAAAAAATATTTAGCCCGAGCCTGACGATTGCAAGAAACTTACGTCTTCCGTCATTATGATTAATGGAATTTGACATTTTAAATCAAGTTATTCGTTCTGGCTTATCTTATAATTGTATAATTTGAAGGAAATTCTAATTCATGTTTTACGACGAGGCAAAAGAACATGTCTTAACGGGTAAAGATTAAGCCTGCCCTTGAAACGGACATTATCGCAGGAGAAGTTCTTGGTGGAAATTATAACCGCGTCAGATGACTCAGTATTATTTCTAACCCAAGCGAGTCTCGGTCTAGCTTGGTGATGAGTCATCTATGTCCGTCCGATGGACTTACTTGAAGATCTACTCAAGATGAGGGGCATAAGTTAGCAGCAAATATTCCTAAGAAAATTGCTCACTAGCTCAAAAAGAAACGTGTTAAAAAGCTTAATACTACGGAAATTTGTTACTTACTGTAAGACCCATCACAGCTGATCTTTTTGTGGATTATGGTAAAGGTCTTCAAATTGAAGAATTTGTTCCAGATAAGGACGGTGATAGTTGCTATTTGGGAAAGTTTATAATTTTTTTTTTGGGGGGGGGTAGTACGTGATCAGTTAGCTTAACATGTTAATTTTGTTAGATGTCTAATATACAAATGTGTTTCAGGTATTTTATCGAACGAAATCACATCCCGTAATTTACTAAAGGAACTATGGTAAAGAAGTGAACCATTCTTCTGAACGGAATGGCTGACGGGCGTTTCCAAGCAACCGTTGAAGCAAAGACAGAACAGCTTTTCCTTCCACCATCTCAATATCAACACTTAAAGAGGATGCGAAAGTAGGCAGATAGGATCCCCAGGGCTCAAAGACACGGAAAGGGGAACCAGACAGTAATTTGGGTTGCCTCTCTGGGCTAAAGGCCAAATTCTCCAGGTTGTCGGTAATAGACTGGGTTCTGAATTGAATCATCGTGTTCCGTAAAGTGATAGGTGTAGGCGAACACGCCCCTGGAAAAACATATGGGAACTTTTGTGGATGATTTTTGGGCCAGTGTGATCTTTTCCATTTCATTTTTTTTTAGTGCACACACAGATTATTTGCTAAAAGAAGAGCTTTCCTAAGCCAGCCATTGAGCTACGAAATTTGAAGAACCTATCAATATTTTTAAAATATTATTTTTTTATCAGGGACTCGCAAACTTTAGTTGTTTTCTCTATTGGCCTATAATTGTATGTAATCTAAAATATTAAATTTGTTTTTCTCAGTTTTCCTCTTTACAGTAGATGGTAAAATTATGATATTGTATAAATAGTTGTAAATATTTATCGAGCTTTTGAATAAATAATCAGAAATCGTCTTTAGCTGATGATCGCTTAGGTATCTGAAAAGTGTTGGGAGTGGAAATTGTTTTGCTGGAGACTGTTTCAGAAGAGCATTCGGTAGAATGATCAAATGTTTGTGAAAAAACAAGGAAGGTGTTTTAAAAGGTGCTTTTTAAATAGCAACATCAATGAACATTGCGCATGATGTGTGCTGTGTATTCCAGCTGAAAATTTGCAACTTTTTAAAGTTTTTTATTATAAAATTTTCGGCATTAAAGCCGATTTTATGGTAGTGGTTTTCGATTACCGTTTTATGCGAATTGTCACTTTCTTAAAAGCTGTAAAAACAAATTCTTACTCAATTTATTGGCCATGTTTATTAAACAAATTCTGTACACATCAAAATGACACTTTGTAGTTGCAGTTTGTAATACAATTGAAGAACTTCACCGTTCAGTGACAAAATACTATGGATGACTTACTAGAAGTACGCATTTAGGACTTTATAAAATGATTCACATTGGATGGTACACGATGAATATAGCACATGCATCCTAAAAATTAATCAAGAACCAAATGAATTTATTCATAGTTTCAAGTACGTCACTTTGTCCAATGTCACCACAAATCGTTAATGGTATCATCATTAATTTAACAGCTTAAAATTTAGGTTATCAGCTACAAAATGCTTCATTTTATCGGTGACCTTAGGATAAATTTGACCTTCCTGAAAGGACCATCTCTCATCCTGTTGGTTCAGACTGGCGCCAAAGTGTTAATCACGTCTCATTACACAAAATATGACCATGTTTTTGACCGATAAGCACCTTTCTTAACCAGGATTTTTAGCTCGTCATGATTACGTTTAGCCCTTCAATCCTGGTTAAGTTTTCTAGGGCCTCTTAACTCATTACGATATTGACCTGCTTATGAGGGTGTTATGAGGTTCAAGCAACAGCTCAAGATAGAATTCATTAACATCTCGAGAGATTAAGAATTTGCACAATAATGGATGATTATGGTTGCCCCACATGATAAGAAACTGCAGAAGATAAATCAATGCAATAGTGGATGGGGGTGTTAGCTTTTACTCAGAGTGTGCCTCCACTCACCCCCCCCCCCTCAAATCACCCCACCCCCTTCCCATTTCCTGTAAGCTAGATCCGCCCCGCAATGAAAGCTTTTTCAGTTACTTCCTCCCCCTCTTTTTGCAACCGGTACCTGCGACCAAGGATGGAGGGGGGGGGTGGGAGGGGGGGGGGGGCTGGACGCTGGGAGTTAATGTGCCGGTAAAGGTATTGCGCCGGGAGAGGTCGGCAAGATACACTCCTTGATGATCAGTGCAAGTACACCGATATGATTCATACTTCCCCCTACAAACTCCACAGAGATGACCTGTAAACATCAAAAACCTAGCTTGACGATTACCACTCTGTAAAGCTTTTAAGCTTTCTGACGACAAACAACCTGTTAGAAACCAACTCCCTACCGGATCTTAACCACCATGTTAAGCCTTCCTCGGGGACAAGGTTAACACGGCGTTTAAAAAACCTTTCAGCATGAATGCCTTGAAGTTGAAGAAAAGAAACATGTTAACCAAATTACAAAATATTTGTAAACAAAATAAAATGTAACTTGGCTGCGAGCGCCTGTATGATTTATAAATTCATTATTAGACGTTTGATTTTCAAACTATTCGTCGTCAAGGCGAAAAGTGCAAGATAGAAAACTTATTATGATAAAAGACTCTGAACTCTTCTAGCCAAACGAATGGTTGTTTTCTTGCAGCGACCTATAAAGCTTAGCTTTCCGGAGCGGCGCTAAAAGTTAAAATGGTCCTAGTACTTTCTGGCACAAATTTTCCAAGATTCTGGGAGTCTAAATCTGCCCCTTCCTGGCGTGTTTCAAGCACAGGTCTTTTTATCCCGCTTGTCACACTTGACCCTGCTAGCCAGACCCTGGAACGGCGAGGATAAACCGTGGGTGGCTACGGTCTATACTCAGGAAATACCTCGTTAACTCACCGGAAACTTGTCGGAAACTCCTCAATTTTCATTACGAACAGCATGGCAGACCGGCACCAAGCATAGCATGCATGCATCGTGCACTGAAGCCCGAAGATAAGACAGCCTCGTACCGAGATATGTGGATGCACGCTCGTCCACAGGTGGTACGCGCGCACTAAAAATTAATGCTCCCTTGACCAATAGGGTTGCCAGAATGCGCGAGCCTCCACTTCAAAAACGCGCGCGTGCGTGCTTCCACCTGTTGCGGCTCAAGAAACAAAATAAACCCTTGAGGAATTGAGGAAACGTTTTAGTGCAAAATGGATCTGGGACAAATGAATACAAAATTTTAGAATTTGAAAGTCAGCAGATTAGCTTTTTTTGGCCAAATTCGTTGCATACGAGGCGAAAATGGTGACTAATTTTTCAACAAATCGTGCCAAATATTTGAGGATATTATCCGCCCGTTTCATTGTTCTTTATTAGCTGGTTTCCCTACAGACATTCCGGTAATTTTGTGTAATAATTTTACGTTGGTCAGTTTGATGGTTTAAATCATCGAAACAGAAACCTCCTATTTTGCCCGGGGCATTGTCTCGGCTTTTGGATCGTGGCGGGAGATGATAACTGACCCGTGCCGGCGTGGTGCCGGTATGGCCGGCCTAGTGCCGGTATGGCATTGTATGGTGTTGTCTGACAAGCGTATGCGTTTCTAGTTCGATGACCGTAGTTCCTTTGAGGGCAAATTTAGTAATAAACCTTTATAGCCCAAAAAAATAGTGCTCAGCTCAGTCTTCTGGTAACCAGTCACAACACTGCATGACATTTTCGCTGGTATCTGGTGGTTGCAGAATTATGTGCTAAGCAAAATGTGTGTGCTCGTAAAACTTTCGTGGACTAAACAAAACTGTCTTTTCTACTAAATCAAGTTAACATAAGCACTCTTAAAAGAATTATTATTAAGACCTTCATTTGTTTTCAATTTTAATAAATATATTGTATTCGTTTCATAAGGAAAGGTTGCTGCTGGGACAAATTGTAACATTACAGACGAATGGAATCTATTTTTCATCGCTAAACTTGAAGTAGGCCTAAGCATACCTTGCTCTAAGGCCTAAGCATGTTCAAACCTTTTAAGTCGAAAACGCAGGAGAAAAGATTTTTTTTAATCTTGCCAATTGATGACATTGATGATATTCTGTGAGTTTTTTTTTAAATGTCCTGGGTCTGCGGGTGTCATTTTCTTAATGTATTCACTTTCCGGCTTTCACAATTCACTCAGGCATAGACTGAACTTGATTAATTCTGTGTGCAGGTACATTCAACATACTACGCCCATAATGCTTCCGAAGCAGAAACGAAAATTGACAAGGGTATCCGGAATGAAAACATGGCAGTCCAGGTGGGATAATTCAATTTGCTGTGGTTAGGTACTCTCATGAAGTGTGAGAGGAGAGTGTAGGTCTGAACTTGTTGGGATAAGACGGGACGAAATTTGTCTTGATCATGAGACTTAGAAACTCCAGACGACGTTTTATTAGAAGCTTATTATTCTGTGCTTTATCCGTGAGCTAGTGGCGTAACTATGCAGCGGGGTCCAACTTAGTACTTGCAAGGGGGCACCTACAGGGAATAATGTTCTTGTGGGGAACTTAATGGGGTTTCAACAATAAAAAAGCTCGTATTTGCCTTCAACATCTGAGCAGGGGGCACGTGACAGGCTTCGAACGGGGGGGGGGCGTACCCCAATGCCCCCACCATATATATCCGCCAATATTGGAAAGATCACGGAGCTATGGAAATATAAACACGCTGACTAGGGTCGGATTCGAACCTGTGACTTCTCGCTTACTCGCGCAGATTTCTTGCTTCAGAACGGCTGGCCTGGGTTGTAATTCGGTGCAACACTATACCACACAACCACTAGAGATCGCATCTTGTCGTTTGAGATGTCCAACTTAGGCTACAAGTTATTTCACAGGGGCAGTCTCAAGTTGGGGAGTTGTAGCTGGACAGGAAACGGTACATTTAAACCGGCTCCTATGGCAACACAGAGTAAAGTACAGCGCAGCAGGAAAGATGGAGTCATTTCCATCAAAGTGATGAGAGATGCTTCGCGCCAGGTGTGGGTTAGACGTAAATTCAGCCCGTCATAGTTTTCCTTGGTCATCGTCAACATGCCCGCACACAGGTTTGAGGCCGATGTCAATCCATTTTATTTCCCAAATCAAAACGTTTCTTGAATTTAAATAAATTACTGTTGTAAGTTAAGAAAATAAACGTCACATTTTGAAACTAAGTGATGTTATAGCTGACAGATTATCACCACTGTAACAGCATCAAGCCAGCCTTGAGTCGAGTCTACGTATCTGGAAGCCACTGCTTAGATGCGGTGGTGTAAGATTTCATTCCTTAACTCGAGGCAAGCCAACCAGACCATGCCATGGGAGGGGTGGATGCTATAGGGGGTGGGGAACTATTTCCTTCCTTTCTTACATCCTGCTAGACAAAGCCGACAACACTATGGCCTTAGAGCGTTTAACACAGGTAAATAAGACCTCTTTATCTAAACACAAAGGTTGCCTGACCAAAAACACCTTTAGGTAATCACTAATCATCGTAATCCTTGACTGATTGATTGATTTTTACCACACAATCTTGAGCCATAGGTCCAAATTTAAGATACAGTAACCTCTAGCTCTGCAAAAGCATCCTGTAACAGAATAGTCCTTAGCATTAAGTGCATAGTTCCATAACAATGATTATAGCTGACAATTATTTGCGTTAAGTGGTGGTCAGCTAAGTTTGGTTTTACAGCAGCTTAGTTGTTTTCCTTTATTCAGAAGCCTCAAATTGCGACATGTGTCCCTACGCAGTATACTTTACCACAATTGCATCTAATAACCTTTGCAAATAAGGGCTGTTGGCACTAGTGCGGGACGAGTTGGCTATCGTACGAAACAGTTCATTACAATCCGGAGCGGATGATGCGCGGCTGTGTGTGCTCTTCAAGGAGTTCAGAGGAATCTAGGAAACATCTCTAGCCTCATCGTTCACAAGTATCGGTAGATCACGTAGCACAATTTGACTCGGTCACCACAAAAATGTCGAGTTGTCAATCTTATTCGGAGCTCAGTTTATCAAGCAGGTGAATTCACAAGTATCTCCTGCTCTACAGTTACTAAATTGTTTCCAAGTCTCAGATCCAGTGTGTTCATCTTATCCCGATCAGCAGACGCGGAGATCCAGGGACTAGCTTCCCGTCTCCAACTCCCGAGATCCCTAGACCGTGTTTCCTTGAAACAGAAGACAAACGCACGGCAGGATTGAAGGGTTAATCCCAATCCCCTGAGAATTCACAGTTCCGGAAAAACTCTTTCCCCTTCGAGTCAAATGTTTTTATTCTGACTAATGCTTCGAGAGACAAATCTAAACTTTCCGGGTATGACCGTGAATTGGCATCAGTTTATTAAAACATGTTCTTATACTATCTGATACATGTAGTTAGAAATTACTAATACTAGATTCTCAGAATGGAAGTAATCAAATTGGGTAAAATAGCTTGCGTAAGGACACAAATAAGCCAACCACAATGCCTGTTGACGCGTTTGTACTATTGCAAAGATCTTGTCAGACGACATATTTCTACATTTTTCCCATAACAAAGTCGAACTTATGAATATTTACAATCATTTTGTTCTCCAATGTAATATTCACCTTTACTTTTCTTCCTATTAAAATGTAATTGTGCTGTGTCATTTACTGATTACCGCTTTCCTACTCTGTGTCGAAGAAAATCATGCTTGAGTCATAATATTCCACGTGAATGCCAACGGACTTCAAGGCATAGCAAAGCAATGTCGAGAAAGTAATGTGGCTTTCATTAATGTTTCCAGGTCTCAGTAAGAAGGGAAATTCCGGAGAAGTACGTGGTTCCACCTCAGGGCTGCATGCCAGAATAAAAGGTCGCCTAAAAAAAATTCCACAAAGAAAAGGTCTGCTTGGATTCACAGAGGTGTTACTATTTAACGGAATTCAAAGCTCAGTTCAGCTTCACTCGGTTAAGCTCGGCTTTGTTCGGCTTTGCTCGGAGGGTATTTTCTCAGCTCGGTTTTTTTTTTACTCGGTTCGGCTTGACTCGGTTCGGCTCGGCTATAGGTTCGGCTTTGCTCGGAGGGTATCTTCTCCGCTCTGATGTTTTTTTTAATGGGAGAAATAAAGTTATTTTTTTTTAGTGTTTAATAATACATCATATTGTTCTATTGTCTTTTAAGGGATGCTCGTAGCGACTGTATACGTTCGTTTACCCAGATTGAATGATTTCATTTTGCTACAGACGTCAGAACGAACACAGGAAATGGGACGTTTCCGGCTGGGGGGCGAGAGGATCAATGATAATTCTTTGTTGTCGTGGTTTCAATGGCAATACAAGTACAGTACATCGGATTCCACAATTTAACATTTTCCCCGAAACAGGTGAAGATTATGGTAAGCCTGACGTGACACAGAGACTGTTGCCCGCACATTTCATCCTTGGAAGTCTTACGTGTGATGCCATCTGGCATAGTGTAGGACAAAAAAAATAAGCTTGCTGTCAATAATCATGGAAGGGTTATCTTATAACATCCTATAACATCTTTAATAGAGGAAAGATCATGCTAAATAATCATGAATACAAAGAATGCAAATTGAGAGTCTTAAGGCTTAAATTTCAATATCATAAAATGTACAAGTAATCAGGTTAAAATTATGTTCAACTTTAATACGAGGTCATTTATCAACCGCAGTTTCACCTCAGAGCAAACAAATTAACGAAAATGGACGTTGAGGGAGCTGTTTCCATTACTCTTGATGATCAGCGCCGAAGATGGAGTCAGAATGGGACGACATGTGTAGCAACATCACGTTCTATATTCATGAAACATTTAATAACTGTTCTTACAGTTAACAGTTTTTGTTTAATGGGCATAAATAATGACACATTTTAAAAGTAAAATAAAATTGTACAAGAGCATTGTTTTAGAGAAGATGTTGGGTGATGCTATTTCTCGTTCGTTCTTCTTCCAAAGCAACTGTTGTCGACGTTGCTACTGCTGTTGCTGCTGTTGTTGCTGTTGTTGCCGTTGAAGCTGTGGTGGTTCGAGTTGTTGTTTTGCTGATACTGTCCTTGGGGGAGTTGCTGTCGCTGGTTCCGTTGATACGGTTGCCCCTGGTGACCGAGTTGATTCTGTTGGTTGAGTTGTGGTTGATTAGTGGACTCTTGTTGACGAGACTGGTATCCACTCTTGGGGTTGTTGTTGTTCTGGCCATTTTGTTGACTAAGTGTGAGATAACACAACATGGAGCAAACTTAACACATTGTGACGTCAACATCTAATGAACAAATGGACAATGAGTTGCATTTTCCGCGGCGCAATACTTACAAGTTGTTGCGTTGAGCAAATAAAATGCACGGGTCCTCCAGCATAACCATCGGTCGAGGCTGCCCTTGTGCCGCTTGCTGCACCATTGGAACTTGCCCCTGCAGATGCCTATTCACGAACGGTTGCTGCGGCTGCATCATCGGCATCTGGTCCTGTTGACGGCCATTCGCGAAAGGCTGTTGTAGCTGCATCATTTGTATCTGCTCCTGCTGGTGACTGTTCGTGAATATCTGCTGTGGATGCATCATCCTCAACATCTGCTCCTGCGGGTGCCGACCGTTCGGGAACGGCTGCTGTACGTGATTGGGCACACCTTGCATTTGATGATGTTGCTGAGGAAGTTGGGAGCTGGGATATGACCTATTTGCGGGCCAAATTGGAAGCGGCAAATTGACGAAAGGTATTTGGGCGGGAATCTGTGGTGGGACGCCAGGATGTCGATGAATGAAAGCCATACCGGGATGTTGGTTCCAGGGAGCAGGACCTAGTATGCCAGGTGGCCCCACGGCTCCCCTCCCTCTACCCGCTTCAGTGCCTGGCATCGCCTTAGGCTCTGGGCCGAGTAGTGCCCCATTAACCTGCTGGTTATGCTGCTGTTGCTGTTGTTGTCCTGTACGTTGAGGCGCCACCACGTGTCGTCCAGTGGGTTCTTGGGCCGGTAGATCGTTGGGCCTCTCGGTCTTATCTCTGTGTCCCGTGGCCGTTGGATCTGTGTTTGGACGGTTGACGCCCTCTGTTGTTTGTTGGATCGTTGGTGGCGACGGATGTCGATGGTGGACCACGCCCTTCTCTATGACGGGGATTGGAAGTTGCTCGCGTTGGAATGTCTTCGCATGCGTTGACGATTGTTGCGAAGCAGTCTCAAGCCGTTGCTTTTTGTCAGCATTCTCTTGTGTTGGTTTTAAGTGCTCGTTCGCCTCACCTTTACGTTTGTTCTTGGAACTAACATTGCTTTTGTTTGGCGCCACGTTTTGGTTCCTTTTGCCGCTCTCTTTCACACCATTTTTGATTGTTATTGTTTCAGTCCCGCGTCCACGCGCAGGCTGTGTAGTCTTTGGCAATGGTTTGCCTTTCGGCACAAAAGGTTGAGCTGTGATGTACTGCTCCATGTCAGACACGAGTGTAGCGTCTGCTTCAGAGACACTCGCCCCTGCTGACGCGCCGCCAGCTCGGTCATTCTTCCTCGTTTGCTTCGCTGTATTGTTTCCATGATTTGTGTTTCTCTTGCCACCAACTCGCCAAGCCGCTGGGATGTCAGGTGAATCATTGGTCAAGGTCGACCCCTGTGTGCGCTTTTGTCCCATCACAGGTTTCTTGCTTTGCTTCTCTTGTGATTCCGACTCGTCTTTTCGATTACTTTGGGCCAGAGCTTCCTTTCCCGGTTTTCTATCTTGTGTTTTCTTCACATCAGACTTTGGTGATACCTTTTCCGCGCCCTTCGCTGCTCGTTCTTCGTTTATCTTGCTAACACTAGCAGGAACGCGCACAGGTGATGGTACCAAAGTCGTCAACTTGACTGGTGACGACAGTAATCCTCCTTTCTGATTGATGAGGACAAAAGGCAAAAAGTTAAATCCGGAGATCACTTACATGTAGAAAAAGTTACCGAGACCTTATTAATAAAGTCAACAACAACAAAACAAACTCTTTTAACCAATTCACTTAGTTTGCGATGCTATTTTCAGGGGCTAGTCTTTGTCAGCTTACTTGATCATAACCTACCCATTCGAGGACACAACAGGAGTTAAAAATGCAAAATGGACATGAGCATCCCTTGTTCCCAAAGTTATTTGTCAGACTAAATGGTGAGATCTGTTTCCTGGACGTGTGTTTAGAGATCCTCGACGGTGGCTTTTATTGATGGACCAAGTACGCGGATCCTTATGATGGTGAAAGGACTTATCACCTTGATTTCTTCCTCGATGCTTGTCCATGAGACGTTGAGTCTTGGTGACCATGCTTGACTGCCTCGCCCGTGTCGTCCTCTGCTAGTCAGTATTCTTCTCCTCCTCACCGACTCGTGGGCTCTTCTCCAGGACATTTTCGGATGTCTTAAGCTGACTCAGAAGAAATCCAATGGCGAACTTTTTTTAAGATTCCATTTATCATTTAACAAAGAACGGAGAACCGAACACTTTCGAAAAGAAAGCGTAGCCAACGACTTTAAATTATGATGGTTTATTTATACAAAAAAGGAGAAAAAAAACCCAAATAAACCGGAAGCTATTAACTTATATGATGCATTAAAAAATTCTGTTTTTAGGATTTTTGTTGCCAGGTTTGTACCTGTGATACTGCCTGAAGCAGATGGCATCCCTCCACGTTCCTCCTTGAGCTTCCTGATCCTCCACTCCTCCCTCGATCCAAAATTCACCCTTTCTAGGAGGTCCTTCATCGGGTACCTTCTCGCAGTCCATAGGGGGACTGAGTGTCTCCCAGTCGCTGCCCTCCGGCCTCAACTCCTCTAAGTCCTCAGTTGCTATCAGGGTCCCGCTCGAAGTCATGGTTGAGGAGGCAGTGAGGGTGGAGGAGTCACATGAGCTTCCTGGGCTGCCATCGCTGGTCATCTCTCCATCCTCCTCAAGACTGAAGAGAAGCTCCTCAGGGATGCCTTCTGTCATCTTGCATCGGATTAGATCCGGTGATGGAGGCTTGGGATGGTCGTAGCTGTTTATACACAACATCCCTTAGAAGATTGTTTTCTATTATCGACTCCGTAATTGAACAGAAGAGGGCGTGGTATAAGCCATATACGATAGCGTGTGAAGGACTCTTCGCTGGTTTACGTGCATCGTTAAGCGTTTATTCTACATTATTTCAATGTCTGTGTGTGTGGTTTTTTTTTTTAGTGTGCACGGAGTCCATGTTGATTTTGAAATTCGAGACTATAAAGGAAATTTTGGGCATGTTGACCTTAAAGAATGACAGATCGTGATGATTCACCTGTACCTTTCCTAAGCTCCTTCGTGTGGTTACCATTTTGTGATAGTATTGAAAAAGTAAAGACAGTGAAGCATGATCCTTTTGTCAAAAGTACATAGACCTTTTGAATTTTCAAGTTGACAGGTCAGGAAATAAAGAAACTAATGTCATGTGGAATCTCAAGGTTTCAATATTTAAGTCGTTGCATGCGACGCGTTTGTCATCAATCTCTGTCATGACTTGCTACAAAAAGGTACTTCTCGTCTAGTAAACTAGTGACATATCACTAGTTTTGTTCTCACATTGTGTTGGTTATGTTGATTGCATGCCAACGAGTTATTAGCAGGCATTAATGATTATTTGGTTTCAATCCTTGAAAACCAGAGGCCCCCAATGTAAACCTGGGGCCATACGAGCGACACTTAATTCGTTGCATTTACTGCCGGTAGATTTATCAACCCTTCGGTTGACGTATCCGTGTGTCCCTGGACTTGAACTACACATACCAGTGTGTTTGTATAGCGCCCTCAACGAGAAATAACGCCCTATCACATTTCACCCGAGTATTAAAGATGTTGCGCAAAGTACAGAAGGCATTACATCCATATAAGAATTAATCATATGCCTAGTAAAAGTTGTAGAACACTGATGTAAAAGAAATGACTGTGTCTTAAAAAAAAAACCAACTATATCATGAGGAGAACTACTAGTTCGAACAGAGAACTTGTCCCGCGGCGAGGATTGTTTCCAACTGGCAACTGGTTCCAAAATACCCGACAGTGCAAATATTTATAATAACTTACAAGTAAAATACAAAATGTCTACTTACCGTTCCGTCAAACTGTAGCTTGCCCGGTCTAGTACTTCCGTCATCCCAGCCATGATGTCATCAGTTGTCATAGTGACAAACCTCTTGTCTGTCTGTCGTCGTAGTCGATGTAGGAAGTCACACTGGATATCTAAGTGATCCATGACAGCCTTCCATACTCTGGTATCGCAGACTGATGCAGTCAGGGGCGATCGGCGGTGAAACTCACCCCCTCCTGCCGCTGATGACCACAGACGATGATACTTGGAGCGCTCACGGTAGGAGAAAGAACAATCTCCAGGAAGATTGCTCGTCTTCGGCATGATGTCTGGAAATTAAATATACAAAAGCTTATTTACTGTTAATTCATATAGAGCCGTTGGAACTGTTTGAAAAGCCGGAAAGACGTTTGCATTATCATCAACACAGCTTTCAAGAACATAAAAGTTCTACACAAGATCATCCGTAGAATTTATTCCCAAAACGCGCGCGCATAATAACTTAAAGTACGCGCCGTTTCCACGCTATTTTAACTTTTCAGACTGAAAAGCTGCAAGCCAAATTCAGCTCTTGATTTTGTATAATCTTCAATTTGTTAGTATTATATTTGATACTTTTAATTACAGAATGCATACAAAGCTGAAAATAGTCGCTTCTTATGAATTATACGACGCGATCATTATTAATGCAGAACATTCACGATGCGCGTGAAGTACGCCCTCTGTTGATTTGTTCTGTTTTGTTTTCATTTAGGGTTTTGAAATCGAGGCTGCAATACGACATACGTACAGTACAGTACATGTACTATGTACGTACGTGCTGCGGGTAGCAATTTATGTACATGTACGTTACGCGGTAAGTGGACGTCGCCCATTTTGTATATTTGTTCATTTGGGACTGACAATCTGACAAAATTGCATCGATAATCATCTGCCCGTAAGAACGTCATCGAATGAATATTTCTTCTCACCTGTACAGAGGGAATATTAAAGAAGATATCTGCCAGTTTTGAGATAACATCGTCAAGAAATAATCCGGTAAACGCCGGCCGAATTAAGTGATCCATCTCGGAATCGGATAGGAGAAGTACCGATTTCAAGAGAAAATGGCCTGCGCAACACTGAAACGGACACTAGATTTCGATCCTCTACACAGCCCGGGTGCCTCTCCCAAAAGACGAAGATGTACTCCTCTGTTGTCCCCGTCATCCCCAACATCATCCATGTCATCGTCATGTCGTCAACCGTCGGCGTTTTCGCCAGTTACACCCAGAATGTCGCCGGGTAAGTTTCCTTGTTCGTCGTGCATCACCGCACCGGCTTTGTGACGGTCAGCTGATCTGCTAAGTGCTATTGCGGACGGTGTGATCGATCGATGGGGTTTTAAAAACAAGAATTTTACAAACTGGGCTCCTTTGTCATTTTTCTGAAAAATTGCCTTCCTACATCAGGCATGCTTATGCGGACATCCATGACATGATGCATGCTAATTAATGTTAATGTTAACCCCTAATTTAATTAATCATTTTTTTTAGGCCGGCCCTAGGCCCTAGCACTAGCAGTAGCATGCCTAGCATATCTCATTTTTTTTTAATTTATAAAAATCAGTTTTTGTTCGCTCATTGGGCGCGCATGTAGGCCTACTATACTATTACTAAATGTTGATGAGGGCTCCTGTAAAAAGTATCCCAAAATACTCCACCATTGATAAAATCCATCATATTATTATGGTTTTCCATCATTTTTGTAGTGATTTAAAAATGGAAAATAAGTCATGTTCGACTAGTATAGCCAATGTTTGAACACATGAATTTGGGACAAGAAGCATAGTTTGGCTTCCCATATAATGCTGCTTTATTTCTGCTGCATTATAACCCGCTCTACTATTAATTATTGAACATCTTTAAAGCCTTGCATTCTTTAAAGTTTAATCAGAAATTACAATAATAAAGGGAACAATCTTCCAGAATGTTTGGTCTATCACGTCAGCAAAATTTGCTCCGTTTCGATTCGGGATGGGTTGTTTATTTTCAATTCTCCTTTTATTTTGCATCTAGACAAAAAGGACAATCTCATCCCAAATGTAACTTTTCATGCTTAATGATGTACCTCATTCCTTTGCCTTTAATTAACCCAGGTCAATTAGCAGCTAACATTTGTCTAGAATGGAAGAGGCTAAAGAGAAGACGACATCTTGAAGACTCGTTCACCGACGCTGGAGCGGGTACCAGCGGAGAACTAGCCGAATCTGAGCCTCAGCCTCAGGTCACTGACATGATGCATCAGTCATCATTCCCTAGTCATATGGCGCATTATCACGGCGTCATTCCAGGGTCACCTAGCACATCCACAGGGGTCGGTCCAGGGCCTCATGGGAGTAAAGAACAACCCATGTTTACTCTCAAGCAGGTCATCATCATCTGTGAGAGAATGCTGAAGGAACAGGAGGCTCGGATACGTGAGGACTACGATAAAGTCCTGTCATGTAAACTAGCAGGTAAGCTGACAAATACAGATTCTTGAGCCCAACAATTTGCATCGTTTTGGCTGGAAAACTTCAAGTCATTATTATGAAATATTCCATGATAATTATATTGATAATTTTAGCCCTGCAAAACTTTTAACTTCAGCATATTTTGTGATAAATGCGTAACGAGCAAGCACACCTGAAAACTTGCTTCGTTGGGTTAAGCTCTCTGACAAGGAAGGCATTTAATATCCCAAGAGAAGGAAAATCCTGACCTGATCACAGAAATATTCCACTGAAACGATGATTAAACCATTACAAGTTGTCAGTCTGGGGGTGCAATGACTTCCCTCTGTGCACCTGTGGGTTATGTTATTTATAACCTCCTTTTTTATATCCCTATGGGGATGGGTAACCATCCGGTTTGGAATACCTGCTTCAGGGGATACCCAACTTGGCCAACTGGTCACTTCCTTGATTTGCTTGTATCTCCGACAACTTTCACTCTAACTTACAAGAGGGAAATTAATATTAATCCTTTCTGCAATTTAATTTTAAAAACTTCAGAAACCACTCAGTTGTTTGAGTGATACTAAACTTTGTCTTTGCAGCATTGAGGGTAGTCTGAGTATCACCCGTTATCCACGGAGCCAAGTCTCCTGTATAACTTCTGATATATCTAAGCATGGGTGTGATGTTTACGCACTCGGGGAGCTCAATTATGCACGTATAGAAGGTGCCTGCTGATTGGTCAGTTTCTTGAGGTCTTAGCAGTCTAGTTGCATAATTAACCACCGAATCTGTTTACGTATCATAGACCATGGTTGGCTCCTCCAGGGCCAGGGTCTATTACATAGACTACATTGAGGGATGCTTGAAAGGACATTTATAACATTTGGTTGAATCGGTCGACACTAATCGTTGTTGGGGAAAAAAATCTACTTTATTTTGTATTTCTGACATGTTATACATGTACTCAGTACATGTAAGTCAACGGTATGGTCATGGCTGTCTGTCAGTTACAAGGATTCAATCTAAATTTCCTGTTGTACCTGTGTACTCACCTTGTGAAATTTCCTGACCAGTCTCTGTCGGGCAAAGGGGGGGGGGGGGAGTATAGACAAGCCATATTGATTTATTGATTGACTGACCGATTGACTTATTTGTTGATTGAAGAGTTATTTCCCGTCTTTTATCTTAACGAACCCATGCTTCCTTTCCCTCTGAACGAAATGCACTGAGTTTATCGATTATTGCAAGGGATTCGAAATATTTAAGTTTGTTTGATAACTCATTCATAAATGTAAATGTGCAGTTGTGGATGTATTAAAATATCAACCACATGACACAACAAGAGTGTGACATATGTAATTGACAACAATTTGTGTACCACTGTGATCCATTGAGTGAAATTTCCTTTGATCTGTTTAAGACTAGAGCAAGGTCAGGCGATTGGAATGATTCACTTATGTTGAATCACAGAACTGTCATTTTGACACTATACATGTACATTTAAAATGATTCTTGTAGTATCTTGATCCAAAACCATTTTTGGATTATTTGTATTGTTAAAGCCAGTATAGCCAGATGTCTGTACTAGGTACAGTAGGCTAGCTGGTACAATTTGTACAAGAAGCTAGCCGGTACAATTGTGGCCGTGAGAAGAAATCTGGTTTTTGCAGCAGTCATGGCACGACTGACTAAACAGATTAAGTTTATGGGAGGAAATCCTGGCAGGATGAGGCTGAGTGTTCATGTACATGCAGGTTTAATCAACCGAAAAGGGATGTACATGTATATACACGTCATGTTGAATCTATTCCATTGCCAGACAAGTGACATCAAAAGACACTGACAAAAGAATTGGTGTTTGCTAGTTCTATATTACGAGGGGAAAATATGCCGGGCAAGGAAGTAATACGAACAAAAATTGCAACCAACACACTTGCATTTTTATCCGCCATAAGGACTGACAATGGAAATAAGAATTTTAACTTAAGCTGTTTAATCTGAAATGCAAGGACAATTGGGAAACTATAACTATACTGCGGTCCAAGGTGAAAGAAACAGGTGTTTTCTGGAGATTGTGTATGCCACCTTTGCTTGAAAGAAAATATTAATTTAAACATTTGCATGTTGTACTTAATTGCTTCTCTTTTGTGTGTTGTTGCAGAACAATATGATGCCTTTGTCAAATTCAATCAAGACCAGATTCATCGACGTTTCAGAGACTCCACAGCAAGCTGTAAGTACCACACAATCGCATTCTATCATCCAGACACACAAATCCTGCAAAATCTGACAATGTTTTATGAATTCAGTCTTTGACGCTTGTTTGATTTATCAAAAGCATACACTGGATCATGACTTTAGAGCAATCAGTCCATGTGATGCATGAGAAGAGATCACATCCTACCACCTTGCCTATCTTAGCTTGATGGTCTATTTGTTGCCTTTGCACATGCTTTGCAACAAACATGTACGCAATTTCCAAAATGTACACGGTTTCAGATTAAGCCACAAGCACATGCTGCTCCCAAACATGCCAGACTGAATTTTCCAGGCGCCAATATCATATGTAGAGAATGGACTGTTGTCAGACATTTTGGTTGCGTAGTCACGGCTGTGATTGGTCGAAACACGTGGCTGGGATTCAAGGATTGGCCTGGACTACAGTTTCCTGTGTTTCACTCGGCCTCATGTAACATGCCTCCTTTCAAATTTATCTCTTGTATCCAAACACCAATAAGTTCAGAACATTGACTAGCATCTTGGCTTTTTTCCTTTCAATTTACAGATGTGTCGTAAGCTGCACATTCATGACCGAGTTGCATCTTTTCCTCAAGAGCTGGAGGCATCACTCCCAAGTTTAGTTCCTGAGACTTAACCAGCACCAGCACCCAAACAAGAAAACGAGTGCACGAAATAAATAAACAGTTGTAGGAGTACCCATTTCTCAAAGTGCAAAATTACATGTTCGATCTCCAATTCCTATTTTTGTGCTATTATAATCCAAATATTAACATGAGTGATAACAAATCAATAGTTTCAAAGAAAAACAATCCCATTTTACACAAAAAGTTAGTAATTTTTCTTGTATTTATTGATAGAGTTGTTCGGGGTTTAAGATTGTTGGTATTTGTTTTTTTTTTAGCTGACAGCTGTCGCTGTCAGTAATCAAGAATGATCTCATTTTCATGATCTTCATTTTCAGAGTCTCTTAAGGACATATTCTTGGGACTGAACTGGATCATTTAAATCAGTCGTTTCTTTTTTTATGTTGAAGTTAAGTATTAACCAAATTTTTATGTTGGTCAACTTTTTTGTCTGCACGATATTACAGCCATGTTTAATCAGCAAAAATTCCTTTTTTTAGAAGACGTGTATTAGCCTTATATTTATTCAAAGTAAAATTAACATGAAATTGTTTTACAGTAATAAGTAACTCCTTGATTCTCATGCATAATATGCACGAGAATTATGGAATTTATTTAAAAAAAAATATTTTAATTATTTTTCAAGTTATTCCAACACGACTATTGAGTAAAGACAAAGAGATTGTTTTTACTTTTCTGAAGTTCATACTCATTGGTCTTATACCCTGCTTCTCCACATACAAGTCAAACAACAATATATATTGGATTGGATGGGACCCGACCAAGCCATATTTTATGGAGTTCTGAATATTCAGAATTTCTTGTCCGTCTCACGCTGCCCGATTGATCTGGGCAAAAGTGGCATATGACTAACCCCCAAAAACAAGCGTAACAAAAAAATAAACATTTAAATCAGACATGTTACCTTTCAGTTGACTTTATATTTAAAAAGAAAAAAGTGTTAAATTTTGTACATATTGTACAGCAACTGTTCTTTGACACTTGTATTATTGTTTCATTTTAAACTTCATTTATTTTACTCTAATAGTTCCATTCTTAATTTTCTTTTCCCCCTAATTTTTCCTGTCTTCGTGTGTAGATAGTTTGGTGTTGTGAATTTAGAGATGAAGTGTAAACAACTTGTTACCTTCAATTCAAATTTGATTTTAACTTTATTTTTTTGCGTTAAGGTAATTTCATGGAGGGAGTTCAAATACTGAAGAGGCATTCAATTCAACATTATCTATAAAATATAACTTAGTGCTACTCAAGTTTTTGCTGCTTTGAATGTACAATCAGCTTGGGAAAAGATCTGCTTAACTTCAAAGAAAACTGCTCGACTTGCAAAAGCACAAGATGAAAAAAATGACTCCTACTTCAATCATTGGGGGACCCGTTGGAATTACCTTGCATATTTGATTTTGGTGCTAATTGTTCAAACAGTGTAGATGCTTTGTGAGTGTTGAATGGTTGGGTAGTCAAGTGATAGTCCAGTAATGTTCACCATTTATAAATAAAAATCTCTTGTTCCTGAATCATATTTGCAATCACTTGTTACTTTGTACATATATTCATGTATTAACAACTTACAAGTCCGTTCTGAATAAAGAGTTTAAAAATAGTTCTTTAGTTTGTCCACTTTTTCTGAGTTTTTGTTCATGCAAAATTGTGAGTTTATTTGAGATTAAGTTAATGAGTAAGTAATTTGGTTAAATTTTGTTTTAACAAAAAAAAAACAATTTAGAAATGATGCCTCAAAAAAGACAAGATGTAGTTTCAAAAGATGAAGTTTATTTTGGCATATATTGCTTCCTTCCAAAATATACATTGGTCTCAAATTTGTTGTACAAGACATTTATGCAGACTCCATCAATTTAAATTTTCACACCACGACTAAACAACATTGCCATGGACTTGTATGGAGACTGTGATGGTTTTTATGATCCTGAATCATTTCAATATTTGGGGAGGAGCCAGATTAATATGGTAGGTGGATAAATGGCTATGAGGAATCACATCTAACTTTGACTTTCCAATCTGCTGGGATTTTGCATGGATGGCTCTCAAATGTTAAATTCTGATAACTTAAGCCTCGTTCTCAAACATTTTGTTTTGATGATGGATTCTTTGGAGTCGTACATGATTCTACTGTATTTCATTTGGAACAACTTCAAATCTTGCTCTTCATCTTGCAGCATCATCTGTTTTGGCTTTCTTCGTCTCTACTCCTACCTCAGCATCTTTCTTGACATCAGATGGCTTCTGTCGTTTCAGAGCCTTCACCTTTCTTATCTGTAGCTTGTCTAAGTCTTGAGATTCCATGTGGATGCGACCCAGCTTGGTGCCAAAGACGTCGTGCTTGATGTTCTTTTTCTTCTTTGGCTGTGAAGGAGAAATGGGAATGAAATAATGAAGCATGCATTCCAACTAGGGTTGGAAAGAGGGAATTGACAAAAATTTCTTGTCAAGGACTAATGGAAGATGAGCCCCCAGACAGGAATTGAACAAATACACTTGGAATACCAAGATTCACAAAATAGCCATTTGTGAAAATAAACTGTTACACAGGTCAACCTCTGAATTATTTCACTGTGGCTAGCAGTAACACACAGGTCTATGGGAAGTGTCTTCAGCTGCTTCCATAGGCACATGTGTAATTGCAAGCTGAGCCAAATAATGTGGACATGGCTTATCTAGAAGATCTTAAATTGATGCATTACGAGTCTCCCCCAAAAAACAAATAAATACATTTTATACAACTAAATAAAATCAAAAAAACAATCGGGAAAATGCTTAACAGAAATCAGTAAACCAATTTTGGAGCTTAACCCATTAGCAACTTAATCGCATTGTATTACATTGTGTTAATTCATTGAGAAGTCCATACAACCATAGAGTGCTTGGGCGGTCAATGAACGGTATGGACGTTTTGGACGGTATAGTGACTTAGGGGTTACGTGAAGTCACCTTGAGCTGTTTGGGTTTCTTCATAGATTGTTTGTAGAGGTCCAACGATGCTAGATGACATCTTCTCAAAACCAGGTCCATTGATGGACCAATGTCCTGCAACTCCACCCGAGGGGTTTTGCTGCCAGACTTCTTCATTGAGACTCTGAAAGAAACGGGGAAGGAAATGAAGTCTTTTGCTTAATGTGTTACAAGTAACTCTATCAATATTAGACTGTAATATAGATTGCACTAATATTTCAAATCCTTGTAGGAATTCCCACGTACCTGTAGCTTCTGAACAGAACTTTTCCGTTGATTGCTGTTATGCTTATGACATGTTCCAGCCCTGCCAGACGTATGTTTGGCACTACTGGTCCACGGAAGAAATCTACAAAGAAGTTATGTCATATTTGTTCAGCTCCTGTTACTGATGAAGATCCTTGTGATGGACTTGGTTAACTGATTACAATTCTAAATGTCGTTATGTGATTAGCATGAGTGGAGACACTTAGCATTCAAAAGCCACTTTTGAGGTGTTTTTTGGTTGAATTTTAATTCAATATCAATTTAAGCTCAAGAGAGGTCTACTCATGAGAATCCCTGCACATGTAGAACTGAAGTACACACCTCACAAATGAGTACAGTGCAATGGATTTCTTCCTTACCTATCATCAAGTTCTTGAGTCTCTTGTATTCATGTTCCGTTTCAAAGAGATCTCCTGAGAACACAAGACACGGTTTGGTGCCAGACATACATTTTGCATTCTGTCAACAAAATTACACAAGAAGCTATTATTCACACAGTGTGACCTTGTTTTTCTCTTATATTGCACAAGAGAACAACTAATATTCCGCATAAATACTGGGCAATAAAGGCCATTATTTGCAACACAAGGAAAGAAGAAAGAAAATGAATATTTTAAATGCTGTACGTCAATTATGAAATTGAAAGGAAGCAACATCTTAAATAGTTAAAAAAGGGGGGATTGGCAGTAAAAAAATAGTGTCGCCGTTCACTTTTCCAATACCTTGATTTCATACATGGATGTGAATTTGTCAATGCCTAGCTCCACCATGTCTAGTACCTGAAAGTCAAACATTCTTCCTAATATCGGAGAAAGAGAGAAAAAAATAAAATAAAATATGAAACTCGAGATTTGTTCACAACATTGAAGGCAATCAGCAACTCTCCGCTGATTTATCAAATTACTGGCATGACTTATCCCCCTAAACGGTTTTTCTGCAAGGACTATAAAGTATACCTTTGAAAATTGTCAGAAGAAATGTTATTAACCAACTTGTGAATGGTCTCTAAATTTCAGCAGAGGCGCCCTCTCCCAACAACAAAAAAGGCCTTATGAATGACTCCAGGTAATGTAGTAAAGGTACTCACCAAACACTAAATTATGAGGTCTTTTCTTGGAATGACTGCCAAATAGGAAGAGAGAAGAATCGTTCTTTTTGGCAAAGTGTTCCTGGGAAAAAAAACGCAATTTGAAAAGGTAACACAACTCAAACATAACAAGATCATCTGTATGTTCCCAAATACATAAATGATGTTCACCAATTCAAGTAAAACAATTTGTGGTTGCCTAGACAACAGATCCATGGATGATTTTAATGATCCAATAATAGTACATGTCATGTCTTACCAGCTGTGATCTGTCTTCAAACGGCCTCATCATGTTCTTTCTGTGTAGTGAAAGAAGAAACAAACAGATATGCTGTGAAAACTGAGAACTCTATCCCATGCCAACAGCACCCGTTGAGGGCGCCATGCAGACTACTCAAACAGAATAGCCAAATCTTCAATAAGTGTGATAAAAGTGTAAATCCTGCAAACAATGTCAGAGTCAAGCCTTGTGTTCGAAAACAAACATTGTACATGTACAATGTACATGACAAATTCCAACTGATTGTACATGTACACCATTTTTGAATCTGTTGAAGAGCAACCGGCACACTATTACTGACTGTAAACAATGCAAAACTAGATACTTATTGCAAGACAGAGGGGTCTATTTTCAATACATGTGACAGCTCAGAAAGGATCATGCCTGATTGTTCTTGTCTAAGCAATATTTTAGGTGGATAATTCTACCCTGACCAGTAAATGACTGGAAAAACATTTCTTCTTAATGAGTTGGTGTGATGTTTGTGTACGGATGCTTTGCAAAGATTCACTCTATAAACACCTTTGCATCATGATTCCACTTGTCTTCTTGAGGATATAGAGTTCCTTCAATGCTCTTGTGACTGTCTCACTCGTGTTCCCACCGCGTATGAATGTACACTTCTTTGTGTTCTCTGTAATCTTTGCGTCTCTCTTCTCCAGGGCCCGTTTGGCTCGCTGGGTTTTCGGCTTCCTGTGAAGTGAAGGCAATCCCATAAAACATGTTAGGCCTAATTCAAGTTGTATCAGTTAAGGCCAAGACAAACAATTTCCTAACAATTAACCCTTTTTAAAAGACCAAGTAAACAAATAAACCAATTTGTTCTTGTTGTAATTCATACATTTGCAATGTAGGCCTATTTTGCAAATTTTGTCAATATCTTGGTTTTTCATTTGTTTTATTTGTTTCCATCAAAATTGTAGCTATGTATAATGTAGTAAGGATTATGACTCCTTTGGACACAATTTTGTAATCCATTTAAGAATCCATCCGCCATCTTGGAAAATTTGCCATCTTGGGGGAAAAACATAAGTCATGTAAGTGGGCCTCTCTTTTTTCAAAAAGCCCGGACGAGAAACAGTTTTTTTCACTCGGCCTTTAATGTGATGACATTATTTTTTGCTGGAATAACAGTAACTACATTTTTCCCCCTATTTTTTGCCTTCGGCATGTTCGGTGACATCAGAAAGTGGTAGTCCTAAAAAGTAAAAATTAGCAGGGAAAATATTGAAGTATTTACCGAGATAACAATTAAAAATTTTCAGACCAGTCTCATAGTCATAGGCAGACTGGAACCGTGAGTGCATAAAAACGTGCAAAATTACTACTGACGTTTTTTTACTCACCATTAGGCTAATTAATGCCCACACAACACATACATCAAAATGATATAGTTGCAAGCATGTCACCTGCGAAATTTGAGACCTTAAATCCAATTTTAAGGCAAGTTTTTGGCAGTTCAAAAACTATCCACGTCAATCTCCATGCTCTGGAAATGTGTGTGTGATTCCCAATGTATTCTGGGTAGGTGTAGGAAGAGCCTTGCAGCTTACTTGTTTTTTAATCGATGGCCAAATGAACATAGCGCCCTCTGTTAAAAAATGAAACATTTTGCACTCACTCAGATCAACAAGAGGGCGCTGTTTTATCTACACGATGAAAATGTTATAGCATGGGCCAAGTTCGGGCAAGGACCATTAGTCGACTAGTGGTTGATTTGTGACGTACCCTACGCCTGCGCACTAATAGCACAGTGCGAACGTCTCTAGTCGAACGCTGGTCAAAATGTCATTGCAAAACGTCTGGATCCTGGCTCCCTGCTGTACGTTATGAACGCGCGCGGCTATGGTTACCAGCGAAGCAACCATCCCCAGTAGGTTGGTTCCAAATAGTCGACTAGCGTAGTTAACCATCGTCGACTAGACAGAGTTCGGGCAAGCGTTAGTTAACCATTGGTCAACTATAGTCCTTGCGCGAACTTGCCCCTAGCTGAGGAGTCTTTTTGCACAATGCATTTGCAGTACACATCAAATCAATGTGATGTCTCACGTATGGATTTCGATAACTCTCTGCAAAATTAGAATTAAAACTTAAAGCTGAATTTTTGGTGATGCAATGCTCACAACAGCAACTTTGCGAGGCAAAAGTTTCGAGGATTATTGAGGAAACTGTAGTGAGTAAGAAGCTTGCAAATTTGATTCACACTGGTTTTATTAATGATTATGCAGCACAAACCTTTTGCACGATATGGTTTTGGGACTCTCATACACAGTATTGAGAGTCCCAAATTTTCGGACTAAGTCATAGGGTTTGTGCACAGGGTGAAAAGTGATGGCCAGATATCTTATTTATTATTAATATTATCTAAATTTCTAGGCCTAAATATCTTTCCAACTAACATGACTAAAATAAATCCAAGGCGGAATAACTTAATTCTGCCGAGTAATGCACCACCCCACCCCCTAACTGACGAATTCCCCAAAAAACATTAAAACTTGGCCCGCATATTATTTGTGTTAATAATCAATTCATTTATTCTTAAAACTTACACAATTCGTTGCATTTTCCCTTCAAAAACGAGAGTTTAGACAAGTTGCACGGGTTAAGCGTTGCACGTGTATGGTAGGCAATGTGTAATTTCCAATTGACGTCTGAGCTCTTGTGATTCCGTATACATTTACGTATTCAAGTAACTTGGGTCCAGACTAAAATTTGCACATTTCCACACAAGCACAGCTGAGGGCGCACTCACCGATTAACGGACGGGTGGTGGCCGCGGGCGCTCACTGAAAAAAAAGAACAAGCTCTGCGGGGCCCCGTAGTCTTGCTTGAAAATCTTGCATGAAATCTATGGCACATATGGAACACCATACTTTAGATTTATGGGTGCATACCTGCAAATAAACTCCCATAGACACTAGTGCTAAATGCCCGTACTTCAAAATTCTTTTTAAAATACTCAAAACTCTCACAGGTATTCAAGCTGCACAGAAAAATGATGATCAATGTGTCATCTTTCAATTTCTTTTCAATTTATGGTGGGTTGACCATTGACTTTTCGAGATATTTTCACGCAAAGAAGACGACCCCTATTTTCCCCAAAGCGGAAAAGTAGCCATCTTGAAAAACGATCCCTCCACAACATGGCAAAATAGCGCCACTTTCGAGCCCAATAGCATCCAAAATGCTCAGAATTGGAAGCCCCAAGTCCGGGCCAGAGGTTCACTACCATATCTCTTCAATTCCCCAATTTTACGGCGCTCAGAACTCTCTAATATAGAATATTTTGAGGGTATAACTTTTATTCATGAGCTTGGCGGATCGATTTACCGGTGTGTACCCTATAATAGCAGGCAACTTTTAAATTTTAACACAAAATCACATTCAGGACAAGCAGAATATCTCCAAAGTCAATATTTTGAAAAAAAAATGAAAGAAAAATATTATCCGAGGTCGATATTAAGCCCGAAAATAGTGATTGTTTTGCCCCTGCTAAGCTGTAGAGCGCCCCCAGCGACAATAAATTGAGTTCCAGCTACTTTAAAGCTCAAAATGCCCCCCCCCCCCCTTTTCAACTATCAATTGTTGTAATCGGGTGATAGCCTACTGCTCCCTTATGATTTGGAAGCATCCGTTACGGAAAAAAACCCTTGTTGATACCTTTAAAACACTTTTCCCCCCTCCCCGTAGGTTCCGCCCACTGAAAAGACCACTGCCGCGGCACAGCGCATGCGCGAAACGGCCATCTTTGTGATTCTTTATAGGGTGCATACCTGCAAATAAACTCCCATAGACACTAGTGCTAAATGCCCGTACTTCAAAATTCTTTTTAAAATACTCAAAACTCTCACAGGTATTCAAGCTGCACAGAAAAATGATGATCAATGTGTCATCTTTCAATTTCTTTTCAATTGATGGTGGGTTGACCATTGACTTTTCGAGATATTTTCACGCAAAGAAGACGACCCCTATTTTCCCCAAAGCGGAAAAGTAGCCATCTTGAAAAACGATCCCTCCACAACATGGCAAAATAGCGCCACTTTCGAGCCCAATAGCATCCAAAATGCTCAGAATTGGAAGCCCCAAGTCCGGGCCAGAGGTTCACTACCATATCTCTTCAATTCCCCAATTTTACGGCGCTCAGAACTCTCTAATATAGAATATTTTGAGGGTATAACTTTTATTCATGAGCTTGGCGGATCGATTTACCGGTGTGTACCCTATTAGCGATTTGTGATAAATACCACGTACTTTAACATTACTATATATACTGCAAATTTGCCCTCCTTTTTACAATCTTTTCATAAACATCTTTCTGAATTGTTACAAACAATTTTAATAAATTTTAGTTGTTTTTTTTTCTTAAATCAAAATTTGGTAGTTATATTTTATGGGAAACTTAGGCTGCTTATTTTGGTCATTTTTCGGGGACAGACATTTGCAAACTAACGCGCGATGCACATCAATTGAAACAATATCAGTGTTCCGAAAACCGTCAGCAAGAGTGTATTTTATCACGACGGCGTGGCATTTGGTCAATTGGTCAATTATTTTTGATCAATTTTCGGGGACAGACAGACCGTCCGACCACCAAGTGACATGGAGAAGTTCCTACCAGAGCTATAAACTGGCCAAGTATCTCCTCATTGAAAACTGAAGACCACTTGCGCTATCACTGGTAGGCCTTTATATAATATTATCAACAAACCCATTTCCAAATCAAATCTTCAATTTCAAATCAATTGTCCATTATTGTCTCATGATTGGAAATGCTTTCCTCTAAACTGCACGTTTTCGAAATTTCCGATGACTAACTTTAACTTTGATCTCAAATTTCAAAGTCAGGTAATCTTGTATACAAGTGGGAAAAACGTGCTGTGGTCTGAAAACTGTTTACATGATTTCAATTCCTTGGTGATTGCCATACAAGCCTGGAAATAAATTGTCGCTAATTATTCCCAAAGCGATTATCTACCGAGTCGATTTCAATGCCGTGCTCAAAAAGGCCGGACATTGTGTACATTTTTATGAGCTTACATTGTAAGCTTCAGGGGCGGATCCAGGAATTGTTGCGGGGGGGGGGGGGGGGGGGTCATCAGCAAACAATTCTGAAATGTAGACAGGTTTTTTTTCTCCGGACACTTGGCCTCCGAAAATCAATAGGGGGAAAGCTTATGGAAGCCTGAGCTTCCATAATAGCGGCTACAAAAAGAATGGTCATAACCGCAAAGATTTTGTTGTACTTTTTGTAAGTTTATTTCAACACCACGAAAAAAAAACCTGCCTATTTCTGAAGGCAACTTTAATTTTCTTTCAAAAGTGAACTCTATAGAAAAATAAAGCGGCTGGTCGGTGGTTTCAACCCCCCACCCCCTCTAGATCCGCTACATACATTGAATGAATTGCTCACAACTAGAAACAATCGTATTAATGGCAACGAAGAAGTCAAGAAACACTCATGGCCAATGATATCCTCCTTTACTATATTACAGTACTCCTTGTTGACAATAAAGCTCATCAGTGGAAAATGATATAACATAATCAATTCCCTAACGAACCAATTTGCGTTGTTATTCTGGATCATCCAGTTCACGTGGTCAATTAGGGTACCAATTATTACCGCCTAAGCCCAGTGATAGAAAACAATCTGATTAAACTGATTGTCCTCCAGGAATAGAACATTCTGGTGTCTACAATCTCCAGGGAGCATCAGAAGTCGATTAGCTGGCTTCATAACGAACCAATTAATAGCTTTGGAGATTTGGTGACGTAATAGACATCACGATTCATAATTACAGAATGTCCGCACATATACTATTCGATGAAGACTTCTCTTTTCATAGTTTTGTTTGTTTGTTTTTTACAATTATGCTATATATTTTTCCAGAATGATCGTGCCGGAGACCGATGAATTGCCTTTCTGGAAGTTGTCTGTAAGATGAGGCAACGTTTTCGGTGTGATTATCACGTGAGTTGCTGCCAAGGCCTTCGGCACCTCTCGTCAGAGTTTCATCAGCCCTTTAGTTTTTTATTAACCTTAAAAGACCTCATCAAAATCAAAGTGCTGCGAACACCCTTCCATGGTTCAGGTCCCTGTCACAAGGTTTTTTTGGGGGTTACATCAGTTCAAAAAACCATCGGGAAAATAAATAGCTACCATTACATCCCGAGAAGGAACACCTTTTTTTAAAACGTAGTTAGAGGCAGGTGTTTCGGACATCTTAATTGATCAAAGGATTATGTATTGTCACCAGCCAGTTCAGTTGACATTGTCGTCAGCAATCTTGACAAATTGCCATTTTGTGATAAATACATGTGATTAATATTACTGCAGCTATGGAGATTACTTCAAGTAACATAAAATTGTTATAATGTGGAGAGCATAATCAGAGGGCAAGGACATGTTGTATGTTTAGTCTTGGGGTCGATGTATTCATTGCAAATAAATTAAGCGATTCAATATTTTAGAACGTTCACCTTTGTATTGACGACAATCTTACGAAGACGGCGATCCGGAGAGCGGGAGAGGAGGGGTCACGTGACATGCCGTGATATTACATGTGACCGTGAGAGATATTCATCTACCCTTGAACCCCCCCCCCCCCCCACCACCCCCCGGATCTACAACAGACATCTTACAAGGAGCAATGTACTTACGATTTAATGTGCACAAGCTGAAATCGGAAAGCATTAATGCCATAATAATATTATAATTATTAAACGTCGGTGAAGGGCAAAACCTAATTTGATTAATATTATAATTGTGCTCAGCAACGATTTTTATTATTATTAAAGTGCAAATAGGTCCTTTTTAATACAATACACTCGGTTCACAAAACTGTTATGTAATGAGTTATATATTATTTAGAACTACATTTTGTGACGTAATTTTTGTTTCTTACATTTAACCGGCAAACGAATTCCACTTACACTGGTGATTGAATAAATGAATAAACTTGTTAACAATCCATAGGACGAAACAACTAATTCTAAATGTAATATAACTTTAATACATACTTGAAATTACATAATAAAATTCAACCATAATTATAGCATAACAGAATATTATCTGACACTATCTCCCCACACACCACCTTTCCAAAATTCGAAGTTTTGCATGAGTCTGCAGCGCATCTGAAAACTTGTCTTATCAAACACTCAGTATTTCGTATTTTTTATGCGAAAGGCGAAGTAAATCTTACACATACGAACATGAATGTATATTTTTTGTTAGACAAGAAGCACAAAAAAAACATTGATTTTTTAAAAGTACGACATAACTTAACACACTATACACACTGCACAATCATGCAGGCTCGTTTTGCTATGCAAAAAAAAATGAGGAGTGACGATTTGTGGGGTCGTTTTCTTATTTTGTTTTCGCGTAATATTAAAAAGTTTCACTATTTGCAAAGGTAATTTCATTTGGAAAATTTTAACACAAAAGTGAATTTTTTGAAATATTTAATGTTAATAATATTAGTAACAAACATCCATTTAATTCACCACTAAAATGAAACTAAGCGTATTAAACTGACAAACATTTTCATGCAACTTTAATTTAACATAGTGGTAAATTTTGGGGTACATTAATTTGGTCATTTTTCTGCGTTCACCTTTTTTTCACTAAGAATTATATTGTTGGATATTAACTTTCAATTTTGTTGTGAACTGAATGGACACTATAGGGGAGAAAAATGAATGAGATTTCTTCCTGATTCTCCCGATAAATGTTTTCATGGTCTAGGAAACTGATCGCGCTCTCTACGACCACAAAACAGATACCTAACGCCTCGCTGGAATTGCTTATACTTGATGCAGTAAATGATTGGATTAACACAGCAATTAGCAGCCACCATGAATGTACTGAAGACATTCAGCGGGCCAGAGAAGTCCAGTTTGAGCCAACCCAGGTTGAACATGAAGAATGTGATCTGGCTTGGACTCCAACAAATCAGGAAAACGGCAAAGACGATGACCAGCGTCTTGAAGGTGTTACGGCGGGCACGGAGGAGGGAATCTTGCTGGTCGTTGACTGGGTGGCGATGAGTGGAGCTACCTGCTTCAGGATCTTCAGCTTTGACGGCACTGGACGCTCCAGGATCGATGGAGCCGGCCGCATCGATTCCTGAAGTGGCCGTTGATGCGGTGACACCTGATGGAGCTGTCTTGAGGCTGAGAGGGGCTGGGACGGGGGCGACTCTTAGCGCGCCTCTCTTGAGTGAGATTGTGATATGGATGTAACAGAACAACATCACACCGGCTGGGATGAAATACTGCAAGACGATGAGGAGCGGACCCATGACGTGGGAGACAGAGACGCGCTGGAACTTACAGACTCCCTCCACGACGGTGTAGATGATGAAGGAGTAAGACTTGAGAAGGAGCCCGATGACCCAGCTGAAGATGAACATAAGAGTGGCTGGGCGTCGGCTGAAGAAGCAATGGTAGCGAAAGGGGAAAACAATGGCGATGTATCGCTCTAAGGTCAGCCCGAGTAAGTTGAACGTGGAGGTGGCGAAGAGGAGCCACAGCAACGCATCTCCGATCCAAACTCGGCAAAGGAGCTCACCGGCAGCCGTCTCAGGGACTGGGGTCGGTATAGGGATGTTGCTCTGAAGGAAGAGCAACAGGGACCCGATGAAATCGATGATAGCTTGATGGCAGATGAAGGCATTGGTCATCGAGTGCATGAAATCTACCTTGGCTATGACTACAATAACCAGGCCATTGTTGAAGATTCCCAGCAGGCCTATGATGGTTTTTATAATGCGGAGAGACAACAATGCTTCAGCCATGATGAGAATTATATTGGTTTAGGACGCAAATCTTCAACTCAGTCCGATCAGCCTTGTCGATCTTACAAATTTGAGAAAAGTCTCATAACATCGATCGAGTTCGTCTGTTGTCGAGCTCCAAGGTAGCAACTTCTTCTATGATGGGTGTGCACCAATTATAAGTCTTGAAGCAACTTCACAATCATAGCCCTATACATGTGTTTTGTTTTTGTTTTTCAGATCGCGCGTGCGCGTGCCATCTCCAGGCACGTTACTTCAATAAATTTGATTGGTGAGCGATGAAAACCAGAGAGCCAATCCGATTTCAAAACATAATTATCGTGCATTGCGAGGGGAGCTATAATTATATATAAAAAATTAGCTGTATAGGAAAGTTCCACTTGTGTCGATTTTTATCACACTCTTACACAACATATCATATATTTCAGAATATCGAGGATTATAGTTGCCCACTTTAATAATTATAAAATTTGGTGACGTCGTGATGATTACAGTGCGTGCTCGGGTATATTCGCATGCAGCAGCACCTATTATGGGCCTATTAATATCTTTGCCATCACTCGCGTTCTGAAACGTGGGCCTTTTATAGATAATGACGCCTTCCCCCAAATTTTGGGGAAGATCTATAAGGCTCACAGTATTGTTTTGGTAACCAATATTTTGCCCCCCCCCGCTTCCTTTCGATCAAGCTGCTGGTGCCCATGCCTCCTTTCCCGAATCCCAGCTTCTTTTTAAACAAGGAAATTGTTGTTTTTATAAACCGATGCTGCAGTGTACTCATATCTGCCTCTGAACGAGTTGTTTTAGCAGCAGAAAAAAAAGAAACCGGATAGAAGGGCGCCCCTATCGTTAAATGGGTCCACCCCCCCCCAATTTGTTTTCGAATTTTCTACTGCCAATCGCATTTTTCGCCCCCCCCCCCGACTTTCAAAACTGCTCCGCCACCACTGAGTCAACGAAATTAAGTAAAATGAGATGATTTAATCTGAATTCACCTGATTCACTGTGAGGTATGAGGCTACTTCAGTTGAACGTGCAAATCCACCCCGCCCCCGTAAATGCAATCAATACATCAATACATGGACAAAACATGATGAACACTCCATACTACAAAAAATACCGTTTTGAGTTTTCCCGGATCACAAAACCCATTCATTGACTGAGAGGCGTCAAAAGTAAAACATAACAAGCCACGTTATAGTTTTAGTAAGGCCAAAAAAAAAAAAATAAGTCGGTCTCTGGTCAGCGCGCGCGTCGATTTTAATCATGCGCGTCAATCTTTTTTTTCCCCAAAATGTTCCGCGGTAGCTCCAACAGCGCCCTCTATTGCCGCACCTCCTTATTTTTTTTTTTTTTTACCAAAGAGCACCAAGGAATGGAAAATTGCACCAAGGCAAATGATCGAGAGCACCAAGGCAAATTATGGAGGACACCAATGTACATGATGAAAAAGCAAAATATTACCCCACCTTGTCTGTACAATCCAAGCTTTTTTTTTTGGCCTAATCGCAGGGCAAACTGGTTCCAGCAGGGGCGGATCCGCTGCGGCGGGCGCCGTGGGGGGCGCACCCCCCCCCTTTTCCTTCAGAAAAAAAAGCAAGAGAGAGGGAGAGAGACTCACCGTTGAAGAGAAGAAAACAGAGGGAGAGGCAAAATTAATAGGGCAGTTCACGTCAGATCAGACCGCAGCCTGCTAGGATTATAGTTGCACTTTGGGAACTTACGCCCTTTCGTTTACGCCCCCTCCTTTGGAAAATCATGGATCCGCCCCTAGTCCAGCCCCTATCAGCATCGATATAGACCCGCAACCAGTCTTTTCGGTCGGGCGGATCAGTGTGGGCCTTTTTTTAGTTTTAGCAATGGGGGTTAAGGTTGTAGCATCCATAAATTATAATAGAAAAATATCGCTAAAAAATTAAATACGAATTGACAATATTTTGTAAAGAGAACATTCAATTTTGTTGAAGAGCATGGAGGGGTTTATTACGATCTTTAATTTTCCGAAGCAGGTGTTTTATGAGACTTGAATCGCTTAAAAGGTATAATCCAAGAAGTTGTGATTTATCATGGAAATAGGCCCATTATGCACTTTTCTGTCTCGCCAATGCGAGTCCTTATAAAATAATGTATACGTCATCATCAAACCATAGAGACCGTAGCCCGTACGTACGTACGTAATGCAATTTGCCAAACTAATTTTCCACTACTGTACTAGGCTGGATCAATGGATCCAGTCGAGTAAATAATGTTTATTATAATCATACGAAACTCCTTGCGTAAAGTATTTTTGAAAATGGGTGGCAACATCACCCCCCCCCCTGTTTAACTTTAATTTAGCCCGTTGTGAGCGATCGACGCAGCCGATTTTGTCGATGTCCTCACCAGGCCCTACAGTTTTATTGATATAAATAAGAACCCAAAGCTTTCATACACATTATTCTAGACATCTGCATATTTTTGTTTTTTAAATAAAGCAAATGAAATGTTCTTTTCCCTTTAATAATTATATCATTGCAACAAAAGACTCGGAAAGAATGTAGTATCATGGCCATACGCCACTTCTTTTGGTGTACAAAGTCGATCGGAGAGCTAAAGAGTCAGGTACATTTTCAGTATTTTCTAACAAAATTGGAAAAGTTTCTCAGCCCCAAATTCATGTTTCTCAAACTTTTTTTTTCATTGACTGACCCTCGTTGAGATAATATATGATGAAAAAGAAGTGTCGTCAGGATACAACTTTTTTTTACAAAGAGTACAATAGTACAAAGACTCAACAATCGATGTTGACGTCATTTACTAGTGGCGGGAAATTTCTGAAAAGTACAATGACATAGTATGGCCCCGCATACTAGTCAGGAAACCCGTCACACGTTTTGTTTATGACAAAAGCGAACTGGTACTACGACGTGGCGTAATGTAATAGGAAAGCTGTAGATAACCAGTGATATACTGACGCTCAATCTCATGAATATGCATATATTGTGACAAGCATGCGCATGTCGTCCTTTTTCATGTGTCGGTGAAAAATCCATGTACTGAACCGAAGTGTGACAAGTATTTCCTCATTTTTAACGTCAAAGTAAGTAACATCGCCTAAATTTTAAATATTATTTATGATCTATAATTTTAAGTTGTATATTCTACCAAGTATATTGACATCAGATCGCACATGTATTCAGAAATTTGTGACACGAAAATGCTTGATCCGTTTTGGTTAGTGCAGCGCGCGTGGCCGTGGTCGAGTCCCTTGCTATGCTCTGCATTTGAATGAATGACAAGAAAATTTCAGAAATAATCTTGCCACTTTTGATGTTTCTAATCGTAATTTGGAAGTTAAACGGCACATTGTAGGTATATTAGTTATCATGAGTAGGTAAACATGAATACTTTTTCATTATATTTAATTCTGTTTTGCGATTTATTTCGGACATGTCGGAGAGAAATTTACATGTTGGCTTTTAAATTTGTGAACAAAGACGTCAGTTGAGTTGATGCGTGCGCGCGTGGGTGGCCTTGTGGCCGTGGCATCCAGCGCGTGTGTGCGTTGTGGTTGTGCATAGATGACCGCCATTTTTGAGTGTTGGGGGCCAATTGGGGGGGGGGGGGGGGTGGTTGTTTAGGGGCGGCTTGTTGTATTTTAAAAAAGAGATATGTGTTTTTATTCCTCCATGATGCAATCAAGCTAGTTTAAAAAAAAAATCCCCCCAAAGCCAAACCCTCCAACAACAATCAAAAAGTTAAATTAAATAACCAAATAATTTTTTGGTATTGTTTTGCAGCATACACATTAAAGCAAACATGGCCGAAGCTAACGGAGATCCGATCCCTGAGGAGCAGAAGATGGATGAGGAAGTTCAGGGTGAAGCTCAAGCCAGCGACGAACCCATGGAAACAGAAACCTACGTGAAGACGGATAACTATGACAAGTACCTAGGCATGGGCTTCTCAGATAAAGTAGCTGAGAAGCTGGATCAAATTGTCACAGAACTCTCAGGGCGTAAGTAGCAGACTGTGTCAATTTGAGTGTGATGGGGCAGTTTCTTATTCTTTTTATCTAGAAATTACTTGTTATATCCTTTGTTGGTTATTCCTTTTTTTTTCACAGTAGAAAATCCGTTATAAGCCCCCTGTAAGATTTGCTAACTTTATAAAACTGATTAAAAATATTATTTCCTATCTGCTGTAGCTTCCAAATCACTTCATTTTTAACCCTACTTGACACTGATACTTGATAGCCGTTGTCTTTAACCTCTTTAACAGTGTGAGTCTTGACAGGAACCTTTTCTCTCATTCTTTAGAGGGTCTTTTACAAGATGATCTTCTGGATGACCGAGCATTGGAAGCTCTGAAAGGACTGGATGATGAGAGTTCAATCGGCGTTCTCAAGCAGTTCAGTACCAGTGACCTGACGCATGTCAACAACAAGAGCGCGTTCATCTGTGGCGTCATCAAAACATTCAGACAGAAGAGTCGGAGACCGGGAGGAGCGCCAGCCCCCGCTGACCATAAAGGACCAGACGATGCCAAGATAAAGGTAGTTGACCATGCATCTTTGAAGGTTTGCTTTGGTCTTGGTAGATTGGAAGGCAAACATTCATGTGCAACCAGAATGCAGCATTGCGTAGGTCATGGACCAATCTGTTTACTATGATGTTTTTACCAATCACAACCCTAGCTGGGCAACACGACATGTACACACGACATTTACACATTACATGCACAGCTGGAATATGCAAAGTGGCACTGTGGAGATGCATACGTTGTTGACCTTGTGCAAAGTAGGAACATTCTATACTGGACAGTTTCAGTACATGTACATCTAAGTACCTAATCCCCCCCCCCACCCAAAAAAAGCTGAGTTAGATATGGTTCACCAAACAGAAAGTTTGTTTTGGTTATGTGTCTGTTTCTTTCTAAAACACAAATTATAAAAGATCACTTACCAATTTTGTTGAAAAGGATGTTGAAAAAGATGTAACAGTAGTGATGTGAACCTTGTCTCTGTTATGATCGTTGATCGTTGTTTTGTCAACCTACAGGAAATGTTAGAAAGGACAGGTTACTCGCTGGATGTGACGACGGGACAGAGGAAATACGGAGGACCACCACCAAACTGGGAGGAGGATGCCCCTGGGCCTGGATGTGAGGTAGGGGACATGATTCTAAGTGTCTGAAAAAAAAATGCTACTCATGCATCTTTCCCCAACTTTTGCTTGCAGATGAATTGCGATTAAACCTGACCTTACACAGCTGAATCAACAAGATGCCACGAAAACTAGTTTCTATTGCATCATATCGCACCTGTCGGGACTCAGATGTATTCAGCAAGTTCCAAATTTCCAGATGGTGCTTTCGGGTAGTCGTTGGGTTTAATAGCTTTTTCGAGATCCTCTTGTATTCTTTTGGTTTAATACTGTTCCTAATATCGGAGGTGACAAGTTACTAAATTAATCATCTAACCCTGTTGTTGACAGGTGTTTATCGGCAAGATTCCCAAGGATACCTTTGAGGATGTCTTGGTGCCTCTGATTGAGAAGTGTGGTAAGATATTTGACCTGAGGTTGATGATGGATCCCATGTCTGGTCTGAACCGAGGCTATGCATTCACCACTTTTTGTGATAAGGCTGGGGCACAGGAGTGTGTCAAACAGGTGAGTTTGCTTTCTTTATGTCGTCATGCCTTTCTAACTTGTCAACTTTTATCAAAAGATTGTTATGTTCTCTCTAGGTTATGTGTTCTCATTAATTTGGACCAATATACCAGATGAGAAGCATCAAACAGACAAACTCATTGACTGTTAATCAGAAAGACGTTTGCAGGTTTAACCAGCTGTACTGTTGGCAACATTAAGAAACTTTGATGTTTCAGAACTTTCAATTATTTTAAAGTTTTAAGAAACAAGTTTTTATTTGAGATATAACTTGCATTTTCTTTCAGCTAAATGGCCACAAAATCAAAGAAAACTGGCAGATCAACTGCAACATCTCGATTCCCAAGAGCAGACTGTTTGTTGGCTCCGTCCCCAAGAACAAGTCAAAGCAAGAAATCAAAGAAGAATTTGAGAAGGCCACAAGTAAGTACTCTATCCAGAGAGTTAAACTTGTTCGATTATAAGAGTCTGCTTATAAGGTCTTGTGTTTTTCTTTCAAACACAATAAACAAACATCGCTAGAAACTGTTAAATTCGTATTTGTTAGATAGGAACAGATGTCATAACAATTTCTGTGTATTCCCTTTAGCTGGTTTGTTGGACGTCATCATTTACCACGGAGAAGACAAGACAAAGAATCGTGGCTTTGCCTTCCTGGAATATGACAGTCACCGCTCCGCCAACACAGCTCGTCGTCAGCTGATGAGTGGTAAAGTCCGAGTGTGGAACACCATGGTAACGGTGGACTGGGCAGATCCTGTCTCTGAACCAGACGAAGAAACCATGGCCAAGGTTTGCCCAATATCTTAAACCTGTTGCCAAAGTTTTCTTTTCAAAGAAAAAACTTGGATTTATACCACACAAATCACGACAGTGGTGTGACAAGTCACATGACAGAATTTCACCACAATGACTTGCTTCAAGTTATTTCTTCCTAAAGCTTTAAATATAAATTTTATAACAACAAAGGTTTAACATGACCAACAAAAAAAAGCTGTTTTCTGTCCACGTCACCCAAAATAGCTAGCGTTTTGAATAATTTGTTACAATTTTGTAATGTAATGTTTATTTTGTGAGCAGGTAAAGGTGGTGTATGTTCGCAACCTTGCCCCTGAAGCCACAGAGGAGATCATCAAGGAACACTTCAAACAGTACGGTGAAATAGAGAAGGTGAAGAAGATGAAGGATTATTGCTTCATTCATTTCACGGAGAGGGAAGCTGCTGTAAAGGTGAGTTAATAGAAGTCGCTTCATATCGTCCAAATAATGGCTGTTCAAATAAAATTCATTGTGGGTCAATTGTAAACCACCTATTTCCCTGGATGGTACCTGCTAGATCTGAGCTTCATGTATCTTGTCAGAAACTTTTATACACGCTGATCTGAAGGGTGTTGCCATCGTGGATGACAATAGAGGATCTTGTTTTGAAAAGACTAGTGTGTATACATCATTCCAAACTACAGATTCAATTGTAAATGTGTGGTAAAACTTCCAATTCCAGTATTAGTGCCAGTCAATGCAGCTTAGTTCCAACATTATACCACAACCCCTCAGCATGGAGTGTCTGGCTTTGAAACGTCTTTCAGGAGTATAGGATGTGTGCTTCCTTCACAAGATAAACTAATGCTGTCTACTCTCTTTTCCCTTTTTGATACCCAGGCTATTGAAGAGGCGAATGGGTCGTCATTCCAAGGACAGGAGATCGAAGCTTCACTTGCCAAGCCACCAACAGAGAACAAGAAGAAGAAAGAGAGACAGATGAAGCAACATCAGGGATACCCAGGAGGGAGGTTGGTAGAAAAGTGTCTCTCCTCTCTGGAATACTAGACTTGGCCTCCATGGGTTGTTAGTTCCCGAGACTGAGGTGTACTCCTTGAAGACGTTTATCTTGGCTGATAAAAGATGTGTGGTGTCTCTATTGAAAACATCAAAACTGATGGTTTTGAACTAGTCAATGCATGTCAAGCACTTGATGAGCTTGAAAAAAAAAATTGATGCAAGAATTTGTTGAATGTACAGGTTCACCAGTGCAGCAAGATGAAACTATGGCCATGTCACCCTCTCTTATCAATGCAACGTGTCCTAATATTTTGTGTTTTTCGTACAGATATTACGATGACTTCTATGGTCCCATGCGCGGAGGTCGTGGACGTGGTGGCCCACGCGGCAGAGGTGGATTTGACCGTGGTGAGCGAGGCTTCCGAGACTTTGGCTACGGTGGTGGTTATGACGAAGGTTACTATGGTGGCTACCCAGGGGGCTATGACGATCCTTATGACTACCAAGGAGGGTACTACGATCGCGGGTATGATGGCTTCGGGTATGGTGGACGTGGACAAGGTGTTGGTCCTCGTGGGCGTGGTGGTCCACGTGGTGGTCGTGGTGGAATGGGAGGGCCACGCGGGGGACCAGGCAACAGGGGTGGACCTCGGGGTGGCAGGTCACGTGGGGGTCAGCAGCAGCAGCGAGGGGGACGTGGTGGCGCTGGTAATCGAGGTGGCCGTGGTGGAAACCGAGGTGGTAACGTGAGCGGGAAGAGGAAGTTTGAAGGGCAGCAACCTGCTGACACCAAGCGACGCAACACCCAGGGTGGCTGGGGGGCTCAGCCCATTGCTCAGCAACCTCTTGGTGAATACTCACAGTCCTACGACTACAGCCAGAGCTACGGTGACCAATCCTGGTCACAGGATAACTACGCCGGCTTCTAGACATCATGACCCCTGACCTGACCCAACCCCTTTGGTGGAAATGATAGCCATTCAATGTCCTACTGGAGCTTGCCCAAGCCAAGGTGAATACAAAACCATCTTGTATCACTTCATTGGCTTCCCATTGTATCATAATGTCCAATGGCCCATTCCCACCAAAAAAGGGAAAAAGAACCAAAACTCTTGTATATAGACGCGTTCCCAAATGTCAGATTGAAATACGTCAGCACTTGAATCACCGCACTGTGAAAGAGACTCCAAAATTGAAACTCAGATCAGATAACTGTATCAAGAAATCAACTTTAATATGTCCAAAATGACTCATTCTTAATTGAAAAAACAAAACAACCGCTTGACATGTCATTTTGTGAAACTTGCAGAAAACTTGACTATACCCAGCCAATTGTCCTTGTAAAAAAATGAATTCCGTGATTAATAGAGTGAGCTTTAAAAATATAAAAACAGGTGATAGTTTCAGAAAACAACAACTAAATGTTTACAGCCATGTTTATCAACCAAGTCCTGCACATTTAATCTAGTTTTTCACTTGTGGACATTGAACACTTATTGTGAGACAATTTTAATCATTCTCGTAGAAGAAAATGTTTTTTAGCTTTAGATCAAAATACTTGTGCTCTTTTTATATTTTAAAATTCCTGTCTTGTGGCGCGGCTAAAATTACTAAGTGAGTTTTTTTCAGTAATCGTTGTAACTCGTTCATTCTTGTAGATGTACCTGAACCATGTATGTTGAATTTTTGTTTTGGCTTAAAAAAAGAAAAGAATTTCAAGTGGGAACAAAAAGCAGAATAAAGGCTTGTCAAAAAGTAGTTTCAGAATTCAATTAGGAAGAAAAAAAAACATGCAAAATTGTCTCATTCCTTTTTTGTTATATAATTTTAAGTTAAGAACAAATCCCTTGGCCATTTTCTTAATACACATTTCCCTATTAATTAATTTTTCATTCCTTTTGTGGTAAGTATATTGGTTTACAATACTTGTAGTTGCTTTGAAGTGGTAAGTATGAGAATCCTGCATTTGGTCATGTTTCAGTTTTTTTGGTACATCTATTTTAAGTTCCAACTAAAGTATTGGTTAACATTGTGGAAAACAAATAAAAATTACATAATTGCATTCTCAGCTTCATGTTTGTAATTGAATTTAGATCAAAAATATATCAGTGCATGATTGTTTTATTCCATTTTCATAAAGCATTTGGCAGGCTCAAATGTAAAGCTCGGCGACTTTGACAAAAAACATATTCTCTTAACCCATCAGTGCATGTTTTGCTTGGATAGTAATAAAGGATTGGTGCATGAATTGAATCCATTCAAGTTGAATTGAAAGAAAACAAGTTGCTTGCGCTTAATTTTATGTGAAGGAAAAATTAATTTTAAAATACTTGATGAACTAAAAAGGTCCAAGGATCCTAAAAAATCCTTATTTTTCTCCACTACACTTGAGACATCCTGTTCGTCTTAAACTTTGTGCCAGTTGCAAGCTTGACAAGCCCCCCGCCCCCCCCCCCCCCCCCAAAAAAAAAGCACACTGTCTTGTCTCAAAAAGCTACTTTATTAATATGGTGCAATCCTTGAAACACCTGGCTCAAAACACCACAAATGGTACAGTTTTCCTTTGCCAGAAACCGCCATTAAAAAACAATTGTTGCCCATTTGTGAGAAAGTGTCTTTACTTGTTCGGTGTAGGATTTGGCCTCATTGCATGGCTGAAATTTACAAACGCTGGTTCTTCAAAAGCAACGCACGATGCATGTTTGCTTATTAGCCAATTCAGCTCCCATTTCCCATTTTCAGTTTAAAACACATTCCCATTTTGTGCCAGAATTGTTAGTTGTATACATGTTTATCTTTGTACTAATATTATTTTCTTTTTCTCTTCTCTTCTTTTCCCCTCCCCTGTCATTCCAACAAAGTTAACCAGATAAAAGAAACATAAATAAAAGATTTCCTTAAACGAATTCCCTAAAAAGAAATTAAAAAATTGAGGTGCAATATTTTTAACAACTTGTTTCTGTTTGACAGTCGTAAATTATGACTGTTGAAATTTTTATTTATACAGTGTATGTGATTGCAGAAAAAAACCTGCAAGTTTGTGTATGGTTTGTATGTGTTTTAATTTTTGAATGAAACGAGAAAGAAGAAACGTTTAAAGACCGGAAAGAGTCGGAAGTACTGGCATGCACAAAGATGCAGCTTTATGCCTCAGTACTTGCCAAGAAAAGCGATTTCTTGAAAGAGACAGTTGGAACCAGAGACATCTAAAACACCAGAATTTCTGGTCGTTTTTATTTATTGGGCTCGATATCATCAAAGGCCCACAAACTGAAAATACAGAATTTTCTGTATCATGAAAAGAAAAACTTTGTGAAGAAGTCAACAAGGCCCTTGCTAACAAACAGGCTTGCTACTGATGGGATGAAGACACGATGACAGGATTCAGCGACTTCGGAAGATTCCCATGAGCTCTGCTTCACCAGTCTTGAAGATCTTCACACAGCGCCTCTTGATTCCATGGCATTTTTATGCCACAAGTCCAAATTTTCAACATTGGTCAGATGCTGCGCTAAAATAGCACTCGAGGAAATCCAGAAAATGATTTTTAAGATTGCACAGCAAGAAGTACAACGAATGACCAAATTGTCAGTTCCTGCATTTCAAGCCAAAACCTTCTTTGAAGATTTTCTGGAGAAGCTGAGAAATTATGTTTTGAAAAGTCGGCCATTGACGATTTGAGATGATTTGCAGCTAGATCAAAGTTTTAGAACATTCCAGGTTGTTGGAAACCAGGAAAACAGAGTTTCAGTTTTAGTGTTGAATTTTCCTTGGAAGAAAGAAAAAGAAAGATGAGAAAGAATGCATTCTTCATTTGTCTTCCAACATCTTGCAAACTACAAGACAGTAAATTTTTGCATCCTTAAAGAAAATCTACTGGAAAGAGGTTTTTTGAGTGAACAGAATTTTTTGAGAGTTGCAAGAAATAAGTTCACTTTTTGAATGATGTGGTCTGCCAAACAGCCATCTGGTCAACTTGTTCGTGTTAAAAAGGTCTGGTCTAGTTTTACACACGACACAGTAATTCTGAAGTTTGATTGCGTCTATCTAATAACTGGCCTCAGAATTTATTTTAAAAAGGAGTTGTTTTTTTAAAAAGAATTTAAGAGTTTACTTTTTTTAATGCTTTCAAGGTTGGATGGTTGGCCCTTAACAAATGGACCCTGAAAACCATTATTTTTTTGGAGGGGGGGGGGGGTTAAATGTCATATTTTTTCATGTAAAAATCCCACATTTGTGTCATTTGTGGAATCAGAAACTTATTGGCAGTTTTCGCTGCATTTGTGTCTGTTTTTACTTTGTATTTTGGGATGGGTTGGTGAATGAAATTTAAATAAAAAAGGGTGCAATATTTTTTAGGAATGTCAATGGGGGCGCTGTTCAAATCTGATGATTATAACGCTATAATATTACAAAAAAAGTGTACAAATACCCAATAACCAAGCTTGCTATGTCCATATTTTGTGCACAGGCGGACATTTTTTTTGGGGGGGGGAGGAGGGGTTCGCATTATTTTTAAGGAATTTCTATGATTTTTTTTTTTGACAGCTGGGGGGGGGGGGTGTTTGACTGGGGGAAAAATATGAATAGGTGCAGATTGAGGGACCTTGTATGCCAGTCCTGGGGGGGGGGGGGGGAAGAGAGGTTCAACAAAAATTGAGAAAGGAAAGGTCAATAAAAAAAATCTTTTGACGCCCACTTGAACCACTTTGCATTTCCATATTCAAGGCTAGTACATGTGCATAAAACCAATGAAGTCCTACATTTTTTTTTCTACCTAAAATATAGTTCTGAAATGCATTTAACAATGTCTAGCCATCAAGACTCTTGCTTCTACATCATTAAATTAAGAAGGGGATGCTGAACATTTAAAAACGTGTCGTAGTTTGTTGGGGGGGGGGGGGGGGGTAAAAGCCATAAGTGGTCTCGACTGCAGACCTCATTTTTTCCCCACAAATTACCATGAAGGTAAGTTGACATTTTATTGTGTGTTTATTTTGTGTGATGTCAGTTTCCTGTTGTCTGTTACATGTATGGGGGGGGGGGGGGGCTTCGGTCTGCTTTGTGACCTTAAAATCGATTTGTCTCTCCCCCCCATTTCATTACCCCCATCATCACATTCACAAAGGATTTGATAAGTTGACATGTGAATGTACATGTACAGTCGACTCCCGTATAACAAACTCGTTCGGACCTAGCCAAATTGTTTGTTATATCAGAATTTTGTATTAAGAGGAACAGGAGTCCCATTCATTGTGCACATAAAGGCACAGTCGGGACCAAGGCTTTGTTATAACCAGAAATTTGTATTAACACAGTTTGTACTAACGAGAGTCAACTGTATATGAGAACATTTTACATAAACAATTTGTAAAAGGCAAAAAACTTTGAGAGCAAGTGCTGATAATCAAAAAGAAATGACAATAACACACGATTTAGGGAAAGGGGTTGGGAAAAAAAAAAGGTAGACAAAAACAACATGTAATTGACATGTAATTTATTTAATATATGAAATGAACAGCTTTATTTTTAAGAATAGTCACCTGAAATGTGTTCCTTGTCTTCGTACTGCTACAGTACATGTATATCATGGCAACTTGCAGCTTATCAGTGGGAGAAGATAGCTAGGATTCATTCCTGCTTGTGAACAATTCTACATATGAGCAAGAAAAAGACTTTTCTACTTATCTCTATATTAGTTTAGAATTTGAGAGAATTTTTTTTTTTTAAACGAGCACATTGAGAAAAAGAAGTTTTCGGATCAGTACATACATGTGTGTTGTATCCACTTTTACAAACTCGAGGTGCTGCTACAGAGCTAGAGGCATGATTTTTGTGGAAACTAACTCCGATGTCAACGTAATTTGCATACATGCTTTGCCATCCTCAACTGCACCATAAGTTACACGTACATGAGAACCCCCAAATTTCTCAAAATTTGTTTCATTGAATATGTATTACACAGGAGCTCCCAAACAAATAAAACCAACGCTATAATGATGAAATGTCAGAATACATGTACTAACAAAAGAGTTTCCTTTTTTTTAACAAGTACTTTTTCACGATTTGTTAATAACATCTTATTGAAAAGTGATTTTTTTTCTCCTCTTAATCATCCAGTCACTCAACACAGCTTGATTGACTATTAATTCAGCATCTCTAATTCAATTTAAACTCACCTGCAGATAGTGACTGGCTATCTAACTAGTCTTCGTTAACTTTTGAACACCTGACCTAATCAAATCCCAAGCGTGGGAATAAAAAGAAACATTACAATTATACTTCCAATCACACATTCCTCATTTGGCTTTGATATTTGCTGATGGATAAAAATGGAATACACACTTCTGTTTAAAACACTATTAAACTTGTTCATTGAAAACTATGCAAATTATCTTCTACCTTAATTTCTACAGCAAAAAAAATTGTCTACTGAAAAAACTGTCTAAAAAAAAGAATCGAACTGAAAATATTTTGACAAACAGTGAACTGGACTTTAAAAATGAATTATGTACATATTTGAACCTTTTGACCAACTCATGCATCCTCTGTGGACTGGGTACGTTTGAGGGAACGAAGAGCTTTCTCTCGTAACTCTTTCTCCATCTTCTCCCCCTCGCTGTCAGAATCCTACCAAAGGAACGACAAGACATTGTTTGGAAAAATTAAAAACATGCCATGTCTGAATCGAAGTTGATTATAAAATAGTGGGGATGGATGGCAAGAAATTATTCATCCTAAGAAACATTTCTGAATACTCTAATATGATTATTTTCACACGCCCTACAGGGATTAGGGTAAGCGGCGTAGCCATGGGCGTCGCCAGGATGGGCCGCTTGCACTCACCCCCCCCCCCCCCCCCCCCCCGGAAATATGCAAAAAAGGAATACACATTTAACAAAATGGGCATCTGCAGGGAAGTCCATGGGGCTGGGTAAATGTCCCCCGCGCACCCTCAAAAAAAAATGATATACATGCATTAAGAATATGCTAGGGAAAGTACAAGGATTTTGGGGGACAAAATATGTTTTCACCACCCCCCCCCCCCCCCCAAAAAAAAATATCCTGGCAACGCCCATCCAGAGTTTCCACCATAGGGGGCATGTGGGGGGGGGGGGGCTGGATGTTACAGTGGTTGGGACTTGCGAGGGGGGCAACAATTTGATTAAAGGGGAGGGGGGGGGGGACACCTACGCCTCTGGTTAGGGTTGAAAGTGGGATGAGATGGCATAGAGCAGTGAACTGTTTAGATAATGAGTATAATCACCCCCCCCCCCCCCCATTTAAGCATCTACATGTACATGCTCAGAAATACGTTAGCTATGTTGTGTAATTTTTAGGTGTCTGATGCTTTTGTGTACTTACATACATGTATACCCAAAATGGGATATAAGATGAATCAGGAGACCAGTGAACCAGATGGGAAAGGGGGGGGGGGGGCTCTGGAGTTGCTGGATTAGTGAATGACTTCAGGCATAAATAAAGTTCATGAATCCACTTACTACTTTTCAATAATGGTGTTCAATACACACATATACATATATCTGACCAATAATGGGATGAGGGGTGTTTGACGCAAGGTCAGATCCAGGATTTGTGGGGGGGGGGGGGGGGGTGCAACCTTCAGTTCTGCTCCTTAAGGAAAATGGGCCTAATCTTTGAAGACAGAGGGCACTGACTGAACTCGGCTTGATGTCCAACAATTTACTTAAGTAATGGATGCCTACCTCGGCAGCATCTTGGTCCTTCTTCTGTTTCTTGTGTTTCTTGTGCTTCTTATGTTTCTTGTGCTTTTTGTGTTTCTTCTTGTCTTTCTTCTTTGCATCTTTGACATCAGAGTCCGAGCCCTGCCAAAAAAAAAAAAAAAAACGTTTGTTTTTTGCATTTTGAAATTTGCGCATTGATGGTAAAATAGCTTGCTTAGTTTTCTGGATGAAATGCATCAATTTTAAAAACAAATAGATGAGGCTACCTTGGCAGAATCGCTTCCATCAATGTTCCTCTTGGCTTTCACAGGAGTTGGTTCAGGGCTCCCAGATGATGATCGAGATCTTGATTTCTTGTTGGAAATCTTCTGAGGTTTTGGACTTGGTGAGCGGCTGCGCTTCCTGGGAGCTGGTGATGGCGAGGCATGACCCCTTGCTGGAGGTTTACGCTTCTCTGAGTGTGACGTCTTCCTTTCAGGGGAGGGTGATCTTTCGTCCGATGATGACTGGTCTCTCTTCTTCTCTGCTCGCTTGTCACTAGGACTGTACCACTTCCCAGCTGGGTGGGGTCTAGGACTGTCATTGTCCTTGTCTGGGGTCGGACTACGTTTTCGCACCTCTGGTGGAGGCCGCTTACGCTGTTTGTCTGGGGTTGGGCTGAGCCTGCGTTTGTCTACACGGGGGCTCTTTCCATGCTTTTCTGGGGTCCTGCTTCTGCGTTCATCTGGACTGGGACTTCGTCTACGTTTCTCTGGAGTTGGGCTACGTCTACGTTTTTCTGGTGTGAGACTGCGTCTACGTTTTTCAGTAGTAGGGCTGCTTCTACGCTTATCTGGGATGGGGCTACGATGACGTTTCTCTGGAGTGGCACTACGACGACGTTTCTCTGGTGTTAAGCTTCGTCTGCGTTTCTCTGGTGTGGGGCTACGTCTACGTTTCTCAGGAGACGGGCTCTTCTTTCGCTTTTCAGGTGTTGGGCTTCTCTTGAGTCTATCTGAGATCTGTCTGCGTTTCTCTGGAGTTGGACTTCTGCGGCGCTTAGTCTCTAGACTTCTTCTGCGCTTTTCAGGGGTACGACTTCTCCTGCGCTTCTCGGTAGGGCTTTTGGCTCTTTTAGTTGGCCGTTCTGGTGAAGGACTCCTATCACTCTCAGGTGAACTGTCACTGGAAACTGATGGACTACGGTGCTTGACTCTAGTCTTGCCTGGTGGGGTTTCAACAGCTGCTTTCTTCTTGCTCTTTGGGGTTGGTGAGGGACTGACTTTTTTATCAGGAGAAGAGGGCCTCCTTCGTCTGTCTGAAGGACTTGAGCTGCGCCGAGATCTTGACTTCTTTTTGGGAGTTGGGCTTCTGTGGCTTTTGCGTCTGTCAGGTGTAGGGCTCCGCCTTCGGTATGCTGGGGAGGGTGATCTGCGTCTACGAGGAGGGGTGCGTCTACGTGGAGGTGTTGGGGATCTACGACGTCTGTAAGGGCTAGGGGAACGGTAACGTCTGCGGGGTGGGGATGGTGATCGATATCGACGAGGTGGTCTGTAAGGTGATGGAGACCTGTGGAGCAACAGGAAAGACAAATTGTATGCAAAATATGGTGCATGAAGTGGTTCGCGCATCGCACTTTTTTTCACAGTTGATCCCTATATATTTGTATTCTTAAAACAGGTCAAATTTTGTGCATTTTTAAACAATGACCTCAAATGACCTCTACATGACCTCTGACCTCCAATTTTGGAAGAGTTGTGATGAACCTCACCTAAGGATCACTCCATCCAAGTTACATTAAAATATCTGCAGACAAAGAAACATTTGAAGCATATTTGAACAATGACCTTTAATGACCCCTACATGACCTTGACCTCAGTAATCTGATGAAGAATTGTGTCTTCCCACCCAAGGGTTGCTGCTGCCAAGTTTTGTCAAAATCCTTGAAAGCATGTAGAAGTTATACATTTTCTTTTTTTAAAGTGAACCGAAACCTTGTTCAGGTGACACAAAAATTTTGATGAAAAAAAAAAGAACATTTTGTTAATGAGGAAAACTTACATTAAATTGTATAGTTGAAGAGAATTCTTTAACAAAAAACTTTAACAACAAAGATATAGGGGAAAGGTACTAAACATTGTCATCTTTTTATCATTTATACATTATGTCCTTTATTGCCCAGTTATTTATTTCAATTATACCTTCTTCGTCTGGGTGAAATGCTCCGACGCCTTTTCTTCGGTGACCTGGAGTCTGAGCGACTGCGTCTCCTGCCTCCAGTTTTTGGCTGCTCCTTGTCACTATCAGAGTCAGAGGAGGAGTCAGTGGAGGAGTGGCGTCGATAGTGGCGCTGTGGGAATCGGTTCTTCTTAACCAGAGGCTTGGACTCTTGGGTCTTGTCGGGAGAGGCGTCCGATTTGTCTTTCTAAAATAACAACATTAGTCAATCTGAAAAATAGGTGCTCTTTCTTTCTCTCATAGAATTGTGGTTGAAAGATTTTCATTCATAAAAGAAGGCCTACTTGATTTGATTCAAAATAGAAATGAACAAACAAGGAGAGGTGATTTCAATAATTTGGGGGGTTGGGTGGGTGCATGGACAAACCCAACAATGTTGGTTCAAAATCTGAAATCCTTTTAAAAACTTAAGAATAAAAGAAAAACTCACAAAAAGAAAGAGATTGGCTCCACTTACCCCCTTGGCTGCCTCATTAGTCTTCTCTTTCTTCTTTTCCTTTGATTTAAAGTGAGAAGGAGGAGGTGATGCTGATCCATCACTATCCCCACCGCTCTGAGATTTGTCATCATCTTCACTTGATGACTCAGATCCAGGAGATTTTACCTCGGGTTTCTTGACAGGGGAAGGGGAGGGGGACTTCTTTTCCTTAGTCTTGGTGGGTTTCTTCTTGACAGGGGAAGGTGATGGTGAGTGTGAGGAGCCAGAGGAGCTGGAGGAATATTCTGAGCTGGATGAGTCTCGCCGAGCACGGCGGGATCTGAGGTTAAACAATTTAGACAGTTTAATTGTTTTTAACATTCCAGCATCATGGTTTAAACTGAACAACCACATTTTGACTAATTTAAAAACCTGAAAATGAATAAAAATGCTGCCAAAATTATTATTTTGTAGCCAAAGGAGGAATTAAAGAAAATTGACAATGACAAGATGAACACATAAACACAGTGCTGGGCTAAAAAAAGGTTACTCTCTATAAAATATGTGATATAAAGAGCTTGCATTTGCTCAGCAGCTCAATGACATGCGGTTCTTGGCAAAACTCTATCAGGATATTTACTTTTTGGGTGACGGGCTTCTCTTTGGAGAGCGCCTTCTCTCTGTCCGTCTCCTCGGTGAAGGGCTGCGTCTCCTTGGTGATCGACTCCTCCTCCTTGGGGATGGACGACGTCGCCGTGGTGAGGGACTGCGTCTTCGTGGTGATCTTGATCTCCGCCTAGGAGAAGACCTTGATCTGTATCTTGGAGATGGGCTTCGTCTGCGTCTGGAGTAGTAAGGTGATCTTGATCGTCTACGGGCTGGTGATCGACGACGAGGTGATGATCGTCGCCGTGGAGACCGTGATCTTGACCTACGAGGACTGCGAGAACGATGTCTAGTCTTTTTTCTCTTGACAGATCTGCATATTTTTTAAAATACAAAATAAACAATAAGCTTCATATAACATTATTCAACAAAAAACAATTACATTTCTGGAATGAGGTACCAAAGCTAAGACAATAAAATTTGTACACAAAATAATACTACTGTACCTAGAGCGAGATCTCTTTTTGCGTCGGTCTCTGTCTTTGGACCGAGATCGACTCCTGCTCCTAGATCGTGAGCTGTCACTTGATGATGAGCTTGAAGATTCATGCCGACGCCTGGATTTTTTCTTCACCTCTTCTTCTTTCTTTGCAACATCTTCACTTTCAGATGCTTTATCCTCAGGTTTCCTGACATGGTTGGAAATGTTGTGCATTGTTTATCACTCAAGACTGAAAGTTTTTAAAAAGCTCTGATCTAAACTTCAACAAAACAAATTGCTGGGGTGGTCATTTATACAATAGTTCTGATCTTCCATTATGTACAACTTTTGAACCAAGGTTCACATTTCCTTTTTATCAGGTTGCTGGTGTATCAATTATTGACAAACTCTAAAATGATACAACAGCAGACACTTACTCTTCTTTGACCACATCAGGCTTCACATCCTCCTCCTCCTTTGGTGATGGAGAGGAAGGTTTGTCATCTTCAGTCTTGGGTTTGGTCTTGGGAGACTCTGACCCGCTGCGTGATCCAGAACGTGAGCGAGACTGACGACTGTCCCTCCTCTGCGGTGACTTATGAGGTTCCCAATCCCACTTGCCAGGTCGTGCATGAATCCTGGAAATTTGTTTGAAAATGAAAAACAAAGTTTGGTTAAATATAAATGCTTGTTTGATGCTAAACATTATGAAATGATACTCTAACAATGGCAAACTAAAACACCAACTTACCTGTTACTGTTACTGCCTGTTACTTTCTGGCTGAACATTTTCATATCGCATATTAAATACCAGGTACCAAAAAAAGTTCCTTAAAAACAACAAAAATCACAAGGAGATAAAAATAGGGAAATTTTTCAAACTCAATATGGCAGACAAGGCTATTAGGTGCAGCATGTGACAGGTATTACTCTTTGGGAAAGAAGTTAACTGCATCATAATTGCACAAGTAATGAGTTCTGCCAGAAAATTACAAAATGGAACAAGCAATCTGTCAAGGGTGTGTTCACATTCTGTTTGCTCTTTCTCCGACGATCACAACCACTTAGGATGTACATCTTAATGGAAGAGTAATGAGTTCTGCCAGAAATTTACAAAACGGAACAAACAATCCATCAAGAGTGTGTTCACATGCTGCTTGCTCTTTCTGGACATTCATCTTCATTCTCTGAGATTAACTTGTTAATAAGGGTCTTGGAGGACGGAAGGAAGTGACTTGTCAGTGACAAGATTAATAAACATTGATCAGATATTATTGCCCAGAGCAAACTCCACAGAATGCCTCGTTAGCCAATGAGAGTCCTTGACAACAAACCAACAGCCAATCAAAACACACAACTGTAGCAGGTGGGAGGCGACGGGTGGTACTTGAATCTCAACTAGTGGCTATTCCTTGTTCATCTGACGACAAAATCAGTGCTGTGCCAGAACAACTCAGTTGAGCATTTACGCACAACTCAAATTTCTTTGCGACATGAAGAAAAAAGTATAAAAACGGTCTAGAATGATTTGTGTTCAGAATATTGTCAAATCATTTGGCCAGATACTACTACTACGTCATTACTGAAATAACTGACGCTTCTCAGGAAACTTCCCAACTGGTCCTCAGGTCTCTAAGATACTTGAAAGATGAATTCAATGGAAGAGTTCTATTATATGGACAGTAACGCGTCAACACCACAATGGGACATATATCTGGGTGACTTCACAGCCGAGTACAACACTTTGAGATTCATTTTGGTGTTACTGTCCACAATTCTGCTTCTAACACTAAACTTGCTGTGTCTGCTTGTACTGAGACGCGTCAAAACCATTTCCGAAACAACCAAAGTATTTCTAAGATCGATGACTGTTGCTGATCTAGGTGTTGGACTTATGATGGCTTTTCCCATGACTGTGTGTGCAATATCTCAAACAGCCAGGTCATATGGCGATGTAAAGTTACTTTGTGGAATTCAAGCTTTTGCAACGATTCTGTTTGCTAACAGCTCTGTTCTTTCACTTATCCTGTTAACCGTGGACCGTTACATTTCAGTGGTATATTCACTTCGCTACCCTTCTTTAATGACTGTGACGCGGGCAAGAATCGCCGTCAGCTGCATCTGGGGAGTTGTTATCCTAAGAGTGATTGGGACTGGTTGGATATCAAACTGGAAAGTCACTTACACTAATGTTCTTCTATATTGTGTCTTTTATTCTTCTCCCGACCAATACATCTATTCCAAAATTATGTACTCATGTGCTACAACTGCCTGTTTTCTTACAGTACTGGTAACGTACATCAGACTGTTCATAATTTCACGCCAGCACGCCCGCCGTATTCAAGCGAACAATATAAACCAACCAGGACGACCAAACAATAAATCTCTGTATACAACACTCCTCATTCTTTCTGCTTCCTGTTTCTTCAACCTGCTGCCTACTGTGTATTTTTTCCTGAACGACAATCAGCTCAGTGCGATAACAATCCTGTTCATGTTTATGCTGCCTATTTTAACAAGCAGCTGGGTTAATGTGGTCATCTACTACTTCCGAAATGCAGACTTTCGTCAAGAGACCCGTGCACTCCTGGTGTTATGCTTCAAGTTCTTCAAGCAGCGTATTCCATGCACAGCTAACTAAACAAATCAAAAGGGTAAGCTTTTTATTCTTACTTCTTTTCTGGTGTTATGGATCCATCCCTGGCCCGATCACCTCCTCCATTTACTCCATCGCTGTCATGACGTTCTCGAGTCTTCTTTTCCTTGCGTTCCTTGTCTCCATCTTCTTCCACATCACTGCCATGGCGACTCCTTGACGACTCCTTCTTTTCCTCTTTTTCTTGCAGCTGCTTGAGTCCAGTCTGGATGCGCTCTTGTTCCATCTGACATGGGAATTTTTTTAAAAATCTGTAAAGTCGGCATTTCCTGCGTACATACTTTCTAGATGGCCCCATAGGTGTCCAAGTCAATCAAGATGTTTTTAAAAACTTTTTCCCCAAAGCGAAACTTAATTTACTTTGAAAATCGATTGAATTGATTTTAATTGCTATTTTAGGAGAGTTTTATCATCTTAATTCTAATTATTCATTTGACATACCTGTCTCTTCTTGATCTCTTCTTTCTTCTGTTCCAGGAAGGCAGCTGGGATTCCTGCGATGTTTTCCTGAGCACTGGTAAGCAGCTCCCACAGCTCCGACATAAACCTCATTGCGTTCTTGGCATTGAGAAATCCTGTCAAGTTGATCTGCATCGTCTTGGGATTTGGATTCTGCGTGCAAGAAATCAATGGAAATTAGGACATTGGAGGCATGGAACCAGACTTATCAAACTCCCCTGTTGTTAATATAGTGTCTTTTTTTATAAACATTTTTTGTTACAGTAGGTGCACAAGTGTATCAGACAAAAGATCAACATGTAGCATGGATAAGGATTATTCAGCAAACTTTAACTCCTTGCAATTTCAATTCTGCCACTTTCTTTTTGGCTTTTGTTTTAAACAGCATTCAAAAGTTAAATAGAAAAATCAGTCTATGTTTCACTGTTGATTAGGCAGATAGACAGTGTTTTTTTTTTCTCTAAAATTCCAGTGTTTTTATTAAGCAACTTAAGGGTACCTACATTTGTAATATTGACCCATTACCATAGCTACATGTACCTCTTGTGAAACGATGCAGAAAAAAAGAGATGTTATTATCACTCGCTCTGGGGATGAAAGGAATTTGTAAATATCCATCTTCAATCACTGTACACTTAGCTCTTAGTCTCGCAAAACATGGAGTCTTCATTCTTTTTGTTTGACTATGTATTCCAAGTACATTATGCCTGTAAACAATTGTCAAAGTATGTTAATATGTATTATTACTGGACAAAAAAAATTGTGTTGGAATGAATTTTATTGATTCCCCGGAACAAATTTGCTTCCACATCATTTCAGTTCGACAAAGTTATGCTAAGAAGGAATCTATATTTCTATAAGTGGAGTTATTTTTCTCAACTACTAAGAACTGAAAAATATCAAATTATTCATAAAAAATAAAACATTAATTTAAGTCTCCTATGCCAGTGTTACACGCACTATGCAATACAAACCAACATCGTTTCGTTCTATTATTGTTTATAAATCTCTTGACAAAGTAGTCAACAAAGGTGATGATGGTACCGTCTGTCCTCCAAAGACCCTTAAGCCGGCATGTCACAACCCGCTGTTGTCCAACTGAGAAGTGACGCTGAGCGAGAGCAATCAAGGGATCGCATCATCCTTGCCTGTTTCTTTATGTGATCATCGGCTTATAGAGTTGGGAGAATTTATTACAAACATCTGAACGTGAGAGATGAGACGGGGGAGTACATTAAGAAGCTATTCAGAACAGATGTTCCAGGAGACAATACATCAATTCATCCTTTGTCAATCATTGTAACTCAGGTTCACTCAAATTACCTAGAGAATTATTATTACGTTCTGGCCGCTTTGATACTCCAAACAGGGTTTCATTGTGGGTAGTGAGGAGTGTATCTAACAATTTTCAAGAAATTGATTTTGTGTACTCAGGATGTTCACACAAATTTTAAGCTAAATTTTCCTGACCGTTTTCAAAGTGAAACCCTGTTTTTAATGTACTTTTTGGATGGGCAAACATTTTATTTTTAAGTGACAAAACTGTGGCTCTGATGGCATAATACTGCCTTTATGTTCAACTTTCAATAGTGACATCAGACATGGAGAGGATATTGAGGCTTTTATATAACAACTCAAGGCCAAATTTAAGACATTTTCTTTTGATCTCTGGTTCTGTGATGTCAATCAAAGATTTGAAGCCACAATTTCGATCACATGGAAACAAACCATGTCCTTGGGAAGTTTTTCCTAAACTATGAAATTTCAAAAGTACTTACTGACTTTCAATAGAAGGATGATTCTTGGATGAAAACCGATGAAATGATGGTGATGCAATGTGTTAGCAATGTCTCGTGGAAGAAAATCAATAATGAAACTAGGTACTTACAATGACCACTGTGTGCAGGGGTCAGTGGTTTGACAGCAGACACTGTCGGTTTCAATTAAAAAATAAATCCTATACAAAACCTGTATGAAGTAACTCTGTTGCTCTTCATCGGTGTAAGCTACATCTCCTTCCAGTGACATTGACAAAGTGTCTGTGACAAAGAAGAAGGTTACATACCTGTTGCTCCTGGTAAACACGAAGCCATGGGTTGCTTACCTATGAACTTTGGAAGAGTGTGAGCCCTGAACCGTCCATTGTGTACTTACTGCTTTGCAAACTGTGTCCAGTTCTTAATCAAGATCGGTTAATTGGGTGGAATGAAATCAGCAGTCTAGGTTACTCACCGGATTCAGTTCATTTATTACTACTAGCTTTCATTTAAATCGTGGCTGGTTCCAAAACCGTGTAGCAAAGTTCATTAGAAAGCAATTTAAGACGATCACATCCCAAACTACCTTGACATCATTAGATACTTTGACGGTGTTTCGCAGCTTCAGTGGCAGCTAAAATAGTCCCGATAAAATTAAATATGTTATGCATATATCACTTACTGATCCTTGGGTAGTTTGCTGTTATTCCATACATCCTTCTTTCAATTCAATCTCTGATCAAAAACTCTTTTGGAAATAACTTACCTTCTTGCAATCAGCCTCATTTTATCAGGGGTGAGATTGGGGGGAAAATGAAAAATCCACAAAATAATCCACAGAGGGTTTGAGAGTCGCCAAGGGCCAACGAACAGCGTAAGGGTCTGTGGTTTGTTTCAATTTGTATAATTTGCCAAAAAAAGCCCTTTAAATTACCCCATTTTTGTTCTACATAAACTTTTATACAAAAAAAACCCTCAGGAAATCCAAATTTCGAAAGAGATTCTTTAAGATCCTGAATAATCCTGACCAAAAAATCCTGAAATCAGGAAAACTCCTGATAAATCTCACCCCTGTTTGAAAACCTGAAAAATACAGCAAAGCTGGCTCCTGGATTCATCAAGCTAACATAGTCATGTTTATACAAACCTTACTTTAGCAAATGACTGTGTCTTATAACCATCTATACTTCCCATGAACCAAACTTTGTGCCGACAATTGCTAGTCATTCTGCAAATGATTAGAACTGGTCACTTTTGCAACTAACAGTGTATTCACGTGAAGTATATAATGGCTCAAGCAAAACTAACACGACATCTAGTTCCTGAAGTCGGACTCAGCTGACAAAAGTGCCTAATACTGACCTCCAATTATCAGCCGTTTTACCAAAGCTGTGTTCTAGATGTCCAGTCACAAGTCCAGTCCCAGCCTTCAAGATCGCCTAGCTACAAACCCCCAAGCATATGGTTTGTTTCCTTTCTGCCTAACTTTACATCTACCAACATCAGCCTACTCCTGAAGGACAGTGCATTTACCTCTTCTTCCAGCTGATTATAGATGAACTCAATGAGGACATCATCTTCAATTCCAAGCATCTCGGTGACTTTCTGAGTGATCCAGGGTTTGAGAGTGTCCATATTGATCTTGCTGGTGCTAACCTACACAGGTGGTAAAATAAAGAAAAAACAAACTGGATCAAATGGGCACAGTACGGTCATTTGGAAACATTTACTTAAATTAGGAGACAATTTCATAAATATAAGTGAATTCACCTAAAAATGTATTAACTGAAAGTGTGAAACCATCCAAAATCTTCCAAATTCAAACGATATTTAACAACTGGAAAAATTGCAACAGAACATGTTTACATGATGGTGTTCTAAGAATAACGCTGACTCTCTCTCACCTTTTTCTCCAGTACTGGTGCAAACTTCATGTTTTTCATCAGCTTCTTCTGTTTGTTCGCAAACCGATTATCCTGATCGTAACTGGTACCCTGAAAACAATGGGGAAAGAAAGATTAGGCCTACGTTTAGTTGCACATCTAATGAACGTTCCTGTTTCATTATCTTCCATCATTATGTAAAGAATAATTAAGGAAGTGTATATTGTGCAAAACATCCACACTGCGGTCCATTTTGTAAGTAAGTGACTATAGTATAATGTATTTCGTGTAATAATACGTGATTCAGCAAATTTTTGTTGAATCTAGCAGATTTTTGAAGTGCATGATCTAGCAGAATTTTGCCTTTTACCTTACGGACTCGGGACAAGTCGACCGTTGAGACAAGTCGACCGTTGAGACAAGTCGACCGTTGAGACAACTCGACTCGGGACAAGTCGACCGTTGAGATAGCTAGACTTAATTAATGGAAATGTATACACGTGGAGAGGATAAAGCTGCATAAATTTGTGGCAGGACCGGGCGCGGTGCGGGCATACTCGATGCACAGAGGGCGCTCCGATCCGGTGGCCGTCGCGTCGGGCCGGCGCGCCCCGCCCGCAAGGACCGGGCCCGGCCCGGCACGCGGGCACGTCGACCGGCGCGGCAAGTGGGCGCACAGGCCCGGCACAAACGATGTCACTGTGCGCGGTACGGCCACGTTGACCGGGGATACGCGCACAGGCCCGGCAAAAACGAATGATGTGCATGGACAATCATGCTGCGCTATATCGGCTCTGTTAATTATATGCAACAAAAAAACTGATGTAGGCCCTACATGTATCCATGACCATGTATCATATCTCCCAAACAGCGATCAGCCGCCGTCAAAATCCCCGGTACTTTCCCCAAAACTAGGCCCCAAAACATGCGAGTCGACTTGTCTCAACGGTCGACTTGTCTTTCCATTTATCGCACATACGGTCGAGTTGTCTCAACGGTCGAGTTGTCTCAACGGTCGACTTGTCTGACCCCCAATACAGGAAACGTTGTCGGCGAAATCGCATCACTCCAGCGATTGACCATAAAGCTTATCGCTTAGTAACTAACGGATTATTTTTTGCGAATTCACGCAAAATACTGGACATATTTATATCACCAGCAATACCTTGAATGTGTGAAGAGTATTTTTTGAAATAGTTAGAAAATGCAAAGATACATTTAATGTTAAACATTTAAATTTAAAATAATCAAAATGTTACCCGAAAAAACCCGGCGTCCGCCATGCTTGCGATCGATATCGTGTGAACACCCCGCGCATGCGCGATTAATATTCATGCACTAGTTAAATCTTTGGAAACGAAAGGGCCTTTCACTAAAAAGCTCTTTCTTGCTCCTTAAAAGTAATTAAATTTGTTCATTTATATGTTTTTGCTAAAAATAAAAAAAAATCCTGTTAATTGTTTACGATAATTTTGAGGAAAATTTGACATTTTTACAATTTTTCCCCCATTTATATCATTAAGCTATTCTACTTCCAGCGGGTGGTACGGAGAATTGCGGAAGTTTGGAACCGGAAAAACAGATGCACGTGCAAAGCATAGGATATGTGGGATAGGCGCCATATAAGTGCACATTCAAAGCATGCACGATGCAGTCGATTTTCATTAACATCACACTTATGATGACTGGACCAAGCAGCCGGTGGAGCCTTTTGGAGATATAGGTTTACAGCTGCAATAGCCTGCTCATGTGCATACTTTTTACAGTTTTGAAATAAATAGCGCCTGTTAATCGATATCACATGTTCCTTTTGATCTCTGCCGACCCATCTATTCTGATTTGAGTGTAACTTCACACATAATTGACTTCAAGTTGTTTCAGCGTGATGTCTCTGATAATCTGTTTGCTTTTTGCATCAACTCTTCAAATTCAATTTCATCAATCAGTTGCTGCCGGCCCTGAAGTTAAACCATCTCATCTTCAAGACCCTCACGATGCATCCTCCTGGCCTGGACATCTCAAGCCCCTGGGCTCTGAGGCTACTCATCTCCCCATCCTGGAATTAAACCAGTTTCCTTCTCCCACTGAATTTTTCCAACATTATGTGTACCCCTCCGTCCCGGTAGTATTCAGGCATGGAGCCAGGCGTTCACCGGCTTATGAAAAATGGAGCGATGAGTATTTAAAGAGCCTACCTGAGTCTCAAGAAATGATTAACGTGGAGATGCGTAAGGTTGAGAATAGGAACATCCCACCAGCGAGGATGTCATTTGCTGAGTTTCTGGACAGATATACAGTCTATGATGAGTATCTGGTCACAGGAGTTCCAGATTTTCTGAAGTGAGTTCGTAATCACTTGAGGAACCTGCTTTCACAATGAGGCTTGAAGATGGTACCAGCGTGTACATTGTAATTATGAAAAAACTGGAAATTTTATATTATTAAGGCCCATGAGAAAACTGAATAAAATAATTGTGACAAAGTGGCCTGCTTAGGAACACATGCCTCACAGTTCTTCTGGGCTTTCATCCTATTATGAAATCAAACTTGTTTGGTTGAAATTAATTTTCTCAACATGCAAAACAAAATTACTTTTGTTTCATTAAATTCTTTTCAGGAAAGACGTGTTAGTTCCTCCTCCGTTGCTTTGTGATAACATCACAGTAAATTTTCTTGACTCAGTAAGTATTCCTAGAAGAAAAACAAATTCTTATATTATCTGGGGAAATTGCAATGCTAATGTTCATGTAATTTTTGAAAAACTGCAACATTTAGATCTGTATACGTTCCTCTTTCTTGTAACCCTTTGGACAACAAAGTTAACCTTGAAAAAAATATTTTCATTTGTTATTCCCACTACTACTAGGTGATGTGGTTCAGCAGTGGTGGTACTAAGTCTGTTTTGCATAACGATGACGTCGATAATCTCAACTGTTTGTTCAGTGGGCAGAAGGAAATCTTGTTTGTCAACTACACTAAATACAGACATCAGGTTTGAGCACTGTTTTCTTCAGCTATTTCAGTCACTTTTTTTTTTTTTTCTCAAAAATCTTCATTTCCTTATGAAAACAGGAAATTGTTGAATTATATTCACACTTTGATATCAATATTTCACATTAAAACACTTCTATGGTTTCATTTAGAAGCTCCTTTTTCCCAAAGTTTGAAAAAAAGGCTGAATAAAAAGTTAGACTATAAGTATGATTTGATCCTCTCAGGCTCTGCAATAGTTATTTTAACTTTTGTGATAGTTGAAAAGCCAAAAAAAGAGAGGAAAATGTGTAACTTTATGATCCACATCCATATTTTGCAGATTGTATTTGATCATCCTGAGGGCAGCTTTTCTGGTGTTGATGTTGAACGAGTTGATTTCAACAAATATCCAGAATTCAGGGATGTGGAGTTCTTTGAGGCCAAATTAGAAGCGGGAGATTGTATTTATATTCCATACAAATGGTAAGAAAATTCCCTTTCGAACAAATTATAAACAATGTCACTTGATAATATTAGCTGATATAAGTTTCCAATTAAAAGTTCAGACAATGTACCATAACGATTTGTGGAAACAATTGTTAGAATGGTTAAATCAGCAAACAACAAACAATTTATCAAAAACCAAAGTAGGAGTTAATAATGCATTTCTTTTCCTTGGAACTTTTGAATTTAAATCCCTGACACTGACACTTTACAAGTCGTGTCGTCCAATTAATATTTGTTTCTCTTACAATTCCCTTGTTTCCAGGTATCATCAAGTTAACTCCATTCATCGTAACATTGCCATCAACATCTGGTGGAATCACAAAGCTAACATCATACCGACCCCGGTGACCTGTGGCAACCCAGATCCTGAGCTCTCATTGGCTGATGTCCGGTTCTATTATCATGACTTGATGAATAACGAGGAAGAGGAAATCATACACCCAGAACTTGTTTTTGTTGAAAATCCTGGGTAAGTTGAAAGGTTGAAGTATTTTTAAAGAGATCAACCTAATAACATTGAGTGGGACGGAAAGAATAAAATTCAAACATTCTGAACGCTGGAGTGGATTAAGGGTTTACTTTGAGAATAAAAGTCATTGAATGTTTACCTGTAGAAAAAACAATCACAATTGGTTTTTGGATTTTGGCCTTTTTTGCAGCCAAAGTTTGACAACTTTCATGGAAGAAGAGGGAAAAGAAATACTGACAGAGAACCAGCTTGTTGGAATACTCAGTACAGTAAGATCAAGAATTGTTATAATTGTAGAATTTTTTTAGCGTTAAATAGCAGAATTATAATTACAGCTGTCTGTTTTGTTCATTCCTGTCTAGTTGCAGTGAAAGTCGTTTTTCCCCTTCATTTTGCAAAAAAGACACTTGCTTTGCATTGTTCCTAATAATACAATTTTTATTCAAGTTTGCAATTTCTACACATTTCTTTGTAGAAGCTGCCAATGTTACAAGGAGTGTGGAACCAGGAAGCACTGGACATAGGACATAAGGTAAAAATGCCAAACAATTTGATTAACATATAATTATTGTTTATTGATTTGTTATTTTTTGAGTGATGGTTAGAGGAGAATGTTTCCTGGCCCTTTGGTCTCGTAGATGGAGGAGAGGCTCAGAAAGTCTTCCATGTTGTTTTTGTGTGTTTATCAATTGATACCTTCTATTTTCAAGAGTACATTTTTGATATCTTTTGAAAAATCTTTTTCCAGATTTTTCAACAAATTGATATGGATGACAACGGGGAAATATCATCGCAAGATCTCGAGCAATTGCCAAATGAGGTATGATTCATTTTATATTATCACACTAAGCTTGGGTTCACTACTTCAGTTTTGTGCATATAGTGCCCTCTAGGTGCATGTGCATGGCTATTGGAGAAATGATTGTGGATCCAATAGTTAAGACAGCAAGCCTTTACCTGCATCAAGTGTGGATTTGTTTTGCTTTATTCAGCAGGAGGGGGAGGGGCCTTTTGGACTCCGCCTGCAACAGAAGCTGATGATGCTGATTGATGTCATTGATGAGGAAATTTCTAAAACAAGAGAGGTGAGTTTCAAGCTGGTCAGAGATTTGGGTCACAGTGAAATGACAAAATTTTACTTCGCCACATCAGGGTGACGTACATTTTTAATGCATGTTTTGCCCTTGATTTTACAGTATCAGATCCAAGTATGATATCAGTTTTTTTTGGCCGGAGTCCTGTGTTTTCTCACTGATAGAAAAAGTTCATTTTAAATCTTGCAAGATTGGGGAAAACAAATTAGGCCATCTGTTTTGTTGACAAGAATGCAATTTTTATGTTATTTTTTAGAAACAACTGCAGAAGATGTTGGCAAATGCAATAGTGACAGATAGTGACATTCTGTCATCTTCACAGGAGGATTCCAAGCTAGTAGGGACAGTGGACGAGACAAAGTCAGATAAAGATGAGTTGTAAATTTTTCTTTGGAAAATTTAATTGTTGTAATGCATCTCTTGGGAAATGGACTAGTAATGTACTTGTAAATATTGTTTTTTATCAACAGTGTTTTTTAGTTTGTTAACTACAAAGGAGTGTTTTTTTATAATACAGGTTTATTTTTAGATTTTATTTTTTGTAAACATATCTGATCAAATAATGGTTGTAAGTGCTTTTCAGAATCTTCCTTTTCTTCATTGATATCTTGTGCCTTACAATAAGCATTAATTAATTATTAATCATAAGTCTCTTGGGTAGGGTGTGTGAAATATATTAAAATTGGAGAATTCGGGACTTATAGGGTTAAAGAAAGTAAAAGTAATGTGAATATTTGTATGACTGTCAAAACATACAAACAATTGAACACACACAAATGAATCATATTAGTTTCCGTGCTTTTGTCCATTTACTGGTGCATAGTTTAATAATACTTCGAAGCTTACAATATTCAATCACAGAAAACACAGTTGCTGTAAGGAGACCCTGACAAATAAAAGTGATATGTACAATGTACGTGGAAAACAGCACTGCAAATTACATGTATTGAGTTGCAAGAAAAAATTTGTTTTTCGGAAGTCTTTTTTGTTTATCTTTACATTCCATAATCAAGAGTAATGAACAGCTTTGAAATTTATTTTGTAATTTGTTTCTTCCAAAACACATTTCCATGCTGCTGTTACATCACCTGGCCAGTTCCCGTTGGCCACGACTCTACATGATACCATTAAAATAATTAATTGTAGCAATTAATTTGGAGTTTCGACCAAAGTGACAATATCCTGTAGTTGATTAACTTTTAGAGTTCAGTGAAGCTAAACAGTCACCATGCAACTTGGACGATTCTCCTAGATGCGTATCTTAGCAACCTAGCTAACTTGTATTTTGCATTGAAAAGGAAGGAATGAAGTTTAAGTAAAATGGAACGGCATATGAGAAGAACTCTCACTGGAAGATCATTCAGTTTTGAAGAAAAAAACCTACAAATTCATAATACATGAAATAATAATTTTAATTGACTTAGATTACAAAATCTTTGATCACATGGTCATGGTATTAAATATGGACAGACAATGGTTGATTAACGCCATTTTTTTTAAAGGCATACCAGAGCATGTGAAGTAAGCATTTGGAACGATTATTTACAAGTACATGCACATGTATTTTACAATGTTAAAAACATTACAAAATATTCCCACGTATCAAACAATCTCTTGGTGAACAACATTTTTCTTTTTATCATGTAAAACAAAAATGGATTTAAAAAGCATGCTCATCAAATTTAAGGTGCGGAATTTAAAAAAAAAACTATAAAAATGAACTGATTTTTTGTGACAAAATCCATATTTTGAAGAACCACTTTGAAAACAATAGTTATGATGCCAAATATTCTTATAGTGCCTTATTGTGAAGTCAATAAACTCAGTACTTGTGGAAGAGGTTATTTTAAATGCATGATTGATTGCATTAAAAGACTTAATTACATGTATATGTTTACTTTAAAAATTTACTTTGGTGGGATGAAAATGCCATGATGCTGTAATATTTGACTTGTAACCACAAAATTAGTCGCATACACATAATTCTTCAAGCTATTTTCTCAGAGAGTTAGATTTTTGTTACATGTGGAATATAAATTATTTGATCATAATCAATGTTCTGGTACAAGCAGGATTATTAACAAATCTGGTTAATTCTGTGGAATATGTACCTACCACCCCCAAACCATACACCATACTCAATTACCATATTCCAATTAAAATTTGCATAAATAAAACCTGTTCATTCAGTGCCAAAAATATATTACACAGGTTGTTTCCTATTGTCTCAGTTTTGTCTCGTGTGCGAAAGTGGTGGTAAGTATCTCCAAGTGGTTCCTACAGATTGGTTTCAGGGTGGTAGGTAGGTTGTTCTATTACAAGATCCGTTATACCATGAGCCTAGATCCAGGGATGTAGCGAGACTCGCTCCAGATGTTGGACTCGCCGCAGTTTTTCAGACGACGTTTACATTGCTCACAGCGATGATAGTCCTCACATTGTTCATGCATAAGGATTCCTGGGCTCTGAGCGCGCAGTCTCAGCTCCTCTTCACGCTGTCGTTTCAAGCTTGCCGCATCCTTCCATGTGTCCTCCAGAGATTTGCGAGTTACGACGGAATCGTTGAAACGGTTGGCCCTGTCTGCTACAAGTCTGTGGAGTGGTGAAATGGAGATTGAGATGAAATGGGCAAATCGAACAAGAGGATGTGCATTACTGTAAAGCTTGGCAAACATCATTTAAAGTTGTTGAATCCGAGAAACTTCAACCATTGCAACTGACCCACGAAAGCCAGATTCTTGGCTGATTTTTGCTCAGTAAAAAACATTCTAGGCAATACACGTATTCCCTTCTTCGCATAAAGTTGGAGTGTGGTTGGCCATTTTCCCTACTGAACATTTAAGTACATCCTGGTTTGTGTAGACTTTTTAGTCTGGTAGAAGTGAAGAAACCATATATATATATCAACTTACTCTCTACGTGTCCTGTCTAGTATGTCCATCTCCTCCCGTTGTGTTCTCAGATGACTCAGTAGTTTCTGCCGTCTGGTTTGCTCCACTGCGCTTAGTTGCTCCTTGTACACTTCAATGGCCCGCCGACGCTTATCAGCTAGCTGCTCATTGGTTGCGTCATTCTTGCCAAATATTGGTTCCTTAGAGTCAGGTACCGCTGCTGGGAGTGGGAGGGGCTTGAAACGTACCTGTCATGGCGCAGAAAGTTATCACAGGTTCAGTTTGATAAAAGGAAAATATGGAACCCTGGTGAAAAAAAGCTGAAAAACTTAACTTTTACTATTTGACTTCAAGACTGTCATCATATGAACTCAATCTCATCAAGTAAATTATATTGTGACTTTAATTAACTGAACTATCATCTAACAGTAAAAGGAGAGAAATTTGGGTCAAGAAATTAATTTACTTACCATGACATAAAAATCCTAGTTATGTAAATAACCTAGAGCTAAGCAACTATTTCCTACCGTGCGCTGATCTGGCAGCTTTAGCCTAAGTGGTTCAGTCTTGGAGAATGGTAGTATGATCTTAGGTACAGGAAGACTCAATGGTCCTAGAAGACGAGGACTAATGAACCCTCTCTGACTGGGAGAACCTTCCCTAGATCCATCAATGTAACCTAGCTGATCCTGATTGGCCAACTCGGCAGCCTTAGCTAGCCTGTCTCGGATGTGAATCTATCGGAGGTGATGCGGTGGATTTGGGATGAAAGTGGGAGAGGAAGGTGCAAAGTGGAAAATGTGAAATGAGAAAGACAGAGGAAAGTACATTGAGGAGAGAGGTGGTGATAAATGAGGATGTGAGAATGAGGTGAAGGGAAAAGGTAATGCGGAGGCGTGGTGAGTGGTGACTATGTTACAAGTAAGAAGAAAATGGTTCTGATGGTGACTTATACCTCCTTAATCGAGCTAACTTGATGTTGCTAGCCTAAAGTTGCCAGCCTGATCAACCTTCAAGGCTATTTGCTAATCCACAGGAAGTTGTTAAGAAATATTAGCTTATTAAAACCTGAGAGATTTGAAAGATCACTCACCTGTGCAGAGAGTGCTCTTTGGTACATGTCTGTCTGTGCTGCCTTGTCTCGTAGATATTGTTCTCTCTGAGCTGCAAGCCTGAAAATAAAAGTACAGTATTCAATTTATTGGCATATAACGCAGATCTACAGAAACATGTCTGAATAACACCGAGGTGTTCTATGTGGTTTGACATACTTGGCACTTAAAAAGGTTAATAAGTCCAAGAGTGTTGTTACCAGAAACATTCATTGAGAATTTGAGATAGAACACAAATTCCAAGAAACGGAGAGAAATAACTGAGAAGAACTTTTATAAGATGGAATTTTGCGTCGGGGTGATATAAATCAAGTTAGGTTTTGCCCTTCACCGACGTTTAAACACTGTGTAATAAATAAAAGAAAGATAAACAGAACTTGTTAATAAATAAAGCTGTTGCATCTGTACTCACTCTTCTGCCAATTGGACTTGTTCTAATCTCTCTAGGAATTCCTGGTCATGATTACGGCTAATCTTATTGGTGGCTTTGGCTTCAACTTGCCCGGCTAACTGTTCAGCATATTCCTCCTGCTTGATGTGCCGAGGTGGAGTCAAGCAGCGACGCTGGAAGACGTAAGATCTCTGGAAAAAGAAGAGGAAAAATTAAGATCCCAGTAGGCCAACGTATGTGAATAAACCAAACGACACCGTCTACAGTTTCTCTATGGAGGCAATACAGACTAAACATTAAATTGAAAGGAATGTCACATTGGCTTTATGCAACCTTTTACTCACATGGAATTCCGTTGGGCGTTCCTTCTTTTTGTTCTTGATAGCCTCACTGACTCCCAGATTGAATGCCGCTATCTTCTGGGAATGGTGCCTGTTTCCTAAGTTCTGGGCCTGCAGGAAATTTGACAACAAAAATTGAACATAGATTGAAACTGTAGCACTTAGGATCAAGGGGGGGTATGAAGACTGCAACACTGCTGTCAAACAGGTGAACTCAATAACCTCATCCTCTCACCTGTTCATTAATGATTGCCTCTGTATCCTTCAGATGCTGGTACTGCTGCAAGAGTCTGTCTTGCTCCTGCTCCTTACGTCTCCTCTCTGCCTCAAATGAGACAGGGACATTCCTCACAGCTCGCTGATGACACAAGTAACATAACTCCTGTCCAGCTCTGTGTCCGCATGACGTCCCAGGGGGTGTGTACTCTCTCGTCTCCACCACTCCAGCAAATGTTGCCTGTTTCTCTGGTGAGCGAGACTTAGGTGAACGGGGTGGGGACAGAAGTTCCCCCTTGCCATTGGGTGGTGAGGGGGTTACACTACTACCTTTGATACCACGAGGAGGGGTAGGTATAGTTAGGTCATCGATTAAACTGATGCCAGTTGCTTTAGCGGTGGGTGCCACTTGACGTGACGGGGTACGAAAGGCCAAAACTTTCTTCTCAATGACTGGCTCTGAAATATAAAAAAAAATCAAATGAGTTTCCAGTCCTGAATATAAGACAAGGAGCAGCTCTTCATTTGGGACGGAAGGTCTTAAAAATCAAGTTGAACCCTTGTATTCAACAACTTTTTGTTTGTTACTTGAGTTTATTATTCATTAAAAAAAAAATAATTCTTGGACTTTTTTATATTCCTTCCCTGATTTTTTTTATGGCAATTATTTCTTACCATCTGTGTCTTCTGCCTCTTCTTCATTCCTTGCCTCTTCTTCATCCATGTTGATTTCTTCATTCTCCTCTTCTTGTTCCCGTAGCTCCTCCCCTTTGTTTGCTGCCACCTGATTCTCATCAATAGTTGGCATCCGTCTCGTTGGTTCCTCGTTTTCCAAAGCTAATCCATCTCTGCCAGAACCTTGGGAGATTCTGAACAGAAAACAGAACATAAATTATTAAATATCAATTTCTGGAAATGTTGCATTGGGCAATTCTCAAAATAATGCAATGTTTCTCGGAACACTTTTAAAAAAAAATCCCTACTTTGCCAGGAAAAAACTTTTCATTTTTTTCATCTTAGTGTATTTCAAACTTATGTAAAATGCTCACAGTTTAATATAAACCTTTGCCAAAACTGTATCTTAAAACCCAATGTTCATGAAAAGCCATTTTTGAAGGCAGGGAAAGGCCCTGAATAAAACTACAACAGCATTAAGTTTGAAACTGTATCCCCTGGATTACCTTGGTAATACTAGCGTGTTTCCAGTCAGGGGTCTGTAAGTAGAAGCTCTAGACATAACAGAATCAGCTGTGTCTGGTCTCTGAAAACAAAACAAAACAAAACAAGATTGTATTACTTCTGTTTACAAACAAATACTTAGTTTATAACAATAGGGGTTTTGTTAGGAGGTTGTATTACACATAATTATTCAATCAAACTTGGGGTTGTTTATATTGAAGGTTAAGAGGGAAGATTAGTAGGTAACTGAGAAAGTCTACATTTTTTTGGCACTTACATTTTTCAAAGCCTCCGCCAAAGTTCCTGAGCCATCCATCATGTTCAAGAAATCCTTGTAGAATTTCATTTTGACTTTGCCATCTCGTATTGCCAGACGACCGATACCACTGAACGTGAACTCCACATTGCGGTTTGATTGCACTGAGCGTGATAATGACAGGAGGACTTCTTTGACACATCGCTCCACTGTGTCACGATCAAAGGGACTCTCAGCAGACAGTACAGAGAAGTTGAGTTGGACAATAGGAATTTGACCTGTTCAGCATCAGGAAAAATTGACATCAATAAAATGAAGTGAGAATTATGTTATAATTAAATTCATGAAGGAAGGAATTTAACTTGTTTCCAAGATAAGTACATGATTAACTTATATGTGGTGAATATTTCTCTGCAGTTTAGTAACTGCCGAATATTTTGTTGAACTGGATGTTTAGGCCCCCCCCCCAAAAAAATAGTTTTGCTTCCGGTTACCTTCCTACCCTATTTTGACAGCCCATACCCTAACTTTTTTTGGAAAAAATGAGAAAAACCCCGAAAATCATCAATTACTCCCTCTTACCCTTGACTACACGCAAAAAAAAACATTTCCTACCTACCTACCCTAATTTCAAATGCCATGTAATCGGAAACAACACTATTTTTTTTTTGGGCCTTAGATTTATTGTTTTTATTACCTGATGTGAAATGCTTTGCATAGTCCAGTCTATGAGTCTGTGCAAACTTCTCCGATAGACTGAATACCGGGCGCTGGATGAGAATGAACTTATTGTTACCAATGTCCAGTTTCTTCTGTGTGAATGTGAATGTACCTAGGCCTGGTATATTCACTCCCTGCATACAACAACAAATAAAAGAACAGAAACATGAGAAATGATTACACAAACTCTAGAGAAATATAAACAAAGAGTGAAGGACATTTTTCTGACAACAAAACTATTTTTGTTTGTTTTACTTTCACTTAATTATAAAGATATACATTTGGGTCTAAGTAAGAGGTTTTTTTTGTTTCTATTGTTGATTACTTTTTTTAAAGTTTTTTTTTACCTTTTGCATATGCATGTGCCGCTCAACAAACGAAGCAACGTTCGCCCAAACACTGACAACATCTGTAAATAAAAATACCAAAATAAATCACATTCATAAAAAATATGAAAACCTGTGAAATATCTCCCGACCTGGCTTTCTGAGACTCCTCTCTTTCACTATAGTTCAAATTCTCATCATTTAATATTCCACATCATCACCAGCCGCCTTTCCAATCTCACTTGAGGTTCAGTTGTTTTGGGATGGTTTTATTTGCATTCGTTCAAAACATTCTTTTTCTTAAATACCGAGGTCCGACAGACCCCCCCCCCCCCCCCGGCCGAGGGTTACTGCACGGCCGTCCGTACACGTACCCGTACGGCCACGGACGGCCGTGCAGTACACGCACTCCCTCCCCACCGCGCCGGCGGGCGGAAAGGCGCGCCACCATATCCACTGAACTTCCGAGGAAACTTACCGTCATCGGTGACATTTGGAATCGTCGAAAATCGATGTTTTCTCGCATCTGAAACTAATTCCTGCAAAACCTCCGTCATGTTGATGGAACCCTTTATTCTCCTGACAAGGCAGGAACGCTCTCGAGACACAATTCTGTCGAAAAAATACTGATTTTGTTTGTAACTTTCATCCGCTCTAAAGAAAATACAAGTACCCACTCATCTGTGCATAGCGTAATATACTGCGCGTACACAATCAACGTTACCATGGATTACTCATGAATATTCAGAATTTGAACCTTGATCTAACAACTTTCGGGTTATTTAATTTCGTCGCATGGTGGCGCTATTTCACTCTAACATGAAGCGAAACTTTGACATCGAAGACCCAGACCTCGTGCATGTCATATCGTGACGAAGATTTCTTCCTATGAGGCGAAGAAAAAAGTGAATAAAAGTGTGCGTTTATTCATCGAGCTTCATCTTGCACTATGCAAGAAGCCAAGGCAGGGGGTGGGACGTGCCCACACTGCTTTCGGAGCTTTAAAGGAGCTCAAGGGCCTGGTAAGCGAAGTCTCAATTTTTTGAAACCCCCACTCCCCAGGCCCCACCCCCCAAAATATCAGATTCACTTTTTTTCAGTTTCCCCCACCACATGCACAGCATGGCCACCAATTAAGGCTAGCAAAAGTAGCATGCTGCTGCACGTAATGGATTGAGAAAAGGTTTGGGATTTCTTTTTGGACTCCTCGTATTGGCAAATGATTGGCCCTAATTATTAGGCCTATATGCAGTGTATATGACCGTGAACCTGTCCTCGGTTGTTTTCTTACTTACCACGTTGACTAGTAATTCCAGACCAGCACAGCAGAGAAGATCAAATAGGCCTAGCCTAGGCCCTATTCTGCAATTAAATGTACGATCATGACAATTCGATTTAAAAGTAAAACGTTAAAAGAAACAACTCTTACCTTTTTGGGAGGAAAAAGTCTGCAGAACAAAATGAGTGGTTAAGCTGGGACTTGATCCATGTCATCGTGACAGACTATGACTACGAGTGGAACACACTAACGCCGGCACTGGGTCACACACATATTTGCTCAAGTTGGGAAGAAATCTAATATCTTATATCATGTATGTGGTGTCGGTCTATTTGTGTCGGTGCAATGAGGGCGCTGTACCTGTACGATGTGCCGGCTTAAGAACAGAAAAAAATGTGGGACTGGTTCACAGTAAAATAGGCCTATACACTTTGACACTCTGACACATGCACAATGTAAAAATGGCAATGTGACAAATCTAATGCCGGAAAAAACAAGAGTAATTTATGTTTTTAATATTTGACCAACCATACTCGTTGAGGTTGTACAATGTGGCCCTTGGATACTGTATTCTACCCTCAAGTTAATTGATACCTTTACAACTTGCCCTTTTCGGTAAACTGGTACCCATCTTAAATTTTATTCTTCACAGCTCATGAACGCTTTCTCCAGCCCCTCCTACTGCGTTGTGGTCACACATTCTGCCAGGGATGCATCAGTAAGCAGGTGAAAGTTCTCAAGACCAGCATAGCATGTCCAACCTGTCAGGTCTTAACCCCTATGCCGCTAGGGGAAGCTAGTATGAAGCAGTTACCAGCTAACTACTACTCGCTGGGACTGGCTACGTGGAGCACCAAGCAGGTCATGGATATGCTGTAAGTCCATGATGTATCTTTTGAAATGTTTGCAAATAAGACACTGTTTACCTCGCAAGACATTTGTGGGTTAACCTTCAAACTGGTAAACCTGCTGACTAGTAACCCTAACCCTCTAGGGTGTGTGACAAATCATGTTAAAATTGAAGGATTCAATCTGGTTAGCAGTGATTCCAGTTGAATTCAACAGGGAGTTAGGTTTATACACAGTAATATAGTGTGGATTATTTAGCACAAGGTTAAGCGAAACCAAGCCAATACCATTGCAATCAATTTGCTTTTAAGTATTTTCTAACCTTTCTTATATTTCAGGGACCAGAAAGTTGAGACCCAGCCCTCTTCTAAGCTCAAGTATGAAGGAGTGCAGTTGGAAGGTCAAATCTCTTTTACTGATTACCAAATTACTGTTTGAATTTGAATTTTTGATTTGACATCGATATTGACTTATATTGTTGATATTTTGTTTCAGGAGACAGGGAACTCTGCAGTAGTTGTCACCGTATCCTAGCCAGCAGTAAATGCCAACAGTGTGATAACATGTACTGTGAGACGTGCTTTATACGAGTGCACCGCGGATCACGTGCCCTCCAAACACACCCAGCTGTGCCCCTCAACATCTCCAAGTAAGTTGAAGGAGAGAAGTCCTTTAATATGACCTGTTCCTCCCTTGAAATCAACCTCTCTCATTTGGGGATAGGATGAGAACCAAGATGTTCCAAGAAGGAGGCGCTTAAAGTCGCTATCTGATATTATGTACTGAATGAAACTTCCAAATTCCAAGATATATATACTCTTGTATTTACACTAACAATTTATGCAGCTTTTTTTCTATCAGTTCAATTGCTTTCAATTCCATTTTTGATGTCAGAGGAATTGTAGGGGGAAATGTTTGAATTCATTTGGTGTGTTCATTTCCTGCAGGATCAGAAGAGGGTGCAAGGAGCATGAAGACAGAGAATTTGAATTCTTCTGTCAGGAGGATGAAGTGCCAATCTGTGCTCTGTGTGCTCTGATGGGAAATCACAAAGGCCATGATATCATACAACTCTCAGATCAGGTATGCGGCGTATTTCATTGGTTGATTCCTAGAGTGGAAAGACAGGTGGACATAATAAACCTTCATAGAAGCACATTGGTGTAGACATGATATGTTTACACAGGTTTATTGACTTCCCTCTTCCCATCTCCCACAGGTTTGTTCCTGTGTTGTTTACTCCCCCACCAGTTGAGCTATTTCCCCTAAATGGCTTGAAACCGATGATGTTGTCTCTCAATCTTGATAAAATTCAGGAAACTATCTTATGCTGAGAGGATCAGGATAGATATATATTTATCTTCAAGTAAAATTGAATCCTCTTTCTCGATTGGTCAGTCCATGGCAACAAACCGTTCTACCTTATCCCATGCAGCATGGCCCATAACCACACTCCACATAGTACGCTATTCTAGGATGCCCGCGCCATTCCTGCTGCATGCACGTGTAATAGGATAACCGCCGAAAAGTTTGTGTACAGCATGCGTACCAGTGTTCCATCTTTAGTGTGCGTCAAGTTAAATTTGCTTGAAGATAAGTTTGTTTTCCTACTCGCACTGGTGGAACACGGAAAATTGTAATGTGTCTGTGTCCCATATACCACTTCAGCCTCATGGCATGTCAGACGCAGACGCACTACATTATTCAGTGTTCCAATCTCGCTCGTGGGATAACTAATAATATACTCTGAAAGTCAGAAATCATAACTTCATATTAGAATTTAAAACAAATGTTTGTTTTGATGTACAGGATAAGGAGTCTTTTAAGGAACTGAAGCCAGCCTTTGAGATTGCCAAGAAAGTGCTCAAGCACCAGTATTATGCCATGCAGGTAAGCAACAAAAGGATGGTATTAATATGCCAAGGATGTCTCAACAATTTCTGACACACAGCTTGTTGGGGAGTGATTTCTTCATTTAAAATCACTTAACCTTACAAAGATAATGGTATTCCAGAATAAGAATGTATTGGAACTCATTTATTAAGTGTTTTAATTATTGCTGAATGTGGTTTTTTCTTTGATCAGGTGGCTAAGAACACAAAGCGAGACGTACGTAAGGAGTTATCTGATGTATCCGATGTCATCAAAGCTTCATTTGCTCGTCTCCATGCAGTCTTACAAATCAGGTACTCTCAGCAATCCACCGCTGTGCAACATTTCTTCAATTCAACTGATAGATTTTTCCCTTCTCAATTCCCAAACTTGCCATAAAGCTTTTATGACATAATGGTAGTAATACTTGAACTTGCATCGTAACTTTTACTCCAGAGTTTGTCCTGGACACACTTGCTTTTTATGTTAACTGTATGGAATGTTCTTTCATGTTTCAGAGAACATGCCTTAGTTGAGCAGGCGGTTGGTATTGCAGCTCAGCAGACTCAGTATCTGGATGCTATGCTGACCAGCGTAGATGGAAACATTAGCATCTTAGAGTCAGCCATGATAGGTAAAATGACTTCCATTCAGAAATCTAGTTTTATAACGGTATAATGTTAAAGTGAATTCATAAATACCTCAGACTGGTTACCCATTCCTATTGGTCAAGAGCCCGTCATGTGGGTGGTTTTAAACCGCTGATAAAACATTGGCTGGTTTTAAACACAATTGGCCAGAGGGGTGTATCACAAAACATGAAGTAAATTGTTGGACACAATAATTGTGAATTTTTGTCTTGTTTTGACTTTTTGACCAGCTTGGGCCATTGTCAGGATCATCCCCCTAACCGGTTTTAAACATACGGCCATACATTGTTTGAAAGCGGCCAAGCACATGTTTATGCCCTTATTTGTTATTGACCCTAACCCTCCAAAATCCTCAAAAATTCATAGCAAGGTTTTGACAATTTAGCAGGATTGAGGATGGCACATACCAGTTGCTATTATGTTTCTTGGAGTTTATTTAAAAACAATTGGAACCACATTCAGGATTCAGTGATTGGTTGTAAACAAAGAACAAAGAACGACTTGAAATTGTAATTGAATGGTAAGTAGGTTTTTTAAAACTGCCTTTCCACAGATGCGATGAGTAGCCTGGATGATGGAGCTACAATTCCACCCAACATCACCAAGCTTGTACACACCCTGAGGTCATCGCAAGCTCTACCAAGCCACGTAGTGATTCCTAAAACAGAGCGACCACAGCCACTGAGTTCCTTCACTTACAGCAGCGATGCAGTCAGTAGCTTGATGATGTTTGGAGCAGTCAAGATCTGCAAGGACCCAAGGTCAGAGAGGATTTTAAAAAAATTATTGATGAAGATCTTGCTTGAATCCCTCTGCACATCTATTAGAAATGACCATACAACCTGACCACAGATGATGCATTCATGGCCAACAATGTTACATTTTGTCCTCTGACAGATTGGAACTGAAGACAGATTCTGATCTTCCTGAGAACTGGGAAGCACCAGAGATCAGCGAAGACGTCTTGAACAACTCAGCCATCCATAACTACAAGAAGAAGAAGGAACAAAACAAAGCAGCGTCCCCTAGAAGTAAGTCGTGTTTCTTTGAGATTGAGTAATACATGAATGGAACAAAACATTGTGATGATGAAATCAAATGTCAATGATCTTATTATTCTTTTCACTGTTTCGTTGTCAGTAGTGGGGAAAGCTGTCAATGCTGCTGTACAATCAAGACTGGCTGAGACCAACCAACAAAGCGCAACAAGCAAAGGCAACAGTAAACTCGTCAGAAGTTCTGTGGCTGCAAGAAACACAAGTAAACAGTTATTTTATACATCAAATCGTATATCATGCCAACATTTAGCCAATTCAGCCACATAGTTTGGTGTCTAGGGTTTTTAACTGAAGGTTGTTTAAAAAGTTTACTAAGGCCTATTAAAAAAAAAATGTGCCTTCCGTATGTGATGTGCACTTTTCACATTTGTGTGCAATTTATGGTTTTTAATATTCATATATTTTATGGTAATATGAATTTCCGTATTCATGAGAAAAATGGTGGTCATCTTACGGAAAAAAATGTTGTCACAACTGTTTGAATACAGAATTGTTTTTGTCTTTTGCCTGAACAATTTTGATTTGGATACAAATATCCCATTATTTTTCTACAATGAGAGGCATAGATGTTCCACACAATATTTGTAGCGTGAAACACCTTTTGAATATACAGACTTTTCCCCCTTTTAGATGTCTTCGGCCGAGAGTTGGTACGAGTGACCCATATTCGCAATCCATGCTGTTTCTATATTCAGCGAGAATCGGACCAATCGCAACTCAGCAGCATGATGGTTCGAATCAACAAAGATTGCAAGTCCACCAAACAGTCAAACAGATTGCCTGAGGATCTGAGCATTGGTAAGGAAGTTTGTCACATTGAGGGTTCGAACCTAGAACACATTTTGCACATTGTTAATTCTCAAACATATGCATCAATTTGGTTTTGAATTTACAATTACAATTTTCTCCTCAGATACTCTGTGCTGCTGTTTGTATGACGCTGATAAGACGTGGTACCGGGTTCGAATCAAATCAGTTACTTACCCCGATCCTGAGGTCACACTACCCTTTCCTACTCCGCCCATGAGCCCCAAACAAACCCCCGAAGAATCCTCGGAAGATACAGCCCAAGGAAACGAGGAGGTTGGTGAGAATCAGAGTGAGGTCAAATCAGAGGTGGATTCCGAGGCTGGATCAGAGACTAATTCTGAGATCAGTCAAGATGTCTTGTTTGAGACCAAGCCTACAGTGAAACCGGATGGTAAACCAGACGTCAAGCCCAAGACGAAACCCAACGAACCTAGAGTGGATGTCCTGTATGTGGATTATGGAAACAGTGAAACAGTGCCACTCTCCAAGTGAGTTTTGTGTTGACTGATCATCAGCTTTCAAGTTTAGATACTGTCATGTTTGATTGAGTAATTAAACTTGCTTGACTAATGAGATTTGTCAAGTGGCTTTGCAGTCTGCATGGAAAATATTACCTGGACCTGAGGGAGCAAAAGGGTTAATCCAATACAAGGGAGGTTTTTCTGTATTGAAAACAATATTTGCACATGCTCATAATTTATTTAAAATTTGTTGGTTTGTACCAGACTGTGCAGAATTAAGCAGAAACATGGAAACTTACCTGACTTGGCAGTCTGCTGTTCATTAACTGACATTGTGCCGACTCGGAAGGTAAGAAAACCATCAACCATCTTCTCAATGTGGTCTGTTTCTTGGAGTTTGTTACTTTAAAAGTTACAGTATTTTGTGAATCAGATTTTTGCCGTTAAAATAGTTGGATTTAAAAATGAAATCTTTGAATTTGTTTATTTAGTCTGGTCGCTGGTCGTTGGAAGCAGTGCATTCCTTTGCCAAGATGGTTGGGGACAAGCCCGTCTACATGAGTGTGAGTAACGCCAATTCCTTCTGTCTTCCTGATAGTCGAGATTGCCGTATGATGTGATGTTGAGATTTGTACATGATTTTGCAATTACTCAGTGATATTGATTGACTTTTTCCATGACTGTTACTGCTGCATCTTTCATTGGTGTTGCAGGTCCTTGGCCATTCAGGAGCAACTCTCTATGTTGATCTTCACAAACCGCCTCTCTTAGAGGTTGAGAATGACATGCCGATATCCCTCCGAGATGCTTTGGTCTTCTTGGAGCTTGCCTGCTTCGTATCGCCAGACTCAGTCCCAGAGGGTAAGACTTAGCCAGGTGTGAATTACTTGGCTGTGGCTTACCGTGACACATGTGGCTATGAGAGCGGCAGTGTGTGTCACTGTCAGCAGTAGCTAAGTGATTCGGATGCAGCCTTTGAGTGACCCTGAAATTAGTTATTCATCAATGCATATTTTGTATACATTGTTGGATGCAGTGATGGATTGGAGTAACTGATCGTTCACAAACTTTGTGCACATGATACTTAACTTTTTTCTATCGAAGACACATCACCTTGTGGTGCCACTGACAAAAATTCATGACTTTGAACCATACGAAGTGATTCACCCTTGTTGACTGTTTTAAAAATGCAGTTCACTATTCACAGTGGTTGGACTATATGCTGAAACATGATGAGGGCACTATTGTTGTCATGACGATGATGTTTTCTTTTTTGTGAATCTAGCAACCCCCTCTAGAGGGCCTCCTCTCAAGTTCATCTCAGCCGATCTTCCAGTTCAAGGCGAGGAGATTCTAGTCACTGTCAGTCATTTCCAGGATCCTCAATGTTTCTGTGTTCAGGAGGTAATATAAAAGTCCTTAAGAATTCCTGAGTTTTGTGAGATTTTTTTAGTAAGGGAAAAATATTATATTGACGAGTGGGACTAAAAAAAACGTTACAAATCTGTGATCTCCAGAGCTCCATACCAGTGCCTCGCTTTCTCAGTTGTCAAGCTGTGTTGTAAATTATCCATCGTTTTCTCATTACCAGTTGTAAGGCAGTCAAGTACTTTCATAGTTGGTCCTCGTCTGATTTTGAGGCAAAACCGGTGAAATAAAGAGTAGAAATGAATAATGGAAAAAAACTCTTGTGTTTTGACTTGTCAGTTCGTGCACAATTCAATTTATAAATTTGTGAATCTTGTATAATGCTGCTCTTGTTCTGATATTTCTCTACTCAGATTGGTGCAGATTGCGAGTACCTCCTGAAGATGATGAAGGATCTTCAAGAAGCTTACAACAAGAATCTGGATGATCGATGGAACATCCTCTGCCCTAAGAAGGGAGCTATCTGTGTGGCTCACTTCACTGAGGATAGACAGTGGTCTAGAGCAGAGATTGTTGGTGAGTTGCCTTCGTTAAAACTCAGGAGCAAAGTGATCGTGTACATGCTGCTCGTTGGGTGAGTCTAGAAAATGTTGATATATTTTCATCATTCCCGTTTTGATTCTTTAGATTTGCCAGGAAATCAGGAAGTAGATGTCTTGTATGTCGACTACGGCAACTATGAGAGAATTCACGTCTCTAATCTCCGCAAGATATCCAAGAAATTCCTGAAACTGTGCGTGCAGGTAGGGTTCCTTCCTTTGTCCATCTGGTTTGAGAATTGTTGTAAACAAGGTCAATCTTCTACCCCTATGTATCCTAATATTTCATTTATTTGACTGTCAAGTTGGTTGTTTTGGATTTAGGCCTTACCCTGCTCTCTGGTTGACATCGGACCTAAGGACCCTGAGAAAGGATGGACGGCCAAAGAAAATGAAGGATTTGGTAACATCGTCCTGACTAAGGCTCTGAGAGCAACTGTCAAAGGTAAGGAATAACAAATGTATAATGAATAGACAAATTTGCCTTAAGACATTATTACCAGAATTTGCTTGTGGCCTGGTACCCTGTTCCTTCTGGCCGATGGATGTGAAAAACAGGTTCAGAACCAGACTGCTGTATTTATTTAAGGCAGTGAACACAAATTTGTAACAGCAGGAAAATATGACATAACCTGCTTATAATTCACCAATCAAATTACAAAGTTTGGGAGATTATGGAGGTTTTTGCTTTTGCTTTTTGTCTTCAGGTATCGAGAGTGGGAGATTGTCCATCATTTTGGTTGAAGACCGGCAGGATCGGGAGATCAACATTAACGCATTGATGGTGCAGAAGGGATTTGCTCAGAGCACAGGACCTGGGTAGGAATGTTAACAATTAAACTGTGTGTTTTATTCATTTGTTTCTTTGTTGTTTATTTTTTTTCATGAAGTGAAGTTATCATCAGCCTTGCTGAACTGTGGTGTCTTTTGCAAGTTTGCTTTCCGTCCGGCAAAGTTGTGTCATGTCAGTTAAGTTGATTGGCCGATTGCTTTAATAGTTTCAAGCATCTGTCCTTTGATAATTCCATCTTCTTGTGAGTGTATTGTTTTCTTGACTTCAATGTATTGTTCTCATTCGTTCAGGTCTGTCAGTGCAGCGATCATCTTTGACATTCCTCACAGTGACTTCTCTGATGACGAAACCGTGAAAAACGAAGAAACTCCATCATCAGATTCAGGCACAGAAACCCAAACCAGCGCCCCCAAGACAAACGGAGCATCACAACCCTACAGCATCACTTCACCTGCAAGGCCACAGTTGACTCCCAAGCTGAGCTCTCAGTACACGTCGGTTCATGTCAGTCACGTAGAGTCACCGGCTTGTTTCTATATTCAACTCTCAACGGCTGGAAAAGATGGCTTAGATAGGTAAGTGTAAGTGTAAGTGAAAGAAATGAAAATGGGAAGAACAAATTAAAGAGTGCAAGAAGGGGGTTAGGAAGGGTCTAGGAAAGGGTGCTGAAACGGATTTTAGAAAGGTAAGTAGTGTGTGTGTGTTAACGTAAAAATATGCCAGTTCGAATGTGGTAACATGCTTATTACATTCTACTTGTGATCTATTCTGTGGGAAATTGACGATAACTTTGGTGAGCAGAAACTCTCTATTCACACTTGTCATTCTTGCAGCTTGCTTGAAACCATGACTCTAACCCACCAGCAGTTAGAATCAGCTGAAGACATCGTATGGCAGGAAGGAGATATGTGCGCTGCATTGCTAGTCAGGGAAGGAGCATGGTGTAGAGGACGTATCAAGACAGTGCTGCCCGATGAGAATGCTGTGGTGAGTAGCACGAATATGGATGTGCATTTTGGGGAAACTGAGAAGTAAATTCACTTTATTGAAACAAATTGTCGATTTTATTACTTTTAACTCCAATTTACAGATTGTGAAAACAAAACATGGCGTGTATGCAGTCAACACTGCATTACAGGAATGATAAGGCTAACCCCCCCCCCCAAAAAAAAAACCCACCAAAAACACCAACTCGGTCCAGTCCAGCCAATCTGGCTGCAGGTTAGCCTTCCACCATGACTTGCCAATCCAATGCTCCTTTCTTTCTTCTGTTAACCATATGCATCCTTTGCTGTCTCAAATTGTGTAAATTGAAGTGGCAAAATTTAATGAAAGAGGGTCTGTGACAATGCATGAAGCATTGACTTCAAATGCTAATATGGCTGTTCAGAGAGTCAATTCATAAAATTTATAGCAATCGGTGTAAATTTCAAATGCTAATATGGCTGTTCAGAGAGTCAATTCATGAAATTGGTAGCAATTGGTGTAAATTTCAATTCAGCATAGAGCCTTTGGACAAGTGGTAGTGGTGCCTATTATTACCCAGTTGATAACACACCAAAAGAAGTGAGCCCTCTAGGGAATCATATGAGCCAGGGTTGAAAGGGTTGAGGTAGTGTAGCCTCTTGCCGTTATGCACCAATTTGCAGTGTGGACTAAAGGAAGTGAGCCCTCTGGGGATGCTATTAAGCCAGGCCTGGATGTTGAAAGCAGGGCATGTATGATGTTGTGTCGCAGTTCTATTAAAGTAGAAGGGCTTTAACTCCATCAGGGTTAGATTTGGGTGAAAATCCCTCCAGAGTTTTCATTTTCTTTTCTTTATTTAATTAATAGCTTACGGTTATTTGCTTGGGGTAGCTGTGGCTAAGATTATACTCGTGTTTGAAGAACAGAATCTCTGATTGTTTTTTGTTTTTTTGAGGGAGGGGGTAAATTTGAGTTAAATCTGGATGTTAGTCTCTTTTTTCAATGTTGATAATGTTCTGAACAAATTTTAATGTGAATAGTTTGGAGTACAAAGTCAACAGGTATGTGTTTAAGAGTTTTCAGAAGGATTTAGCATTCTTACAAGGATGGAGGAAAGTACGGGAAGTCATTTTGCAGAGAATTCTGTGTTGGTCCTTGGGGAAATCATGGTTAGCCTAGTTAGAGAGAAATGGGACTTATGAAGAAAAAGGAGGATCTGATAGTGAGAGGATCGGAAGAGCTTGAGGGTGTTGCAGGAGCAGGAAGTATGGTCGACAATGATTTCCCAAAATTATGACCGGAGTGCGCACTTCCATCTGATTGTCTTCCTGTAATGTGGATCCTTTAGCTGATAGGTCTAGCGTTAGTGTAAGGCACTCCTCATGAAAGAGAAATGTAAACAATAATGGATGCTTTTTTATCAAAATGGCAGTAGTTTCAAATTTCATGAGTGTTTCTCTTTTTGGAAGTCTGAAAGAAGAATTTTTTGCACAAACACACCAAAGTGGTAGCTGTAATGCAACCTAAGATTCTATTTGTATTTTCAAACGGGTTAGGCTGAACTGCTAAAGGAGCACTGTTACTGTTTTGGTGAGATTGCGATCTGGCAAACATGTTGCCTTTCCAACGTGCTTTCTATGGAACTCAAACGCCAACGTATCAAGTTTGATACAGCGCCAACAGTTTAACAATTGGTCCGCGCTACCGCTTTGTGGTGGATGCAAATGCGCAGAGAACGTGATACCGGTAATCGAGCGCATGCGACCATATTACTTTCATTGACACTTTCTTCGTTTAAGACCCGGGCAAACAGGCATTATATGGATGTGGGATGGGCTTTGTGCTAGTGAAAGTTGACAAAAAGTGTGGAAAATTGGATTGGGACAAAACTGTTAAGCTATGAGATGCAAGAGTGAAAGCACGCTGTATGACGCTTTTTATCTTACAAAACTCTCGCTGTATCATATTTGATTCACTTTCTGATTTATATACGGTATATATGTTAATAAGATTCCTGCCCCTAAGTAACGTGCCATCTTGTTGAGATAGAGTGGTCAAAATGTTCTGTGATCAGTAGTCTTCATTCTCATTCATTTAGACCATTATCAAAATTCGCTATGAATTAACTCCATCCATTCTTTTGAAGTATGTGACATTTTTTGAAAGTATTGTTTGGAAAATGTAAGTATTTAGGGAGAAATGGTAGGATTGCATGGTGACTTCAGTGAAATCAACCCTCTTATTATATGTATCCCAAGGTTTTAATTGTCACATCGTAATGTGACATTTCGGCTCACTTCTTATTCCAAATTCAAGATATCCCACCAGAAATCCAAGATGGTACGTTCAGTTTCTCAAAGTAGTACTTATCCCTAGAAAGTGAGCATATGACTTGAGAGATAAGAACTTTTTTTCACAAGGTATGTGATGTGCTGAAAATCAATAATGATCCAGCACTCATAGTTAGTACGGTTGCTTCTAAGTTCCGGTGAGCTACATTGTATTTGACAAGATCTAGGAGATAGTTCCTAATAAATTGGCTCAGCCGGGCGTAGATGATGAGACTTTATATTGACACTGCGGTGTCTGGTAGGGAATGTTGTTTACTTGTAATGATCGGGATCTATGGAAGATTACTTAATGTGCTTGTTTGGGGGGATTGCGAAGTAGCTAGAAAATTGGGTGCAATAAAGTGTGCCTAGATTGCAGGTCTTGCCGATAGCTACGTACCATCCCTGCGGGAATTTCAATTGTACCTTTGAAAAATCATTGATTCTGTCTGGAATGTAATGCTGTCACTTTCCAAATAAGAAAGAATGAATTTTTAAATTGGGTTTCTTTAATACTTATCACTGTTATTAATAACCTGAAAACCATGATTGTAGAATATGCACAATTAGTACAAAGAAATCAATACATACACTTGTACAGTTGAAAACTAGATTACAATTTCCTTAAATTATTCAGTGTATTTCCTTGAATTCACCAGACGTCTTGTTCCTTCTCTTTCTAGATCCTCTTCACCGACTATGGCAACACTGAAGTGGTATCCTTCACTAACATCCGGCCACTCTCGACTAAGTTTCAGAAGGACCCACCCTTTGCAATTCAGTGTCACTTGGCCGATGTAATGCCAGGAGGAGACAAACAGAAATGGACTAGGACGGCCTGCGAGTTCCTGGCGGCTACGTTGTCTGACTTGGAATGTGTCATAGTCAAGAAGGTTGGTAGACTGGTGCCCTGACTCTCATTGGTATGAGGACAGGCAGTGGATAGAGTCTGGGTGCCATTATTTTATGAAACATGCCCATCTTTGAAAAAGATCCTGCGGTGGTCCAAGCATCAGGCTTTCAAATTTTTGTGATTTGCATATTTCAGGTCCATCCAGTCAGTAAACAAGGGTTTGAGTAGGTTAACTCAAATTTTCCAAGGGGTTTTAAACACTTGTCAGTCTTCATCCTCTTTATCTTTTTATTTTGGCTCGATAATTCAGTTTGGTTTATTTGTCATTTTCCAGGGTGACCTGCAGAATGGATCTCTGCCCATTGATCTACTCTATGAACGCTCCATACAGGAGAAACTAGAACAACAGACAACAGAGGATTTTGGAAGCATTGCCCAGTTGCTCATTCTTAAAGGATTAGCGCTGCCAGTCAGGTAGGAGTTTATAGCGCTCCTGTTCTCAAGTCACAGGTTTTATCAAATTATGTGATTTCATCCCAGTTAACTTGCCATCAATACAATACAAAACAAAACAAAAAGTAAAAAATTTCTTATTAAGCTCCCAATTGAACAGACTTTGTCCTTACAGTACCATCTGAGTCATTGTTCATTCTTGTGGCATGAAATAAAAGTGATTTAGAATCATTAATGAAACAAATTTGACATTATTTAGTCAAAAATTTGTGAAATGTGCATAATTTTGCAACAAAAATGTGAAAGTATTGCAATTATTGGGGTTTTCTGGATTCTTTCTTTACTGTAGACGAGGTCTTACAAAGGCCACAGCCAAACCGCCAGTGCCCCATCAGCTTCCTGCAAACGTTTCTTCATCTCATCCACCAGCATCTGACTCACCACTCAGTACTCCAACCACAAAGTCTCACGATAAACCTTCCCAGCATGCATCTGGCTCACCGCAAGGACTCAGCGCTCAGTTGAGGGTGTCTCAGTTTGACTCGGCTGAGGATGAGGCAGGAGATGAGTTTCCTCGGTATCTTCTGCCACCATTACCAACCAGCGGGAGAATGGATCTGGTGATTACATTTGTCAGTCCTGATGGCCTTATCTCAGGATTGGCGGCGGGGGAAGGTCAGTTTGCACTTTGAGCTAATAATATAAATCATTTTGTTTGATTGGGGAGGGGGAACAATCCAGCAGTGTTGTCGTCGAGTCAATCATAAGTCTATCACAAGTCCGATCAAATGTAAATCACAAGTTCTTTTACAAGTCCAGCCTTAAGTAACAGGCGATGAACAATGTCATGGGAATATGAATAGTTTGGTTGCCGTACCCGCTACTGTACCAAATTTCGAACCAACCAGCCGACCATGGCAAGCTCGGTGGTCGAGTGGTAAGATGTATGCACTAGTAAAACAGGAGGTCAGGGGTTCAAATCCAGACAAAGTTTTTTGTGAATTTTTTTCTCACAATTGCTCGGGAAAACTGTGAGTAAACAGTGTTTATAAAAATAGGTTGATGAAGGGCACAACCCAATATTTAATATAATTGACAAAGGAATGCTTTTGCACAGTTGAGAGGCCATAATTCTGGAGTATTTCATGAATATTTGTTTTTGGCTAGTCTGACAGAGGATGTCTGTGTATTTTTGGTAGTTGGCACATTCCGGGATGTGATGGAGAGACTACAAGCAGCTAATGCCATAGCTCAGTCCGTACCCACAGCTAGCGAGCTTCATGAAGGACAGGCAGTGTGTGCACAGTTCCAGGAGGATGGTCTGTGGTATCGAGCTAGAATCATCAGGCTACATGCAGACACTGTGGAGGTGAGTAGAGACAAACCATTCTTTATATACGTAGGTGTGCAACTGAGCGATAAGAAGTACATGTAGGAGTTTGGGTCGGTATCTGTACTCATAAATAAGTGTTCAAGATGCAGGTGAAGTGAAATATTAACCTTAACAATCCTGAATCTTCCAATTGCAAAACAGTTTTCACGCACCCTAGGGAGTTAGGCATTGTAATGATCAATCCAATGACTTGCAGCTTTTTTCTATGTATGTATGCAATTTTGCCATCTGATGTCTGTTCTTCTGATTGTAATTATGGATTTATTGTTTGTTATGATAATGTTTAGAACAGTATTAAATTAATGTGATTTTAGCAATTTTCTATAATTGTTACTGTCACAGTTTTATAGTTGGCTTTGAACAACCAAAATCACTTTTTTTCCCCAAATGAAGAGACTTTTCCCTCATACGCACAGTAATAATTCAAACTCCTGACATGATTCTATCACAATACAAATCTATCTACAATGATGTTATGACTGCTCTCTAAACCAGCTCCTTCAGCATGGCTGAAATGTGTACGTGTGTAAAGGTCACCAGTAAAATAAATCTATATTTGCACATGTAACTGATGTATTCTTATTTATTATAAAACGTTTTTTTTTTTATTTTAAATTTTGTATTATAAAAGGCTGTAGGTGGCGATGAAGACTTTGTAATTTGATCTAAAATAATATCACCTGTATATTGATTCAATATTAATATACAGACGGGTACAATTACAAATTGCTGTCGTAACATCTTGACTTGTAAGAAAATTACTGGGGGTGTATTTACAAGATAAAACCAATAACACTAGGATAGAGAAAGTTGGAAGAAATCTGATCAAGGGTCTCGTAATGCAAGTAACCTTGTGTTGTGCCAGTTCCTGATTATTCGATTTCACCGACACTAACATACCACTCCACAAATTTCTTCCCCTAATCTGACTTACAAATGTCTGAGTGCGGCTGTTTTTGAGTGGCATTATCAGACTGATCTTATTACATATCAGTGAACCTTCAGGGTAGGGACGACTTCAATTTCCTTTTGACCGCCGGAAAGAAATGGATATATTGTATATTTCATGCTGTTTTTTACAATTTGCATGGCATGATTTTATACGGGATCAACGGTGCCCTTATGACTCGCAAGATTACAGGCTGTGGAAGATGTGAGAAATATCCACTTATCCTCACTCAAGTAGGAATTCATAAATTCTACAAAACAGAAGTCTTGTGGTCTGAAGGAATTTTTGTGGTGGGGGGGGGGGAGCGTTGGTTGCAAATATCCTTTTCTTTTTTTGACACAAGATTTGGTCATGAAAAGAAAATATGATCAGAACATGACCCACAGCTGGTTTTAACACTTTATTACACAATTACATATACTGTCGGCAGGATTGTTTTTTTTAATTGTCCATAAATCTCATGTGTTCGTAGTTATTACCATACAAATTAATTGAGCATATCATCAAACGTTTTCTTTGAACTGAATCCAGCACTGAACTTTCATTTCCTGTGACTACTACATTCCAGATGTTATCATAATCTGACATGTCGCTGAGAAAATTTGTTGAGACAAATCTGAAGTCACTTGAAATTCAGTCCTTATTACTTTAGTTTGAGAAGGAAATCCGTGTCACATGTTAGACTAGACTGATCTAGTATCATTATCTAATTCTTGGTTTCATTTCATTGGCAATTTATTGGTGCTTCATAAGTACTTTAGGTTAGGGTGGGGGCTAAACTGTTATTAATACTCACCACAAATTACAGTCTCTGCAATCAATACTTAAAATCGTTCCTGAATTTTTTTTTCAGTCCAATATTATCGTTTGAAAATGCACCAATTTTATAAGTCTCTAAATTTCCTTTTTTTTTCTCAATAATTTTTTTGGGGTGGAGAAGTTTTTGCCCACAAACCTGTTGCATATTTGTTGTGTCTTACTGGGGTATTTGTGGATATGGTCATCAGTCCCAGTAATTACTAGGTTTTACTCAGATGAACTTTCTCACTTGATGGGTAACGTGATGGGTTGCAGATAGAGTGCATGCTCCATAAGAATATCTTGAGTTCATCCAAACTATTAAAGAAAACAACGTCTCGGGAGTATGCACATCTAACTCCAAAGGGGCAGATTTCCAATCGATTGGATTGGATTTCCCGAGTACATGTACTTCATTTGAGAATTTGACCCGAAATTTTTAGGGTATTGGGTTGCTGGATCTGTTATCTACAGCGGGGGAGGATGCTGTTGATTGCCTGACTGCCAGGGAAGGGGGTTCTATTTGTCCTATTCCCTCGTTGGTTGGAGGAGTTTCTCCGGGAGTTTTTGATTTTATTTTTCGTGTCTTGATTTCTTGAAATCATTGGTGTGTGTAGTCCCATGGATGTAAGCACATCTGAGAACATCACAGCCTGGCTTTAGTAAAAAACATGTTATGGTTATAGGCTATAGCACCTAAAATGTCAAACAATGTGTTTCTAAAAAGAGTTAAGGAGATTAATTTAAGCTCTGTCTGTAAAAGTCTGTTATTGTACAGGATTGCCGTGTTTAATATTTGGTGATTTTGTTCTATTTTAACAATCTAATAAGGCCAGTGAAAGACAGTAAAATTTCTGATTTTATAACTGTGAAATGTCCTCATATTTGTGCCTCTTTAGGCAATGGCCATAAATCATGCCATCTCCATAGCATGAATAATTATCCCCTGGAGAACAAGTCTGGAGATATGGAGGTAAAGCGAAGACATTAAGCCTGGTTTATTAACAAGCATTAGAGCGTTAACACTGATTGATGATAACCTGTCTATGCCCCCAAAATTCCTCACTTTTCTCACTCGCATGACTTTTAAAGTAAACAAGATCATAGAAAACGCTTATAGAATATGAAAACCGAATGATAAGCTCTCTAATAAAAAAATCATTATGAATAAAAAAGAATTCCCTCAAAAATGGAAGGTGGCAGAGAACACCTATGGGAGGTAGAAGTGAGGTAGGTCATCAGAAGATATCTCAGTTGCATAAGATGATTATAGTTTTGATGGATTTAGATATTAAGTATTTGGAGCAGATGTTTAGCAAGATAACCTATTGGCACATATACTTTGTAATTACATTGTATTACATTGTACTTATTCCCTCATGAATCCATAAACCATACAGTGTTGTGGTGGCTTGGAATATTAATAATAAAGGGAGTAAAATGCAGGGCAGTTTTGGGGCAGTACAGGGACTCATGGATTGTGCTTGGTTTATAACTCTTATGTTGTAATGCTTTTATGCCTCATGCGCAATTTCACCATTATCACTTTCATTATTCTCTGTCTAACAATTGTACTCTCTCAGTAGTACGTGCACTTTAATAGTGCTTGTCTTCAAAATTGTTGATTCTATTCCTTTAGTAGGCCTAATAAATGTCACTTCTCCACTTGCAGTAATCTGACAAATATTCAATTTCATTCGTCAAACTCATTTTGCAACTTTTCAGTGTGTGTCATGAACTCCCCCCTTCCCCCCAGAGTGAACCAATGATATACATGTACTTCTTTTCATTGAAACAGGTGCACTATGTGGATTTTGGCAACTCAGAGACTGTTCCTTTGACAAGCATTCATCTCAAACCGTTCATGTTGGATATGCCTCAACAAAGCCGCGATTGTATTCTCATTGGTCTCAAACCGGTAAGTCTCAAATTTGAAATGAAATTTAAAAGTTAATCATAAAAGACAAGGTAGGGATTCTAACCGTAGACACCCAATCTGTTGTTGGTTCAGTGCTCAACCAATTAAAGCTATGCAGCCAATTTATCTATTAATTGGTCTAATTTTTTATACTGGTCATTATTTTGTGTAATCTTTTTTTTGGCTGGACTCGGAGGGCATCGTATTCCCTCTGACTGGCCAAACTAACTGACTGACTGAATAACTTACTGACTCCCCAGATATCCGAGTATAAATAATGTCCTTAATTAAACGTTCTGATGCTGCTCAACAAGGCAAGCCTAGACTGTTTCTGCTGCATCTTGGGCAATCTAAAAAAAACACTTCAGTGGTCATCTTTTTTCTTTAAATGTCTCTAAGAGATCTTTATTTTGACATTTTCATGTGAACTTACAACCGGGCAAAGAGTCACATGTAATGCTTAGATCAGATAAGATTGCACATTGTCTTATTGAGGAGTTGTTTTCCTCCATGGCTTTTTAATCCATTAACCGTTCCTTGAATAAGAGTAATCCATCATCTTAAGACCATGTTGAAAGGTTAGGACTCAATACAGCTGATTCCCTTAGGACCATTAGGCATGTAAGATCTCCAATTGTATTGTTGTTTACTCGACAAACGGCTGCCGTAGTTATAAAATGGTTGGAGATTAACAATGAGCTAGACATAAAACTCTCACAAAGCAGGAGCGGCTGACAAAAAGATGAATTCACTCTCTAAAGGATAAAGGTAACTCTGGGTCAGGTTATGAAACATTGATTTGTTTGGGCCTACAGAGTGTTTTCTGTGGATTATTAATTTGTTTTTGCTCTTCCACAAAAAGGGTTTGTATTTTTAACTTTTGCACCTAAAATCATGAAATACAACTTTACAGGTGAAATGCTTGATGGAATGTTCTTCATTGTATTGCATTGGTTTCTGGGAGTGGGAAAACTATTTTGATCGCTGTCTGTGATTTGTTTCTTTAACTCTTTGTGATCAGTTTTAGTCATCAATTTCTAGTGATATCTCAAAAATAGACACTTTTAAGGAGAACTTTTACAGTAACAGATTCCAAATTTATGCCCTGTTCTCAAAGTATGGAATAATCATTTCCAGTTTCCTTCAAAAGATGTCTGTTTTTTTCCCAAAGGGATTTTCTAATCTTGCTTCCAAAAATTATTTTCGCTTGAAGTATTTTGATTTATTTAAATCGTGCTTTAAAAAACTAATTTAAAGTATTTTGATTTATTTATGGGTCTGTACGTCAACTAGTTTTACAAATTACGATCCTGAAGGCGACCAGCGTTAATTCAGTCATGATCAGTCTCAGTGTAACTTGACTTGTTTCAAGCTTAAAGCAAAACAAAGCATAGATTTATCTAGTTACAGGGAGTGATCAGACCTGCAGGCAGCGATCATCTGCACAAGGTGCATTAAATTGAGCAGGGACGCTTTAAGGCTGTCCTCTGGACATGAGATGAGATGTCCAGAGAGGCTTAGGCTATGTCTGAATCACTCTGCTGTGACTGGCATTCTAACACACACAGGGAATTGGATTAAGCCGCTTCCCATAGGCATTCATGTATGTGTAATTGCAAACCATAGCGGAATGAAATAACCAAATCATTCACAGAGATATGACCGTTAGTCACCCTCATTCCAGTCGTAACTCGTCAACAAGACCTGATCATCCAAAATGTCCTCAAGCGACTGCCCTGCTGGACACTGTAAAGTCTTTGCAAATGAACAATTGCAGTTTTTGTCACAGTTTGTGCAAGACAGTGGTGATATTTGTTGGGTTGTTAAACCTCTGTTAGTTTTTTTCTTATCTCCTGTTATGTACTTCTTAAATTTAATAAAAAAAGAGAGAGGTTTTCCTCTCCTCTCGCCACATTTTCACCAACCATGCCAACTAAAAAAAACAGTAACATCTGAATCACTCTGTTTTAATTTTTTTTTTATTTTACAAAACTTTTATTTGCAGAAGTCGAGCCCTTCCTGGCCAGCTACAACGATCCAATTCTTGTTGGAGAGTCTCGTTGAGCAAGCGTGTACAGCCCTGATCCAGGTAGAAATAATGGAAGAATAGTATCTGATTATTACTTACGGGTGGAATTTATTTATTTATTCATTTATTTATTAATTCATTTATTTGGATGGTCTGTTATTTTATTCATTCATTCATTTATTGAGTCATTGAACCATCAGTCAACTGAACTACCGATAAGTCAATTGAATAATTGATCAGTGCATTTTTTGATTTATTTGTTGCTGCCTTTAAGGCAATCATTTCTTTATTCTTGCTAGGTTGTATTTTATGTCATGTTTTTTAGTCTATTTAAAATGGGTCAGGATTGTGAAATCATCAGGAAGCATTTCAGCCTTCAATTCATGATGGATGGCCCTGCAAATGCTTACATAAAAAAGCTTCTTATTTGCTAGAGCTTTAAAAAAAAACATTCTTAAAGAATTAGGTTGATTAATGGGTTTTAAAGTGGAAGGCCATTATTTTTTCAATCTTTCTGTGAAAGCTTTGCACAGACTGCTATATCCGTGGGTGCACTATACTTATTTAGAGTGATAACTGTCTGAAAGAAGAAGGACTGTAAGCCAACTGCTTGTAAAACTGACTGCCTTTTACAGCTTCTTTTGGGTGCAGTTTGGCTATTTTGACTGAGTCAGTTTTTCCACAGATCGTACACTGCTAAAAAATAATATTTTTACATTAAAAAATACATTTTGTTTCAAGAAATATTTTCTTGTCATGAGTATGACAAGAAAATATTTCTTGAAACAAGATCACTTTTAGCCGTGTCCTGAGGGATAACACCAAAATGGCTTGACCCAGGAGAGGCTTAATTACTTAAAATTTGGACATTGGCTTGATAATATCAATGGGATCATACACCTGCAAAGTGGCAACCACTAACTTCAGGATAGATGTTCATTACAAATTGATTGATTGTTCTCTGTGAATCTTGATCCAGTAGAGATGTTATGTAATACTTTATGGCTAATAAAAACAGGGGTAGGCTTACTTTTGTGGTTCTTTCGTACTCAGTGATATTGTTGTGTATATTTGTCTGGTTTCAGTCTCTTTGCAAGAAAGGAGAACCTCTGAAGGTAGACCTGCTGCTTCCTGGTGGCCAGAGCATCAACAATATCCTTGTAGCGCAAGGAATGGCAGACAATGAAGACAATGATGATGGCAGTGAGCCACGCTACCCCTCCAAAGGAATGGAGCAGTCCAGAGATGTCACCATGGGGACAGCCAATGGGAGAACAGTATCCCCTGAAGTGGAAGTAGCTATGGCTGGGCTGGAAGTTGAGTACAAAGCAATGAGGTTGCCTGCCAAAGGATCTCTACTGGCTGTGTCTGTGACTCACATTAACCAACCAGACATGGTAAATAAACTCTCCCTATATCCTTGAACACTTGTATTTCATTGTACTACATTGTATTAAATAGTATTACATAATCCATATCGTGTACAATATTTTTTTTTGTAGATTTATATACAGCCCTGGGCAGATCCTCCAGATGGCGATGATCCAATCCAACTAGAAACCTATCATCAGCTTGTTGAGTTACAGAGAATGTCAGCTGACCTCAACAAAATGGCAGCCAGCTTGCCTAGTGTCACTGACCCTCAACCAGGTAATATGACAGCCCAGCCCAGCCCAGCCCTGCTCTGCTCAGCCCAGCCCTGCCCTGTCCTGTCCTGCACTACCCTATACAGCCCAACACAACTCAATCCAATTCAGCCTAACCCAAACCACCCAGCCCAGCCGTGCCCTTCCCAATTCAGCCCAGCTCAACCCAACTTAACCCAACCAATCCAATTAAGCCCAGCATTACTTATATAGCCCAGCCCAGTGCACCCCAGCCCAACCCAGTGCAGCCCAGTGCAGCCCAGTTTAGCTGTTGCAAGTAGAACTTTTTTTTACAATGTTTAAGGGGAGGCTTGCTTCATGAAATTGTCTTCTTTTTTCCCATTCTCTTCCCCCCCCCCCCCTTTTGCACAATTTTGTGTTTATTATGTGTGTGAATGTCTTGGTTTTTTTAGGTCGTTTCTTAAAAGAGGGGATATGGGGAGTTGAACAACCTTACAAGCCAACCGGTATTAATGGCTTTTTACAAAAGAGTCAGCAAAAGAAAAAAATGACCAATGTAGTTTCCTCCCAAGAGCTCATACTGGAATCTCGCTAGGAAGCAATTTTGGCTTTGACTTCTGTCTAGGAATCCCCCCCAGGAAAGGACCGAATCTGAAGGGAGACTGTTAACAGCATTCAATCAGCGTATCACAATTATGGGGATTTCCCTCAAGTTATTTATTAGATGAAAAATGGATAATTAAATGCAGTTCTTACTTTGCGTTGTTTGAGATTTTTTGCTCATGGGGCTGACCTGAATCTAATGTTTCATATACTGGAATCCAAGCTTGTGATCAGTTGACACTACGCTCGGAAAATAGTTGTAGTGATTTTTATTTTTCAATGAGAAAAGGTATCTATAAAGCGATTTAAAAAAATCTTTTCAGTACTTGTTAAAAAAATTGGCTTAATGGAACAGAACTGTTGAAAGGGAAGGAAAACAATTTGTTTTTGTTTTTTTTAATTTTCCAAATGTAGATCACATTGCAGTTTATACGTCCAAGATCTTGCCCCGCATACCATCCCATAACAATTCAACTCAACTTGGTAAAACCATGTGTGGGTGGTATTTTATGGATGCAGGTTGAAGGCTAGCCCACACAGTGACTTGATTACAAGGGGCCTAAAAAAACATGATGACATTAAAGAGGAGTCGTCTTGGGTTCATCATGAAAAGTCATCCGTGACCAGGGTGTAAGGTTTCTCACCATTTTTTAGATTGCGAATCCTCCCTCACTCCTCCCATGACCCTGTTGTACTGCAATATTGGTGGTATTTCTTGAAAGTAGGTAAATCTATCTTGCTTTTATTGCAGTCAAGTATTTTGTGGTCTGACTTATTACGCAGGTCCTGCGCACATTGTCACACTTTTATGCCTCATGCACATGCATGTATTGTGAGCTAGAAAGTTTACTCCAGACTGTACATGTAGCAACATTGAGGTATATATGTAGCAACATTGAGGTATATATGTAATATTCTAAACAGCTGAATAATTTTTTTTTTACCTTGTAAAATTTTAGTCACAGGATGGAGTACAGAAAACTAAACATCTGCAGTTTCAAATCAAGAAATTTTCAAACAGTGCATATGGGATAGATGCCATTCAAGTACACCCAGAAATCTCTTGGAAAAAAACAACACTTCTTGTTTTTTTTACCACTGGGAAATTATACGTTTCCCTGAGCCCATTAAATGCAGGGACACTCAACGAGATGCTTTGAATAAAAGCAGGGTGTGGAAAAGGTGTAGGATAAAAAAAAATCAGATTTTCTGAAAGGAACGTGTTTGAATTGTCATTTGCCTCTTGGGAAATTTTGGAGGGCTTTGAATAAAAGGGTTTCGTTCTATCTGTTGGTGGATTTATTTTATAGTTTGTCTGTCCAAGTGAATAATTTATATGAACAGTCTTGCACAGTTAGTGGTATACGCCTCGAGGAGAATGTAGGGGGCGCTCTATTGCATACTCCAGAGAGTTGAGATAAAAGTAGCTTGACATTGGTTCATTCTTTTTGAAATCTAGCCCCAGTGTATTGTCTTACAAGATTGCATCTGTGCATTGGCAGAGAGAAGGTGTTTACCAAAAGAAATGATTATTCAGTATTCAGAAATAACAATTTTAAAAGTACTTTTAAAAAATAGAGTATACATGTATGAACACTCTTGCCCTTGCCAAAAACAGAAGTCCAATTCAAAAACAAAAGTGCAAGATGAAGTTTTCACGGCGTTCCTCTGTTGGGAATTTTTTCCCCTCTCTTTTTGAAGTTTCAACAATTATTCATCAAGCTCATACTTTGCAGCTCAAGTTTCAGGCTTCCATTACCTCTGGAGAGGATACCATACCCTTAAAATATTCCACCTAGCTATCGTGTCCTTTCCCATCCACTTTTAATCAGAGGTATTTTTTCTAGGTCTGTTGATTGCTTTTTGAAGTGGGTGTCAAGTAACTCTAGCGTGGACTACAAGTACATTGCTGTGGTGAAACCCATGGGTGATACGTTGCACTCTGCATTATTCTCTCTACTTTGTTCTATCAAGTTTTGGGCATTTTCAAAATTCACGTATCTCTGTGTTTTAACTAAGTATCTGCTTATACAATTCTGACAACTTTTGTTTTTGCTCATATTATCATATTTGTATTTGTGAATTGGGATTAAGTAGCCACTAGAAAAGAAAAAAAAAACTTGTGTCTTTAAGACTTTAAGACCTACATTTACCGGTACTCCAAGGCCAGATAGGTCAATCATCTCAAGTGCATTTGATGGAACCATCTTATGATAACATACCTGAGAGAGAGAGAGAGATAAACCAGCAAAATAAAAAAAAAAAAGTTGTTTGTATATGACTTTTATCAAAATCTCTTTCCCTGTGAAAAAACAGTCCGTTGTTCCGAGGGAATTTTCTTTTTCTGATCTGAGTGAATGTCATGTTGTGATAATATCTCATGTTCCTACTCAAGTATTGTTTGGGTTGGCTGGGATTGCGTTAGAAGAAATAATAACGTGAATCTTGCAATGCCTGTGACGGGATGGAGGACGGGCTCACGCAGCCAGAGGGGGCACTGAAGAAGGGACTTTGTGTTTCTAGTTCCCTGATGTTTTTATTTAATACCTGGAAATTCTTGTTAGGATTGTGATGATGCATGCCAAATAGTTCTCAGGTGTGAAGTAATACATGTATCTGGTTGACAATGTAAGGAATAACTCAAATTGTACTGTTTCGTCAAAAGAAGCTGGAGGAAGTTTTAATAAAAAAACAAAACAAAAAAGAAGCAACAATCGGAACAGGAAAAGCTGGCTTAAATGTACAACAATACTGTACTATCCAGTAAAATTATCAATAAATTTGGTTGATTTCTGCTGTTTTTGAGCAATAGGTCAATTGTCAACTGTTCCTAGCTGTCTTTGCCTTCATAATATCTTTGCTGAAATCGGTTGTATCATTCATTAGCAGAGTAGTAATCACGCTAATCATCCGTAACATCAAATGTCCATCGTTGCTCAAACTGAGGTTACAAGTGACACGGGAATGCCATAGCCAGATTCTTTGGAAAAGCTTGTCATTTGACTTGACAATTTGACTTGACAATTTGACTTGTCATTTGATGTAACTTGATTACAAAACTATTTAATCTGTTTGAATTGAATTGTTTTGTCCGGTGAAATCTTCGACAGTGTTCTTGGTATAGACTTGAGTCGTTGCCCTTTGCCTTGGTCTTGATTTCTGATCTCATTTTCTGTTAGGATTGTGTTGCTGTACTCTCTACCAAGTCAACCAGCAATGGTTCCGTACGATCATTCTTCAAGTCAAGACGGCTGAGAAGCTCTGTGAAGTCCAGTTTGTGGACTACGGCACGTCAGAATGGGTCCCAACAGAAGGGTGAGTCCCTCATCATTCAGTTGTCCAAATGTCAACTTATTTCAAATGCTACAACCAAACCCTTACTTTGCCGAGTAAATGTAAATTTATAACCCAGAGTCCTGGTAAATATGTTTGCAGAAAGCCTTTTCAAAGTATTCCATGGGATTTAAACCCCTTGGACATAAATTGAAGTCGGGTCGTCGGATGATGTTTCTTCACTGCAGATTTGTAACTGATACTAAAATTAGACAGGACATACATAATTCAGTGGTACATGTGATTGGCTATGAAATTTTAAAGCTGCCATTAAAATGATAGATGGGTGTACATATTTCATGAAGTGCCGTCCAGCATGAGTGATTACATCTCTAAATTTACTTGGTTTTTACTGCCACGGTAAAAACAAAATTCTCTTCATGTGATCCCTGTTTTGTGCCAACGGTGCGAGCAAAAAGAAATCCTTAGTGTGAAATGTACACTTGTGTGCAAGCCCAAGTTCCTTGCTAACCTCTGAAACGCACTCAACCTTAGCTCAGAATTTTCTGCTACAATTACAAAGATTCTTGTCTTATTTTTAGCAGTGCCATGCAATTACTCCCCCCCCCCCTTGTCTGCAAGAGTGTAAAAAATCAAGTGCAAGTTCAGTTTTGTTTTAATAAACTAGAAAGTCATTCCTAAATTATTCATGTGTTCCCCCAGCCGTTTCATTTGTTGTCTTGAGGGATTCTCCTTTTATCCTGTGATAGCAAAATCGAAGTGACGTATCCAATTAGACTGACAAAGTCACATAACGCCCTCATTTAACCCAGTTGGGAAAGCTGTTGGCCTTGCCCTACCAAGCCAGAAAATATCAACAGCTGATTTTTCATTGTGTGACAAGTCTGTCCATTTGAACTGCAGATGCGGTACAGAACATGAACAGGGGACATTAATAAAACCAATAAAGCAACATTCACAACATGATTTCAGGGTTGCTTTTCATCATTAATGGCAACTCCAAATGTTCATAAAAGATAAGAGAATTTTTTTTCCCCTGTCGGCGAAGAACCAGTGTTGTTTTGCTGTTGGCAGATTTTCATTTCATAGTTTTATAATTTTACAGTTTTTTTGAATCAATATTTCCATGTGTGTGAAATATCTGTGAATTTGTAAGTAAATAAGCTGTACTCTTAATTTATGGGGAAAAATTATGGCTATTTCAATTAAACTATCTAGATATTTTAATCCCCTTAAGCTCAATAAAATTTTGTTTCAGCAGAGAATATTAGGAACACTAAAATGAGGAAAGGGGTTTTTCTGTTTTGAATTTATGCAGTTGTTTTGAAGGACAGTGAGGGAACAGAACATTTTTGCTGTGGATTTTCAGCCAGGCATTCGAACATTCTGCTAAACTCGGTGCTGATTTGAACAAAAAAAGTTAAAATTGAAATTTCTGTCACTTGAATGTAAAGCTGCATTGTAAACAGTGAGCAGGAAAGAATAAATCTTCTGATCTGTGTGCATTTGAAAGGTGTTATACAAGAAAGCAAAATGTCATTATGTAGGTTTGGGAATCCTTTGATATGCCGTACTGAATGAATAAGTCGTACTGTATGCTACATGTAGCTCAGGATAACATTGAATAATCAATTCAATTCCTGCCTTTTTCTTTTCATTGCTCCATGACCATCATATTCAATTTGGTTTTCAGTTTATATGTCATTGCCCAAGGTTTACTGTGACTATTCTCTATACTTGACATGAGGGAGATGGGTTCTTAGATGTAACCTGAAGATAAAAAAAAGCTCTCTCACTTCTTGTATTTTTCCCCTGATTTTACAATGACATACATTTTGCCCTCATGAAGAACAGAATAGAAAGGATTAGTAATGGCATGGAAAACCTGAAGTTTTAATGGACTCTATTTGACATGTCTTTTGGAGACTCAGGAGATTTGTTTTAAAGAAAAATATAATTCCTCCCTAGGAACATACCATTAGGATGGGAAAATGTCACTGACTGAAAGTCGGAAACGAACGTCTTCCATTGATTCTCTTTTTATGTATAGATTAGTGCATGGGTTTTGACTTCTATTATGTGAGGGGATGAAGCTCTAGTGGGTAAGTGTCTGACCTTAAGACAGATTCCATCACAACTCATTGCATCTACACATCTTGAAAGGAGGACCGGTATGCTGATCTGAACCCGTCATAGATAAAAGAGTTAAACCAAAATAGCTAGAAATGCTGTGGTCAACTTATTGCAGCATAGTCCAGGAATAAACCAACCAGAGGATGGTTTCTAGTAAAGAATTCCTTTTCATCCTCTGCTCTGACAGAAATAGTTTTGAATTCTTCCCTTTTCATAGACTGTTCAATTTCTTGTTACATAAATTATTTCACTCCCTATACTGAGACAGTCCCTGTATTTGCTAAGATATTCTGGATTTGTTGGAATTCTTTCGCTGAAGGTGATCACAATTTAACAGTTCTTGCCCAATCTACATTGTATGTGGCCTTGCCCAGAGGAATTTGAATTAGTCTGATACAATTGAGGCTTCAATAAGTTGGGGAAAACAAAAAACTTGAGTCAGGCAGAAATTGAAGGAAAGTTATCAAGTTAATTGCCACATGTAACCTTGCTGCCAATGATGACATTGCATACTTTGTATTCAGGTTTCACCCAAAGTGTATTTTTACAGCCAAATGCATCAAGCACAAAAATAACCAAAACACCTGTTGCACAAAATTTCCAATCCAAATTGTATTTTTAATCTTTTGATCGATTTTTTTTTTAAATTTATGACATACACGTACATGTACATGTAGGTTTTGTAATGTGATTGTTCAGGTCTAACTCTGCACAGAGTTTGTCCAAAACTCGCGTTTTGATAATCAGAAATGAGAACTTCATACTTCAAAATGAGATCTTTTCTTTGATTTCGTTGGAAAATTTGACGGTTGAAACATTTAGAAGCAAGAACTTCTGAGATTCAAATATCTAACAATTGACTGTCGTTGTTGTTGTTGTTGTTCCAAATTACAAGAGTTTGGTAAATAGAAAATACAAAGAGTTCATCTTTCTGAAACCAAAATCTATATTGGCTGACCCCAGTCACTCTTAAGACTAATCGGTCTGGGGTGACTATATTATGGAACACATGTCTGTAATTGGTGGAATGGCACGGTTCTTGCAAGTAGGCTAGATTGTTGCAATCATTGAGGATGAGGTACATGTACATGTAGATCAGCCTGAGAGCTTAAGGGAAGGACAGTGTCTCTCTTCAAGTCATCACCTTGGTCAGAAACACAAATATACAGGTGCATTTTACGTCCAGCCCAAACAGACAGTGAGATGTCCTGCCATTTATTCCTGGGTGGCCAATTTTTTTTCTCAGAATAATTGACCTCGGTTATAGTCCAAGGGTCTTGAGAGAATTTAATTTGGGAATTATGCACACGTGGAGGAAAGCAAATACTACAGGGCCTTGGTTGTTTGGCATAAATGCTTGTTTTGAAGGGTGACGATTACTCACAGATGTTTGGTTGGAATTTGTTGATGGTTCAGTATTTATGATTACTGCCAAACTTGTCAAAGCAGTTTGTTTGGAAACAAATGGAATTGGATGGATAGATGTTCGGAGGCTAAATAGAGATACTCATTTCTTTTAATTCCTCATTTCTGTGTTGAGCCTATGTTCATAAAGTTGTCTTATTTTTTAGTACATTTTGAGGAGGAGGTGTAACGTTTCTTTGAGCTCCTTATCTACCGACTGATACGTGCTATTTTTATATCACCGTATCTTCTACCCTGTCTGTCATACCCCCTTCTCCCCTGTGTATCGGTCCTGATATTCTTATTTGCCTCACTCACTCTGGTTCAATTATTTGTTTCCATTATTTATTCAGATTCAAACTCAACTGCTGTTGAATTAATCCCTCATGCTCGTGCTCTGTGGTTTAAATCAATAATGATAAAACCCTAGACACATGCAGCTCAGACAAAAGCCGCATCGTTGGTGGGTAAAGCTATTCACTCACTTCTTGGAGTTCATAAAATGATTTCCAAACTGGGAAATCATTTCAAGTCTTGATCATCAACAAAGCTCATGTTTTATTCCTACATGTAGTAAGGCCAAAAAAAAAAATATTCGGTCTCTGGTCAGACCAAAGTTCCGGAATTGACGCGGCCACGCGGCTTTTTTTTTTTTTTTTTTCAAGCTTGGATTGTACAGACAAGGTGGGGTACTATTTTGCTTTTTTGGTGTCCTCATGTACATTGGTGTCCTCCATAATTTGCCTTGGTGCTCTCGATCATTTGCCTTGGTGCAATTTCCCATTCCTTGGTGCTCTTTGATAAAAAAAATTGAGGAGGTGCGGCAATAGAGGGCGCTGTTGGAGCTACAGCGGAACATTTTGGAAAAAAAAAAGATTGACGCGCATGATTTAATATCGACGTGCGCGCTGACCAGAGACCGACGTATTTTTTTTTTTGGCCTAATAGTGGCTTTTTAGTTTTCCTCTATGCATCTTTGTTGTTGGAGAACAGTGGCTTTGGAACAATATTTATAATTGCATTTTCAGGTTTTTTATTGGAATAATTTTCAAGTACATGTACCTGGTAACAAAACCGTGCCAGTGCAGCATTCAAGGCATGGAATTTTAAGTGGCCTTATGTTTTTTGGTGTCTAATGAATGGACTGTAAATTATGCAGTAACTTCAGAACATCTTTAAGTACGGTATATGAGGAGGTTTATCTACAAGTAGCTGGAATATTGTGCTTCAGCTTCATATTCATGGCACGCCATCCAATTTTAAATTTTTATGCGCAAAAATGAAAACAGTGACTGCACTTAGATTTGGTCCATTACAGTTGATTTTATGATGATTTTTTAGTTATGAAAATAAAATCAGCATCTTTTGTACGATGACCCCACTTCTAGATGATCTCTAACCATCTTGTTTCCTCCGAGTTGATAAGAAATTGCAAGCCAAATGCGATATTATTCTGAACGGTTCAGGGCATATCTGTGACCTGAATGTTGAAGGGGCTTCTTCAGGAAACAAAACAACAAGTTGTGTAGCGATGCGTGTGTTTTTTTCTGAGTAGATGGCTGTCAGTGGAGGGGTAGACTTTGGGGAATTGCAATATCCGTAATGGATATCTCCAATCAGTGTTCCTTCAAGAGGTCTCTTGTGCGGGAGGGATGCAATCGTGATATAAATCTGAAAGCGTTTTGAAGTGAACTCTTTGCTTTATACATGTTGCCCAAATTGTCCATTTGGCTGAAAAAATTATTATAACATGTATTCTGACTACAGTTTTTATACTTGATTTGTTTGCTAAGGCCAAAAAAAAAAAGTGTCCAGTTTCTGGTATGGAGCTTGCCCAAAAAGTGGTGCGGCGACGCGGCTTTTTTTTTTTTTTTACCTGATTTTTTTGCTTCAAATGTCGGCTGATGACTGCAAATGGTGCCCGACTAAACTTAGTACAAATAGGCCTATATGGGATTGGGAGTCCAGAGAGGCCACATAAAGCTTATTCTCGACCATAACCCCACCTAAAAACACGTTAAAATTGTGCAGCAGCAGAATGCCAATCAAACCAGTGAGTTTGGCGGTTTTGAGACATCATCTTTCACTGAAAAAAAAAACTTTTTCATTTTGCCGACGCGCATGGCTACGGCGACGCGCGCGCATACCAGAAACCGGAGACTTTTTTTTTTGGCCTAATGTATTGCAGGTGTTTTAAATCAAAATGAATAATCCACGAAATAGCAGTAAAGGAATTAGGAAAGAGGCGTTTTATATATTTCATCAATCGTTATTGTTAATTTTTTTTTTTATTCAGGTTACGGCAGATTCCAGAAAAGTTCACGACCCTACCCATGCAAGCCAGACAGTGCAAGTTGGTAGGATTGAAGCCACCCTCTCCATCAGCTACCAATGAGGGCGCTACACTGCCTGACTCTGATTGGCCGATGGCATCAGTGGATAAGTTGCTAGAGCTGGTGTCAAACAGGAAGTTGGTCGCCTCCATTCAGGTAATTTTAGTCTTGTTCAAGATGTCACTTTGTAACTTGCCTGTACTTTTGATGTCCACAGAGACATGTAACAATTTGATCGTGCTGAATGCAAGCAGATTTTATTGGAAAAAGGATAAAAGAGAAGTCAGTGCGTTTATGAAGTTATATTTTGATGTAGAAGAGTTGATGCAAGACAGCATGATTCATCACTTATCAAGTGACATCTTTCACAAAGGTTTCCCTTTGCTTCTTTCAATTTTTGACTCGCGGTTCCCAGGACGTGTTTGCATTTCAAATTTCTGCCCTTCCTTTTTTTCAGAGCATAGGTTTTTGTTGTCAAAAGCAAACGGTCAGTAATTAATGAGAGAGTCTTTTTTCATACCAATGTCACTCACTTTGTGTGTCAACCGTCTTGTTGTATACTGCCGCTAGCAATTTTGTGGGTAGGGATGGTAAACACCGAGATGTCTCGGAGAGAATTTGTTCAAAGTGCAACGCCGTTTCACTTTGATGTCTGACGGATGTACATTGTAACTTTCAGTTGCGCGGAAGAAGTAAATGACAATATGTCAAAGTTTCTAGTCAACTGAGGACTCGTGGGATGGATTCATTAGAGAATGGATAGCTGTGTGGTGTAATGAAACATCCATGATTGGAAATGTTAACATTCGTCCAAAAATCCAGCAGGAAGTGTCTTTACAACTTTAATCAAAATGTCAGCAATGATTTTAAAATAACCGGTCATATTGTGTGCATCATGTGGCGCTCTTTGAAACGGTTAAAGTAGCAATTGAATTATTTTGCAATCTCCAAACAACGGCACACCGTTACTTGGAGATGATGACATCCTCTCCCTTTTCCAATCAGCTCCGTCTGATTTTTTTTTAAACGGTTATGTAAATGTTTAGTATCTGTTGTTTGAGTAGTCTGGTTGTGCCTTTCAATAAACCATGCAGATACACGGACTGAATCCAAATGGACATAAAATCGTTTACTCAGGAAACCTGGACAGACGTTAAACTTGTTAGCGCAGTGGTGACTTGGAGAGATTTCCATGTAGTTGACAATTCTGTCTTGTTGAGTGCTTGTCAGTTTTTGTAAATTTATGCAACGTTTAGAGACATTTTTACTACCTTGCAGTTTGGGGGAAAAAAGTTGGAACTGCTTGGATGTTTTTGTGTGTAGTACTCGCTTCAAGTTTACTCGAGTTCATCTGCATTGTTCGTAATGCTTACAGAACCTTCCTAAGATTGTGTTGACCTTAAAAGACGCAGAGAAGCAATTTATTAAAAAAAAAAACACACAATCTCTATCAGTAATGTAACCAAGAAGTAAAATGCATCGCTGCAACTCTGTTAATTGAATCTGACTGACAATGTTATTCAATACTTTTTCTACCTCGAAATGGTTGGGTTGATAAAAATTGTGACCTTGGTTAAATTAATTCCTAGAAAGAAAAGATGAATAAAGAAGACCTCGAGGTATGCCGAATTACGTAGTGGAGTTGCAATGGTCTTTAGAAATGTTAACTTGGATTTAATTAAATATTGGCAGCGAAAAAGTTGTCGTATTCTACATTGAAGGAATAGGTGTGTCGAGGCTAAAAATTACTTCATTAATAATTAAGATGTTTTTCTTGACTTCACTAAAAGAAACGTCAAGAGGGGGAGAACATCTGATATTTTGGGTTTATTTAATTGCTAGAGATTATTATCGAAATTAAATAATATCTTTGAGAAAATTGCACTGAAAAACAAACACATTTTTAGGGTTCTTTGAGTGACTACCTCATCAGTATTATACCCAAGAATAACGTTTCTGTGTTGAATGAAATAAGATCCATCATCCTTCGCAAAGAAGTCTTAAGAGATGCTGTGTGGTGACGTGCAGCAATGAGCAACATGACTTCTTCTTGTTTTCAGGGAATTGATCCCAACAGATTAGTAATGATAATTGGAAGGCCTGGCATCTGGCCCTAAGGAATCTGTCAATGTTTAATGTGGCTTACGGGTGTGATGTTTTAATTCCAAATTATACAGAAATGGTCTATAAATACTTTCCCAGGTGATACTAATGATGTGTTCAGTATTCATATAATCTCTGAACTTACATGTACTGGTAAGTTCAACTACTGCTTTCGGCAATTCTTATTAACTCTCAAAATAGGGAGTTTTTTTGACAAAATAAGCCAATATGCTGACACACTACTTACAGGAGTTGTGGGAAGTGAACAATCTTACTTTCGAAGAAGATTCTGATACGGAAATCTGGATGCAGTGGGAGAAATGATTAAGATTTTCACAGGAGGTAGTTGAAGGTGATATTGTAATGTTTCATTTCATTAAAAGACATTTCTTGTTGGTATGGCACATTGGTTGATATGCCTGTCACTGTGAGTTTGGAAAGCTATTTGGTGGATGAAATTAAGAATGTTCTGTCTTGAAAAGGAAGTTATATCTGCAGCATGAATGCTTCAGATGCTTCTAAATCTCTTAATCTACCTCCTACTTTTCTCCAAGTTTTGTAACCTGCCTGAATGATTCAACTTTTGAATTGCTCACTTTAGTTTATCCTACTCTCTTCTCATTAACAAAAGACGTGAGACTCTTTGTGACTGAGCCAAACATCTCTAGATTTGTTTACTGTCATTTCCATGCTTCCAGCCCCCAGACACAAGTTGATAAATGAGCACTTTGTTGTATTGTTGCCAGCTTTTTAATGTCTGGTTCCTTTCTGTGTGTATAATGCTTGCATTCCTTTGAGAACGAAGCCTAGGAAGGTCCATCTTCGATAAGTACTAAAAAACTTAGAAATCCTTCTTTCAAAGGGCTCGTTGAATTGCGGAGCAAAGTGGCTCAACAGTAAAGAGGGTTATTTGTCAAGACTGTTGACTTGTGAGCCCTGGTAATGTTATCTGTCATCTTGGTGAGTTTGGTCATCAGGAAATCAAGCGTTCAGTTTTGTTGTTTGTGCTTGTGGTTTGAATTGGGTTTGTTGAATTATTTACAGGAAAAATATTTCATGTTTGCCGCACTGTACAGGTAGTAAACAAAGAAAAAACTCAAAAATGTTGTATTTCTTAAATTGTCTTTCTTTGCTCTACTGTTTAGTATTGGAGTTGGAATTCTCAAAAACTGAAGCAAAATTTTATGAAGTTATTAAAAAAAGGAAGAGCTTTAGATGATTTATTTAATCTTTCCATGAGGCCTAACGCTTTCCTGTCCGTTTGCCTTCAGAGTTTGCATATCCTTGCCCACTCAGTGATTTTTGTTGTCATTATAAATCTATTTTGCTTTCAGTTGTATGTTCAACTTTGATGTCCTTATCCAGATAATTTGATGCCTAAGGCGAGTGTCTTTATTACCCATAACCCAGTCATTAGTTTTCAAGACCTTTTTAACGATCATGGCCATCTTATTTATCGTTATCATTGTTAATTCTCATGCCACATTGACGCACATTCAGCAAAGTTAGGATTCATTCTTAAGAAACAACGGGTGTGTTTTGCCAGGTTGTTAAATTCAGGCTTGTGAAGTGGATGTATCATAGCATAATTTAAAGTGACTGTAAACGATAGCCTTTTCATTCTGCCCCTCAGTAACTGGAGAGAAGCCAACAAAAGAGGAAGGTCATGTCTTTGGTTTGGTTGGGAGAGTTATACTTCACAGGTGCTGGCCACTTTCACAACATCCGCGAAAGTTTGTCTCACTGAATGGTGAACTAAAAAAACAAAAACAAAAAAGAACTCGTCTGTGAGAAGACTGTCCAATTCAGACCTTAGAATTAAAAAAATCCTAGTCATTAAGGTTATTGGGCTCATAGGAAAACAAACCTGATGTTTGTATCACTGCTAAAAGCTTCTGATTTTGTTTGTTCAAATCTTGAAATGGTTTAAAACGTGTCTTCTTTCTTTTCTGTCTTCTTTCTCTCACATGATTACATTTAATTTCATTTATTGTGTACATCTTGTTCACAATTTGTTTTTCAATAAGAAAGAAGAAAACATTACACATTTGAAAATGATTTGTTACTTCAGTGTTTCAACGGCAATATGTGGTTTGAGCTCAATTGACTGAAGGAAATTCTTTCCTGTATGTTTGGATTCAAAATAAATTTTTTTTAAAAATGAACGATAATTTGTTTGACTAAGAGTAGATGTCAGTGCTGGTTTAGGTAAGTAAAGCAACTGTCTAAGGGCAAGGTTGTGTCTACATGCCTATAGCTTCCAGCAAATTTACTGTCATGCTTGACTTGAAGCCATGCTGGTAATTCATTTTCCAAAATTCCGTTCAGTATCAAATTGTTGCCAGGACAACACAGTGTCATTTTATTTTGACTAGACACCATGGACGATTTAGGAATCAAATTTCCCAAAGCATAAACTATCAGTTGATCACAAAATGCCTTTGCCTGGTCTGTCATTCCCATGATCTTCAACAGTACACTAAGCGTAGATCCATCAATATTTGATCCCCATCCAAACCCCCCCCCCCTTCCAAAAAATGAGCGCAGCTTCAAATAATAAGAGAACGTTACTTGTCGTGTGACTGCATCCATTTTTGACTTAGAGGACAAAGGAGGAATGATCGATGGATGGCGAAAAGGGTTTCCATGACGATGACTATAGAATGGAAGAAGCTGTTGTTAGATTGAAGAGCAACACCCCTGCTTTTATATCAGCGTCAGTCATTCATGATGGGTCAAAAGAGTCATGGGAGGTGTGGACATGTGGCTGAGAATTTGAGACACAAGTCAGGTGTCTAGAATTATGTTGAATTGCTAGTTATTCAGGTAATCTCGCTACCTCACACTAGTACTGTATCCAACAGAGCAATGGACGTATATCGTTTTCCCTTGTATAATTATATCAACAGAAAACCAATTGGGGAGGGGGGGGGGAATTATTTTCTGAAATTGTGTTTCACTAAAACAAATCTAACAGACATGAAAATAATTAAATAAATTATGTCTATTAAAGATTTGACACTGGATGTTCTGTGAACAGGTTAATTGGTTAT